AAGGCAGATCATATATATATTTTTGTTTTCTTTTTTATTCTTCTCATAGCGGCCATGCGCCGCCGAGGGCTTCCTGATTGAACCCGTCAATCTTGCAATGCCGAGAAAGCTGCAACAGCTTTAGTACATTTTGAAACCAAAATCGCGGGATGTCTGTTTTCTTTCTTTCTTTCTTTTCTTTTTTTTTTTTTTTTTTTTTTTTTTTTTTTTTTTTTTTTTTTTTTTTTTCGGCGAGGAAGTGCACAGCAGAAGATATCTTCTACCTTATTATCTCATCGAGAGACATCATCTTTGTCAAGCACCGATGCTGGTTCTTCGTCTGCGGAAGAGCTTGAACGTTGATCTTTTTGGATCGAGGTTTGTTGGTGTGCTGACGGTCTTTTTTTCTTTTCTCCGCATTCTACCATCTCAGCTGGTGGATGAAGGAGCGATGTAAAAGGAAAAAACGCTAGCTTATTGATTGCTTCGATCGTGTGATAAGATCGAAAGGCAGTCCCTTCTTATCCAGAGCTAGAACGCTGCACCAACGTATCAGCTGTAGGCGGAAATACGTTCTTCCTATTTATAGACGGCAGCCCGAGTTCTTGACAGTATCATCTGTATGTCTTCGCAGAGATGAGAATCATACAGCTGAGCTTTCGATTGCTGATTTGGAACAACTGCATCCGAGCTTTTTTGACTTCCAGCCGCGTTCTCCTTGAAACCGACGTCTACCAGATCAAGGAAGAAGTATGCGCATGCGAAAGCGAGGTATAAATTCGACGGAAAGAAGACCGTCATTCAGATGACTATATATCATTTTGCCATCCTTCAAGATGCAGCAGGGGCTTTTTCAAGTTGGTTCGCTTCCATAACGGTAAGATTTGATATGGATTGAACGGCGCATTCGTGGTTGGTATCCCGTTGTGCAAGCCGCCATTTATCCGAGTTGTGACTGAAACTCAAACGGCAGAGCTATCTTGCTTGAGATGCTCTTCTGCAGATTTACCAGTGGAAGAGTATATTTCAGAACCTTTTCCGATGATAGAAGTCACCCGCAATTGAGCAGTAGAGCGGAGATTGTAGCGATGTGACTCGTCGTCAAATTGGTGCAAGGCCTTGCCAATATTGAACGAATTCATTGCCGTACTGGGCAAGATGGATATATATAGTCGGTTAAGCTTCTCTGGTGAAATTTGTCGACTCCCGTGTTTAAGGTATAAGCAGTATTCGTGAAACTCTGCAAGAAGTCTCGGAAGATCGTAGCTGAACTCCTTCTTCAAACTTCGCAATTATAGTATGATCGGAATGAGGAGCTGGTAATGTGTATAATATGCGAGAACGAGGGAACAACTCGATCGGTCGAGAGTCTGGAAACAGGTAGGTTAGCAACCGCTTAGATGACAGCCAAGCTGGGTGACATTAGACTTACGGAGAATGTGAGCGCTTCCACGGGCACCAAGCCTGAAGAGATTGCTGGACGCCGTCTCGTCTGATCCCTTCTGGCGATTCAAATGTCACCACGCATTAAGTTGACTTCAAGGTGAGCCACTCTATATAAAAGTAGGTAATGGGCCATAGTGTGTCGCCGTGCTTTGTGTATATAGGCCAGAGAACGAAATTAATGATGGCCTTGATTTTATTTCACTTTCGTTCTTCAAATGAAGATTATGGTGAACTTCCGACCGATTGTCGTCTTCGTCTCCGACGGCAAATATCGGAGATAGCCATGGACGCGTTTTCTCCATGGGCTAACTGATCGCCCTTTCTTTAGTGGGTGTCTTTTTCTAGAGCGACCCTTTCGCTTCAGAATGACAGTTAACTGAAGAGAATTTCATACCGAAGTCGAGCTTGGATCGCTGAAATCGTAGCGCTTTCACTTTTCGACAAAACAGTGGCTCAAACCAATAGAAAACTTCTGCGTCTGACCTGAGCTGCCCCGAGTGGTAACCTTAATGTGACAGCCCGCGCAGTGAAACGGTAATCGAGAGCGATTTCCACATGAAAGTATAGTTATATCTCGACTATCTTTCCCAAGCCTAAGAGAAGCGCCCTCGTGATCTCAAGTCATAGCAAAGGCATTGACTCACTTGAACGATGAGATATGGGTGATAGAGATGTGGATGACGAGCGCTTGTGCTATAACAGCATGGGTTTTTATAAACCGGTTGAGTGTTTTGAACGACGTCGATATTTCCCAGCGTGATAGGCAAATCGGCCATGCTGAGGATTGTACGCAACCCCAGTTATTGCTGATGCGCAGCATCGAAAAGCAATCACATTTGCGAGAGTGTTTTGTGGTAGAAAGGTAAGCGCTTTCGCATCAGCCAGCATTACAAGAGTCATTTGTGATGCGCGTGGGCCATGGCACGGGAGATTGGGTGCTTCCAATCCTCTTCTTGGCTTAGAAAGCCGAATCCGTTAGGCATTTTTGTAGAGTTGGTTGTCGCTTTGGGATCAGTACACCTGTGTGTTTGGAATCTGGTGAACTCCTGATCGGCTAGATTTGCCTTCAATGTCGCGTGAGATTGAGTAGAGTATATCGTAGATAAAGGCAGCTGCGATCAGAATAAAGACAATATAGAAAGGATGCATGTGTATGTCCATGCAGAATGAGATCAATAGCCAGTCTCGAAGGGCTAGTATGTTAATGAGAGCGAGATGTCAACGACTTGAAACCATGGTCGTGTCTCCCGCGTTTTTGATCCCTGCGTTCAAGCAGGCAAGTGAGGCAACTGCGTGAAGCGTTTCTTCCAAATGAGAGTCTGCATCGATGGACTGAGAGCAATAACTACACGGTCTCGAACATCGTTTTGACCAAGCTTGGGCATGCACCGAGACCGGAGCCGGAGCCCACTACATAGGAAGATGAATCTCGGTTGTTAACGAGGTATTTAAAAACCGAATGTGCGTTCGCGACGAAGTGCCGTTGCTTTATCATCGCCCGAGAATTCCAGCCACTCGCAGTAGATGTTGCACTGGCTGTTTCCTATGTTTTGAGAAATATGGTCGCAACTGACCCGTTGGATGCATCACCGTCGGCCATTGAGCTCCATAGACTTCGACGCCGGCTTCGAGCAGATTGCGGGAAGAAAGAGCAATCGAAGAAGTATGTTCCCGGCAGGGTAAGAAGAACCAAGCATTGAGACAGGAAGCGTGATATAACGGTCGCTCGCATGCGAACTCGCTTGAATATTTGAAGTAGAAGTCGCATCGTTATCCAGAACGAGTGCCAACAATTCGACATTGACCATTTGGTGCAAGGCGTTTGCTGTCGGTTTCATTGGCATAAATACCACAGTCACTGTCTTTCTTGTGTGGCTCAGAGCGAAGTGTACCCTCGATAGTGCTATCTCTTGGTGGTTCCAAGGATGTTAAGCTGCACCATCGAACTTGGGACGTATTTGAGCAGATGATTTGTTTGAGAAATCGCCTTCAGAAAGATCCATCATCCCCCCAATGATGTCGAGGTTGAAGGCAAGCTCAAGGGCTCCATATATAAGATGAATTGTAGACTCCAGCTAGAGTTGCTCAAGCAGCCGTATATGATGAGCTTCGGCTTGCTTCTCGACGATGGCTCGCATGAAGGTAAGTCTGGTTCGGACGCTTATTCGACACCGCGCCTATCGATACAATCGGCAGATGCAGCATGGAAGAAGTAACTGAACATCGTTGTATGTTACGATGAGTTATGACAGGCACCATAGCTGCTATAAAATCGGCCAGGGAATGTAGCAAGGCTCACTAACCCCCTTTTCCAAATACATGCCATGCTTGGAAGATACCACGCTTGGAAAATACCATGCTTGGAAGATTCAGCGACGCAAGAGTCGTAGCTTGGTCGTTCAATTGAAGTGGGTTCGAGGTTTCGGAGGCGGTAGGAGATTTTGGATAGCTTAGGGAATGTGCGGGTGTAGATGGGTGAAACGAAGCGTCGGAACTGTAAATTGTGAACTTGATGTTATAGGCACCATCAGATATGGCATCGCAGCTGGAACCGAAATGATCGTTATAGTCTGAAATGGCCAACTTAGCGTTGTGCCGAGACACTGGGCCAAATTGTATATAGATTGAGTCGGAGATCACAGGACCGGTGAGAGAGTGACACTGAAGTCGAGGTCACAATCGATGTTCGAAGTCGCGATCGTGCTTCCGAGTGGCAATGACACCTACTAAGCCTCCGAGTGATTCCACCACCGATGACTTCTCGCTAGTTTTCTGCTATGATGTGAGGTTAGGCCATCCTACCTCACGTCCACCAGCACCATAGGTCGGCGTGTAGAGCGAGCTTGTGACGCAGACGCACTCTGTCATGGTGCATACCAGACCTTGGGGGCCTTCTATATATAAGGTGTTATTTTCGGTTTGTTACCCTTCATCGAACTTTTCAATGACAGTCGAACATCGTTCGAGGTGTCAAACCTTTATTTTTTTCGATGGGAGCATCGTCGACATTCTTGACGGCATGTAGATCGGCAAGAGGCTTTAGCAAGTTGAGTGAGGTCAGCCTCTCATCTACCAGCTATCATCTGAAGCCGACATTTTGCGACGGAACAATGCGGTGGCAATTCTCCAAGGAATTTATGCTGTGTGATTCCAGATGGCTGTGTCCCATCAACCGACATGATGCGACAGAATGATGCGTTCTGTAGTAGTTGGCGAAGACCGCCGTCGGTCGTAATTTCCCGGTAGCATGCTCGACCCCCTTTGACTATGGGTATTTGCAAGGTGAACAGACCGATGAGCTTTCGCAGCGACCAGCTACCATTGGAAGGCGAGGTATTGCGACGGAACAATCAGGAAGCTCTCGCAGACTTCCATTGCTGTGCATTTCCTGATGGTTACGTACCACCAACCCGGAGGCCATCGTCGTAAGTTTGGCGAGAACGGTGCCTTCCGTAGTAGTTGGCGAAGACAATCGCAACAGCAGTTTTGGAGAAAGTGATACCTTGCGTCGTAGTTAGCGAAGCCTGCCGAACGCAGTTACTTGGGAAAATGCCAGAGTATTCAACCGACGCTGCATATTTGGGGCATCTGACTGTCGCAGGAAAAGTCGTCCGTTCAATCTCCTTTGCTTTGTTGATGCTTCCCAGTTCGCCAAAGCATCTTCCACATTGGAGTATATATAGGAAAATAAGGTCGCGGTTCTTCGGAACTTGGCCACGAGGTACCACCAATAAGTTTTGTCTAGAACCACGGTGCGTCTTGGTCAATAGGGTTTGCCTCAAGCATTCACACCCCTTAACTTGCCTTCTCATTACTGTGGCTTCCAATGTGCCAAGGCATCGTCCACGACGTTGGGTTCCATCGTTTGTATATATAAGAAAGTTGACTGCATACTGCAAGTCCGATGCCTTGCGTCGTAGTTCTCGAAAACGGTTGGTGGTCGTAAAGGCTTTTGCCGGAGCCATCGTTATAGCGAGAGTTAACGCCTTTAGGCTCGTAGGCGTGTTCGAAGAGATGACTCCAGCTTATATATATAATAAAGTTAGGCTTCCGAGTGATACTGACTGCGTCCTACCAGTCCGATGCCTTTCGTCTTGGTTCTCGAACCACTCCTGGTGGTGGTTTAAATATTTTTGCCGGAGCCATCAGTATTGCTAGAGTTCACGTCTTCCATTTCGCTGGTGTTTGGACGGGATCTGACTCGATCCTCAACATTCGAGAGTAATGAGAGATGTATGCTGCCAGTCTGATGCCTTTCGTCGTAGTTCTCAAAAACAGTGGAGCGTTGGCACATGCTGCAACCAGACGGTGCAGTGCAGGACTTCGGCTGGAAGTCATCGACGCTGTCATGATGCGACGAAGCAATGAAGCGACGGAACGCTGAGGCCTCGGAACGCTGAGGCAACGGAGCAATGGCAAGATGAAGCGAGAAAGCGACGAAGCAATGAAGCGACAATCGTCGCAGGCAAGTCAGGTTCTTCAGGTTCGTCTTCGCTTTACTGCGGTTCCGATTTCAGGAGAGCCACGTCAACTGATAAGTTGCGTCGAGCGAATGCTTTCAATGTGCGCAGAAAACTAATATTCCTGAAGAAAGCCGCCTCGTATAGCTTCTTGATCGCCACGAAGGTGTATCCGTCATTCAGGCACCAGTCACGACGGAAAGATATATAGAGGCAGACTGGTGTCTGCGCAGCCGCTATATAGAGGAAGCAGTTCGAACACTGAGAGGAGCGAACGAACAAGGGACAATGTCCTCCAATGTCTCTTTCTTCCGATGCCATGGAGCTGAAGCCCGAAGGTAGCTAGCTGATTGAAGCCAAGACGTGGAATCCAGTAGGCGATGAAGCGTGAGTATATAGAGCGAAGGACTGACTTGAGTTTGTTGTTTCAATGGGCTGGTTGTTCGGCTCGAAGCAGTGAGTGGAGGAAATGTGTGGCAGCGGAGTGTCGAGAGCCATATATAGGAGACCGTTCAAACGCGGCATCGACCAGCCGGCGTCCCATCGCGATTGAAGTTGCGCGGATTGCTAGGATCATTGTCGTCGCAGTCGACGAAGCCTTCTGGCGCCTCGATAGCCTCTTCATCATTCTTCCGATATATAACATAGCCCAGGGAGCCGATGAAGCAGTGCTCGATCGGTTGTGAAGTCACGAGGATGTATTACTGTGTCGTTTTCGTCCCGATCGACGAAGCCTTCTGATGTTTTGGAAGTTCCTTTGTTGTTCTTCCGCTATATAGCGTAGCCCGAAGAGTAGATGAGCTCATAATGTTGAGAGCTGGATTTGTATATATTATCGAAGTACTGGATTACTTCATGGAACCCGTAGGCCATTCGAAGGCGGCCGATGAGCTTATGGTGTCTCGATATATATGGAGAGATGGTTGGAATTATACTCGCTATTTGCGACACTGTTGCAAAGCGTCGAAGTGTTGTAGACCATTTTGGAGATGGTATCGACATGCACCGGTTGGCATACTATAGATTGTACGTGGGTGAGCTGCCAGTGGTGTTGCTGAAGACTGGGCCAGCCAATCAAGATCGAGGAGTCCCGTACATGCAATCTCCACCGAATAATAGAAGGAGTTGAGAATGGTCTCGCATCGTATATACTGTGACAGGCGCGTTGCCGTAATCAAACATGTCGGTGCAGGCCTTCTCCATGGGGCTTGGTTTCAGTATGTCATAGAAATCACAAACGGCGCTACTGATCGCCGGGGTTGGCCTTCATGGAGACGATGGAGAATGAATGTTCCGCGGAGTTGAGCAAGCCCGTCTCAGAGTTGTTGAGGCATCATGGCGTGATTCTGTTACGAGAGACAATGCAATAAGGAGTCGTAAGAGAACCACGAACGAGGCGACTTTTGGAAAAGAGGGGGACACGAGTCAGAACTGCTGCGGAGATGCAAACCGCCCGGTCGGCGCGTTGGGTGGGGGGGAAAAAAGATTAATGAAAATTAGGATAAGGATAAGGATCAGGACAAGAAATGCAAAGTCGAATAAGCATAACAGGGCGCTTTATGCATAATAATCGAGGGGATGTGGTTGGATGGCCGAGGTACGATCTGCCGGCACAGTGAGCCGATCGAGAGCTGGATCGTCGCCGAGAAGAGCTTTTTCTTTCAACGCTATCCTGTCTTGTTTCCAATAAGAATGACAGAGTGGCAGGCTACTCGACGGACTTCATCCGAGGCAAGACCGGTGACCCAAAAGGTGCTCGTATCCCCATGGTGTGCCCTGATAAAGTGGGGTTAGTTTTCCTGAGTGGCTGGAACCAGGGGCTTGTTTATGCTTACTGTGGGTTTCTCGGTGTTAGGAGCGAGAAGATGCCGTGGCAAAGAGAGGTTCCCCGGCATGCCGAAGCCGAAAAAATGCCCATGACGGTCGGGGTACTCGGAGAAGCCGGCTTATGTCAAACCCATCGTAGCCGGTGTTTCCCCGGGGGGTTTTAGAGGCATGCGAGATGAGGCGGACGTTGCTTGCTAGTCGATCTCATCCCGCCCCAAACGTGAGTGAGGCCAACTGGACAGGCCCACGTGGCACCAAAGGGAGAGACACCACAAAAGAAATATCATAATGCAAAATAATAGAAATAAGAGAAATAATAACAGAAAATGACATGGTGTGACGTATAACGGAAACATATGAAGATCGTGCCATCGGAACAGACGACTTCTTGGGCTTGGTCCCCGCTCGCTAGACTGAATCTCCGTCCCCAAAGAAGAAAGTGATCAGGTGAGGCGATGGAGGGTCCCCAAAGCAAGGAAAATTACCCCTCCTTGACAGAACTATGTGTGATCTATGGTGGAGAGAGTGAGTTAGGCGTAAGAAACAAGTAAAAAGAGTGTGGAGATTACATGAGGGGCAGTATGCGGTGTAGAAGGAAGGCAGTATACTTTGGTGGGGATGCATCATCCATAGAAGGAAGATAGACAAAAGAGTGAGGTCACACCAGAAGGAAACAGATGGAAAAAGGAAAGACTAGAAAGGAAAGAAGGAGTATCGATAGGCCACACTAGCCATCTAAGCATCAAAAAAAAATGTGATGAAGATGAAGATGATGAAGATGAAGGTGATGATGATGGTTCAAAAGAGTGTATGATGAGCTGATGAGCAGTCAGATCGATGCTTGAGACCCTGCTGAGTATGGAGAGGAGGGGAGAATGCGAAGGAGAGATTTGGAGGGAGAAGGAAGGGCCTTTTATGCCTGAGAATCATCAGTCATCAGAGCCTGGATCATCGTTCACAGTCCAGTGCCTCCGTTCACTCTATACAAGGGAATCAGGGAGGAGATCGTGGAATGAGGGCTTCAAACCGTGGAATGAGGCCCTGATCGTGGAATGAGTGCCTCACAGCGTTACGCTGAACATCAGGATTCACAAATTTTCGTGGAATGGAGGCATCTCCGCCCTGATTAGGAAGTGGAGATGGTGAACGGTCGAGGAGTGTGAACGGAGAAAAGAGTGAACGGGACGATGCGACAGATACCATTCCACGGAGTCTCTCGTAATGACCATCACACTACCAGGACAGTCCGTATTGTGTAGCAAGAAGGGGTCGGGTTATTGTTCACGTAGCATAACGCGGGCCATTGCGAGCTGTTTACCCTAGGGAACTTCCGATGGAGTCACACATAAGATACGGGAATTGTAGGACATGGAAAAGTCTAATTCTATATCTATGATGTATCCCAAACGCCTGTGTAGCTAGAACAACAATCCAAAAGGCGTCGTAGAAAGGCTGACACAAAGAATGAGCGCTCAATATAGTGTATGCATATAATCGTTCACCAGAATTCACCGCTAGAGATGCAAGAACATTGAAACCCAAAAGATGCTGAGGCTAAATATGAGAGAAATAGAAAAAAAGGAAACAAGGCGGTGTGAGAGATCATTCAGACACATCCTCATCTTGACCCGGCCACATGATGTCCTTGCGGATAACGGCCCGGATGGCGCTAACCAAGACAAAGATAAACATGATGATGACACAGAGAGACATGGCGGTGGCCACGCCCTTGACGCCTGGGCTCTCAAACATGTTGGCCAGGGTGATGGTGGCAAGGGTGAAACCCGTGTTGGGGAAGACCATGGCGAACCAGTTGAGGTGGAAACCCTTCGGCGGGGATCGGACGACAGCAACAACCGCAATGCAGAAGAACCAGAAACTCAGGGCCCAAAGGAAGATGGCCGCACTGACAGCGAGGAACAGCATGACGCGTCCGTCAATAACAGCATGGGGATCACCGACGATCTGGAAATCATCAGGCAACGCCTTAGCCATACCAACCAAAGCGAGGGCAGTAAAGGCAGGTGGGCCAACACAGATGAACATGCCAGGCCTGTGTTCGGGGGAAGGCAAGCCGACCTCCATCAGTCGTCCGATGTAGTGGGCGTACATCATGAAACTGATCGAGAAACCAAGTCCCTGGAAGGTAATGCCAGCTATGATGATAGGGATACCGTCACTGGCCGGCTGGCCGCTTCCGATAACAGACGCGATGGTACCACTAAGCATGACAGGGAAGGCAGGCAAAATCCACGAAGGCATCATGGTGTGCAACTCGTATTTATGGGTGGCAAAGACAAAAGAGTACTGACCGACGGCGGTGATCATGGTACAGCCACAGTAGATCCAGAAGAGGACTTGGAGACACTTGGTAAATTTCTCGTTCGCGTCATCACCGAAGCACTTGTACAATCCAGTGATCATGGTTGCAATGGAAAGCCAGAAGGTCGGGAAGAAGAGACCTTCACGGTCATGACCGAGAGACTCCCACATATTCTTATGCAGGATGAATCTGATGGCCATGAGAGAAGTGACGATGACGAAGAATGCAAGGTTGAGACAGTAGACTACCCGGGCAATGTCCTTCAAGCCCTTGAAGTCATGAGGCTGGTTGACAATAAGGAGGGCCAACCCGCCGCAGCTCATGGTCAAGGTGTACCAGGCCCAGGTAAAATGGCGTAAACGTTCGCGGATCCCCACTGGACCTGGCTTCTCGAATGTATGGTTGACGCCTATTTCGGCTTCGTGATTGACAGATATTCCGGAATCATGGTTGGCATGTTTCTTGGTCTCATGGTGGAAGGTTTCCAGATCCGAACCAGACGAGCCAGGGAGGCTCGTTTCAACGTTCATAGTGCTGATCGACTATGGTCTATACGGTGATGTATAAGATATGAGGTGAAGGAATAAAAGATAGAGATAGAGAGAAGAGGTGTGAAGCAATGTAACCGATGGGGAGCAACAGCCACCGGCTTCCCTGCTCGTGAACCGTAGGAGGATATCAAGAAGTAGATAATGTCTGGTTCAAGTGCCTCGAAAGGAATGAGCCAGCCTTTTAACCAGGGAGGGGTGACCAGGCCTTAGCAAGCTGAGCGGACCCGTACTACTATTGTACACCGGGGGCCCACAGCGAAACAGCACGGGAAAACGTTTTGGGATACGGAGAACTGAATTGATAATTGTGGAGTGGATATGGAAAAAAAATTTCTGGTAAGACAGAGTGTTTGCTCAGGTAATGCAATGGCTTCTGGAAGAACCAATTGTTTCACGAGCTCGACTACCAGCGATGCATTGCACCTCCAACAGGACATTCCACAGGTCATATAAAACTACGCATCAACCCCTATGCTTTGGGGCTACAGTAAGGCAGTGCTTCTTGGGCTGCCAGAAAGATCGACCTTCAAGTGTCAACGCAGCATGGCCAAGAGCATAACAGCCGACCTGCAGGGGCATGGCAATATTGGTTGGCTCACCAGGCGAAGAACATCACAGTCTAGACTTCAGATAATCAGCATCGCGGGGCCCAATATCTAGGCGTATGTAATATCCCTCTTAGGTCAGGAGGATTAGGAAGCATAACAAAGGGGGGGCCATCATATTGCCAAGGCGGACAGGGATCCACGGGCACTCAGTCGAAGCATCATAGGAGGCGAAGGTTGAACATGATGGCTAGGGGAGCTGATGGTTCATGATCCTCAACCTTCCAGAGACTCTCTTCCGCCAAGCCATGCGAGGTTATGGTTCTGCATCAGTGGGTCGGTATGCATAGACAACGTCAACTGGCAGGCAAGCCAGTTCTGGGTAGAAGAATTGATGGTATGCGCCACGCACTGTGTTATTATTATCACAGAATTTTACCCGTTTTGAAGGGTTGGGGTCCGGAAATTCCCCGAGCGCGCGGACGTGACCATTGCCAGCATTTGTCACCGCAGAATCGCTGCCACATCAGGGACCACAGGTCTGAATCGGCCAAGAGACCTGTATAACTTCGTCTCAATTTTGAACTGCTGGTGGTGATTCTGAGTTTGATGAGGTTGCTATCGGGGAAAAAAAACTGAATTTTTGAGGTTTTGATTTTTTGCCCCTGGATCCATCCCGAAACCTTTTCGGCCCATTGTGAGAGTTACGACATGGGCCGCGACGGAGCGGCAAAAGGAGTGGCCAAACGGGAGGCAGTCGATGCTAAGCCCTGTTCGGACCGAGGATTAGGCACGGGAGACAGAGCCAGGGAGGTACGAGACGAGAAACAGCAGCAGTAGCAGGAGCAGGAGCAGTAGCAGGAGAACCAGAGATAGTACACTTACTCAGTCGGGAGGCAGTCCCAAAGACAAGGTTGGAGCTGGGAAAGTGGAACTCGATGGACGCCATCCGGGCCAATCAAGCGGGCAAACAAGTTGTAGTGCGCATCCAGGAATCTTCAACGTGCGCTGATTTCTCCAACCTGTTTCGCTCCCCAGACGAGCGATGGCCAAGAGGGGGATCGACAACGCACCATGGCATCTCCGCTGCCAAGTAGAGGTGGCTATAAAATGCCCAGAATATGGGAGAGGGAAGCGAGCAGGAAGGTTTTGCCAATACTATTAAGACTGCGGATGTGATTCTTGGGAAGAACTAAAGACGACCGCAACCCAAAGAATGCGATGGAGAGGGGGGAGGATCGGAAGTGGGCCCTGATCCATGCGGGTGACCCATGGATGGCAACAATGTAAAAAACCGGCCCATATACGCATAAACTGAGATCACCGGTGAGGGCAAAAACTGAGCCATTCGCGATGGGGGGGACAGACAGACAATTGGGAAGGAGAGGAAATGAAGTTTGTGGGAGAGTGAAATTTGGGCGGCGGAGGAAGACGGAAAAGCCTCAGAGGAAATCCTGGCTGGGCATCCTTGGCACGACTTTCCTCCGGAACGTTTACAAGATGGACCAGATAATCCAGACAGTCCAGATAGTCCAGATAGATTAGACGGTTAGAGATAGAACTGATCTTCTTCTTCCTCCTTCCCAAACTCAATCCCGATCCTCCCTTCCGTCTCTTGGATGCTCTTGGCCGGATCGCCGCCAAGCATGGCTCAGCCATTTATCAAGATACCTTAGACTCGATAGATCGTTGATGAGACTATCTCGGCGTTCTTGTCCGCTGGCGATCCCCTTCTTGTCGCCTAATCCTCGAGTCGTGATTCCATACTGTGACTGACGCCCTTATCTCCTCGCCTACTTCCTGGTCCTCCGGAGGTCCCTGGGAAATGTGATTGCCTACAATCTGCCAAGCCAGTGGCGATGCACTTCCTCATTTACCCCCTGGAGTGACGAGAGATGGAGCGCGAGTTTGATGGCCGCTATCTACTAGGATTCCGTCAAGGCGACGACATCGGCTGCAGATGGTGTCCAACGCCCAGCTCTTCACGGCAACCCGGTCGGCTTCTGGACCCCTGCAGATGGACTATGGCCTGCAGTGACACGGCTTGAATTAGAAAAACCTAATCCATTTCATAATAGGGAAAGTAAGACGAACGCTGTCCTCTGCAAGACACAGGTCAAATCTTAGGCAGACGAAGAATCTGGAACTCGCTTCGCGCGGCTTGGATCATCATGCAGAAACGCTAAACATGCACATGCAACCTGTCCCAAGACAATAAAATACGCTATCAGGATACCTCATTGCGACGCAAACTCAAGACGCATTTGTTATTACGCATCCACGATGGAGCCAGGGTAAATCATAGCAAATAATCATTCAACATCATATACACAAAAGGAAATTCGTTGTTGGCAGTGGGAACGATGAGCGCACAAATTTTGAAACAGACTCCATACACTTATCATTCATCCCTTACGCCAGGTCATGCATCTCATGCCATCTGTCGTGCGTTGTTTCTTCTGTGGGTCGTGCGTATCTGGATATACATGTAGGGAGGATGGACTGGAGTTTTTTGAAAGAATCGTATCGAGGAAAAGAAAAGGGGAAACGAGTGGAGAGATCAGACGCAATGGAAAGGGCATTCACATCATCATCCGATACACCAGGTCCGAAGCAAGCTCGGTGGTGGTGTCCAACAAGGCACGGAAGCCCCGCGCTGAAGGCTTCAATGGCTTGCTCGACGGATCTACTGGCGGAGAGTAGGCCGCCAAATCGCGCACCTTGCAGGCAGCAAAGTGCACGACCAGCTTCCGTAGCTCGTTATCCCGCAGCTGTGTCGCGGACGTGGGGGTGATCGGCTCCAGGCGAGTAGTCTTGGTGTACGTGTAATGCAGGAGATCAAGGACCTTTCTGGCCTTGGTGGTGTTGAGGCTATGCTGCTCCTCGTCCTCGTTCTCGATGCTCGATTCCGCGAATCCCAGGTACAGCAGGTCGCGATGGAGCTTGCGAAGACAGAGCTGGGCCAGCGCAGGGATCAGGTATCGGGTTGCAAAGACGTACAGCTTGGCATGGAAGACCAGGTATGGCAGCTCAAACGGGGACCGGGCAGACATGACACTTGGAGGCCTCGTCACGGAGCAAGAGCGGGGGTCGACGTAGTCGATGGCTGAGAACTCATCCCAGAGACTGGTTCCTTTTTCATTCATCCGGGAGTACTGCTGCCTGGCGAAAGAGGTGTCGATCATCGGACCCGTCTGTCGTCTGGTCGTGGCCCCCGGGTGCTCTTTGGACTCTTCACTCTCCTTCTGCTGTGTCTCTTCCTTCTGTTCATTGTTGTCCTGTTTGCCAGGAACGTCTGCCCCATCTTCTGGAGGCGTAGGCGCAGGGTGCTCCCAGCTTTCGGTAGGCGATGATGTCGCTACCGCAGTATCAGCTGGCTCCGCAGCAGGAGGTGCCTCTACGGTCTCAGGAGCTGGGGTGGCATCCTCAGACACTGCGTTGGCTTCAGAAGAAGGATTGGCGGCTTCCTCTTCCGGCTTCGAGTTCTGGGGAGGTGGCGTGGATGGAGGAGTCAGGTTGGGCGCGGCCTCCTCTGCAGCACCTCCCTTCTTCTTTTTCTTGTCCTTCTTGTTCTTTTTACCTTTCTTTCCCTTGGATGTATCATCCCCAATGGCGTCCCATCCATCGCCATCATTCTGCTCTGCAGCGGGGGTGGGAGGAGGCTGCTCGCTTGCCTCTTTCGTCGCAGGTGCTGGTTCTTGGGTTGGCTCATCATCAGCAATGGCACACTCCCAGTCATCATCCTTGCCCGGGAAACTGTGCTCCACTACAGCGGGCCTGTGCTCTTCGTCCGGACGACTCCACCCATCATCGAGAGACTTTTCGTGGTCGTCCCCATGGGGTTGGTCGACCGGTCGACCAGGGGGTGTCGGGGCCCGCGGAGGAATGGCTGCTGGGCTGGAAGGATCGTTGGAGAAGACACCGCGAAAGGGATTGTCCACGGCCTGTTCCTCACGGTCCTCTTCGCGCGACCCCGGGGGTGGCACACGGTAGTCGCCGGTATAGGCGTACTCGCAGAAGGCGACGAAAGTTTCGACATCATACTCTTCCAGAACAGCGATATGGTGCTTCGACTCGCGGGTCTCCCCACTGTTCATGAGATGGTCGAGTGGCTGGGAGACATGACGGGCGAGGCCGGACTGGATGGTAAGCTTGGTGTGGTTGGGGCCGACCAGAAAAGTAAATGGCGGTGAATGGACGATGCTGTATCCATCCAGAGCGTGGTCAGTGGCAGCACTGTGGTGGTTGGCATGAAGCAGAGATAGGAAAAAAATATTCAATCGCAGAGCCGGACAAAACGGAGTGAGTCATTCGAGAGAAATCGCAATGGCTAGAATTCCAATTCTGGTCACGATTGAAGGTCTGCACTCACCTACTAAAGTCCCGATCAGACTCCATTGGCGAAATCTGTTGCATTCCTTGCGACTACAACGAGAATTGACTGGAAAGCAGAAAAAAGCGCCGACAGGCAGACGGACTCAGATTGTGATTAATATATGCGATCCTCCAATACTCCTGACTGTCCGCGCCGAGCTCTCCACTCATACATGCGCCCTGAAATTTTTCCCCTCCGGGTGTCTAGTCCCTACGCCAAAGCAGCTATAGGCGCAGGAGCCGACCAACTGGGTCAAGGCAGTCTGCTACGTGTGCATCGCTAACGGGTTTCGGAGTGGGTTGACCGCCAGCTTCTGCGATGCCAGCCAACGGCCCGTTCAGTTCGTCTTATCGCGACCACCAGGTGATGCATGGGCGTCGCTAGCCAGAGATCAGCGTAGTCGGACTGGCTGAACCTTATAGCGATATTCCCTAACCCTGGGTGTAGCATATGTATCCTGCACGCGCTGCAGTAGAGGGGAGTCGATAGATTGGTGATGGGAAAATGCCCGTTGATCCTCGTGCCCAACCAGACGCTCGCCCTCAATACTACAACATCTCACACGAGACAGATTCTGCTCTTCAGCGGCAATGAAACCAACCATAGGAGTCACGGGATGGCTGGGATGGTTCGCATTCCCCACTAACGAGGCCAATCCTTGCCCATGTGCGGGCATTGGTGTTGTACTGCTGGTTCCAGTCATGTTGTTGCCCGATGGGAAGCCTTTTCCCTCCCAGCCTCTTAGGGACCCAACGGCGGTCAGCTCATTGGCGTAGAACTTCAATTTCGGTAGTGGGGGTGGTTGGAGTGCATGGTCAAGTGACTATTTTTGTCTTTTCTTATTAATTGAAAGGACTCCATAAGTCTGTAGTTGGCAGGTTCAGTTAATAGTATCCAAGTGTGATCAAGATAGTAGTAGTATTGTTAAAGTTCTTAAGACGCTGGATGTGCGGATGCGTGCCCTAATTCGCAAAACCGCAAACTTCCGATAGTACTTTACAGCATCAAAATATATACTTATTGAAACTGGTTTCAAGTCATTCAACCAATAAAGGTATACTCCGTATGGAAATAACTCTATAAAAAGATCACAACTGTGGACCCTCGCGGAAATTTATCCACCACGGACTATATCAGTACAATCAGTAGTTAACTAGTCCCTTGCTGAAGTGACAGCTAAAGACTCCACTGACAGCACGCCGACCACGAGAGGAACTATATTATAGCTGCTTAACAACTCACAACATATGACTGACTACGATGATGTCCAATTATCATTATAGTAATAATCTACAGCATTACAGCAATATTTTTTTTTCTCCCATTGATGGTAGTTTAGTAACTCATAGTTTATGTATAAAGATAGTAGTTGTTCAAGAGCGGAAAAGTCCAATTGTTTCCTCATTCTATCGTCAAACCTCTATAAGATCATAAAGATATGAGTGGTATCTCTATACATATAACCAATATCATACAATCTATCCCCTATCCCAAAGACCATGATTCAATCAATGAACCAACCTAATCTCCCTATTCCCCGGCTCCCACTCCCTCAACCCCTCCCCAACACTATACCAAAACCTCAACCTGACACACTCCCTCCTCGCCAACTCAATATCTCCTTTATCAAACGCCTCACCAAGAACCCTCACACACTCCTCCACCCTCCCCTGATTCTCCACCTTCAACTCATTAATTTTCTCCTCCGCAGCCGCAGCATCCTCCCCAGAATCCGTCACCTCCTCAATCGTCTCCTGCACCTCCATCACCTCCATCAACGTCTCCGCATCCAGCGCATGCTTCGACGCCCCGTCCTCCGCCGTGACATCTATCCCGTGCATCTCACGCAGGAGATACTGCGCCCGTTGCAGCGGGTCCAGCAGCGTGCGGTATGCTTCGTTGATGCGCGCGGATAATGCCTCCGCTTGCTGCTTCTGTGGGCCCTGCGGGTATTTGTCCGGGTGGATGAGGGATTGCCAGCGGAGGAACTCGCGGCGGAGGTCGGCCGTTGGGATGCTGAAGGGTGAGGACGGGGGTGGGCCTGCGGGCAGGGTTTGTTTGAAGATCGTGTAGTGGTTTGTTATGTCTGGGGTTGTTTGGGTGTCGTTGGGAGGTGTTGTAGTAGTTGTGGAGGCGAGGCGGAAGGTATTGATTGTTGTTGTTGTTGGTGGTGATGATGGCGATGATAGTAGAGATGAAGGATGCTGCTGCTGTAGGGAGGATGTGCGGGGGGATGCGCGGGCTTGAAGGACGCCTGTGCGGGCAAACCGCGATGCAAGACGGCTGTTTCGTAGCATTGTGTGCTTTACACAGGTAGCTGCGAGGTGTATGGGTTTCGTTGAATTTGGTAGTTGTTGGAAAGAAGATGCTCGGACTCGGAGATGACGGTTGTGATGGATTGTCGGATTTGCCTCGGATTTGCCTGGGCGGTGTGAGGTAATTTCCGGCAGAATGGAGTGGCGGTTGTAGATAGGTCATGTGACTATGATGTTATGTGATTCACCGCTTTCTATTTGAGATTAGGAGACGACTAGGTATCGTAAAGCTAGGCTGGATGACGAACAGCCTAGTGAAGAAGAAATAGTGATGATAGGAAGTATATTCCCTGTATGTCTGAGGTTGTGAATCGTATGCTAGTCGACAGTGCAGAGTTACTTCATCTTCACCGCTGTACCCGCTTACGAAGGACTCCGCAAAGTGCAATTCATGGGCAGTCATTATCACTTGATTCTTCTATAGTACATGTACATCATTCAATCCCCCAGAGCTTCACCGTTCGGTCATGTCCGCAGCTGGCAATCCACTGCGCATCGGCGCTGATGTCTGTGCTGAGGACATTGCCCGCATGTCCACTCAACGTCTTCACCAACGACCAGTCATCTGCGCTAAAGATATTCACGTTCTTGTCGAAGCCACTGCTCACGAAGAAGGTGCCCGACTTCTTCGGCTGCACAGGCGCAGGAGCTTCATCCGTTGGCGTGGCCCCGTCAACATCCATGCGGCCCTCCGCAGAGGGAAGAAATGAGTCCGACTCCGCGCCCTTATACCAACGGAGATCAGACACCACGCTCTTATGCGCTCCAATGCCACCGCTATTCCGAACTTGACGCAAGTCCCAGCACTTGACCCAACCATCGCCCGAACCGGACAACACTCGATAGCCATCCACGCCCCAATCCATACCGAAGATTTCCCGAATATGCCCCTCCAGAATCATGACCGTGCGGCCCGTCCGGAGATCCCAAATTCGTCCGATACTGTCCAATCCGCCACTCGCCAGGAGCGAGCCGTCGTTGTTGAATGCGACTGTGTAGACCTCACGGGAATGACCTTCTTGCAACAAGAGCTCGGCCGTAGTTTCCACGTCCCACAGCCGCCAGGTGGTATCGTAAGAAGCGGAGGCAACATATCGACCCGATGGGTGGAACTCGGTCCGGCAGACACGGCCGCTGTGGCCAGACAGCGTCGCCAAGGGCTGGTCCTTGTCTAGAGACCACAAACGAACATTTCCTTCACCTCCTCCCGACACTAGATTCACCGTCGACTCCGAAACATTCGATGTAGGCAACGTAGCTCCGGGGAACCATGAAAGCCCACCGACTCGATCATTATGTGCCTGGAGTGACAGCTTCTCTTCAAGGTTGGGCACTGTAAGCAAGCGGATGCCACCGCCCCAGTTACCGGTCGCGATAGTTTGCCCGTCGGGGGAGAACCGACAGATACTGACAGGGCGGTCGCCCGCAATCTGGGACCCGTACAGATCGAAGTTATGTAGCTTTTCCTTGATCGCCTTTCGATGCTTGATATGCGTCCGTAGAGGTATTGTCGATTCCTCTCTCAGTCGGGCCACGCGCGCCTTTGCGCGAGGTAGCGAGAAACGCGCAATGTCCTTCCGGGCTTGCAAGAGCTCATTGGTGCCCTCCGTATAGAATTCCTCCTGCTGCTCTGCCTCCTCTTCAGCTTCGTCCCCTTCGCCCATAGCCTCCATCATCTCAACATCGCCCTCTGCCGCCGCCGCTTCTTGTCGTTCTGCCAGATCGGTCAACAATTCCCGTAGTCGGTCTCTCCGGTCTGCAGGGCCTTCTCCAAACAGTGTAATCGGTTCGCCCAGTTCGCGTAGTCGTGCGCGCACCCGGCCATCATCCGTCGGAACCGCCATGGCTGCGGCTCTTCGCTTCCTTTCAAACTGTGACAAGATGGCTGACGCTCTTTCGGGCGGAATGCCCGCCGCGGCGGAGGGGAGGTCATAATTGCGGTCGACGGCTAAACAGATTGAAAATAAGTAACTGATACGGTATATATGACATAGCGACGTAGGATCTCGGTAGAGGCGCAATACTTACGGATGTTCGCCAAGTCAATGCCCATGTCCGTGTCCTGGAACCGACGTCAGAATATGCATAGTCAACAGAGGATTCCCCCGGCGCTTTTCTATCCAAGCACCAGGAGAAAACAGATGAAGGGAAAAAACAATCGCTCACCTCAGCTTCCTCCACGTACGCCTGTCTCGACGGGTGCATCATGATGGGCGCAGAGAGTGGGGGGTGCGCAGATACTCCGACAGTTTAGATCCGACAAGAACGGTCACAGATGATTTGTTTGAGTGGGATCGGATATTGACACGGTTATCCAAAAGATATCCGTCCAGCGCGCAAGTCAGAAGAGAAGCTGGGACAGTAGGAGGATTGGTGTTGGAATGGAAGATGAAGGAGTGAAAGACAAGCGGAGGCCGAAAAGCAGCAAAACGGCGGCACTTTTGCTTTCCTTCTGGATTTCTTCTGGCAGCCCGAAAAAGGCGGCATCCACCTTTCGATCGCACCACCCTCGCCTCTCGTGGCTGTCTATCCTCTCTTTGCTCTGTTCTGGCTGTTTGCCTTGCACGGTGACACTAGCACGCACGATGACGACCACGCCTTTAACTTCTACTACCCAACCCAGCGGTGTGCTGATTCGGTGAGTTTTAAGTCCGTGGTTGTACTCTGAGCTGCTCCGCGCCCGGAATATCTACGACTCTTCTAATTCTCCCATATGCCATTCGGCATCCCCTCTACCTTCCTACGTCAATTCCTCCTTCCTTTCTCTAATCAGAAAAGCAACCGGCAACTAATCACCGATCAGCTTAGACAATTCCCCGATCTGCTTATCCGAGAATCCTCGCCCTCCTCGATGCTCGCGGAGGCGGTCGATGACGCCAGGCGGTCGGGAGTCCCGTTCGGCCCAGCAACCTGAAATTTCCAGCCTGGATCGCTTCGTCTCTCTCCTTCGCCTGGCCTCACATAATCCCCGAACTTTTCTGATCAGCCGGCCTTCTCTGGCCCTGTCGTGACCTCTCCACTCTTTCAATTCCTCGGCGGCTGTCTGGCTCGCCATTTCGCATGCTCCCCCGGCGTCCCTGCTCCATCCCGACCAACTTCCTGTTCCTGCTGGCACAGACAGGATTTCAAGGTGACGATCCGGTCCTTCGCTGATGATCGCACTGGCTTCTTCCGGTAGAGCCTGCAGTGCAGCCTGCAGTAGCCTACACACCGTTGTTAGGGACGGCTTCTTGGCCTCTGTCTCGGCTCCGAAATCCTCTGGTCTCCGATACCCCCTCGTCTCCTCCCTCGCCTCAACATCTCGTTCCCCGCGATTCTCCCGCCGTGCCTTTCATTCCACGTCGCCATTAGACTCGGCGACTTCGCGAATCTCATATCGAGTGGCTGCGTCCTCATCCGGCAAAGGCCGCCGGTTCCATCCGGCCAAAAACACCTACAATTTCACCCCCGACGTCCACGAAGCCATTGGGGTCGCAACAGACACAGAGAACAAGGCGCTCCGGCGACAGAGGAGGCCTGACAGTGGTGAAGATGCGTTCTTCGTGAGCAGAGTCGGAAGTAAGGACTCTGGCGCAGTAGCCTTTGCAGTCGCCGACGGTGTGGGTGGCTGGGCCGAGTCGCGCGTCGATCCAGCAGACTTCTCGCATGCGCTATGTGGCTACATGGCTCAATCGGCCATATCCTGGGAGTCGCCCGTCGAAGAACTACGGGCGAAGAACCTTCTCCAGACTGGATACGATCAAGTCGTAGCAGATGAGACAATCCGAGCCGGAGGCAGTACCGCGTCAGTCGGCGTGGCATATCCAGACGGACGAATCGAGCTGGCCAACTTGGGCGACTCGGGCTCGGTCCTCCTTCGCCTTGCGGCGGTCCACCATTACACCGTCCCGCAAACCCACGGCTTCAATACTCCGTACCAACTCAGCATCATTCCGCCGCGCATGCGCGCTCAAGCGTCCATATTCGGCGGTGCCTTCCTCGAGGACTTCCCGCGCGATGCGGCCGTCACCAACCTCCACATGCAACACGGCGATGTCCTCATTCTAGCCACTGACGGTGTTTTCGACAACCTCAACAACCAAGATATGCTCAAGCTCGTCACGAGTCGCATGGTTCTCACGGGCGCCTGGACTGCCGACCCCGACGCTGGCATCCGTCCTTCGGAGGATCTCAAACAATTAACCAGCCCAGAGGGCTTGTCCTCTTTGCTTCCTACGCCACCATCCTCACCCTCCTCCGACCCCGACTCCCCGAAATCATCCTCCCCCAGCACGCGCCAGCAGACATACACACTCCAATCCCTCATTGCCGCCACGATCGCCGGCGAGGCCAAATTGGCCAGCATGGACATGCGTCGTGACGGACCTTTCGCCAAGGAAGCCCAACGCTACTATCCAGGCGACTGGTACCGCGGCGGGAAAGTCGACGATATCAGTGTGATCGCCGTAGTTGCCGTGGACGAGGGATACTCAGGGTGATGAGAGATCTTTCTGAGAAAGCGAGGCTTCTCAGCTTCCAGTATAATATTTTTTTTTCTCTTTCTCTTCCTCTTGACTTTTAATTCATAAACGATCTCCATGCACATGCCCATGCATGCACTTTCATGCCGATACCTATACCTATACCTCTTCTATACCTATACTTCTGTTTGGACTACGTCATTTATATATTTACACACAGGGGCACGCTGTTGTACCTTTCCTTTCCCATTTTTTCCCCCCTTCAACTCATTAGGTATCTCTTTTCTTTTCCTTATTGGTATTGGATAGGGTTATTTGTATTGGTAAAATCAGGTAGAGACGGCAAGCAACATATAGAATATTTCTGATAGACTTGACAAACTTATACTTCCATCTGAACTGTGTAACTACATAGAAAAAGATAAAAGAATTTACCATGAACTTAGATCATTACATGCAGTGGCTTCCTTAATTGAACATCAAATAGAGAACTACGGATACTATCCTGTCTTTAAATAATACTGTAGCTACAACTTGCGTCCTACTTACTTGACCTATTTTCGAATCGCACCGCAACATACTGAATAGTACTACTAGATACTTCACTACGAACGAAAGATAGTAAAAGCTCGGAGATATAAATCCTTAGATACTAGATAAATAAATCGAGAAAACAACAACTCCTCAACCCGCATCCACCACATAAATACTACTCAGCAGGATAGCACAAGCGGGTAAATTAAAAGAAAATGGGACAATAACAGGAACAGAAAGGAGCATAATAAGCATGAGTATACAATTTCGATCATCCTTCGCGAGCTGACAGAAAAGAACAAGCAACAAGCAACAACAGTACCTGGTAATTAAGCATCGATAAATAAATTGATAGATGATATAACCCCCCTTTTCAAGATCGAGGAAAATAGAGTGGGGATGTTTTGGGTTAGAGTGGGGTTATAAGGGTTGAGGTAAGGTGAGGTGATTCGAAAGGACAGAGTCTTCTTGCTCGTCAATTCCTACTCCTTGAAATCGGGCATACTGGGTATGGTTCTTGGAATGGGGGTGGTGGTCATTTTGAGGAGGGTAAGGAGAATTGGGGTCATCTGGCGTACTTGGTTCTTTTTCTCACTTCCATCTGATAAAAAGAACATCTCTTTGTCCAATTCCACTATCAAGAAGATGGACATGGATGGATGTACAGATGGTAGTAGAGGTAAAGGAAGCAATGGTGAGCTTTCCATGATAAAAAGGTAAGGTGTTCAACGACGCTTGCATGTATTTGACCTTTTCCAGCTTCGTGAATTGATTCCAAGAGTAAGGAAGAAAAGGGGGATTTGGTTGGATTGGATAGTAAGAAAAAGAAGAAACAAGACGACGCAGAGAGGAGTCACAACACAGGCCTATAAACTTGAAGGCAAGTAAACAAAACGCCACAATCAATGTGGGTGGTAACAACGGCAAGCAACTTCCATCAGCATCACCTTTATGCTGCCGTTTCCACTGGCTTCTCTTCTGTCTTCTCAGCATCAGCCTTTTCCTCCGTTGCCTTGTCCTCGGTTGGCTTCTCCTCCGCTGTCTTCTCTGTCGTAGCCTCTTCGGTCTTGGGAGCTTCCTTCTCAGTCTCCTCCGTAGCCGGCTCAGGGGCTTGTGGCTTCTCTGCTGCATCAGCATCAGGCATGGGCTCATCCTGCGGCTCCGCAGTGTCAGCCTTGCTCTCCTTGGTATCATCCTCCTTCTCGTTCTCGGTGTCACCCTTAGCGGGCGTCTCGACGCTGCTCTCCTTGTGGACACCGTTGGCCTTGGGCTTGTCCTCCTTCTCCTTGTCATCCGAGGGTCCGGTGGCGTCCGCATCCAGCAGGTTCTTCCACTTGGACAGAATGCTCATCGCACGTGCCCGGAATTGGAATTCCTCGTCGCGAGGGATGGAGCTGAGCTTGACGATCATCTTCAAGACCTTGTTGATCTTCGTGGCACGGATAATCGAGACTTCAAGATCGGTGTGCTTTTCAAGTTTGCCGAAGAAGTTGTCCATGTGATTCATTTCTTCCTCCTTGGGGGGTTGGTCGCGAGAGATGAATCCCTTTTGGAGCTTGTGACGTATGAAGAGAACTGTTCATTGTTAGCACATCAACACGTTCGTAGGCATAAGCCATCAAGTCGGGTTCACACATACTCTCTTTCTCCTTCTTGTCCTTGGCTTCCTCCTGAGTCATCTTCTTCTCGGGCTCCTTGGATTCGGCGCGAGACTCCTCTCCATCGTCACTGGCAGCAGCCTTAGCGGCCTTCTTGCTGCTTGCGGTCTGCTTACCCTTGGAAGCAGGGGCCTTCTTTCCAGATTCACTGGCCGGAGTCTTGGGGGTAGTCAACTTCAATTTCGTGGTGGTTTTGGGAGTCTTCGCAGGCTAGACGGGAAAAAAGTCAGCTCCAAAATCTCATCCGAGTGCAGCAAGACGGCTCTCTCCTACCTTCTCATCGCTCTGGGCCTCAGAGTCGTTGTCCTTCTTGCGCTTCTTGGTGCTCTTGGACTTCTTCGTGTCCTCATCGGCATCGTCCATGTCGACATCGTCATCGACTACCTCCATGCTCTTGCGCTTGTTTTTCTTGGCCTCCCTCTCTGCCTTGGCGGCGGCCTTGGCAGCTGCCTGGGCCTCCCTCTCTTCGATCTCCTGCTCCAGAGCACGCTGGTGATCTGCCAGCAGGTCCTTGAAGTGCTGAAGGTCATGGCCCTCAGCACCCACAGCATACGCAGCCAAGAGGGTTTTCGACTTGCCCTTCTCCGACACCTCCTTGCAGCCAGCAGCATCGATAGGGGTCAGATCGGTGTTGGGGATCCACGCGCTATGCCCTTCGTTAGCCAACAGGATGTCGCAAGCTTCTTTCGAGCTCAATGTAATGCTACTCACAATTCATTCGTCTCAAAGAACATAACGGGGAAGGTCCGCTCGTGAGCGCGTTTGCCACCATCGGCGTAGTCCTCCCTGTAGGTTCCGTCGGGGCGCTGAGCCGTCACGGGACGCGTGTTCAATAGAGTCTGAGGAAGCATTTCCTCGTCGCAGATGATGGAGGGCCATGGGGGGAAACTTCTGAGACGCGCCAGGTAGTACTCGCCGGGCTGTGCGTTCAAATGTGTGGTACGGATCTGGGACTTCTTTCTGCTCAGCTTAGACTTGTGCTCGGGCACGGTGCCAGTCGATTTCCGCTTCGCGGCGCCAGACTTCTTAGCGGATGCGGGTGTTCCGTTGGCCTCCGATGCTGGTGCGGCTTCGGGCTCTGCAGGCGCGGCCGCACTCTCCTCGGGCTTCTTCGCGTCGGCAGACTCAGCGGGTGCGCTCGATTCCTCGGCCTCTGCTGAGGCGGGCTCTTTCTTCTCCTCTTCAGTGGCAGTTTCGGTCGCTGGTAAGCACGCGGCAGAGAGATTAGCGAGCGCCACTAGGCATGGCTCACACCCCGGTAGACATGGCCGCGACGAGAGGATAGGAAGTGGTGTTGGGGGGTAGCTTACCAGATGGCTTGTCCTCAGGACCATTGGTCTGCTGCTCTTCCTTCTCCTTGGAAGGCTCTTGCGCAGACTCAGCAGCAGCGGGCTGAGCATCAGCGGGAGCGCGTTCGACGGACGGCTCACCAGCGTCGGGGGCGGGCGCCGAGGCAGCAGGGGTATCCTCGGCCATGATGCGCAATCGGAAGTCGGAATTTAATCAGGAGGGGGGAGGGAATGGAAGGAGGATGCGAAGGAGAAGAGGATAAGCGAAGCCTTCTGATGAGATCAAGGTTGGGTGGGGGGAAGGTTCAAGGGGATGGGTAATGCGGTGGAAGGAGGAGGAGGAGAGTGAGAGAGAGAGAGTTGAGAGCGAGCGAGCGAGAGGTGGTGGTGGAGAAGGTCGCGACGCCGGGAGGCGGGAAGTCGACAACGCGTAGCACTTCTTGGGGTGGGAAAGCAAAGCGGCGCTGCGCCCAGTCCGTAAATGACGCAAACGCTTCAACGACAAAGAGACAAATTGATAACACTCAACCACCACGACTGGTCTCAACAAGTAACACTGGCTTCCTGGAGCTGTCCCCAAAAACCCTTGTATTAGCGACTGGGCAGGAGGGGGATCCTATCACGGCAGACCGCTGTGTCGTGTCTCGGAGCGCTTGTGGCAACTGTAAGACAGAGCTTCCAATAGGGGAGTCGTTGCTGAGAATCGTGGCGTTTCTCCCAGACGTAGAATCGATGGATGAATCCGATCCGGTCCCGTCAATAACACTGCGATGCAGGGACGCCTGTGGTGATGGATTGATGATGAGGGTGATGCTGCCAATGGACCGTGACGCGAAAACTCCCCGGCGATTGACGATCCTCCAACAGCCGGAAACGCGAAGTCGCTGCTGCTGCTGCTCAACAACAAAATCGAGCTTTCAAAAGCAGGAAAGAAACGGCCAAGGGGCTATTCAGAAGCTGGCGACAGTAGAATCGTAGTGATGGACACCCACGAATGGTCGCAAGTTTACTCGTCCGGTTGGATCACCGAGACAGCGAGTATCACGGACAATTCAAGAGACGTATGAGACCTTGATTGGAGTTGACAAGTACTTCTCGTTGAGACACAACCTGTTCAAGGCTTTAGTATCTTCTTTGCCAAAAAAAATTATACGAATCGCAGACTCACCTGGAGCTAGCAGTCCAGTCGCGCACCGCCGAATCCGATCAACTAGTTGAAGATGTTTGAGGAACACCAGAAACCCCGCGGTCGCAAGGATCTGCAAGATTCGGACCAGGAGGTGAAAGCAGGTGAGCAAGCAAGTATGCCGGAACCAAATCTCACCCGGAATCGATACTGGGACTTGGAGAGGGTAGAGTCGATGGGTGAAGAGTAAGTAGGGGTGATGATGAGAAAGCGTCTCTAGTTGTTTGGTCGGGGAACAAGGCAACAAGAGGGAAAGACGGATGGTGACGCCAGGAGAAGAGTTCCCTCGCTGGCTGCCAAACCAGCCATCCTAAATCTATCCCCAGTACAACACTCAACTCCCTTTTCCCCCACTTCCGCATCGATTCTACAAGGCCTATTCGGAGATTCTTGCTCGTTCTATTGACTCCGTGCGATAAATGGGCGGGACAATGAGCCTAGCAAGTTGTTCCCCATCTACAACACCAGCCCGGCATGGTCGAGTCAGTACCACCCAAGTAACACTGACAACTGATACCTAGTTTATCCCCTCATCGTGTGCTACAAGCAGAATTTTAAATGACTCCCCCATCTTCTTCCTTCCCAGCCACCTGGAGTGTATCTTCGTGTTATTCTTTTCTGGCGTTCATGCATCCTATTCACCCCCGCTTTCCGGCTTCATTCGTCTCTAGTTCTAATTCATAGCAATCAGCCCGGTTTGAGCACGATGCTGGACTTACGCCAAGGGAAGAGAGTCCTCCAGAACCTTTCATCAGGTTGAGTAGAGATAAATTAAATGCATTGTCTTTGACCAAAGCAGGTCGCCATATACACGGTAGGGGTTCGGAGCATATGGATGATCGAGGGAAAGTAGGCACGAAACAGTAAGGATAGTACGGCCCCAACGACCGACCGGCGGTGCCATCAATGTAATTAATACAGATCAGAGTCATGACAGGTTCATAAACGAGGTGAGAAGGCAGTTCCACAAGGGTATCATGCAAGTCCACGGTATATATGTAGGAAGACGAGCTACTCTTTTAAGGCGCGCAAACTCGCTCACCAAGGAAGGGAAGTATGTTCAGGCGATCCCTCATCATCAATCCAGCCATCAATCCCTTCCAGCTCATCCATCGCGGTCGGCACTGGCTTATGGATACGAAGGGCCCAAAGGAAGTAATCTTCCAGGGGAAGCAAGTTCAGCAGGATGCCGTTGAATTTCCACCCAAGAGCACACACCGTGGCACCGGCAACAGCGTCCAGAATGAAATGGTTCGCAGTCGCAACAATGGCGGCCAGGATGACAAATGGATAGGCGAAACCCATGGCCAGGCAGACGAGTCGGCGCCATGACGGAACCTGCAGCCCGACAGAGCCAATCGTTATGCGCGAGCGCCGACGATGATGTGGCGGCAGCGGTATGGTCATGATCGTGAGACCAATCATCAGAGAGTAGCCGAAATGCAAGGAGGGCATGGCGGCTGTGGTAGTCTTGGTCAGCGGTCTCCTTTCCTAAGTTGTTCTCGGAACGAATACTCACCGTATTGATTGCAGAAGCGGTTTTCAGTCCAAACGCTGCCTGCACCGTTGACGCCATGCACCGTATCCACAAAGCCATAGCTACGACCCCGAGCTGCATCAGGACCCTGCGCGTCCTTGTCGCTCAACAGTCGAGGTGGCATGCAGGGCCACAAAGTAAATACCACGAACGCAAGCAGATTGCACACGGCAAGTGTCCGACGACGAGCTTGATAGAGGCGCGGGCCTGCGGGCGAGCCACTCATGAATCCACGAGGCTTACCAGGCTGCGACTCATCGTAACGGTTTCTAGTGGTCGTATAGTAGTAGAGCCAGACTAGGAAGGCAATGGTGCCTGGGATATGAATGAAGGAGTAAATCCAATTTGTCCACATCATGAGTGTCGTGTGCCGGAGGAAGAACCGTTGGATAGGAACCTCCAAGAACAACCCCAGCGCCTCTTCAACCTGTATCAGCTGTAGCGCATGCTTCCTCGCCACATCGACAGTGCCTTCTTGCAGCGTAACGGCAGTAAATGCTCGACCTAATTGGTATGTCTATGTCATAGAATTAGCGGTTGCCACATAGAAGCCTGAAGAACAAGTAGTTGTTGTTGTGGGCTCGAGTAAAGCAAGTGTAGGAAACACGAGGTTTGAAAGTCATACCCAGTACACTAGCGCCCAGTACCAGCATTCAACTAAGAAAGGGAACTTCCGTAAGAGACGACTAAGCAGGCGATCTTGGAAGACAATGGTGTTGGGAGAGGTGACCTCGAAGGTCGACGAAAAGAAGCCCAGCTGCCTCTTGCGCCACCGACTCTGGCCATCTTGTAAGAGTGCCGATGAAGATGAGGACAATCGACGAGACAAGAGCCCGTCCTTTGCGGTTGGTGTGGACAGTCCGGAATCTGTCGCATCAGGAGAGGCGCCACGTGAAGGGATGCTGGATCTGCGGCGGGTTCTGCGTGTAGGGAAAGATCCTGTTGTTCGGTTGATCCAAGTACCTCCAAAGAGAAGGACGATGACCGTCAGAGGCTCAAGGAACGCTCCTACTCCCATGATGGTGACCTCCTCAGGGTGGAAAATAAATGCGTTATACCGGGGGAGGAGGGAGTAGTCGACTGTATGGAAAGGAAAAGAGAACCAAGGGCGAGGATTAATACTAATGAAGTACAAAAAGGCCAAGCAGCTCCAAGATTCCAAGATGGAATGCTGCGGGGCAAGCTAGAAAGAGTGAAGCACGGAGAGACAAGGCTTGGAGAACCGCGAGAGCATCGTCAGGTTAGCGAAGCCAACCAGACAACAAACCGGTAGGAAGGAAGGGCGGGCTGAATTATCCCGCCTAATAGCTTGAATTAGTAGCGTGAAGTATTCGTCTGAGATGGGCAGCAGTGGGGGGCGGCACTTATGTACCTTACGCAGTGCAACCTAGTAGCAGATGGTACTAGTAGGAACTTGCTTGCGTCTTTGGGGGGGTGTGGGTTTAGTAGATAATCATTAGTTGATTAGTTGATTTAGTTGATTAGTATGATTTGTTAGTTAGGTAGGTAGGCAGGCAGGTAGGTAGGTAGGTCCTGGTAAGTAAGTAGGTACAGGAGAAAAGAAGAGGGTCTCAGCCCAGCCTGACCAGCTTGGCTGTAGAAATAGTCCAGTACCAAAAAAGCAGCAGACATGTAACCAGTGCAAACCACCGAACCTGAGTGGGCAGCAAAATAATCCCACCAAAGTGGGTTTCACCGGTTCTTGGGTGTCTGACTTGGTTGATTTGCCAAATTTAGGCCCCGTTAGCATCGCATTTCCATGTCGTGATAATTAACACATGCTGGCGACTAAGCCAGCAAACCAAGGAACCACCCGTCCTGCCCAGAGAGAACGCCATCATCGGAGCTTCCGGATGCCGAACAAAACAAAGCCATCCGTGGGGGGGAAGAAGAGACAGAGAGAGACACAAGGGGACGGAGGGAGGGTCAAACATCCGCGTTCCAGCAATCATTCCAATTAATCTGACCTCCTATTTTGGACCTAGTAGATACTACTTCCACCCTGCTAGGATGTCTATTAGTAACGTAACTTATTGGGGGAATGCGTGAAGTCGCAAAGAAATTGCTTTGTCGGGGTCACCCAATTAGGCCCATTAAGGTTTGTCAAAGGTCGAGGAAGATCCACGAACATGGGTCCCTGCTCCCACTGGCGGTGACAACGAAAAAAAGTTGACCTACTACGTATTACTAGTATTTTATGGATGGTAAGGATCATTACCAGATTCGATCAGTCCGTTTCTCAGCCACTGCAGGCATTCTGCCCGTCGCGACCAGATGATCCTCGTCACATCTAGTATTGTTACCAAGCTTGTGTTGCCAGTCAGACCAGCTGGAGTCATTCTCATTGGTTGGATTAAAGATGTAAGCCGCATCCACTTCCCATTTCAGTAATTAACTGCCTACATCATTGCTCGCAAGCTAGTAAGTTTACGGAAAGACGTCACATGAGTCAGCGGAATGTTGGCCAGGATGGGCAAGAAAGCACGCTGCTCGAAACACGGCACGAAGAAAGTCTGCCGATATATAGAAGCAGAAGGAGATGAAAATACTGAAGTATCAATTGTTTTCAATTTATGTTGCCTATCTACGGAATTACTTAGGTTGCATTGAATATATGAAGAACATATATTTCCTCCCGGAGCCAAGGGCCTTTCCTCGATCGCGAATACGATGTAAGATACGACGTAAATACTGGCCCTACAAGGTCGAGGCTTTCCAGCCTTGTTCTCAGCGAGTCCACTTTCTGCTTGGCGATCCCAGTGAGCGGAATCTAGACTGGATATTGATTACTTCGTCGTCTGGTCCTGCTTTCTTTGTGGAAACCCCCCTGTTCTCCCCTTGGTTCCACGGTAATTGTCCTTGCTTTCTTCTCTTCCATGACCCTTGTCGGGTGGAAAGCCGAAACGCCTCCAGGATGTGCGATGACATCGTGACAGTCTTCCCCTGTATGTTTATCAAGCGCCTCAATTATCCGATCGACATTCGTATCTCTCCTAGAAACCCAAGGTTCCGAAGCCACTCCCGTATCATCACTACTCAATTCAGGCTGTACAAAATCATCATGGCAGGTTCCCGGTCCTAGTGTTAGCTCAATCACAGAGCTGGCGCATGATTTGCAACCCTTCCCGTCCCAACCACGGGATCATTTCCAAGGTAGGAGAAGTCCAGATGCATAAACTCGCATAAATCACATTATTATTAGTACTATGTAGTAGCGCCTAGCAACCAGGGACTTCGTATAGCTTCCGAAAGCTCCGCAGCGGTCGACAAACATCCGTTTCCGTGGTGCTAGTCTGTTCTCGTCCCATCCGCTTTAGTTGATCATTTGCCTTCATCATCATCAATCCACCCTGTGAGTTGAAGCGGGGTTACCACGTTCCGTGCACCGAAGTTGTCACTATTCTTAGTGATCCCACACTCAGTCCTGCGAGGCGGCTGGTGCGATCGTCCGTATACTTCATAAAGGGTGCAGAGTATTGTAGGCAATCACTTTTTGTTTCCTATTTAAACATCTAGTAATGTGCACGTGCTCCAATGAGCTGTCTTTTAAAGTGCTTGTAGGCAGACAGATAAGGAACCTACATGCAGTATATTGAGGCTGTGTGACGGTAGCCTTTTTGTTGACCCAACCAAAGTTTCAATACTTGACCAACCATCTAATTTCGTGTCTTGATGAGAAGCAACATGCGATTTTACTAAACTATAGGGGAATGAATATTATTATTTTTGTTATCAATCATCCTTCTCGGCGATCGGACGACTTCCGCTCCGTGCCAAGTGCCGACCCAAACCCCGCGTGCCTCCGAAGCTCCGTCGCCAATACTTTCCCTTCAAATGCTGCCCTGGAGAACTCTGCTGGGAGGGTCCTGTATCCATGGGTTCTAAATCACCGTTGCTGTATCGGTGTCTAGGCTGGGTGCTAGGAAGCTTGACTCAAATACTAATCATTCTACCTCGGCTCGGGAAGATCGTTGGATCATCCAACCAAAGCACCAACGTTTGTCTGTGTGCTCGTCTTTTCAAATGTGCCTAACAGGTACCTTATATCAATGGTTGTCAGCAACAAGGGATTCTTCCTTCGATTGACCTGATTCCTTGAGCAGTAACAATTCACTAACTGGATAGCTAATCAATGTGCGGACTCTCCAGATATCTAAAATGACGTCATTCGACGCGGGCTTTTGCCATCCTGATTTCATCGCCATTTACATTCATCCCAGAAAGTACCAATGAGTTTTGCCCTTCACGGCCAGTGAACACATAATGCTACTCAGGGGTACACAATAGTCCCGCAATAATTGAGAAGCACAGGTTCTTATCGCTTATTGATCGATACATCCTCCCAACAGTCAACCGACAGGGACCAATGGCTGTCACTCTCAACTCCACGTCTCAGCGATGAGCTATCCTTTACGTCAGTCTTCTGAGACTCCTGACATGACCGGATCTCGGTTGTCAAAGATTCACACATAGCTATATCTAAGGAATGGAAGCTTCTGATGTGCTCGGCCATCCAAAATCAGTCTTAATGGAAAACCATACATAGTGTCTTAATTACTCTGCTTGATACACTTATTGAGAGCATAAACCTAGTCTACATAATGTTTTCAACACTATCCCGAGTGGCCCCGGCCCCGTCGAGGAGCATCCTCCAGCATGCATCGCCGCAGATTCCCAAGGTTGCCACATTGACGGGAGCTTCGCGAGGGCTTTCTTCCACCCCTCCTAGTCAGAAAGAGGTCACATTGCTCCAAGACAAGAAGAATGGATTCGGATTCGCGCGGTCGAATCCTCGACCTCCGAAGCCACGAACGAAGGGGGTCACCGAAATCAGAGGCCCATACTATACTGTATGCGATGTCACCCCATGCAGCCTGACGAGAGTGCTCGCTCTAAAGCAGGGAACTGATCCGTAATCGTAGGTGATGGGTAAAAGATACTTGGCGGACGTGCTTGAGACGTGAGCAATGCCTACCACTCCTGCCACAGGACTGGGTTCTGACCAATGTTCAACAGGATGGGGACACATGTCGACGGCTTGAAGTTTGCAGGAGGTAAAACTACCGCCGGTCTGGCGAGACAAATAGAGGCGAATGCTGAACAGAGTTGCAGGATCGTTCTCTCTTTTTCCGGAGAAACCCTTGCGGGAACTGACTGACCTTGCTCATGACTACGGTGTCTATGTCTCGACTGTAAGACTCTTCCTCGCCAGCGTTCGAGTCTAAGCTTGCTAATGGTGGCTTCTGTATAGGGTGGATGGGCTGAACATCTACTCACTCACCCGGACGCAAATGCCGTCTTTGACAAATATCTCCGCAAGTGCAAGGACTTGGGGTACGGCTATTTCTATGACCATGCCTGCTTGGAAACCAGCTCATCTGACTTTTCTCTCCTACAGATTCGATGTGATTGAGCTTTCGTCCGGCTTCCTGTCCTTCCCCGAAGACGACTGGCTCCGACTCGTCGATAAGGTTCACTCGTACAAGCTAAAGGCGAAGCCCGAATTAGGGATCCAGTTCGGCGCTGGTGGTGACACTCCGGCGTCTGGCTTGGAGGCGATTGGCACTTCAGACCCAGCCAAGCTGGTGAACATGGGGCGCAAGTTCCTTGACGCGGGTGTCGAGCGCCTGATGATCGAATCAGAAGGGATCACCGAGAATGTGCAGTCATGGCGGACTGATGTGGTGTCCAAGATCATGAAGGAACTTCCCCCAGAGCGCGTCATGTTCGAGGCAGCAGATCCCAAGGTGTACAACTGGTATATCCGGGAGTTCGGTATTGATGTGAATCTATTTGTCGACCATAGCCAGATTGTGCAGCTGTCATGCTTGCGCCATGGAATCTGGGGCACGGCCGATACCTGGGGCAAGATTGTATCGTTCCGGCCAGAGTAAACGGACCAGCTCGGCCGTAGGAGGGAGCGATGTGAGCTGTGTGGGTCATGCCATGAATCGGAGGAAATGTACGAATGGAGTTATGAAGGCCGTAGATAGTCACTAGTTGCCAATAATGCCATCGATGGTTTCAAGTCGGAAGGAAGTTGCCTGATGATCCATTATCCTTAGTCAGCGCCGGGCCCCCATTGGCGGCCCCGACTCAATCCGGGGAAAGCGGCCAAGCATCCATCATCCTTCGTTCTGGCCATCCTTCCCTGCAACTGACTCGCCATCTGCCTGTGGGCATATCTTCGCCGGTCTGGCTCTCTCGCCTGTGCTAGAGAGATGTTTAATCCAACCTTCGGCTAGTCAGCCAGGGTCTTGACACAAACCCTCATCACCGGCCAAAGCGACCCCGCCGTTTGCCCCCTGCAGGCGGTCTGCACCTCTTCCCCTCGTCAGGTACATCACTTCGCGATTGTGGCTCGAGCGGACTTGCAGGCCCAAATCAATCAGCGCTATACCATTTTTCATGCTCCATCATGCCTAAAGCTAATCCAATCCCTGGGGGCCGACTCCGCTGCAGACGCGCCTGCGATAGTTGCAAGCGGAGGAAACAAAAATGCAACGGAGAACAGCCATGTACAATCTGCATTCAACGGCGCAAAGAGTCCGAATGCCACTTCTCAGACAAACCGGCAAGATTGCTCAAACCGAATAACAGCAGCTCTAAGGACACCATGCTTCTCAGCGAACGCTTAGTCCCGACCCCACAGCGTCAGACCGCCATGGACCGACTCCTGAACTCGCTCGAAGACCGGAGCGCCAATCTGGAACAACAGGCTACAGATGACAAAGAGGGAACAGCGCCAGTGCCCAAGGTTGCCAGGCTACTGCGTGATGGTCAAGGCAAATTCATGTACGTTGGCGACTCCGCCAGCTTGTCTTTCCTACAGAGTGTGCGGAGGATCGTATCGACCTCTATCGGCAGATGCGAATTCACGGAGGACAACTCGCGACATTCGATGCTCGAGGCATTCCAGAGTGGATCTACAACGCAGACAGGACCGTTGATATCGCCACCAAGCAACGAAGAGGCTCAGAGGCTGGCGCGCCAATTTGTGCTGGCCACAAGCCCGCTGCTGGATCTGTTCGACCTCAACGAGTTTCACCCCCGGCTTGCGAATTGGGTTGAGAATCCGACGGGTGATGAGGATACTGTCAGCTCGATTTTCTATCTCGTGCTCGCCATCGGCGCGCAGGTGTCCGATATCAATCAATCCCTGGCTGAGCAGTACTTTGTCAGCGGCCGTCAGTTAGCGTTTTCTGCCTTCACGGAGACCCCGAGTATATATACCATTCAGTCGTATGTTTTGATCTCGATGTATATGTTGGGAGCCTGTCGACGGAACGGAGCCTTTATGAATTTGGGAATCGCGCTCCGTGCCGCGTATGCGGTCGGAATTCACCGGAAAGATGCAAATGCGCTTTTCTGCACCCGAGAACGGCGGGCTCGAGAACGGGTATGGAAGAGTCTTCGTATGATGGATCTGTACCTTTGTGCCTCATTAGGACGTCCTCCTGCGACACTAGACTTTGACTATGATCTGCGTGAAGAGGGAATCTCACCAGGGGAGCAACAGCGCCTTCATCCGGACGAGCAGTTGTCTATGACGGTGATCTCACTCTGCCGAATCTTCGAACGTATTCTGACGGAGGTCTACATGCGTCAAGTCGTCTCGATCAATGTTGCAGAAACTATATCGAATCAGCATCGAGCTTGGGTGCGCAATCTCCCAGTATTTCTGCAGATGCAGACTGAGCGGCTGGATTCCAAGACGCTGGAAGGCACCTTATCTGCAGCACACATCTTTGGTTCCTACTACTGGTCGATTATTCTTCTTACTCGACCATTCCTCATCTTCCGAGTGTCCCAATATGTGCGGAATAGAACCGAGGCAACAGGGTCCTCCGACAGCAGAGCCAGCAACTCCCGCATTGCGTTATTTGCCGACGCATGTGTTTATTCTGCCTTGCGCGGACTGAACATCGTGGATGACCTTTCTCGCTACAACACCCTCCCGCGCAGACTCCCATTCCTTATCAATTCCGTCTTCAACTCGGCCGTGGTGCTTGGAGCCGCTTTCTTTGCCGACTACGACAACCTGCTCCCGCTTGAAGAAGGCATGGACAAGGCGGAGAAATTCCTAGGCCTCTTCGTACCCCACGACCCACACGCATGTCGCTTCTTCCAGATCATCAAATACCTTCGAGGTGCAGTGGCGGAGTATGTCCGTCGACGGAATCGCCATTGGATGGAGCGTCGCAGCCGACAAGTCGACCAGCTCTTCGGCCAAGTCGGGCCCACCAAAGAAAACCCCATGGCTGAAACAAACACCCCGAGCAGTCATCGTGGAGAACCCACCGCTGTACCATCTCCTTTATCCCCCGACAAGCTCACCGGAGCATCTGCCTCTCAGCCGCCCGACCTAGCTACAAGCACCACTACCACCACTGGCCCAACCGACAGTGACATTTGGGATACACTCTATGGCGCACAAGGCGCCAGCACGCTACCATACGACACCGCAATCTCTACCCTCACCACAACCGGAATTCCAATCGGCTGTTCCCCCGGCGGGACCATCCCTGCCGGTGGAATGCCCCCGGATGCTCCAGGGGCGCAAACCCCGCTCTCGGACGTGATTCTCCCAGACAATGGCCTGCTCTATATGGCCGAAGACCTTCCTGTATTTGGGATTTGGGAAGATGCTTGAAAGGTATCTATCCTACTTTACATTACACTTGGAAATGGATGCAAATATGTCCCTACTTGCCACATGATCTCAATTACCTTCCCATGAGAATCCAAGTCCAATCCACCCCGATCACTCCACGACTCCTCATGACTCTTGACCTTCCTCAGAACCTCAATCTTCTCTCCAATCAAATTAGCTGATATCAAATACGTGTCTAACTTGGCGTGGCGTGGAATGGCGTTGGACTCGTCAATCTCTGGGCTATGTATATACGAACTGAAACTTCCCCTTCAAAGAATACCACTCACCACCCCATGATACATATTCAATTCACAATGTACATACATACATACATACATACACACGTCCTTGCAATTGAATACTACGTATATCAATCTTCATAACAATCTATTGCATACCTCACTAAGTAACTAGTCATTAGTAACTGAGTCAATAGTTCAACCCAGACACTGTCATAAAATTCATTCATACAGTCTGTCTGTCTGTCTGTCTGTCTGTCTGTCTCCTCACTTTAAATGATTCACTTAGTTACTAGTACTTCCTCCACCAACCTGTAGTTAACTTAACCGAGCTATGTAAGCACACTAGCAGTAACTAAACACTATTTATTTTCTCGGGGACCGGGGTGGTTGGCAATCACACCTCTCCTAGTTCATTCATTATACTAGTATACTAGTATACAAGCTGAACCATTCACCACTACATCATTGATATAGTTACTATTGTGCTGGGATGAATACTAATACAAACATATGAATAGTTTATTGACAGTGGATTATTCTGTGTTCTAAACGGGTACTTTGGTTCAATGAAGATATTCATTTACATCACTTATTTAGAGTGCTCGGTGAATCATTCTTGGGGTATTCACCAGGTAGTAGTTGTTTCGTTGGTAACATATAACAAGAACTGGCTTGCTAGATTCACTTACAATCTTTGACAGGTCATTTTCATGATTGTTTATCGGGTGATCGATCCGTATGAGCCGAGTAACAAACATCTTGAACATGTTATTGTATGGTACTCAGTAAACACCAAAAAGGCAGGTCTGTTATACACCATCCAAGGAAAGCAAATGCCAAGCAACTAAAACGTATACTAGTACTAGTAATAATCCCTATTTTATCTGCTGAATCACGAGCTATATGTACCGTACATGTAATGCAAAGATCGCAAAACAAAAAAGAAAATGCACATCGGGATCGAGCAGAAAACAAACAGAGAAAGTAAAAGCGGAACGTATAACGGGGACAAGACAAATAGATCATGTTCAGGAATTAATCAGGATGAGAGGGTGGGAAGAAACGAATGCAACACCTCCGGCCGAACGCAGGAAGAAGCATGCAGCATGACCATGAGGGTCGAGTTGATAGGAAAGAAGTAGTCGGGCGGGCAAGTTCTCTCTCGACAAGAAAACCGAGAGGAAAATGTAGGGTACAAAAGAAACCGGGAAGCAGAAGAATGGGGGTGAGTTTCTGTCTTCCCAATATTACGTATCGATGGGAATGGAAGCAGCGTCGAGGTGAGGGAGAGAAGAGAACATCAGAAAGAAAATTCTAGATCGCTGAAGCTGCGTCATGTAAACAAGACTCGAGACATTGCTTCAGAACTCGCTGCGTGGGTCCATTGCGTCCGGCCATGACTGAAGAGAGAGAGAGAGGGAGGGAGGGAGGAAGCTCTGATATACGCATTACAGCGTCAGGAGTGGCAGAAAATAAAGCAAACCGCGGCATCATTTATGTATGATGAGCATGCTATTCCCGCCAGCAAGAAATAGCAAGCGACCATGTATAGTAAAGGAAAATCGTGTGTGTCGCCAAGTCACAGACTGATATATACAGGCTCGAATTAAAATCCAAACGGATTGGTGGGCGCTGGTGAGCTATGTTAGTTTGATCCCAAATCAAGAAGTAAAGAAGTAGGTTGACTTACTGGCTTGTGCGAGATTAGCCCGGAGACCTGTTGGCTGAGGAGCGAGCTTCTTGGGAGGGTCGTTCTTAACGCCAAACCGGACAGCAGGGGCGGGTCCGGTCGGCTGTGGCTGCAATGGTGCAGCCGTAGGTTGTTGCGGGATTGGGGGCACAGGAGGTGCGCTGTAAGGCATGCTGCCAACACCATTCATACCTGTAGGCTGGGGCTGCAGAGGCGGAGGCAGAACGGAATTGATGCCGGTCTGCATTGGCTGCTGGGGTTGCGGCTGGAAGCCCCCAAAGCCTGTAGGCTGTGGCATCAGGCCCGGGTATCCAGTCTGCTGCTGCTGAATCCCGAACTGGGACTGCGGCTGGAAGCCGGTGGGCTGCGGCGCCAATCCATTCTGGAATTGAGCCTGAGGCATGAAACCAGTAGGTTGCGGCTGGAGAGTGTGCTGGAACCGTTGCTGGTTCAATTCGGCCAGACTCTGTCCCGGCGGAGCAATCTGAGGTCCCGATTGAGGAATACCAGTCAGTTGAGGTTGCAATGGAGGCGGACCAAACGAGTTTGGCTGCTGAGGGAAGTTCTGGGGTGCGGAGAGGGGTCGCTGAGGTGGCGGAGGAAGCAAAGAGCTTTGCCCCATGTTCTGAGGCGGCTGGGGACGTTGTCTTGAAGCCTGCTGGAAGCTCGTTGCTTGAGGACTGAACCCTTGGGCACTCGGAGCAGGCTGTTGCGCGGCTTGTGCCAGCTGGGAGAAAAAGCCCGGCGTGGCTCCAGTCTGCTGTGGTTGCACTTGCGGTGCGGGCACCGCAGTGTTCTGGGGTTGGATGGTTGGCTGTGGCTGAAGAGCTGGCAAGGGCGCCGGCGGAGATTGCGGGGCAGGAGCCGCAGGCGTAGGTTGGAGAGGAGCTTGAAGCAAAGACAGGTCAGCCATGGCGCCTGCAAGTGGTTGCTGAGCCGGTGGTTGTGTAGTGGCGGGAGAGGACGCGGCCGGAGGGGGGCTTGAGGGAGTAGCTGGCGTCGAAGGAGCTGGAGCGGCGGCGGGAGCAGCAGGTTGCTTGGGCTGTTTCACCTCCCAGGCGTCGTCGTCGAAGCCCTTCTGAACCGGGGGTTCGGAAGGTGCAGCAGCGGTGGGTGGTGTCGCGCTGCGCTCCGCAGGCTGCGAAGCATCCTTCTGCTCAAAGGCCTTAGGGTCGACAACATCGCCGGCTGGCGTGTTGGGAGCGGGCCGGCCTTTACGAGTATTGTTGCGCAGGACACCTCCAGGGCCAGAGAAAATGCCGGCGGCACCTTCTTCGCCGTTCCCGATGACTTCTTCTCCGCCAAAGCTCACGTTACGTAGCTTCGACTTGGCTCCGGTGCGGCCAAACATGTTGTCCAGGTAGCGCATGACACGCAAAATATCGCCCTCCTTGAGACCCAGCGTGCGCAGGACCTCTGGGGTGATGTCCGGAAGCACGGCCTCGTCCATGGAGTCCTTGACAAAATTCTGGGCATACCGCTCGCATTGGTGCGGGCCAACGCCGGCCTTGAGGAAGAAGTCAAACCAATCATAGTCGGATTGTTGGAAGGAAGCTCCGGCGGTAGCTGAAGCACGCTTGCCCTCGGAGGGAGACCGGGCCTTTTCAGGCTCGACGCGTTGAGAACGGCGTCTGATGTCCGACAACGGCTTGTCCTCGTCGAGGGATACGCCTGTCATCTTCTCTACATACTCGAGATCCTCAACGGACATCTTCGGGATGGGAACCGCGATTTTCACGCCGTTCATCTTGTGCAGATGAATCTTGCCATCCTGCAGGCCAATGAATTGCGCCTCGACAGTGAACGTCTTGGTGCGATCAGTCCATTGCCTTGTCTTAGCCGGATCCGGTTCTGCTTCGATTAGCGACAGGGGGTCAATGCATGAAAGCAAAGGGTAATGACTTACTCGGCTTGTGGCTGCTCTTGCTATCGCGTTTCTAGCGTTAATCGGTCAGCATCGCCTCTAGCAATTGACCCTCTGTCTTTCGGGCAAGGAACATACCTGGCCGTCAATTGAATCGGTCCGCGACTTGCGCAAAGCTTCCTTGGTTAGCCGCGCTTCCTCCATGCGGTTCTTCTCTACAGTGGAAAGGCCCGGCTCGGAACTAATCACCGGAGTCGAGACGGTGCCGGTAATCTCAATGTAGCTACTGGGGACGACACCCTCCTTTCCGTTCTTCAAACGCCGCACCTGCCACCACTCTTCAGACTTGCCGTCATCCAGGACGATGACGTCGTCGCCCGCGGCCACCGTCACCTCATCATCGCCTTGAGCCATAAAGTCATAGAGAATCTGGCCCTTCTTCTGTCCCCCACTGGTGCCGGCGGCGATAACCTCCTTCAGACCCTCTGCGCGGTAAGCGCCGGAGATCTCACCAAGGGCTGAGACAATCTCCCGAGCCGTGTCCTTGGCACCCGCGTGGAAATCGACGCTCTTACTGGGCCGGACAAGATCCACAAAGACGTGTTTCCCTTCAATCGAGTAGTGAGTGAGCTTGTCTGCGGTCCATTCCTGCACATCACCACCCTCCTCGGGCGAGATAAAGATGGTTCCGGTTGCGACGTTGATACCCAAGGTGGTGGGCATCTTTTTGCGCTTGCCCATCACTTCCACCATCTCATTGATGTTATAGATATGATAGCCGGAGGGGGAACGAGGGGTTGGTTGGCCGACTCTGTTGTACGGGGGCGATTCCTGCACATGGCCGCCGCGGTCACTGTCGCGCAGCGAAGAGATCTGAGGACGAGGGGGCCGAGCGGGCTCGGGGGGAGAATCCAGCGTGACTGGCGACGAGATCTGCTCAGACGGGGGACGCTGTGGTAACGCAGGCGGTGGTGGCGAGGGCTCGTTCCTGTAGGGCTCATCGGGCTCATCGTACGCTGGACGTGCCGGCTGAGGGGGCGGGGGGACGGCCCTCGGCGGTTCCGGTTCTGTCGCAGCGGCATGCTGCTTGTGGATGATATCTGCGATGGCCGCGGCGGCAGGATTCTGCACGGCGTCAATTGGAGAAGCTGCGCTGGTCCCGTTGACTTCTTCCTCTGTCACCGTCGGTCGCTGCGGGAGGGCGGGTGGCGCCGGTTCGGGTTCGGGTTCAGCGGGGGGAGGAGACGGAATGGCTGGTGCAGGGGCATGGTGCGCGCCTGCATCTTCGATGATCTCAATGTAGTTCGCGGGGGCGAAGCCGTAATCCGAGTTGACACCGACAAGGGTCCAGTCCGGGTCGGACGTGTCATACACGATCAAGTCTGCATCTTCGGAGAAGGAGACCTCCTCATCCGTCTGGCGTGTATAGTCGTAAAGTGCTTTGGCCGAGTGAACCGGTTGAGCCTACAAGTCCGACACAGATTGCGTTAGCACGAGCAGTCTCAGGTTGGAGATAGACGTTGCGGCGTTGCCGGTACCCCTGAGTGAGGGCCGGCCGCAGCGACCATACACCGGACCATGACGCAGGAAAGCGTGGGCGCTAGAGTCGGGCTCCGCGTCAAGAATTGTCGGGGGACCTCAGACATCCTTACCTCCTCGACGTAATTGTTTGGGACGAGACCCTCGGGTTCATCATCATCCTCACGCTCGGCCTTCTTCTTAGCCTTCCACCAATCATCATCTTCGCCTTTGTCGAGGATGTACAGCAGATCGCCTTCGCGCAGCTCTAATTCCCCCTCCGCTTGGGGGAGGTAATCGTAGATGGCCGTATAGACACCGAGGAAACCCATGGTGGGAAGCCGTTAGGTAGTCAAACGGCAGTGGTGGAGGGTCCGGGGGTTGTGTGCCGCGGCTGCGGAGGGCAGCGTGGACGAGCGAGACTGTGGGCCTGGAATCAGGAGAGGATGAGCCGGACGAACCGGGTGGATAAGAGGCGGGAGGGGAGGAGGGGAGGGAGTTAGGGTGGGAAATAGTAGAAGGTACAGACGAGGGAGATCGTAGTTGGGCGGACGGAGGAAGAGTGAGTGATAGACAGGAGACCCGTGCAGCAAACGTACCGAGTCGAGTAAGTATCTCACTTGCTCACAACTAGTTAGTTAGTAGTGGGCAGGTACGTAAGTGGTCCAAGTGGAGGGAGGCAGCCTTGGCAAGCACCCAGCAGTAGTAGATTCCAGGCAGTTTAAGATGGGAATTCGATAGTTAGGCTTGCTCGCTGGAGGGGACAATCCGGGGTGGGTGCAGCAGCCGTCAAGGTGATGTATTAAAAGAGAACTGAAACTGAAACTGGAAATAGAAAAAGCGGAGGGAAAGAGAGAGGATGAACGGAAAAAGGGACCGAACTGGACCGGCGATGAAGCAGCAGCAGCAGAAAGAAGCGCAACTGCCACAGAAAGAGAGTCGCGGATGGCTGAGGGGGCCGGGCGGTCACGTTTTCTGCACCCACGTTTTCTTGGATTTAGTTTATTAATAGCCAGCAGGTGTTCGATCATCTGCAGCTTGTAAAAGTCTTATTCTTATAAGTTTTAGACAGAATAGATGTAGTTCTTCTTTAACTCAGTGTGATATGATCTTTATTACTATTTACTCTCTCCCTCCTGATCCCTTTTGACCGTGAATGAGAATGGCAATGCTTTCGGACGAGCCTGGAATGCCTGCCTTCCCCCCTTATCGGGTCAGCCCAGCCTCTTTGGGCACTCATGGCCTCCCCTCCCTCCCCCCCCAAAGCCACCATTATTGGCTCTGGTGCTCGCCATGGCCGGAGTTGAGTCTACTACTTACTACTATTTAATTCATACTTATTGAATTAGATTAATGGCAGGTCAATAGTCCCAATACACGGCAACTGGGACAATCGTAATCTATGCAATGGATATAATCAGCCGTAGCTACGAACGCTAGAAGCAAAAATAGGTAGACGCAAAAGAGGAAGTTGCACAACCGCAACCCGAACGAGCAAAAGCAAAACCATCACAATAGCTACAACTCATCCTTGACCCTCTTCTTGCTTACCTCCTCAGCTTCGTCGGTCTCCAATGGCTGCTGTTCTTCCTGATGCTGTGGTTGTGGCTCCTGCTCTTCCGCCTCAGCTTCAGTCGTCTCCTTGGAAGGGGCGGCATCCGTGACCATCTCTTCCTGGGAGCCCTCTCCGTTGTCTTCCTCCTCTTCGTCATCGTCGACGAGGCCGCGCAGTTGACGTTCTCCGTTGACCGAGATAACCTCCAGCGTCCAGTCCTTACCCTTAGCCCACTCCTCCAAGCGCTTCTTCAACGTTTCGAGCTTCTCTGGGTCCAGATCGTGCTTTTTCAGGTCCTCGCGCGACAATTGTTGCACTTCCCCGTTCTCGCGCTTGGCCACGACCTCGATGATCTCTTCTCCGGCCCACGCGACGCGCCCTTTCTCGATCTCCTTGCCTTCCGATCCCACCAGCTTCTGAGCACCGACCTGGATGTCTCCGACGACTGGGAGCTCCTCCATTACGGCTGACTCCACTAGTCGCTGCGCCAGCTGGTACTCCCGGAGCGCTTCCCAGTCCGATACTTGCTCTGGGGAAATAATCTCGCGGCACTCAATTCCATGGACCTCGTCCTGCTGGGGCGGCAGGAAGGCAACGTCGTTACATAGACGCGGGGTGTAGATGACCATGAGGTAGGAGCATGTGGTCAGCTCCTTGATCCAACCAATGCGGTCTGTCGACTGAGGGTGGCAATGAAACTGGACCTCGATTTTCCGGTCCCGACCTGTCAGGTCGCATTTCGTGCCGCCATCCAATCGTTGCACCAGGTACCGGGAGCCGCCCTTCGTCTGGAGCTCCGCCACATCTGTAACAGGTTTCTTCTGGTCGGCGGCCCCTTCTACCTCATCTTCGTCGCCATCTCCTTGAGGAAATTTGCCCAGAATGAAAGAGTGTGTCGTATGGTCCTCCATGGGCGGGTAGTTGGGAATGCCACTCCCGGAGGGGAGGGCGTGGAACTGCTTGATCTGGTTCTTGTAGCAGAAGGAATAGGACCACCATCCGGATATATAATACATGCATTTGCCCTCCATCTCGCGCAGGAGCTCCAGGCCCCGATCCATCGCGCGCGCCAGCTCCTTCTGTTCGTCCGCCTCGTGAGGATGTCCCGTGGAATTGGTCCGATCGTCGACATCGACGTGAGGGATCTGGCAGAGAAATCGCTGTTCTCCTAAAAGCATTTCCTCATAGCTGAACCCGTCATCGCCATCCCGGGGTTTCGCCTGGTCGTTGTCATGGGTACTGCGGCCTAGATACACCTGAGCGGATTTCTCTTGAGTATCGGCGAAAGTAGAAGAGCTATCCCTGCGTTCTCGTAGGAGCTCTCTGGCGTGCGACTCGAGGACGTAGTCATCGGGGAAAAGAACCTCAAACTAAGAGTAAAAACCAGTTAGATTGAGCTGTGAGGGGTGCACAAGTAAGATGCGATGCATACTTGAGGATAAGCTAATAGGTCATCATGAATGTTGAAGGCCTTCTTGTTGGCCCAAGCCGTGGAACTGGCACAAGCCAGTCCAAGCAGGATATTTACAACCTGGTTCCGACGTGGCATGGTCGATTGTAGGGAGAGGATGGGGTATCAAGTGAGACGGGTCGGGTCAAGGCCACCGGCCGCGGTGTTCCTGAATGCGACGATCTGGCCTGATTGGGTACGGGACGGAGTTGAGTGGCCAATAGCTTGGTGGGGGTGTTAGGGATGAGTACGCGGGGAATATAATCAAGGGAACATTATGGTAAAGATGATAACCTAAGAACCGGAATTACTGTTGGGGTATGATGATCGTCGAGGCCGTGATGCACAGGGACATGCCAGTTGGGAAGAGCAGCAGCGCAGCAGCGGAGAGCCGGGGATATCTTATCAGCACGTGCACACCCAGTAGCTGGACAACATAACATGCAAAGCAGGAACTAAACTGACTGTACTTACTCCTTAGTGGGAGGGAGTGTAGTACAAAGTTATGCAACTACCACAATCTCAGAGACACATAGATTATCATAGCACATTCCAGAATTATGCATCACCCATCACCCACCACCCACCACCCAATTACTTACAATCATCATTATGAAGAATTGACTAACCCACCACTAACCCTTAACTGACTACAACCCGCCTACGGAGAATCAGGCAGCTGACCCCACTGAGTCAGCCCTGAATAATGGCGCTAAAACTGCTGACGGCAATCTTTGTAATGGGCGCGACCCATGGACCTTCAACATACGGAGGAGTATTTTCTCTCTCCACAATTGACTTTTCCCCATCCAATCCACACACACCCAACAGCAGCCAAAAAGAATAGTTTTGATTATGATTACTTACTTTATGCTAAGCTAAACCAACTAAACTTAATTCAACTAACCCAAAACCATCAGCTTACCCAAATCATTATAAGAAGTTGACTAACCACCATCACATCTTCCCCATCCCCCATTCCATACCATCGTAGCACCTTCTATATCATTCGCACTGCCCTCGCAGACAACCTTATAAAAGGCCGCTCACAGGACCACATGAAACTCCTCGTTTCGTTTTTCATCGCTATCATTGCTATTGTCTTGACTTGCAATACATCTACTTTCACTAGATACTTTACATCTACCACCAACACCAACACCAACACCACGAACACAACCATCACACCCAACAACACACATACTACAAACCTCACCAACATGTCCCTCCCCCGCGCCATCCGCCAAGCCTTCCTGGCTATCGAACAAGCCGAAGGCGCCGGCGCCCGCGTCCGCCGCTCCATCGGCACACGCAACCTCCGCAACTTCAGCCCCTTCCTCATGCTAGACCACTTCACCATCGGCAAAGGCGCCGGTTTCCCGGACCACCCGCACCGAGGCCAAGAAACCATCACATACCTACTCTCAGGCGGAGTCGACCATGAAGACTTCGCCGGAAACCGAGGCACCATTGGCCCTGGCGATCTCCAATTCATGACCGCCGGACGAGGCATCATGCACGCGGAGATGCCGCACGAGAACCCGGACGGCAGTCCCAACGTCGGCATGCAGCTCTGGGTGGACCTGCCCAAGGAGCTGAAGATGTGCGAGCCGCGGTACCGCGATCTGCGGGCGTCGGAGATCCCCATTGCCACAGCGGATGACGGGCGCGTCACGGTGAAGGTCATCTCCGGGCAGTCGCATGGAGTTGATTCGGTACGGGATCTGGCGTACACGCCTGTTTGGCTGTTGGATGTGACGGTGAAGCCTGGGGGCCGTGTGAAGCAGGTGCTCCCCGTGGGGTGGAACGCGTTTGCGTATACGTTGGCCGGGAAGACGATTTTCGGGTCCGGCGGGGAGACGAAGACCATTAAGGAGTTTCATAATGTGGTGTTTGAGCAGAAGGGCGATTTCGTCGAGGCGTCGGTTCCCGAGAATGCGGATGAGGAAGGAAGGTTCCTTTTGGTGGCGGGGCAGCCGTTGGATCAGAAGGTCGTGCAGTATGGCCCGTTTGTGGTCACCAGTGAGCAGGAGGTGTATCAGGCGATGGTGGACTTCCAGACTGCGTCGAATGGGTTTGAGAAGTCCAGGAATTGGGAGAGTGAGATTGGGAAGCGCATGGCTTATTAGATTCGGTTGATGTGTTAACTTCATACTACTAGATGAGTTTTGTATAGCTGTATTGGCGTTTGGTTTGAGTTTTGTGGATGTGTATATAGATCACTTAATACCATCATGAGTGATGAGTCCAGTGGAATTTTCTTTGAGTAGAGATACTTTTATGGTAGACAGATATTGTTCGTCAAATGCTGGTCCTACGAAAGTGGGTAGCAAACTTTAGGAGTATAATGCATAACATTCGCTATATCAACAGGGAGAACCCAGAAATCGAGCAAAATCATCCAGTCAGGCGAAAGGGGCGGTTCTCAGAACGCACCCGTTGGGTGTTTTGGATGAACGTGAGAAGAATCTGACCCCAAGACACCTATTATATCTTACAGAACGCCTACTCCGGCCAGTCCGGATTTGACCAAGCCGACATACATCTCTCTCCTGCCAACTGCAGGCTTAACTCAACCGCCATTCATCTATTTGGCAAAGTGCAGGTCGTAGCCCAGCCACTTGCGGGCAAGGATGCCCGGCACATCCAGACCCGGGGTGCCGTACGTCAACGGGGCATAGAAGACGAATCCGTAGATCGTACCGGCCAGGATGACCAGGGTCGCGATCCAGCCCGCAAGAAGGGACTTGGTGCCCATACGTTCCTTGGCCGTAACGAAGCGTCCAACCGAAGCTGACGCCTTGGCCTTGCCCGAGGGGTCGTCTTCGGACCGGACGCGCTGAATGACCGAGAGCGGCTCCAGGTTGAAAATGAACTCGATCAAGGCACCAGCCACAAGAGCCGAAGCAAGATGAGCGGGGAGGTAGTGGTGCAAGAAACGCTGACGGCCCATCAGCCAGAAGGGGAAGTAGTGGGCAGCCCAGCACAGGAACAAGAATCCCATGCTGTTGTACAGGCGGGAACGGGAGCCTTGGCCCCAGACTGTCACACGTTTAGTAGCTGCTCACAATAATCACAAGGGTATTTGTATTTGCTTACTCTCTTCCACGGCATCGACACCGCGACGCAGAGACAGCTGGTCAGCACCGATGACACCGGCAAACACCGCCAACAGACTACTAGCGATCCACCATCCGACCGGGTTACCAAGGAAATAGATCTGCTCCCGGGTGTCGTTCTTGGTCCAGAAGCTGACACCGCGGAGCAGGAAAGGCCACTGGAAGGGCTCACTCGCGTACGGGTGGCTGCTGGTCAGGGCATTGTTGTGGAAGAACATGGCGCGCTGCAGTTCAAGGTACTTGCGGAAAAAGGGCAGGTGCTTGACCTGGCGCTCTTCCTTGACCAGACGGGGACTGTCCTCTTCCAAGGACTCAATCGATTCAACGAACCACAAGTTGCTGGTCTGGAGGATATTCTTGTTGCCGTTGATCTCGGCTTGCTTGAAGGCCCAGTCGGGCAGCGGCGTGGTGTGAGTCCACATGGCCACACGGGTGGGCATATGGATCAGCTTGAAGTGGCTGGACAAAGTGCGGAATTCCTGATGGGGCTTGCCGTTCTCGATCTTAATCTCGAACAGTGTGTCATTGTGACGGTCACCGTTGGCAACCTCATGGGAAACAGTGGTGAACTCCTGGTTGGTCGGGTAGTAGGGAGATGCAACATCGTGGGTGAGCAGAATGGTGTCTGTGCCCATATGGCGGAGCTGAACAACATCACCGTTGCGCACCTTGTGTCCGCTGGTATCAGTCACATCCAAAGGCACCGTGGGGATGATCTGCCATTGGTTGTTCGTGTCGTTGTAAGGGTATCCGGTGACCTGCTGGCCCTGACTGGAGATACGTCCATCATCGTACCGAAGGGGATACCTCTCCAGATGACTGTGGAGGTAGACCTTGGTATCCTTGTGCTTCATGGTAATGGTGTCGTAGTACTCAATACCGATAGACTGCGCGCTCAGAACATTATCGCTGAGAGTTTCCTGGAACTCGGGGGTCATGAAATCATCGCCGGGACCGGAGCGGGTGAGGATGGCAAAGTGGACTTGGAACCAGAACAGATAGAAAAAGAAGGGCACAATGATCAGGGCAAAGGCACGAGCAACGAAGTGCTGACCCCACTGGAACATGGTGAGAGCACCGCCACGGCGCCGGATATCCAAGAGATTCCACAGATCAACCATGACGGCCGAACCGATGGTGACAAAAGTAAAGACACCGACGTACTTGGTGGAGATGACACAGCTGAGTGACACACCGGTCAGGAGCAGCCACTTCCACCATTTCCGTCCAAATGCCTCGTGACGCAGCTTGTAGAAGCGGATATAGCATAGGATGCTCAGGGCCATGGTCAGGACCAACGAGGCATCCAGAAGGATCAGACGGTCCTCTCCGATATGGGCATTGTCGAACAGGACAAGACCAGCGGACAAAACACAAGCGGGCAGCGAGTATCCGGATTCCCACATGATCAGGAACACGACGGGAACCGTCAGGGCACCGAGCGTGGCCGGCATAGCCCGAAGAGCCACGTAGGGGACCTGGTGTTCAATGTAGGAATCACCAATGTTATCGAAGAGGAAGTGGCCATCATAGCCGACCAGCCAGCCCATGAAGGCGAAAAGGAGCTTGCCGAATGGAGGGTGGACATCGAAGAAGTACGTGCGCTGGAGGTAGTACGAGGCAAACTAGAGCAGATTCCCGTTAGCGACCCGCCATCACGGAGCTTCATGCAGATCCATTGAGAGCGGGCTTACCTTTCCAAAGTGCACCTCATCAAAGACGACCTCGTTGGGGTAGGAAATCTTGTAGAAACGGGTGACGAATGCAAGCACGGTCAGAATGGAAATGGCCAGCCAGTAATCCCATTCCGAACGAGGAGCACTCGCTTTGGACAAAGGAGAAGAGAAATTATCCGCAGGCACGGGAGTACTCTCCTTCTTGCCGCCCCTCTTGCGAAGAGAGGGCGAAGGAGATGAAGACATGATTAGGTAGTGTGGTCAAGAAAAAGAACGAACGAAAGACACCTAATGGACTTCTAGAGGCGCATAGAAACAACAGGTCAGCAAGCCGGACGGAGCGGGTGAGAGAGCATTCGCATGCTTGTGCCTTTTTGTGAGGGCTACTTACGAAAAGAAAGCAAGAAAAAGCCAGTCAGGAAAAGAACATGATAGACCGGAGGTATGAATATACTTAATGGTCACAGCCGCAGCAGCGAGAGGGGGGCGGTTTCTGTTGCCGATGGGGGCGGATTGCGTGTCTTTCTGGCCTCCCAAACGCTTGCGGAACGGAACAAGGCGTTGGTCCGAACTTGAAACAACCCCCCATCCGGGGCCAATTTATGGGAAACGTCGCGCGATGAAACACGTGTACTTCAGCAGTTCTAGCAGTTTTGCGTCCAGGATGTGATCTTCATTATCCGTCGGAAATTTCAATATTTGGATTTGAGCTAGACAATTATATAATGTTATCATAGTGGTGCTGATGAACCCGATCAACGTATTCCTCAAAACTACCCGGGGATATCCAATGCCAAATCAATGCACCTCAACGCTGAACATGACCGCATGCAGTATATACAATTTGACAAATAAAAAAAGAAAGGACAACCTCAAATTCACCATTTCAGTCATCGTCCGACACGTTCAGTAATTCAAGCTCCGTCTTGACAAGTGACTGGAAGTCGCTGCGCGAGATGCCCGTAGCTTTGGCCAGTCGGAACAGACCCTTGATGCTCGAGCCAATGTGCTGTTTGACACCCACTTCATACGCCGACTGGTTCTCCGCCTCTTGTTCGAGCCTGGCCACGGCTTCGGAGCTCGCAGACGAGATGGAAGAGGGTCGGGGGTGGTTCAAGCCAGCATGTTCTCCATTGGCAGCGACACCGTTTGAGGTATGGGTCGGCTTGTCAGCTTCATCTCCACTGAATTGGCGCTGAAGCAGTTTGGCCAGCATATCGCCATTGAGGGAGGATGGTCCAACCTCGGGTTGTTCCTCCTCAGGATCATGGTTGTCCAACGCGGGCTGCACATCACCGTAGCGAGAAAAGTAATCCGCTTCTGACTGCTGCAGGGATGAGACGGCGTTGGGAGCGGGTGTCTTGTTTGCTGGAGTTCTTCCGGGGGTTGCATCGTATTGAGCCCAGTAGTCATCGTCATCATCTTCCTCCTCCTTTTTTTGGTTCTTTGCCTGCTCAGCAGCCTCGCCAGCTTTCAGGGCATCCTCGAGCAGGCGGTCTTTCTGGCGAGCGTTTGCCTCCCCGATGGACACAGACCAGTCTTCAGCATCGTCGACGTTGCCCTCTTGCGGCAACAGTTCTGCTACCCGCCACGCGGGGCCCCCGCCTTCCTGATCCTCGGGGCACCAGAGGTAGATAATCTTCAGGCTGAATTCGGGAAGGATCACGCGCGACCGTAGGGTCTCCTCGTCCACACGCATGTACCTGACCGGGAGCTCATCGGGAAGCTCAATCTCACCCGACACCGGGTGCGGCTCGAAGGTTGCGCCATCCACCAATGTTTGAAGGCGCTCGGCCTGTCCAGCATCCCAGCACAGCAGTCGAAGCCATGATTCGGTAGGCGAGGCAGATACTGAGCTTAGTATCTTAACCCGTTGACGCAGAATGGGAGACAGGAGGGGCAGCAGCGCCGGAGGGGGTTGAGGCGATACGAAAGCCGTAGGAAGACAGGCGAGTAGAGGTGGCAGCAAAGTGCGGGGCTCAGGAGGGGGGATGAGTGCGACCATTTTGGAGTGAAGAAAGGAGACTGGATTGCGCAAGTCGCCTAGAGGAAATGCTGAGGTGGCAGCTGCAAGTCCTTTAAGAGGGGAGCTCTGTCGATAGCTGGGTTGGGGGAGAAAAGCTGCGGCGGTGAAAAAGGAAGATTGGATCAATCACAGCCAGCAGGTACGGGAGCACAGAATCGAGCAGTCACAGGCGCAAGTCGAGAGGGAGAAAACTGATTGAAGATCAGGAGGATAGAGCCATCTTCTATATGGCAGAACAAGGGGAAAGGAGAGGACAGACGATCAGTCAGTCAGAATCAGTAGCGTGGCCATCGCAGGTGTTCAGGTCCCCTTCCTTTGATCCCATGGATCTCCTCACGGAGCTGTTTGGCTCCCTTCGCCCGAAGAATCGGCGTGGGTCAAGAAGACGCGGGGGGGCCAGATGGAGCCATGGAGTCCACTGCGAGCCATTGAGAGTAGAGCAAATAATCCATTGGAATGGAGAGGCGATCCTTGGAGGAATTTCTAGATAGCAGATAGATAGATAGCAGAGATAACTGCGTGCAGAAGAACTGCTAAGGGTTTTAAACTCTCAAAGATTCCAATCAAGCAGGGATTCCGCGGATCCCAACCTCAGGCAGGACTTTGTCTTTTATACTTGTTTTGCGGGGTTTTCAAAGAAGCAAACTATTCCTGGGCTTCCACAAAGTCGATCGCTTCAGTTATATAAAAGTTTATCGCTTGTATGCTTGTTTCTTTAAGGCCACGCACAAGTTGTCTCACCATAGAAATAGTTTTCAGCCCGTCGCTGGTTGCATTCTTAATTCTTCATGCAGTTCAGCTCGGGATCTGGTCAATCAACCGTCGATTTCTAATCCGCTACATTCAAGAAATACGTAGTAGAGTATGAACTGCTACTCCACCCTTCCACGAGATTCTCCATAAATCAAAAGCAATTTCAAACAACCTGCAGAATCTCAGTCGGACAAATCTAAGACATGCACTCCCCACTGAAGCTTGTTCGGCATCATGATTGCTTCTCCCATACCGTCATGTGTTACTAACTAAACAAAGCAAAATCTACCAAGTCATGCTTCGATTGGCTTCCTCCAACATCCACGCAAACAATTCCCCATTAATCTCATCAGCAAGATATTAAGCCGCCACCGATCAGCATGGCTGTCCGCACTCGCCATCGCTAGTCGCAATCGCAATTGATTAAAGCCCCGCGACTCCAATGCAGCGTCGGGCGCTACGAGGGCCCAGCTCGCCTTCGGAGATCTCCCGGCTTATGCTAGCCAATAGATGCACCAGATGGGGTCAAATTTTGCAGGGTCGTTTAGGATGAAGAACGACTAGCGAACGGGGTTATGCATGGGTCGCAAGCTGGTCCAAATCCCGCTGAAAACTAAGAGTGGGAGGAGTCACAATAGATAAGCTGGCTGCTGGCCTACCCTCCCCCTCGGAATGTAGCCCAACGTCTCCCTGGGAATATGCCACTAGGCTCGCATCTGTCGCATCTGTTCTTCGATTGCTCGCGTGTGCATCATGGATCCCAAATATTCCGAAACGGTCGTCGTTGAGAGCCACAATGATAAGGTCGAAAGCACGCAGGATGTCCTCCAAGGTTACGCGGATCTCGACCCGGAAGAACTGAAGGCTCTCGAAACCCGCATCCGATGGAAAACCGATTTGCGCCTCTGCACCATTGCTGGCACTCTTTGCAGTCTCAATCTGCTTGATTCGGGCATCTTGTCATCAGCCTCGGTTACCAGCATGCCCGATGACCTGGATCTCATTGGCACACGATACTCCGTTTCTGTCTTCATCTTCACCATCGCCAGCGTCGTCTTCCAGCTGCCGTCTACCATCGCAGTCCGCTGGGTCGGCCCACGCATCTGGTTCGCATGCATCGCCTTCGCCTTCGGACTGATCACAATGTGCACGGCCTTTATCCACACCTGGAAGGAGATGATCGCCCTCCGCGTGCTCTTGGGTATGTCCATGTCGGGGATTTACCCAGGTCTGACCTATCTCATCAGCGCCTGGTACCCGCGACGGGAGCAGCAGCTGCGGTTCGCTTTGATGCAGTCAGGCGAAGTCATCGGTCTTGCGACGGGCTACATCGTGAACTATGGCCTCGAACTGTTGGATGGGAGAGCTGGCATGCAAGGCTGGCGCTGGATGTACCTCGTGCAGGGCCTCATCAGCTGCGTCATCGGAATAGCCACTTACTGGTGGATCATCGACTTCCCAGAGAATGCGCATCGCAGTTTCTGCTTCATGTCCGAACTGGAGGCCCGTGTCGCTGCTCAACGCATCAAGGCAGACCGTGACGATATCGTCCCGGACCCGTTTTCATGGCGCAAGGTTCTCGCACCTTTCGCCGACCCGAAACTGTACGGCTTTGCATGCATGTATTTCCTGCTAAACCTGGTATCAACTGCATTGAACTATTTCCTTCCAATGATCCTCGAGGACGGCATGGGATTCTCGAGCAACGATTCGATTCTCCTTTCCACACCGGTAAGCCCCTCACCTTCACATCTTCTATCTATAGCCCTATACTAACGGCTTAGTAGCCCTACTACTGGGCCGTCATCCCAGTCATCTTCACCTCTTTCGTCGGAGACAGATACCGCATCCGCGGCCCACTCATCGCCTTCAACGCCCTCTGCCTCATCGCCGGGTTCCTCATGTTCGGCCTCCCATCCTCCACCCAAGTCACCGTCCGATACATAGGAACGTTTCTCGCGACAGGAGCATACGTCTCCAACTGGGCAGCTTTGAATGCCTTTATGGCCAACAACGTCGTCGGCCAATGGAACCGCGCAACAACGGCGGCGGCAGTCTCAGCCTGTAACGGCCTGGGCGGCGTTGCGGGTAGCTACATCGTACGACAGCAGGAAGCACCGCGCTATGAGACGGCTGTGTGGGTTTCTATCGGGTAAGTCTCACCCAAAGAAACAAAAATGAAAAGGAAAGGGGAAGAAGAAGAAAGGAATACCTAATTTACTAATCGATAAATCAGATCCCATATCCTAATGATAGCTCTCGTGTGCGTTTTCACGTTATTTTTCTGGCACCTCAATCGGCAGCAAAAGCATAAGGGGCGGCTTATTCAGAATATGGTATGTCTTGCTTATGAGTCTTTCGGTGTTTCTTTACTCATAACAGTATTGCAGGTTGGATTCCGCTATACTTACTGATTACTGCATTTTGTTGTATATGATGAGGCCCTACTAATACTACAGAAGAGATATATATATATAGTATATATATATGATGATGTTGATGATGACTAGAGCAGTGATGAATATGTCAATATTCAAGCTAATAATGTTTTATCTAAGACTCCACCAGTAAATTAGTATACTACTGTAGTATTTGCCGTCAGATCCTGTTTTCAAAGAGTAGTATAGAATTGTAGGTGAAGTACTATATTTCAAATACTAAGGACTTGAATTGACGGACCAACAGACTCGATTCAGGATTTGATTGTATTTAGCAGTAGCCTCTCACAATCTCAAGGATCCCCGTCGAGAAGTAGTAGTATATCGGGTAATTATAATTGCACCATAGACCGATAAACATTTGAAGAAGCTACTAGATAGGGTGTATGTATCATATGTCACCTCGAACTGAGCTCATGCGTCATGATGGTTCCGCCACAACAAGTAGAAGCACTTGGCAGGGTGTCGCATACTACGCTCACTTGAAGGCAGTTGGGGTTAAAGACAAATGAGTATATCCCTGAACATCAACCTATTGTGATCTGCCATCAATCACTGGATTCTTCGGTATATCATATCGAACATTGGTTAACCTAATCTATATACTATATATGAGAACGCATGAACCACACAGATATCGTATTATACATCAATTTTCATAGTTCATACTCATTATAACCACAACTATAATACATCTATGGATCTACGGACCCTCTTTCGGCCGCACCGCATACCCGTGCATCGCCTCCTCCAGCGAGATATTTTCCGAATAGTACTCAGATTCCCGCGCCACCATCGTCTGACTTCCCAGTGATGGGACATGCGATCCGCGCGACTGACTGTTGTCCCCGAGTCGAGAGAAGCCCTCCGGAGTCTTGGCATTGCCCTGGTTGGTTGGGTAGCGGCGATGATAGCACTGCGGAGTCTGAGAAGAGCCCTTGCTGCGCAGCTGTTGAGGTAGAATGCGCATGATCAAGGGCCAAATGGGTGGGAGACAGGCGGCGATGATAATGATTCCGCCTTCTAGGATGGTCCAGATTCCTAGGTTGGTGGATGTCCCTGAGTTGATGTGGTTAGCCCGGGTGGGAGTTCGTTGAGGTATGTGGACAGAAAGGACGTACAGGTTGGGTCGGTCGTGGCATTTTCTTGAAAGAAAATCGTCATTCGCAAAATACTGGCTACAGTCCCTCTGGTAAGGACGGAGTGTGTAAGTTTAATCGATTCTGGTCCAGTGCGTTGCTGGGGTGGTGATAGTATATACTTACAAACTGCCGAGGAGGAATACTCCCGTCAAAGCCAACTTCTGTCCTTTTCGCGTATGTAATTTCCAGACATATGGCAATGGCATGATCAGAAGGAGGACGTCTGTCAAGATATTGGGCGGCGACACATAGCGGTAGAAGGCCAGTTGATTGAAGCACGATCCTCCTTCAATGGTTGTATCCCAGACGTATGCTATCGGCCAGCACTGGAAGATGGCTGCAAATAGGATGCCGAGGCCATGTCCGAGCACGATAGCACCGACTATATATGCCATGTTTTTGAACGATCGGGTGGTGAAGATTCGGAGGTAAAAGACCAGAATGGAGATTTTGGCTGGAGTGACTGTGAACGGGAAGTCGAGAATCTCGTTGGCATACAGGCCCTGAATCATGTTAGGCATGTCGGCATTAACAATCAAACCAGGGATTTATACCTTCTCCAGGATCACCAGCTTTTCAGGCGTCTCTTCGACATATTCCATGTGATGTCCGACTCCTGCGAGCTTAACCACTTTGCGAAAGGAAACCCAACGGTCAGTGCTTGATCGGGCTGTTGTTGAAATATCCCACTTACAGATGATGTACAAAGCCGATTGGCCCAAGCTGGCGATCTGTAAACAATGTAAGCACGGAACAAGAACCAGAAGGACAGGCAAGTAAGTACCAATGCCAGAAGAATCAGGTAATCGTCGAGAGCTAAAGCCAGCTGTTGCAGGCGTCTCGTATAGAAACGTGCTACAACCACCACAATCTGGACAACGGCAATCGCAACGGACACGCCTATCAGCGCATCACCGTTGTACGGGACATCGGAATCTGATCGTGCATTCATCGCCACCTGAAACTCGACTCTCCATCTGCCATTAGGGGTCTCTGTCTGCTACTTCAACGGTTGTACGCATCTGCAGCCTGCAGCTATCATTGAAGCAAGGGGACCTTGAAAGGTTGAGAGAATTTCATCTTTTAATTGCGAACAGAGCCAAGACCACAACTGCTAGCTTCATACGTGTTCCTTGGAATGAGAGCATTCGGCTTCACTGGGACCGACTTGAAACTCTTGGGCGATGGATCCAGTCAGTTACATAATTCGATGTCGAGCGTGCCGTGCTGGTGCCACGGGCAAAAGATGTCCAAATCGATGGTTCTCTCATCATTCGCGAAAGTCAAACTCCGCCGATCCCCACATGGCTTTCGGATGGCTTGCACAGACTCTTGGAACCGACCCTCGATCTGATACCATGCCCACATATTATGCCGCCCAGCGTCCAGTTCCTGGCAGGTTTGAGCCCACAAGGGCGCGCTAGCATCGTGCTCGGACTCGATCTTCCATCTCATTCGTTCTCGGGTATCCTCCACCACGCGAGTCAGGGCCCCACGCTTGCGATTCCTCAGCTTGTGTTCCGATTATCCCTTCGTCATACTAAAGCCCTCTATCCGCGACATTTCATGTTTGCTCCTGTACATTCACCCGTCCCTACAGAATATTGCATCTAGCACCCTGAAAGAGCAAAACAACAAGAAATTCAACTTCAAAATGTCTCTTGATCGTCAGATATCAGAGCTAACAAGCGTTGTCCAATCTAGCAGAGATGGCATTGATGATACCACCCGGTTCAAGGCCATTAAAGCCGCGCAGGGATTACTGGCAGCCTTGGGCTCTCCAGCCGAGACAGTCATTCAGGATGTCGTTCTGGTAAGTCTTCAGGATCATGCTGCCCATTCCCGTTGATATGCCCATTAACCTGCATGAAAGAATTCGGTCCTTCTCATGGCACTTCGTATGGGTGTCCAACTCGATGTTTTCAAGACCATCAGAGACAGTCAAAGTCATGTAACGACCACACAGCAGATTGCCGATAAATCCGGCGCAAGTGTAGTTCTCGTGGGTAGATCTCCCTTATCTTATCAATCTCTATATTAGCCCTCATTGAATTCGAACTCGTGGGTCGACGATGGATACACACTTCGTTTCTCTGTGGTCCCACTTTGGAAGGGGCGATCATAATTGTTTGCGGGTGCAGTATCATGGTGAACATGCACCAAACACAGATTCCGACAAAAGTCCGAATAATGCATACTGACACTGCACCGCCCAGACCAAATCATGAGGCTGCTCGCAGCTTCCGGTTATGTTTTGGAAGATGATGTCCAGTCATACAAACCATCGCCGCTCACAATGGTAATGGCTGAGCCTACCTTCGAAGCCACCACTCGAGCATGGTAAGTCCGTCAGACACACCAGCAGACTGGCGTCAGCTTATCCGAGGCCTTTTAGCTTCGATATTGGCAACTTCTGTACCACAAGAGCCCCGGAATTCTTCCGCAACAATAGCAACCAGTTCCCCAAATCCGCCAAAGACACACCTTTCCAGCTCGCAATGAACACGGAGCTCAGTTATTTCGAATGGCTTGGTCACAATCCCGAGCTGGCAAAGGACTTCCAACAATGGATGACCCTGAAGCAGCAAACAACACCAAACTGGGCCGACTGGTTCGACATCAAACACTCTATCACCGACGGTTTCAATGATTCAGCTAACAACGTCCTCCTCGTTGACATCGGAGGAGGCGAGGGCCATTACCTGCATGCATTGAACGAGAAAGTCCCCTCTCTCCCCGGACGTCTAGTTCTGCAAGACCTGCCACCCGTTGTATCAAGTATTAAGACTCCTCCGAAAGGAACCGACTTGATGCCTCATGACTTCTTCACTCCGCAGCCGGTGAAAGGTAGGTGCAGCCAGGCTCCACAAATCAATGCCGCAATCAAATATGCTGACGGTCTTCCTATCTCGCAGGTGCTCGAGCATATTATCTGCACTGGATCCTTCACGACTGGGCCGATGAACAAGCCCGCCATATCCTCAGCAATATCGTCGAAGCTATGGAACCTGGGTATTCCCGCCTCATTATCAATGAGTATATCATCCCTGATAGACAATGTGACTTTCCCACTGCGTGCATGAGTATCATGATGATGATTCAGGTTGGCGCGTTCGAGCGTTCTGAGAAGCAATGGCGTGAATTGCTCAACTCTGTCGGTCTGGATAAGATCGTTTTCCATCAGCCGCCTAGTGGTGGCGAAGGTATTATTGAGGCTATCAAAAGTCCCAATTGAATGGACTGCTGTACATAGATAGCGCTTCGTGCAGCGGGCGGCTGACGATGCGTTTGAGTAGGTAAATGGTCAATTCTTATAAAATCTAGAAAGCAAAGCGAGCAACAAGATGAATTCTGATTTTATTGTAACTAGTTAACAATACTGTATAAAAGCAGAAGCAAGTAGCAGCTGGAAGAGTTGAGTATGAAGGTTGAGTTGGATACGCCTAATTGGGCAGGCGGGTGCGAGCCGTTGAATGCTGCAGATAGAACTTGGGCGGTCACATGGGACTCGTGACTACACGCTTACCTGCCTAGTCTATCGTAATACTTGTACTACTACACAGTTATGGCATCTGGATCCGCTAAAGGAATCATTGCAGTTGAGCAGGTATTATGTACAAATGTTGGCTGGATCAGATCTCTTCGAACCCATTTCGTTCTTCTAGCTTGGAACAAATATAGATACATCAACGAGGTGCCTCGGGGTATATGATAAACTAAACAGCGGCGCCGCTCAAAATGTGTTACAGATCGGGAAGAAGACTAAAGCACCTCAGATGAATCAATCGGTGGATTGTTGGCTCGGAGAGAACAGAATAGGACAAAGGGAACAATAGACCAATCTTGTCGCTGTGTCCGCTGGAAACAACACAAGATAGTCATTCATCCCCTTTCGCCAAGACAGGCTGGATGCGCATCAGTTGCTCCGGTCCTGCTGCTCCAACTTACCAACGAGTTTCTTCATGCCCGCCCATTCATCGGCAGGAACGTCTTCTGGAGTACCGCTGAGACCCTTTCCGACTTCAAAGACAGTAACGACACCATCAAGCCCACCCGTTGCAATGCGCCTGCCCTCGCGCTCTTCCCAGGCTACCTTGTTGAGACTCCTCGTTAATATACCTCCACGGCCCTTGGACGGTGTTGTCTTCACGACGGGGACTTCGGTGTCTGTGTAGAGATCCCAGACTTCGAGGTTTCCAGCACCGTCGACGAGAGAGAAGACACCGGGGCGGTGAGGGGACCATCGTGCATCGTACACGACGTCCTCACGATTAATGTCAAGAATAGGCTCCACAACCTGAGTTGTGGCTATGGCGGAGGTTGCTGGGGCAGTCGTTGCCGGCGGACGGATGCGCCAGAGTCTCACGCTCCAATCCAGACTAGAGCTAAGCATGAGATCGCCCAGATCAACTGGACCGCGAGCCGGATGGAATGCAGTAGACATGATTGGGGCTTTATGACCGCGATACACAAGGCGATGGTCGGTACCAGCCTTGGCCCCGGCTCTATCGTAACGGTGGCATGGGTAAATTCCTCCTTCCTCAGTACCAACGATGAAAAACGTGGGGTCGGACTGCGGAAATGACATCGTCGTGGGTGCAAGATCTTCTGTTTTCGAGGGCGGGGGGGTAGATAGCTCGAGGTATTCTTGAGGCTGAGAAAGCATGTCGACCGTCCAACCGCAGACCACGCCATCTGTTGATGCGGTCAAAATGTTATGGGCATTCTGTGTTCCAATGATGGAAATACTGTAGACCGGGTGCGTATGCCCAGAGCCAGTCAACGGCGTCTTCTGGACGGGGGCGCCACCGCCTGCGCGCGACGACCGAGTATCCCAAAGCAGTACCTGCCCTGAGTACGAACCGCCAACAATGAGATTAGGGTGGAATGGAGAGAATTTGGCGGCTAAAATGTCGGAGGTAGAATGAAAGACATACTCCGGTCGGGAGTGAAGGTGTTGGTTCCAGATCTGGACGAGACCATCGGGCTCATGAGGGGCAGAAGGGTTCTTGGTGTATGCAGCCAGAACAAGTTCGGGAAACTGTGGGGGGTGTCAGATCTCAATGCGAAGCTCATACTGGCGATTAGAGCGACAAACCTTTGGCGAAAAGCTTAGATCACTGATCATTCGCTTCTTGCTCCATCGCTCGTCCCAGAACTGGCAGACCTCCCTAATCCCGCGCCGTTTCCGTCCATGTTCATCGTCGTCTTCTAGTTCACCATCCACTCCTCCAAGCTCGTAGTCTGCTAGCACGTCGTATTCCTCGTCCAGTGCCCGCTCAATGACTTTAGCTGATCGTTCAACGAAATCCAGAAAGTCCTCGGAGGACGTGACAGCCTTTAATTCGTCATCATCTAATGTACGGAGCGGGTAACGCATATTTGAGGCCTCGGCACTGGCTTCATTGTCAGCGTGCTGCTGAGTGGCCTGCAGCTCCTCCTCGATCTCTTTTCGGAGCTTCCTCCGGATCTCTTCGTCGCGTTCGCTATCTCTTTTGCTGCCATTGTTTTCTTCATCATCTGACTCTGTGGTGCCGGACGGTTTCAACTCCTCTGTCTGGACTCCTTTACTGTATGTGACAACTTCGGGTTTGGGCTCAGGGGCGGGCTGCGGCTCAGGAGCCGCGACAAACGGCTCCGTTCCGACCGTTTGAACAGCAATTGACTGTGAGAGTGGTCGCGTAGTTGGACTGAACGCTTCCGTATTGTCGCCACTGAGCTGGCTAGCACTCAGCACCGAGTTAGGCCTACTTCCTTTCCGTGACAGGCCATCGGCTCCGTGGCTAATGGAAGCCGACCCCGGGCGGTCAACTAAACGTGAGATAAGATCATCGAGCTCAGCTCGACTATCTGCGCGGCTGGGGGCAGGGGAGACGACCTAGAAAGACAAGTAGACTTGAGCGCTGGCCCCTTTTCCAAGCGACATGGGAGACCATGAGTGAGGGGGAAAGGGTCTCTCTACCTCAGAAGCATCGCCGGTGTTAGCTCGGGTTTGCGAGAATTCCTTCTGCCGCAGCTCTCTCTGCCGCTTCAGTTCGGCGAGTTTGGCTCTCTTGGCAAGGATCTCGGCCTTGCGCTGTTGCATAGCCGAGGACATGATGGGAAGGAGGGGGGAGGGTTAGAGGAAGGGTGAATCCCTCCAGACCACGATTCGGCTGGCTTTAGACTCGGGGACGAAGTAAATAAGGGAAAGGCGGCGTTCGTTCGCGTTCCCTTGGGACTTCCCCGTGTCTGTCCCGCGCCCAGGGAAACCCGGGTTGGTGATGACATAAGCGCCAGAGGGCCCGACGGTCCGGAAAAACTCGCGACAGGAACTTCGTCTTTACCCAGCTCTCTGAGTATCCTGTCCGATTGCCAGCCATTGACAGTCGATCCCTTCATAACGGTCGCTCGGAATCCGGCCTTGCTATCTCTCGTCTCACTGATCTGTTCCATTGCCGCTCCGGAGGCCAGGGTTCTCATAAGATGGCTACCACACAGGGTGTCAACGTGAGTGTCATCAGTATCCGCCCTGGACCCATTGTGATGATACAGGACCCTCGAGGTTAACCCGCTCCCTTCGCCCATCCAGGTTCTGCGCTATTCGGCCCTCGTTGCCGGTCTCGTCTACGGTTTCTACCACCAGTCTTCGATCACCGCCACTGCTAAGCACGCCGAGGCCGAACGTGAATATGCCCGCCAGGAGCGCCTGATCGAGCAGGCCAAGGCAGAGTGGAAGAAGAAGACGGCGCCCAAGGACACGCAAAACAGCGGAGGTACGTCTTGGTGCTAGCCCTTATTCTAAATCCCCTTTCCCAGTGCCGAATTGCTGTCCCCATTGATAAACCCCTCAGCGGCATGTACCGGACCCCAAAATGCTAACTAGGGAACGTGCACAGTCATTACGGATCCCGAGGACAGCCGGTTTGACCTTGAGGCTTTCCTGAAGATGAAGGCTGGCGAGAACTAGAATGGGATGGAAGTATACGGCACGCAGATGAAGTTGCAGTTATCTCTCTAAGAGCCGTACCTCTTGAAGGTATGGGCGAGAGATCTCGGGTCGGCCCCGATTATGTATTATTGTTTGGTCTAATTTCCCAGAGTCGTGTCATTGCGAGCGAAAGGAATGATTTTTCTTTTTCCACTATAGACATCATCCCCGCATCTTGTACATACCCTGGGCTGTTGTGCGTCTGTATCACTACAGTTGGACCAGAAGAGCAAGAGATTCTGTATGCTTCGGTTTCATTGCTGATCTCCTTCTCGTACTGAGTGCGCTTGCGCAATATTATGCCCATTGTCCATGGGGCTGTTCTATGATATGCTCCGTGACGCCGTCAGGTCGTTACATGCGGACTCGGGATGTTGCGCTCTAGATCTGTAGTCATCCGATGTCTCCGTCATGTCCCGCCTGTTACTGTAGGATAAACGAATTGCAAGGTAGCCCCTGGCTTGCAAACTCCAAGATACGCTTAACTCCGGCGATTTCCGATCAGCGCCATGACCTCACTCAGTTCATTGTACAGTCGAACATCTTTCTGAGGGACTTCATCGACGATCGGTTTCGGGTGCAACAGCCCTTTCTCCTGATCCCACGTCCATCCATACGCTATGAACTTTTGCATGATGGCCGGATCGCCCTGTTGTGCGGCCGCAGGATCAAGGCCGAGATAGGTTGCAGCGGCTGCTGGCCTTATCGCCTCATAGGCTCTGCTGACTTCCTTTAACGTCTTTTCCTGGAAATGAGCTAAATAGAGTCAGCAAGTGAATGACGTAGCAAAAGGCAAGGCATGTTCGAGAAAATGGTTCGCCTTACATTCATAACTTTGGACTATGGGTTGGAGTGCTTCTGGCCACGGCAGTTCTCGCAGGATCTTATAGACTTGCTCATAATTCCGTTGCCAAACGGCTCGGAGAAGCGTCAAACAATTCTGTAGCGACGAGTCATTTTGTAATAATTCTTGTGGCATGCGTTGTGTCGTTAGGCGAGCTTCGATGCTGCATAACTTGCGGATTAGCGATTTGCCAACTTGTGGGGATCGCCGGGGATTAGCTTACGTCTTGTCTATGAGAAGGTTGGAGAAGAAGTATGTAGAGTAGTAAAGACTTAGTAGTTCTGCATGTTTGCCCTTTTGCATGGAGAGCAGACAAGCCTGGCTTTCATAGTCTGATAGTGTTTCGTAGAGCTCCGTCGGCGTTTTAGCAGAGGCAACGACGGCGGTCAGTTGCTCTTGTGAGAGTGGGGGAAGATCCATGGTGAGGAGCCAGTAGAGCGGTCGCGAGAGTTTGGGGTGCTTGGTTTTATTAAGTCTTCTTGAAACAAACAAGGTGTAACTATTTGGATGATCGACTGATGGCCGACTTAACTTGAGCTGATACTAAGCACTGACGGTGCGGGGACGTTTCGGAGGAAAACCCCCCAAACCCGCAACGGAAAGGGAACTAGTAACAAATACTAACAAAGTATTGTGGTTGACTTGGGTGACTTACGTACCTGGCGCCAAGCCCCAGAAGAGACCACCTTGCGAAGCTCTCGACACTCTTCAATTCATTCCCCCGTTCACGACACCTCCCAACCCTTCCCTCTCATCAGCTCCCGGGACAGGTCGAGGGCTGTTTGCTCATCTTTTTTCCCATTGGATCTTGATTCTTTTCTTCCCTGGCCATTATGGCCGAATCACCCCTCGATGTCCTCTTGAAGGGTAACTCCGGCAGAACAACACGCGGCCTTCTGCGGATTATCATTCTAGCTACCATTGCCGCTGCTGCTGTGTCCAGTCGTCTGTTCAGTGTGATCCGTATGTCTCTTAACTTATAAGATCGGGTCAATTGAATTATCGTTACTGACATTTGCCCTCTAGGATTCGAGAGTATTATCCACGAGTGTATGTTTTGATACCGATCCTCCCATCTATACCTTCAAGCTACCGCGGATCCGGCATTCGACACCGTGTGCAGCCAACTTCACTTCCAATACCAATCAATGCTAATGTAGCTCACTCCTACAGTCGACCCCTGGTTCAACTTCCGCGCAACAAAATACCTGGTCTCCCATGGCTTTGAGAGCTTCTGGGACTGGTTCGACGACCGTACGTTCCTCTTGCCAAGCCTGCCTTAACCTACATATACTGATTTAAGATGCTGCTCAGGAACATGGCACCCTCTGGGACGTGTCACTGGTGGCACACTATACCCCGGTCTCATGGTGACCAGCGGTGTTATTTACCACGTCTTGCGGTTCCTCACTATCCCTGTCGATATCCGTAACATCTGTGTCTTGCTTGCCCCGGGTTTCTCCGGTTTGACCGCGCTGGCAATGTACTTCCTGACTCGCGAGATGGCGACATCCCCCTCCGCTGGTCTCCTCGCGGCTGCTTTCATGGGTATCGTCCCTGGATACATCTCTCGTTCCGTCGCAGGCAGCTACGATAACGAGGCCATCGCCATTTTTCTGCTGGTGTTCACCTTCTTCCTGTGGATCAAGGCTGTTAAGAATGGCTCCATCATGTGGGGTTCTCTGGCGGCCTTGTTCTACGGCTACATGGTGTCTGCCTGGGGTGGTTATGTCTTCATCACTAACTTGATCCCTCTGCACGTTTTCGTTCTTCTGTGCATGGGCAGATACAGCTCGCGTATCTATATCAGCTATACCACTTGGTATGCTCTGGGAACTCTGGCCAGTATGCAGATTCCTTTCGTCGGATTCCTGCCGATTCGCAACAGTGACCACATGTCCGCACTTGGTATGTACTCTCATTTAACCGTAGAGAAGAGCGTTTGTACTGATCTTGCCAGGTGTCTTCGGCCTCATTCAGCTCGTGGCCTTTGCTGACTTCGTCCGGGGTTTCATTCCGGGCAGGCACTTCCAGAGACTTCTGACTACCATGATCATCGTTGTATTTGGCATCGCTTTCGTCGGACTCGTCGTCCTCACCGTGTCCGGAGTGATCGCCCCTTGGAGTGGTCGTTTCTACTCTCTGTGGGATACCGGCTATGCCAAGATCCACATCCCTATCATTGCGTCCGTCTCCGAGCACCAGCCCACTGCTTGGCCGGCCTTCTTCTTTGACCTGAACTTCTTGATCTGGCTCTTCCCTGCCGGTGTCTACATGTGCTTCCGGGATCTCAAGGATGAGCACGTTTTTGTCATCATCTACTCGGTGCTTGCCAGTTACTTCGCCGGTGTCATGGTTCGTCTGATGTTGACTTTGACCCCTATTGTTTGTGTTGCGGCTGCTCTGGCCCTCTCCACCATCCTCGACACGTATGTATTCGCGAAGAATGGCCCCAACCCCCGCGCCAAGGCGAACGACGACACCTCGGACGGTCTTCGTTCCACCAGGAAGCCCGATGTCGGTGTCACGTCCTACCTGTCCAAGGCTGTTATGACCTCCTCCGTTGTCATCTATCTGCTTCTCTTCGTTGCGCACTGCACCTGGGTCACCTCGAACGCATACTCCTCCCCGTCTGTGGTTCTCGCAAGCCGCTTGCCTGATGGAAGCCAGCACATCATCGACGACTACCGTGAGGCGTACTACTGGCTTCGTCAGAACACCGAGCACAACGCCAAGATCATGTCCTGGTGGGATTACGGCTACCAGATTGGTGGTATGGCAGACCGCCCTACCCTGGTTGACAACAACACGTGGAACAACACCCACATTGCCACTGTCGGTAAGGCGATGAGCTCTCGTGAGGAAGTCAGTTACCCCATCCTCCGTCAGCACGATGTTGATTACGTGCTGGTGGTGTTTGGTGGATTGCTGGGCTACTCCGGTGACGACATCAACAAGTTCCTGTGGATGGTCCGTATCGCTGAAGGTATCTGGCCCGACGAGGTCAAGGAGCGTGACTTCTTCACTGCCCGGGGTGAATACCGGGTGGATGACGGAGCCACCCCGACTATGCGTAACAGCTTGATGTAAGATTTACCCCTGCTTGCCATGGCAGTGATATGATGCTAACAGCGACCCAGGTACAAAATGTCCTACTACAACTTCAACTCGTTGTTCGGTCCCGGCCAGGCCGTTGACCGCGTGCGTGGATCGAGACTCCCCGCGGAAGGCCCTCAGCTGAACACGCTCGAGGAGGCATTCACCAGTGAGAACTGGATCATCCGCATCTACAAGGTCAAGGATCTCGACAACCTTGGCCGTGACCACAACAACGCGGTGGCCTTTGACAAGGGCCACAAGCGCAAGCGCGCTACCAAGCGCAAGGGCCCTCGTGTCCTGCGGACCGAGTAAAGGTCCAGGTGTCGTTGATAGATACCAGGTTGGGTGTAAAATTGATCCCTTCTTCTTCTTCATTTCTTAGCATGTCATTTTCAATTCCATGTTCTTGTACGTGTCATCACCATATAGGCGGAATCATAGAAGTTGTCCATCTGGTTAGAGGCTGTAGACTGTACATTTTACCCCAAACACCAAATATGAACCTTGAGTGAAAATGATGGTGCATCGAACACGGATATCCTTCGAATAATATACAGATAAAAAGTAAGAAGCGAGCAGAGATTTCCACTAGACCAGCAACACCATTCATTTACACACATCCACCTCTTCCCTTCCGTAGCATCCCAACCATCCACCACAATCAGCCTACCACCACTTGCGCACCCAAACCCAGCACAAATCCAACACAGAAAGATAAATATACAGTAGATTCATAGTATTCAACCTAACTCCAATCCCAATACACCATTATCAATCCATGCACAGCTCAATCAGCATATGATGAAACCGGAGGTAAAACAACAACAGTATTTCGCAAACGCAATATCCAATCAATCGATCGAGTCAAAGTAAAGCAATCATTGCTTCTTAGCCGGCTCATCGGGAACCTTCACGTCCGAGAACTCATCCTGTCCGACGGCGCGGATGGTGTAGGCGTCTATGCAACCACGGAGAGACAACGTTAGCTATAATCTTTCCTTGAATGGGTCCGGAGACTATCATGAGGTATGATTGCGCATGCGCGCATCCACAACAAGAAGCAGCAACAGTGCTGGATAGAAGGTCTGGACGTACAAACACTAATGGTAAAAGACACCAAGGCAAGACCCGTCAAGGCATTCTTGAATAGATACGGGCGACGGGCACGGAGAAGGGCCGCTCCGGCGCGGTAGTCTTTGCCGTAGTAGGTGGAGTTGAAGCTGTGGTTTTATCGAGGTGTGAGTCAATGTCTTTGGGGGTTTATCTTGCGATGGATGGGATGGGGGTGATCGGGGTAGTTAGGTAGTAGTGGGGGGTGGATGAGTCGAATGGATCTGTTTGGGATAGGGTGTAATAGCAATGGAAGGGATATTGGGACGTACATTCCGGCAGGCATTGTGGAAAGGTTGAGTCTGTGCTGACTGATTGAGGTTTTTGGAGATGAGGGTTCTGGAGAGGGCCGTTTTTTCTTTCGGAGGTGAACGGGGAATTCGGAGAGGATCGATTTGACGCCTTCATTGGGGGGGATTCGGCCCGGGCTTGGCGGGCCTAAGGTGGCTGGCCGAGGCGGAGCCGCGGGGATTATTTATCTACTTGTTTACTCTAAACTGGTTCATGGTGCAGGATGTACTCGTGTATATCTTTTTCAGGATGAATTTCTCATATTTTAAATGCAGTAGATTGTTTCATTGGTGCTCAATTGGATCAGCATCTACTCGGAATCGCTCTGGGTTGCAGTAGTATCCACTATCTATATATATACTCCTACTATTACTACTGAAAGTACTTCCATCACGTCCAACAACATAAACAATAAGTAATAGTCTGGGTTGGGGTTTCATCTGTGTGCTTTTCATTTTCCCACCGTCTTGTTGCGTGTAACATATTATATATCCCCTGCCTCATAATCCATCTTCTGTCTTTCTTAAATCATAGCATCGCGCAATGGCTGTATACTCTGCTATATAGAAGAAGATATCGTGATGACATTCATCAGCACTGTCTATCCCTGTTCTACTGTTGTGGTTACGATAATCTGCTGCTGACTTTCGTTATCGCAACTTTCAAGATCGACTTTACCCTTCCTTTTAGATTTATGAGCCCAATGACTCCGTTCGCTGAGATGATATCCGCTATGATCAGGGCCATTTCTCCAATCTCGGCCCGGATCGGTGCTCTTTCTGCTGCTGTTCAGTCCCGGAATGTTTCTAAGCAGAACCCGCAGCGAAGGTAAAGAGCCGGTAATTAGGCCGAGCGCATATTCGACATTCATCAATATGAGTGGAACCGCGCCGACGTCTATGATGTGTGGATTAGTAGAGCAAGTTTGTAGCAAGGGAAAGAAGAGACGTCATACATGTATAGTCGGTCGAATTAACTTGGAAATCTAATAGCGGAATGCGTGCCAGACCGGCACTGCAGGCCACGAATCCTTCGATCAATTAGTCTAGGATGTTCAGGGAAAGGAAACCGACAACTATGCAAACATACCAAGACAAAATAATCCAATAATGAATAGACGGCGCTGAACAGGCATTTGGAGCTTCCAGATCGTTGGCATTGGAAGAGTGATGATGCTCACATCGAATAATAACATCAGTATTGCCTGATACAGCTGGAGGTCCTCTAACACGGCATTTGAAAAGCACTTCGAGTTTGGGACGGTCGAGTCCCACGCTGCCTGCACTGGCCAGCACTGGAAGATCAAGGGTAATTCCCCCGAAACGGTGACGATGGCCATGAGCACCATGATTCCCAGTCCAATCCGCCGGATCCATTTGGTCGGAAAAACGCGCAAGATGAAAACAGTAAGGCTACATTTGACAGCCAAGGCCACCCAGAGATATAGGCAGAACAAGATATAGACGTACTACAACGGTGAGCCAGAGGCAATCAAATGGCAAAAAAAGCACTAACCTTCTCCATCATGATCATATCTGCAGTAGGAACAGTCTCCTGATGGTAGCCAATTCCATACGTTGTGAGAATGATAGAGAGGGCTGCGAACACAAGGACCATGCACTGCTCAGTGCGGTTAAGAGTGGGTTCATTTTCATCCCCCATAGAAAATCGTACATACCAAGGCAAGAAGAACAAGACAGTCATCCAGGCCGAATGCATGCGTGATGAACCCTCGAAGATAGAGCTAGGGAGACGCAGGTCGATCAGCTCGTGTATGCTGTCATTGTAGAACGGTTAACATACTCTGAGACAGCAAACGATCAGAGTGAGAAGACCGAATGCACCGATCACTCCCCTCACTGTATATACCATTGGAGGTGCCGGATCAGGAAGATGCATCGGAACGCCACTTGTACCGGCCATTATTTGTCAGTCGCTCTGGTGACTTCCTAGCCTGTGGTCTGATTTCCTCATTCCAAGCTTATTCAAATGAACATAGCCTCAGTAAGGCGATGCCCGCAAGCAAACAGCGCGACAACAGACCCCTGACCGGTGTCCCTGTCAAGTGAATTCCACACATCGCGACATTTCAACTTCTGAAATAAGTAAGGCATGTAGTTGCAGGGATCCGCTTCCAATGCGGCCCACTGCAGGGTAGATGTCCTGTTAAAAGACATAATGTAAGTGCATATAATTGAATGAACAGGGAAGTTGATCCTGATAGTGCCCAAGTGGGCCAGTGATGTGCCACTCTGTTGTCTTTGAGACGAACGTGAGCCGTCATTCGATTCTGGGCTGTCATAGTGGCCCACTTGGCGGATGAACGGGCCGGTGAGTGACCGTTGGTTGCGGAGGCTGCCACGGCCAAGATGGTGTCAATGCCTCGCTTCATGACATAGAAAGACAACTTACACAGTAAAGGTAAGCCATCGATGACCATGATCACAGCGTACCGTTGCGAGCATGGCCGCTGGTCTTGGTCAATGCATCCGCATCAGCTGGCTCAGCCCTGACTGGCTCGAGCCTGATGACATCTTTCAATTTACTGGGAGGCGCAAGCGATGTATGCGACGGCGTCAGACTAGTAAGGAATCCTGGTTACACTATTTCTTTGTTAGCTGGACTATTAATTTCGGGATTGAACGGCTGTCGTGGGTTGCTTTAAAGGAGGCTAAGGAGGGATGGGACGATTGCAACCTGTCAAGGACATGGTTTGCATAGAAGATCTTGTCTAAACGGCGAGAATCATCACCTCGTTGACCATCATCGAACTCCGTGACTGTATTATTCCACTTGGCTCCTCCTCAAACATACCTTCCAGCATGTCGAATAGTCCTGGTCTGCTGGCTTTAAGCCCACTTGACCACATCCCGGCGAAGCTCTTCCTGCCGTACATCCTGTACTTCGACACGGTTGACACGCAAACAGCCCTATTCACCCTCCAGAAAGGCATTGACAAGTTGATTTCAGAATTGCCCTGGCTTGCCGGAGATGTGATTCTTCACACCGCGCCAGAAGGGCCCAAGAACCGAATGCATATTGCGCCCCCATGTATCCCTCTTTCTGAGGTCCCTATGCTGAAGGTCAAGCACTTTGACGGCGATAAAGATTCTAGCTCACAACCCATTCAATCCTTCCTCCCTCTGCCTACATTTATTCCAGCCTCCCAACAGCGTCCCGTTCTTCGCTTTCAGGCAAATGTCTTTTCTGGCAGGATTATTGTGGCCATGTCCTTCTGGCACAGCGTCTTTGATGGTACCGGGGCCGGTGTTATCCTTGAAGCAGTCGCCGAGTGTTGCAAGTCAACCAGCGAAGAGTTTACAACCAACCTCGTGCAGACTATCGCGGAGACCCATGCTGAACTCCGGAAGAAAGTCTCGAACTTTCCATCTGAATGTGTGACGCGCCTCGACCACAGCGTTGAGTTAGGAACACCTGTTTTTGATCCCAACATTTCCACCGAGCAGTGGAATGCAATGGAATCTGCCTTGGCCTCCACGGTCGAGACAAAGCGATACACCTTCAGCCCCGAGAAAGTCGCCAAGGTGAAGGATATTTGTACCCAACTCATGCCGCAGTTGCGGTCCTCGGAGTGGATTTCTAGCAACGATGTTATTACCGCAACACTGGCCATCTGCGTCGACCGAGCCCTTCACCCAGAGCGGGCAGACAAAACCCAAAGCGCCGATTTCCTGATGGCCGTCGATTTGCGAAACCGAGTTGATCCTCCGCTACCAGAGACCTACCTTGGGAACTCGATCTTCCCTGTCCACGACGATATCTATTCTGAAGCAATGGCAGGTCAGACAGGGGATGGTGCAGACACCCTACACCTAGCGCAGTTGGCACTGCGTATCCGCACCAAGCTTACATCAATGGACAAGACTCTCATGTATAGTGCATCAGCCGCCGTCGCCGACTATGAAGACTGGACCAAAGTCGAAGCAGGACCCGCGGGGATTATCGTAACCAGCTGGAGAGGTCTCAAGGTCTTTTCGCTAGATTTTGGCGCCGGACTGGGCCACATTGTAGACTTCGAGCCCGGGCTAACGCTTGTCCCTGGTGGGTGTATCTTTCTGCCGTCGCGGACGTCCTTGGAGAAGAGTGGGTCGATTCCGATGTGGGAAGTATGCATCACCCTGAAAGCCGGGGATTCCCAAGTGCTGGAGAAGGATCCACTGTTTAACCGGATTTTGGCATGATATATGTTGGAGTGTGGATTATGGGTGTATGAAGTGTACTACGTGACTTTTGATGACTGAATTTTTTGTTGACCATACTAGCAATGTTTCTGAATTATATGCCGAATACGGGGCACTCTAGACAGTGTCAGCAATGCTGCTTAGTATATCCACATGCTGCTATTCCCATCTTATACCGGACCCGTGGGTTGTGCTCCAGGCCATTTTAGTGCCGGCCGATCATCAATAGGTCTAGGGTAGAATCCCTGACACTCGTGCATGGTGAGCATTATACTATAGACGTGCGAGCTCCATTTGTCTTTACCAATGGCAGATAAGACACATAAGGCTTGAGCCTTTCCCGGATGGGGATGATGGTGTAATGGGTAGGATGGCCATAGACATGAAATAAATGACTATGACGGACAGGATAAACAAGTGACGGTGGATGCCGCGAGACAGCCTCACGTGACCATTGTGTCAAGCGCCGGCCAGATTCCTGCTTCGGCTGCCGTCCATCCATTCATTCAGCTTGACTTCCTCCAACCAGCAACCACCCATTATCCTCCTCCTTTCTCTCTTCCTCCCTTGGGCTTCTCGATTGATATTATATATTGTATCTCCAATTTCCTCGGTTTAACCCGAGTCATCGTTGCCTTCCTCCCCTATTCACCAGTCATCGGTACTCACCTCTACGCTGTATGCGCCGCGTCGGCAGATTATCTAGTCGCATTCTAAGCCCGGTGCTTGCACCGTGAATGTCCCTCTCCCCTGCGTAGACAACCTCAACCAGTTCCCTTCTGCCTTGCAAACCTGTTCTCTCAAACCTCGTCTTTCCTTCCATTTGGCCGGCTCAGTCGGCCATTGAACCAGTCGTAATGGCTCAGTCGACCGACCACCTCGTCGATCAGATCGCCCAGCTGAACGCCGCCCGAAACCTCGTCCTTGGCGATGCTGCCTTCTACCCACAGATCGTGAACGGTGTCCTTCCGTTAATTGGCGCAAATACACGCCTGGAGTTGCGACAATGGGGAGCGGAGTTCCTGGCTGAGACGTTTGCCAGTCCCGCGTTGGCATCGGCTCAGAAGGAACAGTTGGCCCCGAAAGTGCTGCAGACATTACGGGAGATATTGGAATTGCCGGAAAGAGATCCTATGGTTTTGAAACATATAGTGCAGAATGCGGCCAGTTTGTATCCGCTGGTGTTTAGGCATATGTAGGTGACTGATGCTTGCTTCTGTTTCGCCCCCCTCGGGAGAGCTCTCGTAGATTGCTGCATGGCGCTGCAATGTGAATTAGAGCATCCACTGGGCTTTGCAGTGTACTAACGCTTGACCTTGCAGTATCAATCACCCCGCAGAGGCAACCGCTTGGGAAAACATGACAGCCATTAAACAGGACATTTTACGCCGATGGGACTCCTTCCCTTTCCCCGTTAAGATCTGCTGTATCAAGTTCGTGCAGCGAGTCGTCCACGTGCAGACGCATGGTCCCATCGCCGACCCTAGAGTATGTCCCACTGAGATCTTGCGTATTCCGCTGAGATTAACGTCGTTTTCCTAGCGACCCGACCAGAATGAGACGTCCTTGGCCATTGTGCCCCGAAACCATGCAATTTTGTCTCTTCCAAACTTGGAAGCAGAGGCCTCCGGATTGCTGGATCGACTTCTATCTGTCTTCCAAGAAGAATCAAGGTATTCAAGGCCCCATTGCCGTTTGCTTACGTCAATCTTAGATGTCGCTAATACCCTCAAAGTGATCCCCTTCTTGTCAATGCGACATTGAACTGCCTGGCCGTCCTCATCCGAACCCGACAGTCCGTGGGTAACAAGATCATCAACGCGATCATGAACTTCTACCCTGCGAGACAAGTGCGCGCTCCCATAACCCCCTCGGTCCGAGTCAGTGTGAAGTCGATGGAACGGACCGCCAGAGCGGTGATGATCAATATACTCAAGAGGTGAGACGATATGGTGGCACGGGACGGGATGCATTGCTGATGGATATACTCAGGAACCCTAACCACCCCCTGGCGGGCAAGATGCAGCAATATATCGACCGATTGATGCAATCGCGTATAGAAGTCGCCGACGAAGCCTCGCGGAAGCGCGGTTTGCCCTCTGAGCCAACAGACGGGCTAGACAACACTAAACGGGCGAAACTCGACGCTGAAACGCCCGCACTGATCAAGATTCCGCCGTTGCCACCAGGCCCGATTAGCTATTCACAGCTCTTCACACTCACTGAAGACAGGGAGCTGTCGAACTTCGACGTGAAGCAATTGCCTACCGATATTGTACTCAAGATTGTTGTTCCTCTCCTAGGTCGGGTCGATCAGTCGATGATGCAGCAGTCCATCGAGGTATGCTGAAATTAGAACAGGGGATAAACACCAGTGCTAACGAAGCCTTAGGCGATTCGTATGCGATATCAAACAATCCAGAAGCAGCAGGCTGCACAGCCTCCAGCGGCGACAGCGGAGGCGGAGGATGACGACGACTATGAACCCGAGTACCAGCCCATGGACATTCCCGAACCGGCAGCCGAGCAAGCGGAAGCCGTGTCCGCTGAAGTGGCCGACCTCCAACCGGATCTAGTATCTCTAGGCCCTTTTGTCTTACCCCAGCCGCCGCCTCTGACAGAAGATGAAGCCGCAGACATTGGTCGAAGTGCTGTCGGGAGAGTGTTTGGCATGTTGACGTCTACCGGAGTTGCCCCTAACCCAGCCAAAGGGAAGAGTCAACAACAACTCGGCTTTGCTCGCCTGGCTGGAAGCACTTTCGACCGTGACGCCTGGATGACCCTGCTCACCAGACTTGCCACTCGAGCCCCAGCTGGTCTGGAACCGGGAGGCGGCAAACTCGAGAAGGGAAAGGCCCCAATATCGGACTCCATCCGAGAAACCCTTTACCGATATATCCTAGAGGACTTTCGCGGTCGCGTGAACATTGGCATCATGTGGCTTAATGAGGAATGGTACAACGACCGGATGCAAATGGAGTTCACTGCGCAGCAACGGCGCGGAGAGGACGAGGAGGTAACAGTCCCGTTACACTACGATCACTGGGTCCTGCGACTCCTGGATGGGTTCCTCCCGTACCTGGACTCTCGAGACACGAAGATTCTCATCCGCTTCCTCAGTGAGATACCCGAAGTGACGATCCCTATCACCAAGCGAGTGGCCAGTTTAGCAAAGGATCCAGAACGCGTGAATCTATGCATTCAATCTCTACTGTACGTTCAAAACCCACCCAGAAGAAAGCAAACCTCATACATCAAGAAGCTAACAACATTCCAAGATATCTGATCATGTTCCGGCCCCCCGCACGGGAGATGTGTCTCAACGCCCTCGAGGACGTCTACGATACCTGTATGTTGCATTCTTCCCCCGCACAGACTACCCCGACGCTAACCATCCTACCCCACACTTTAGACGAAGAATCCCGTCCCTTGGCCGGTAAACTACTCGCCAAATGGCGTCCCAAGAAGACCGAAGGACAGCAACAGCAAGAACACGAAGGGCAACAAACACCATCTCAGACTCCTCAATCTCAGCAGCAGCAACAGCAGCAGCAAACCATCCTCGCATCCCGTCCCATCACATCATCGGAATCCCATACCCCCCTCACCAACGGCACGGAAGAATCGAACCCCACTCCCCCGCCGCCACAACAGCCACAACAACAACCAGATGCCACCCCGGCCACCACCTGAGCAAGAAGAGGAAGAGTCTGTAACCAATACACCTCCACGCATCTAAAGAAATACCTACTGTGCTTTGTATTACTTTGTAACTGCAACAGACACAATCAAAGAGAGACTACATACATACAAGCATATCTATCAATACCTCTGTCACGGATGATTCCCCCTTTTGCTGATCGCGTCACTCGCATAGACTAAATAGTCGATCACTTTATTGAACTGAATGTATCGGGTATTATCTGTCAAAGGAGAACCGCGTCTTCCCAATAGTAGTTCTATTCTAGTACGGTAGTAGTAGTTATCTTATCTTGATGTGGGGGATACTACCCAGTAATTCGAAATAGCGGGGCTTATCTATCCTATTCATCTAAGTAAGTTTCAATCTATACCAAGGTAGTATTGGATTAATACATGCTTATGTAGCTTGGGAATTAATTCCGCTCGGATATGTTGATCCGGTACTTGTGGCTTGTGGCTTGGTAAAGATACTTGGTGAGATACGGATGTGACTAAGGAATTAGAGTACGCCCACCCCGTGTATGGTGAATGACACGAAGACGGATTTTATGGAAGATTTTTAATAGATGTACTGATCATCGAAGAGAGTTTCTATTCTAATAAACCTCCTATGCACGGCTTTCCGTGGTAATAAAGAAAAAGAACACACATATCCCAGAAACGCCAAGAGAGCAAAAGGACGTGACATAACACCGTGGGCATATGTAGTATGTATCATGAACAGCAAGGATAAAGAGAAGAAGAGAAGACGGTAATTGTTTGAAAGAAATCAAAAAGAAAACCCCCAGCAAAAGTATTAGCTATCAGCCGATGCGTCCGTTCGCCCATATTCACACATTGCCCCAAAGCAGTTCCTCATCAAAAAAAAAAGCGAGGTAAGAGGAACCCGCAGAAATTGCAGAATAGATAGATCACTTGAATTCGTCCCTGTTGGTGCCAGTCATACATGCCAAATCCGTACATACATTAGAAACACTCTACAACACCTTAAAGCGAAGCCCTGTACAATGAGCTATGGAGAATATCCACACCTCAGAAGAGAAGATGGTAGATGGTGAGTTTGCTGTTGCGTGATAGAATTTTATTATCGCGCTGCCATCTGATTCGACCCAGGGCCAAGGATCCCCGTTGACTGATGAATGGAGTTGACCGGTCGAGATGAAAGTGGCGGCGAGGAGTCACGTTTTACGGTAGCCGATTGGAACAAACCGAGTCGGGCCGAAGGTGGTGAATAGGCGGCGGCATTTTGAGAGGTTCCTTGGGGAGAGCGGCGACCGAGCGTTGTATTATACGAGGCGGGATGTGGTTTGCGTACATCGAGGGGAGAGGAACTTATTGATCGGAACCCGGATCTCCTCTCTGCCTCGTAATCGGGGTTAGCAAAGGGTCCGGGATTTTGAGGATGTTGTTCTTGGTCGTAGGGGGTGTTGTTGGCTGAGGAGTTTTCGGCGATTGTGGAGGCAGACCCGTTGGGTGCGTGTATGTCGACTACTCGCTTTTGTGCGGCAGGTGTCGTGAACACAGGAGCCCGAGGATTCTCGAAGACACGACTCTGCGGTCGTTGTGGCAGCTGCTGGTGCTGATGTATGGGATGCTGCGGATTGGCCCATGGTGTCTGCTCCAAGAAAGCTTCTTCTGCAGCTGTGCGGTAGACGTTCGATGACATGGCCGGCATGGCACCCCTCGGGAGCGTGGACTGAGACTGTGATGTGGGGACTCGGGGTTCAATGGAGATCTGCATGTCATGTTAGACTGGACGTTCATCGGTTGGCAATGCCTCATGATTTGATTGGACTTACACCCATCTTTTCCAGATCCTCATCAAGCTCCGATGGCCGTGCAGCAGACAGCGCAGGTGCAGCTGGAAAGCCGACATATTTGGCAACTCCTGCCATGACAGAGACCTCTTGATTGTATGCGGTTTGATGGGCAATCTGCTGTGACCGGCGGGTGGGGAATGGAATGTAATGTTGCGGGCTAATCTCGTCCGTCTTGAAGCGATCGTGCTGAATGGAGTAAAACTGCTTGCTGATCGCACTTGAATGCTTTTCGCGAATATCTCGCGTCCGTTGAAAAAAGGTGCTATGCGCTTGAGCACGTTCAGCCAGGCTCTTGTTCAACAAGGCTTTCATCCTGTACTGAAAGAGTGTTTGTTCGTATTTAATCTTCGTATCGCGATACCGCCCGATGCATTCAAGCTGCCGCAGGTATTCAGGATGCGTTGGATTCTTTGCGTCGAGCATCTCCAGCTCCCGGTTCAATTTCGAGATCCTCTCGTCATAGATCCTAGCAGCTATGTGGTTAGCAATCTGACTTATAACGCACAAAGATGCATGGGTTCATACTTGTCTCGTAGGGTCGCAAACTCCCGTTCTAATACGGCGAGTGAATCCATCGCAGATATCCTCTTGGCTGCTAGGTGCGGAGATCAGTATCGGATTGCTGGAGCCGGTATTTCTGGGGTAACTTACACTCTTCCTCAAGTTTGGCGGCAGCAGCTTCACCATCATCCGCATCTTCACCACGTTCCGCGACATCGTCATCGCCAACGTCATCAGCCTCTGCGCCAGTCTCAAGCGCGCCGTTATCGGCTTCGTCGTCAACATCTCTTGTTTTCCGACCTTTCCGCTTGCCCTTCTTAGCTCTCTTACCTTTAGCAGGTACCGCAGGCAAGGTCGACTCGGGGACGTCGTCGGTTGCGATGTCTTCCTCGACAAGCTTGGGGGGTTCGTCCATTGGTTCGGGGGTGAGTACGATATCATCCGGGGGAGGGTCGCTCAGATCACTCTTGACTGAGCCACGGCGCTTCTGGGGCGGCAAATCTTCTTCGTCGATTTCCATAACCCCCTCGTCACCGGACTCTAGCCGCTTGCGCTTCTTGCCAGTGCTTTCTGAAAGCGCTGAGTCCTCGAGCCCGGGTGTATCATCGGCCACTTCAGCGGTGCGGGTAGTTTTGGCACGAGGCTTACTGGGCGAATCGTCCGCCACGTGCTCTTCGTCATCTTCCACATCATCGTAGGTCGTCGACTGAGCCAGCTTGCTTGGACTGGGCTCATAGCCAGTGGCACTCACGACAATATTTGTTTTTGAACGAAAGTTTGGTGAGTCCTCGATGCGCTCCGTCTCCGCTTCTGAATCATTTTCCGGGGCCACTCTATCGGGCTTCGGAGACTCATAGTCGGATGGGATATTTTCAGATACGTCATCAATCTCACTCAAACTGCTAGATCTATCATCACCCATGAATGAGTCGTCCAGAAGGAGGTTCTGTTCGCCATTGGTGACGGCAGAGTCTGCTCCAGCTGGCGCACCCACCGAAACAGGTTCCCTGCTTTCGGCTACCTCCATGGTTATGCGCGAGTGTGAGGTTTATCGATAGGAAGAGGGGAAAGGTCAGAGAGGAAGAATTGAGGACGTTGTGTGTGGAGGTTGTGGTTTGGAGACCTGTGGGGGGTAGGCAGATCCGTGGTTGTCGGTAGGATCAGGGTCGTAAATCTAGTTCAATGGAGAACAAAACGTTAGACAATTTGACAAAAAACATGGTACGGCAAAATAAGGCGATATGAAACTCATTAGCTGGGGAAAAGAGGGAAGAGGAAAATGTCGAGGATGAGAGGGGAGAAAGAGGGTTGCCAAAGGCGGTGCGGAGGTTCTGATCACACCCCAGACGGAGCGAAAGTGACTTTCGCTCCCGGTTTGGGCTCTGGGAACTGCGCCAACCCAACTGCAACGCTCAGGGCGCTGACTCGAGATCCCAGTGCCCTGACAACATCGCGAGTATCTGGCACCAACCAGGTATCCATAAGAAAAGCCTCTAAGAACATACCGTTCAGTAATGCGCCAGCAGCGAAACTCGTAAGACGCAGCTGCCGCGACCGAGTCCGGTTCCCTGAACCACCGCGATCGCGGAGAGAGGAAAGGAGCAAGCCAGAAGAACTCGGAAGTATTGACCAAGACGTAGTATGAATGGCACTCGCCAGGATCCGCGCACGCAAGCTCTCGTCGAGAGGAAGTATTGTACGTAGGAGGAGGTGGTGAAAGTCAACGCTCACGAAGCGGGCAAGACGACAGTGCAGCGTAGCGGGAGGATGGGCGGCATGGAAGAGGAGGGTAGACGGTTGGATGAGGAAATTGTTGAAACCAGCAGAAAGCGAGTGAGTAGTGTGGGGAAAAGAGCCTGGAGATAAAGACCACCAAGTCTGAAGCGCTAGGGAAGCGATGGCAGCTTGGAGGTGCGAGGAAAAGAGGAGGAGAGGCGGCGGCGGAGGGAGAAAGAACCAGAGCAGCAGCAGAGCAGCAAAGCAGCAGCAGCAGCAGCAGCAATGATGGAGATTGATTCACTGACTGGCCGGCCGCTTCCCTTTCGCTGCTCCTCTTCCCGTATACCGCCCGTATCGCGTTCTGCCGGCTGTATCATTGCCGCGCCCCGTGGAGTCTCACCGCTTTGGCCTTCAACCAATCCATTATCCTCGGTCTCGCACTCAATTGAGGACAACAGGACTGTAGAAGAAACTTATCATAGTGTCAGGCTGATGTGAGGTAGATTCATTCAGATATACTACCAAAGCCTCATTTCACTGTGGTTGAGACCTCCATTGCGTTCTCATCAAGTGAACCGCTATCAGTCCCCACGTGACCGTTCCGGCGCCTATCGCCGAGACCCAGAAAAAAAAAAGAGGAAAAAGTAAAAAAAGAGTAGGAAATATCAGAACAGAAACGCCAAGGCAGACAGTACGGAAGCTTGAGAGTTATAAGCCTGTCAGCTTTTTCTTCTTACAATTTTCTTCATTCTTTGAAAGGGACCGGATCCCTAAACTTCTGACATTATGGGAAAGTCGGACAACTCTCTTCCTCTCTTGGGGGCAAAGACATCCATCGATCCTACCCTAGCTGCCTTGTTTGAGACAAGTGTGCGTACCACACATCTTATGCTTCGCGAGTATGTCTTGGACTAACATGGCCCCATTGGGCATATCTAGGCTGGCCCAGTAAAGGCTCCATCCGTCACAATCGCCGCTCCCGCTCCCCAATCAAGCAAGCGCAATGCCGACAATGACGAAGATGAGGATAACGAAGATGTGATCTCCGAACCGGAAGACGAATCTCTGCCTGAGGACGAGGAGATGCAGGAAGCCCCGGAAGCATCGAGCGATGCGGGCAGCGAAAAAGCTGAAGTAGCCGCCGAGGCGCCCAGCCGCAAACGCAAGAGGACCACTGCAGAAGATGTCGAAGACACATACATGCGTCGCATTGCAAAGGAGCAAAAGAAGGAGGATGAAAAGAGACGGGAAGAGAAGGCGAAGCGACAGAAGACGGTAGACGGTGAGCAGGAAGAGGATGCCGAGCAATCAGAGGAAGAAGACGATGATGAGGAGAGCTCTGAAGAGGATGAGGAAAAGAAGGCCGTCCCGAAGCACGAGAGCCAGACTGGTGATGCCGAGTCGAAGGAACTGGACAAATCCAACCGGACTGTTTTCTTGGGCAATGTCTCTAGTGAGGCGATCAAGTCCAAGTCCGCTAAAAAGACCCTCCTCAAACACCTGGCATCTTTCCTCTCTACGCTTCCGGAGTCTACTGGACCTCACAAGGTGGAATCTATTCGCTTCCGCTCCACAGCATTTGCCAGTGGTGGCGGAGTCCCCAAGCGAGCCTCATTTGCCAAGCAAGAAGTTCTGGATGATACGACGCCGTGCACCAACGCATATGCCGTATACAGCACTGTGCAAGCTGCGCGCAAGGCGCCCGCTGCGCTTAACGGTACCGTGGTTCTGGACCGGCATTTGCGTGTTGACAGTGTCGCGCATCCTTCCCCAATCGACCATAAACGGTGTGTCTTCGTTGGTAACCTGGACTTTGTCGACAACGAGGTCAAGCCCGACGATGAGCAGAAGAAGAAGAAGCGAGCCCCCGCAGATGTTGAAGAAGGTCTTTGGCGGACCTTCAACGCTCACACCGGTCGTTCGAATAAGGACAAACCCAAGAATGGCAATGTTGAATCAGTCCGCGTGGTTCGCGACAGCCTTACTCGGGTCGGCAAAGGATTTGCCTACGTTCAATTCTATGATCAAAACTGTGTAGAGGAGGCTCTTGTACTCAATGGAAAGCATTACCCGCCTATGCTCCCCCGCAAACTCCGCGTGTCGCGTGCCAAGAAGGTTTTGAAGAAGCGTGCAGACGGTGGCAGCCAGAAGAAGACGCTTGGTGTGGCAGATAAGACCCTGCAGGGTCGCGCTGGAAGACTATTTGGTCGGGCCGGTGCGGCCAAGGTGAAGGCCGATGCGCAGAAGTCCATCTCGCAGAACTCGACGGTGTTCGAAGGCCATCGGGCCACCGAAGGTTCGCACATTCGGGTCAAGACGAAGAGCCGTGGCTCCAAGGGCAAGCCGAACAACCGGAGCAGCAAGCGTGCTGCGGCCTACAAGGCCGCTGGTGGGTGGAAGAAGGGGAAGACGGATTAATGGGCTGGGACGTGAGCTTGCTGGCGTATTTTCATTTGTATTCTATTCCATGGGTGTATTTTGCATGTCGAAAAGCCAATTGATACGAGACTTGTTAAGTAGATATCCATCTGTTGCATGCCAATTCATCGGTTGTGAACTGTCTGTATTGTGCCTGTTCTGCTGTACGCGATGTGTAACTTTGGCCCTTTCAGGAACACGGCCATGACGTCACCTATCGATTGCGCCGCTTTTCTCCTGGCGATATCAATCAATGCTATCGCCCTTCACACATGTAGCGCTCTCTCTTTATAAGACGGCATGATTCATATTTCATTGAGTGATCGCTCCAGTCACATCATTGATAGACTTTTTGTTCCATATTTTATCATCGTGTGTGTGGATCCTACGGCACGTCTCCTCCCCCTCTATCATTCTGCCCGGAAGGCGGGGTGAGATCAAACGGTTACACTAAGTTGACCGACATCACTTGAGTCAGACTGGTACCTGAGCCAAACCAATCGAGATGAGCTTGTCTTGAGTGAGCAACCTCTTCATCGTGTAGCTATTTGAATTTGGCCCGGTGGCTAATCTTGTCAAGGCAAACAATTAGATAAATACCGAACTACGACAAGATTCAAGTTGATCGTTTCGCAGGAGCCAACATTAAGTCTGTATCGGTGACAAAAACAAGGAGGCCCTACATTCTCTTCAAGTAGCTCACAGGCTACGAGCGTAATGATGTTGCCTCTAGTTAATCGGCTTCCACTCAGGCGACGACAAAACCGGCTCCCCCCCAACAACAATAACGACGATTCAAACACCCCGCCAGCCGAGGATACCCAAGATTCCTCCCCGGAAGATGACACTTTCTATCCCAGTTGTTTCGATGTTCTGAAGGTTCGGTATCTGCTGCAGCATATTTGGCAATGGACGAGGGACTCGCAGGAATTGCTACCAGTTGAAATTGTAGACATGATTGTGGATGCCGCCGAGTATTGGGCTTCTTCCGAGTCCGTCCTGGAAGGAGAGACTGTTATCCGGAAAGATCAGGATCAAATTATCTTAACGACGGTACCTCTGTGCTATGAAGTGCAGGTAAGTTGGAGCTTTGGGCCTACTATGGCATTCTGCATACGTCTCACACTAGCCGGAGACTTTTTCATCGGGTTATTGCTGCTGACACCGTGCTCAAACCACTAGGCCTTGAATACCCCGTCTCCAAAGCCGCTGCCCCATCGGACCACTCATCCATGCCGCCAAATCATCTTTACCATAGCATCCCATGATCAAGGCTGGGGTGGCGGTCCAGGGTCTCGCGGCCAATACGGGGGCTCTTATTCGTGGTTTGACACCGAAGTCATTCACTCAGCACATCAGAACAGAGCTGCAAACAATCAGCCTCCGCCACAGGGTCCCTTCCATTTTGGACCCGACCATCCTAACTTGCTGCCAACGGCTCGTAAGCTACAGTCGAATAAGACGGCCGTGCCAGGTTCGTGAAAGCATACTATTGTTTGGCACTACCAGGATGACATCGCTCCGGACTCGAATGAAGCGGAGGAAATCGAACGTACTCAGGGGCGAGGACGAGCCACACTGGATGGAAGCCAAGTCCGTACTCTAGAGATTGGAGATGCGATTGCTGTCTGGGGTCGAGCACGGTTTGGCGGGTGGTCGAACCATGTGCAGCGAGTGTCAGTGCGGGTGTTTTGGGCGGTCTAATGCGGGGATCCTAGGTCAGCAGCATCTTTAGAGTGAAAAGAGCTAGAAACGAATAAATCACCCAATAGCAGTATTTATGTAGCTAGTCAACAGTTTGGGGGAATATTTACTAAGCAGCTATGATACCTAACTAACTAAGTAACTATACTTCCTTATCGGCTATCGATAGAACTGGGTACTCCGTATAGATGGCTAGTATAGATGGCAGCCTGCCAAATCAGGCCGGAGAGCATCACCTCATTCCTCAAGGCGATCACGCAATTGCGCCAAGACCACCCAATCCCGTCATCTGCGCGTTTGAATATAAGGTCGCTCTCTTCCTCCATCACCAGCAACGCTGGTTTTGTCTTCCCTCGATGAACCAAACTGGAAGAGACAGTCCTGTCAATTGGCCGAACAAGAGCTCAATGTTGCTCTCTGCTTGACAGCGACCTTCCCCCCGACTCCCCTTCGCCCTGCGGCCCTCCTTCATTCCCAGCCAAGACGACAGAATGTGACGGCCGACGGAAAGCGGCCCAGGATGTTCCAGGAGCGAATCCGAGTGGGGCTGGCCACATTGGATTGCGCAACAACCGGTCAGTCGTGCGAGAAGCGGTGATACACTGAGTGTGACCAGTGAGCAGTGCGGTTATCACCGCCTGACCGGTTGTGGCGGAGGCATGATGCATTATCTCGCCCGAGAGACTTCGTTTCTGCGCAGTTTTCCTGCGCTGTGACTCGATTTCGAACTGATTGACTGGCTGATCGGCTATCTGCCCATCTGCCTATCCTATCTAGGCCATCGGGGTACTCGGCTATCCCATTCTCAGCGGTCATTCATGGTGTTGTGTTCGTGGCTTCCCCTCTCCCGCCAAAACATGGCCTTGATTCTCGTTCGCCTGTTTCGCCGAGAATTACGCCGGCAATACGTCCCAGCTCCCCTGGCGTTTTGACTTCCATCCCCATAAATGCCTCTCCCGCCCTGTTGAGATCACGCTTCGATTGTCACAACCACCCTTTTTTCAGCCCCGTGAATTTGTGGTATTCTCGACTTTTTGCTTTTCTTTGCTCTACCCTATCTACATGAGCAATTTGAGGATGGCTCAACCCCAGAAATGTGCTGCTGTTGTTGTGGGAGCCGGTCCTGCCGGTCTGGCAGTTGTGGGAAATCTCCTGGAGAAGCAACTTGGAGGGAAAATTGCCTGGGTTGACCCGTTGTTCCAAGGTGGCCGGATAAACCAGAGATACCGCGAGGTTCCTAGGTGAGCAAGTCCCCGGTCTGGTTGTCGGAATGAGCTCCAAGCTGTCAGAAGAGGAACGCTCCTGCTGACTGGTTCTGTCGGCCCAATCAGCAATACCAAGGTGTGCTATTTTCAAGCGTACGCTACGGCCGTTCAACCTTTCCGCACCGTAATCGAGAACACTCGTATTCCCAACCCATTTACGACGATGGCCAAACTCGACCAGAATAAAACCTGTCATCTGCATCATGCTATTGATGTGGTTCGCGCTCTTACCGATGGCATCACAAAGATGGATCGGGTTCTGCCATGTCGGGGAGTTGTCACAGCTGCCAACCTGGCCGAGAAAGTCAGTTATAGAGCTCTGGGAGCCATTAAGCATCCTGCATCGCTAACATTTGATCGTCGACATAGACTGCTACTTGGACCGTTCGCATCCGGTTGCAGGACTCGCAGGATGAAGTCGAGGTGCTGACGCCTCGACTCGTCGTTTGTACAGGATCATCCCCAACCGAGGTCTCTATCTCAGTTCCTGGGCACCACATCGAAAGGCTGGACCTGGATGTAGTGCTGAAGCCCAGCGACCTGGTGTCGCATCTTCCCCGAGACAAGCCCTTGACCGTCGCCGTAGTAGGAGCGTCGCATAGCGCCATCCTAGCCCTCCTCAATCTGGTAGACTTGGCCCGCACTTCCCATCCCGAGCTCCGTATCAAGTGGTTCACTCGGCATTCTCTGCGGTATGCCGAATTCATGGACGGCTGGATCCTCCGAGACAACACCGGACTCAAAGGCTCTGCTGCCGACTTTGCCCGCCAGCAACTGGAGGATGACAAGCTGCCACATTCCGAGGCTGGCCGGTTCATCACCAAGGTCTACTGCGGCGACAACCAGGAGCAGGCACAGTATGAGCGGCATCTGCCCTCATGCTCGTACCTGGTCCAGGCCGTCGGCTTCACGCGGGACCCGCTGCCAGAGCTGTCTATCAACGGCTCCTCATTGGAGCCCGAATTCGACCCGGTTTCGGGAGGCTTCCGCGACTCCAACGGCCGCGTTGTCCGGGGTCTGTATGGGGCGGGGATTGCATTCCCGGAGCGGGTGGTCGATCCGTACGGCAACGTCGAGCATGCGGTCGGGTTCTTCAAGTTTATGAACTTTGTGAAGCGGGTATGTCCTCGGTGGATATCGTAGTGGCTGCATTCCCTAGAGGTTTATAGTGCATTGTATGTGTCACCGCTGGTCGGTCGATACGACGTGAACAAATATAATAATTTTGCAAACAAGAGCTCTATATCCCATGACTCCAATTCACCAGATGCTTATCCATCTCGTAAATGCGTATAGCCATCACACTCAGCAATAAGCATGGTGCTAGCAACCAAGTTGAAACAATATCAACACACAATATCCCTGCGACAAACACAAAGGCCATCTCCGAACAACGTGGCCATGCAACACACTATAATAGGATCCTGAATCCACTCTGTCTGATATAAGATTTTAACCACGACACTAGTACTGGTTCCACCAACCACTACATAAGCATCCTGTATCCAACACTGTGACTCACACAGACTACACCAACTCAATTGAACCATTCTCTACCCAAACAATTACCACACACACCCCTACCAAGTCATCTACATACACACACACACGCAATAAACAACTTCCCACCAAAATGTCCCCCAAAGAACCAACCTCAACCCTCTACGCCACCACCTTCCCCATCCTCACCAGCATCCTCAAAACCCTCCTCCACCTCCTCCGCACCGCCGAACGCACCCACTCCAACCCATCTTCCCTCCTGCTCAACTCCCGCCTCCATGCTACAATGTACCCCCTCGCAGACCAAATCCGCATCGCGACAACCTTCTCCGTCCGTCTTTTCGCCCGTCTCACCAACCACCCGGAGGCAGACACGCTCCCCACAACCCTACTTCCAGAGGGTAACCCGCAAACCTTTGCGGAGTGCTACGAGCGTATTGACAAAGTGCTGGAGCTTCTGAAAGATGCGGATAATGATGCTACGAAAGAGGTGGTGAATGCTAATGCGGAGACGGTGAAGCCTGCGCCCATGGGGCCCGGGGTCGAGGTGGATGTTACGAATGCGCTGTATGCGCATACCATGGTCCTGCCGAATATTTATTTTCATTTGAATACTGCGTATGGGATTATTAGGATGGAGGGGGTGGAGATTGGGAAGAGGGATTTGTATGTTGGGTTTGGGGAGTTGTGGCGGTAGTTTCAATTTTGTGTGTGAGATGGTGGGTGTACTGTAGATTAAGTTGAGTTTGGGTGTTTGATCTACTACAGTTTGTAGTTGTGAATATATGTGGACTTCTCCTCTCCTTCGCTTTATAGAGTTTGGCTCATAGGGAGTAACGCAAAGTAAGTACTCAAGTGCAGCTACGGAGTACTAAGTACATATAGAATGTATGTTTCATAGACCCCGGAATGATCTGCATACTACCATAATATCTTCATACTGATCCCAAGAAAAAATAAGAAAAAGCAAAGGTACATCCTATTCAGTGCCCTCAACACAACTCGTACACGTCCTTGATCATCTTCTCAACGTCGCCGTCTCCAACCAGCGTTGGTTCATCAAATACCTTGCAGAGTGGGTTATCTGCCTGCTGCACCTTGAGACCGTAGCTCTCTATGTACGTGACAAAATAATATTCCACTTCAGGGATGTTATCCTGGAGTAGAGCTGAGACTTTCCACATGATGTGCAGGAAGACAGCCAGGGCAGCGTGATACTTGGTCGTTCTCTCAATGGGCGCAAAATAATTACCTAGGCGTCGAAACTGTTCCAGTGATGGAAGATGGTCACCCAACTGAGCCACAGAAATTGAGTAAGAAGATGAAAACAGTTCTACTAATAGGTCAGTATGGGCTGCACTTGCCCGTCCAGGAGGTGATAGGTTTGGCTTACCGAGTGTCGTTTTGAGGGATAAATCAGCCTCTTTGGGCCCATTCTCTCTGCGCAACGCTGAGTAATGTTCAGCTATCTGGTAGAGCAACCGTTTCCACACGTAGATCTCGATCATGTGAGGAGCTATGGCCTCCATCTGACTGGCGATGCGGACCAAAACGACGGATCCCTCAATAGGATAATGTAGGAAGTTTGAAAGCCAATTGTTTGTGTGAGAATCAGTGAACGCTGCTATAAAAAGCTCCTGCAACGTCACCAATCTACAAACAACGCCCGGCATCAATTCTGGAGCTGGTAGGAGACCGGCCCTCATAGGCTCGCCAGGAAGGCTGCTTATTTCTCTGCAGCACCACTCAAGGCACTCCATCAGGCTAGAGGAGGTCTCCTTCTCTTTGGATATGTCTTCCATCTTAAAGCAAACAGAAGAGAGAAAGGCATAGAGAATGATGCCCTCATGAAAGCGGCGTTCATATACTCGGTTAAGGGTTCGAACCCATTGCCGTCGATTTACATCCGTGGCAAGAGAGACCAGCGGCAGCGCAGCATCAACACGCTGACCATTGGGCAGTTCTCTAACCTGGAGCAGTAACCAAGCGCAAGCATCACATGCTGACAGAGGCAAAATAACATCAGTCTCGGGGTAGCTACCCAAGACCATTGGATAGCGGTGTCCGGCACAGCTATTGGCCTGTGGAACATGGTGTGTGCCATTGTAGTCGCGTGGGGTCTGGAGGAGAAGACACTGTATTGCCCGATCAGTCCCACATATAGGACACTTTTGGTAGTTCTGGGGAGCTGCACATCCTGCAGCGACGTTTCTGCTGTCTTTGTATCCTGGTAAAAACAGGCATTCGCAGTCTATCGGTTCATCATATGGAGACCCGGAAACCTTTGCAAGTGGGCTGGATCTCTGTTGAAACGAAAGCGCGGCTCCAATAGATCGCATATCTGCTGCATTTGGCGAGCTCATTGGAGTTAGATCGCTTGGGGACATTGAAGACTGGCGTAGAGTTAATCCGCTTAATCTTTCCAAGACATCCTCAAGGGTCGTCTCCAACCGGGAAGAATAATCACGAGCTGCTCTGACATTCTTTTCCAAATGCTCCCAATTCCGTCGATGCTGCTTACGGAGTTCTGACTTGATGAACTCAGCAGTTGAGGACTTATTCGAATTTAGAAACGCTTGCCACAGAGACCGTGGGAGTGATCCATCTCCGCCCAAAAAAGTCAGAAGGGTGAGAAGTACAATTTTTGCTTCACCATCCAAGTCTTCACGTGGTTCACGCAAGATCTTATTCATCGGATTTATTGTCCGACGGGAGTTCAAAATCCACTTTTGAATTTTGTCATGTTGACCCCTTGTCTCCGCGGCCAGAATGACCACATCTAACGCTGCGTAGTCCGATAGCAGGTTAAGTGTGTCAGTTTCGGATATGGAGCCAGTATAAATACTATTCAAGTCAAAATGGACGCCGTTTGGGAGTATGACTATATCCCGGGATAATTTGGCGGGTCTTGGGACCTTGACCCTTTTGAGATCGTCGTACCTGATCGTCACCAGGTCCGCCCATTTCGTCCCCTCCCCAAATGGCACAAACCGCTTCTCTGCCGGGAGTATATCCAAGAAACTTCCCTTGGCTTGTAGCACGAATATCATGCCAGTTATCACATCCGAGAAGAGAAAGATGCAATGTGGCGCCACGGCAAACACAGACATCCCAACCGAGATATTGCAGCGGAAAGGTGAGCTTTGCGGATATCCAAACAGAATAATTACGCAGGCTTTGCCGTGAATACCGGCAGCGGAGGTGGCATGGGCAAACTTCTGAACTCGTGGCTCGTGGATGTGGCCGTCCGTCAAGAGAAACCATAGGCTGGCGTCTTGGAGTGTAAACCTGCAAGCGGGGTTGTTCAGCAAAGCCCCAGGATCGGTTTGGCCAGAGGACCTGAGATCCTCGATGTCTGCTATACGCATCGGTGGGAGGGCCATGTGGCACCAAGGAAGAATACTTGACTGTGACACCAACTCCTGTGGCATGGAATCTCCACAGATTTCCCGAATAGCATCTTGCTCTTGCCGAAGGATCGGTCCCAGTGTGCTCCCCGAAACATCTATCGCGAACGTAAGAGGAAGCTGCCGTAGAGGCAGCTCAGGTTCGTCCTGACTGTTGAGTGCCGATGCAGCAGTCATGTTGATTCGCGGTCGCAGAGGAAGCTCAACTTGGTCCTGGGGGTTGGATGCCGGTGCAACCATGGTATTTCGCAGTCTCAGAGCCAACTCAACTTGATCCTGATAATCAGGTGCCGGTGCAGACATGGTGGAATTGGGTTGGTAAATAAACCGGAGAACGGGTTGCGTTGGAAGATCAAATGGGCAGTCGGCGGTCTTTATATGGATCCGTAGGTATGCTCGCTGACTCAATCGAAGAACCATTGAATTGCCACCTATGCTAGAATTTGATTCTGTTAATAGAGGTAGACCAGTTTTCACTCGTTGAGTCTCGGCGCAAATCACTGGGCGTAACGAGTCAGGAAAGCGTGTGCTCAGGAGCCAGAGAAGAACTCCTAGTGTCTTTCAAAACACCTTGTAATGCTACCGATCTGCAGAAGTTTGCGTGCGTGCGTGTGTGCGCGAGTGCGTGAGTGAGTGAGTGATTCCAAGTGCGGCACAGGTCTTCTGAGTATTCAGGAAGATGCCTTTTGCAGTAATTATTCTGTGCAATCAACACATCTCAGTGTTTGACAGAAGAAGCTAAACAGGTGTTGATTAGCAGGCAGGGTGCGTGAGGCTACAGTAGGACAAGCACCCCACCCCCACTCCCTAGGTAACAAGCGGCTGACATATAGACAGCTAGTACAGTGCTTGAAACAGCCTGTAGAGCTGGACAAAACAACTTATATATAGACTGCACGCTCTATATTGTGGAAAATACGTCGATTTCTGGACTAGGATCATTGAGCGAATTTGTTCTCATGTGGAAGATGTCCAGAACAAAAGAGGCTGGTATACATGTCCGAACGCTCTAAGCCCAGTCAGGTTCCTTCACAGAGCTCCTACAGTCTTTGACACATGTAGGTGCACCTTAAGAGGTGCATGGAATTCTGATCCAAGAGTTTTCGCCTAGTCTCTAACCATAATATATAGCAATTAGCTCAGCATGTCCACTGACATTATAGCAGGGCATTCAATGAAGTCACAATCATGCTTTATAACGTTGAGACGCATAGTTGACTATTGGTCTGATTGGCACTTCAGCAACTGGAAAGCTCCCTGTTGAACTTACTATGCAAACATGGTCAGTGATATATACCAGTACATGTTACTATTGTTAGTTCTCACCTTCATCCCAGGGTCCATATAAATTTCTCTGGCACACTCAGCCCCTCATTATATCGAGTTTGTGTACTCGAAATCCAGTTATACAGCTATTATAACGATGTCCGACGTCGGGACTAGTAGGATCTATACTATGACACAGATCTCTATGCTCTAGTCATTGGCCTTGAGGTCCTTAGGATCTTCTTGGGGTTATATGGGATCTGGTAATATACACCAATCTGGGTTGGTATGACAGTCGGCTGAGCTTGCCATGACGCAGTATGCAGGGAGTCTTCTTGTTCGCTGTGTTCCTGGGGTGGAACAGGAAAAGTAGACTCAATAGCGCCCTGCTATCTTAACTGCCGCTCGAGGGAAGAATTCATGGCGAGTCTAAGGGGAAGTTCTGGCGATACCACCTGTGGAGTTTGTTGCCAGACCTCCCTCTGTTTGTTCAGATCGCTGGACACAGCCTTTATAGATGATAGATGATATAGAAACGAAGGTTACAGACTTGAGTTCAAAGGTGCGAGTAGCTACTACTAAATGACAGGATATGACCCTTATATATATAGGTGGATGTGCGAACTAGATTACCTGGGCTTTTTCGATTCATTCATCCTGGGCCAGAAGAAACCTCAATAGGTCAAAATCTTGCATAGGAAATCAGAGCGAATAAGACATGTTAATTGTACAAGAAACATTAATTGTGCGTGGGCCAAAAAGAGAAGCAGAGCCGGGAGGAATTCCCGTCCATGCCATTCTTCACTGGGGACTCAAGTCAATGATATTGAGCCTGGATGGTGGTGACGTCTTTAGCAGATGCCTCTATTATATGCTACCATAGATGCATGATTTGATCTCATTAGTCTCCTAGTAACTTAGAATGGGTAGTATATCTTCAAAAGTGCAGTGAATGTTCATGACTACGGGCATGGAGAAGTAATGTCATGTACAGGTACTAATATTCAAATTCTTGTATTCACCAAACCTATTCAACCATGGCAAAGTCGAGTCCCTCCTAGCCTCCTAGCGGCCTGTGAATATCCCCCACATTGCAATTTCGGAATAGAATTATCCCAGTTGTTCACTTCCAAACCAGATTTGGACTGAAAATTCATGTAGTGACCTATTGAATGGAATGGGGCAGGCCATGCACTACGTGTACCCGACGCTAAGAAATTCAGTCGCCTATTTTGGGGAATGGGAAAGCTTGTTGAGGGGATTCGGGGATACAAAATAGGCACCCGAGATAAGCGACTATACAACACTAGGCATCTGGTGAACTACTTCATTCTGGGAGTCTAAGTCCGAGGGTATCATGCCCGTGCGTCGGTCGAATCTCCGAGGTGATGGCATGTTGCACCGACTGAATTGCAATATGCACAAGTGGCTAAGCGATGGCGTCTTTGCATTGAATCACAGTTCAACTTAGTAGTCAGTCACTGCACTTTTGTATTGATTAGTCATGTTTGCTTTCCCCAACTGATTAGTAGTTAGTTACCTCCCATGCATTGGCCATTTGATATCTCAGACTTCTGTATCCATTTACTCCAATATGGACGAATTTCCATCTCGCACTGCCCTCAAATCATACTCAGAGCAGCAGGACTCCACGGCAGGAAAACATGCAGAACCTACCAGTCTCTCGCAAACATTGATCTACTACATCGAAGGCAACAAATGGTGGATTAAAGTGACTCTAAGAGGCCCGACCGCTAATCTCCCCCTCAACAACACCGGCGAGCAGCCAACTACCAAACGCGAACGGCGCGAGTTCTTCCAGAGTTTTGTCCGACGAATAGACTACAAATGGCTCCCTCTTCTCCCATACACTGTAACAGAAATCATCCTAGGAGATGCAACAGCACCCGGTTTCGAAAGGGAGCTCAAGCTCAATGATGCTTCGGGCACATCGCAGAATCCCAACACAGCTTTGAAATGCAAGGTCCGAGAAGACCCTCTCAGTGTCGCCTATCCTTCATGCGAGGAATACCCCTCCTTCCGGCAAATCAACCATAAAGAACTGACTGGTATTACCGAAATCACGCCCGGAGTATTCTGGGTTTCACACCACGGAAAACGATACATATCGAAGATAGTGAACCGCCCTCTCTATCGACGTCACGATACCGAAGTCATTTGCAAGGAGCTGGAGAACCTCAAATACTTCGCTGGAGTACCAAACATAGTGCAGGCAGTTGGAGTTACAATATCTCCGCACCCTGGAAGCAATGGTCCATCCAGATCGGAATCGCGCTGAATCGCTTCCACGAGGCCAAAAAAACCCACATGAACCTGAACCCGTCGAATATTGTTCTTGACGCCGACGGAAACGCAGTGCTCATCGACATTAGCGGCATCGGCGGAGTCACGCCTGAATGGTGTGCACCCGAGGTTCTAGGCGATATTTTACCGCGTGATTTTCCATTCGAACAACGCCAACAGAACGATGTCTGGGCGTACGGGAAACTTCTATCCGAGATCGCATCACAGATAAGAGATGATCCGTACGTAGAGACCTTGCGCCAGGTTGCGGACGGCTTGATGGAAGGAGATCACCAGAAACGCATGAGTATATCGATGGCCATTGCACAGCTCAAGAGTACTTAAATAGTAAGGATAGTCCTAAATTCAAGTTAAATACCTTGAAATGCCAACGGAAATTAAGATTCCCCCTATCCCCTCACGCCAATCAACCAATGACATGCCTCCCCGCACAAGGTAAATGAAAGTCTCCCGCCGATCCAGTCAATCCCAATATCGATTACATCCGTGCTTGTACTTTGCCCTGTTTTTCCTGTCTTTCTCTCGGACTGACCTTCTTCATTAATATCAACTCCGACGTCAGCTGCTGTGACTACTGCAGTTTGTACAATTCTGGCTTAGTATTAGTGCATAACCTGCATACAGTACATGCTCGGATGACAGTCTCAAACAAAAAGAATATTTCCTCAAAGTCCCCAAATTACTACCATCCTTACATCACCGTCTGTCTCAGGGGTAAGAAAGAAAAAGGAACAATATGTATAATAGGGACAGCTATCAAAATAGCTACATACACAACTGGTTCCTTGGGCAAAAATCGTCTCTACCATGGAACTCACCCGAAACCAAAAATCAAGCACACCCTTCCCTTCCCTCCTCACGTGCCTTGCAGGTTTCCCCCCCAAACAAACAAAGCCCGATTCATCCTTGGCAAAGAAGCAAATCCCAATCAATATACTGTGTATACCAATAACCGATCATAATATTAAACTTACACCTCGATACAATATGATATCCATAAATAAACTAAAAGGAATATTGTCCATAACCAAAAAGAAAGAAAATTAAATTACATTAGTTAACAATTGATTACTCATCTCAAATCTTAAGAGTCAGTCAGTGAGTCTCTCCACACACCGAAATTTGCCCGTCGGTGGATAAGTGGATGGAAGACTCGGGTGGACCATTTATTTAACGGTTGGGTTTGATTACCGTGGGGCCTTGTCCTTTGCCAATGGTCTGGATCTTCTTTCTTCGTTCGCCCTGTCGTTTTCACTCTCATTTTCTTGGGGGGGGATGTTTTTTTTTTTTTTTCTTTCCTCGCTTTTCCGGTCTTGATTTCCTATATTAATTGGGGAGCGTTGAAGGGGGGTCTCTAATATTCTAGATCTCTCCCTATCATATACTTTGTAAATTGTTTGTTTCACTTTATCTGTTAGCCGCGATTGCTCGGCACTATGGGGTATTCATTAAATGATTCCATCGAGGCGACTGTCGGATTCGTTTTCCTGGCTCATTAATAGACCATCTTCTAATCCTCGAATCTCCATTCCATGCAAGCATAACCCTGCATGTCTCCAACTTATCCCAGACGGTCTTCTGCAGTGTGGTGGGCCATGCAAGGTGTGCGCATCTCCACCCCGTCAGAATCTTCACCGGGCTCACCATGCAGGTCCCGTGTACACTCAGCTACGCATCGACCCCTTCTTCCAGGGGCGCTCCGAGTCATCTGTCTATTGCATGCATGATAGGCTAGTAGTCATTCATTACACAATCCGTATCTACATACTCCGTAAAGTCCGATGTCCAACCCATTAGGTCCATCCATCCGGAGGCACAAAAACAATGTCGTAGTAATAATTAACATGCCCATACCATCGCCAGGAGCGAAAATGGCAGAGAAAGCCGGGATCTGTAACATCTCTTTCCGACACATAAAAGATACTCTTCAGCAACGGAAAAGGTCCATGAAACCCTTGACAATCCAACAGGGTACGTGAAGGAAAAAGTTCAAAGAGGGCGTGAGAAGAGTAAAAAAAGGGGGGGTGCAAGAAGGCGTAAATAAGAAGTTGCTCAAAAATCTATGTACCAGAAGGTAAAGAAAAAAAAAAGGTATCATCACCCGACCACGGAAATGGCAGCCCTCAGCCGGGCAGAAGAATCAGAACGTCGTAGTTTTAGATGAGCGCAACAGCACCAAAGATAAGAGCCATCATGCCAATAGAGGCCTGGTTGGCCATACCGGCATTGGTGGAGACGGTGGTAACGCTGGCGGTAGAAGCGCTGGAGCTCGCGGTGTTCGAAGAGCTGGACGAGGCAGTCTTGGAGGACGTCGCCGAAACGGTGGAGTTCGAGCTAGCCGTGGTGGTCGAGGTGGAAGAGCTAGCGCTCGAGGTGGTAGTAGACAGAGTAGTGGCGCTCACGGTGGAGGTCTGTTCGGTGGAAGAACTGGTGCTAGAAGCGGAAGACGTGGTTGACGAGGCAGTGCTGGTGGTCACCGCTCCAGTAGCACCGGAGATCGAGAAGCGCGGGGTGTAGTTGACATCGTCGGTGTCATCATCATCGATGATCTCAATGGTGTAGTCCGAGCGGGCTGCAAGCTTGGCGGAAGGAGTCCAAGAGTAGCTACCAGAGTTTTCGATGTTCCCTGATTCTTCTCGTTAGCATCTCATCGAAGCTTTTCACACCACATCCATGACAGGAGCTTACCGGCAATAAGTTCGCCCGAGGTGGTGGTGAAAACAGCACCCCACTGGAGTCTCAGGGTGACCGTGCCATTAGTAGTCGGGTCCCAGGTGAGGGTAGTCGGGCTGCCCGCGGTGAAGGTGTAGCCACCCTCGGGGTTGTTGAACGGGTTATCGGAAGCAGCCGCAAGAGACGCAATGGCGCTGAGAGCAAGGTAGAAGACGGAACGCATATTGATGGATGTTGGTGGAGAAGTATATGTGAGTAGTAGAATGACTCGGTACAATAGCGGGGAATGGATAGTATTCGATATACAGGCGTAATACGCGATGCAAGTGTGGGTGGTACAGAAGTAAAAGAATGACTTCTCAGTGGGAGAGAGAGAGAGAGAGGAGTGATAGTCTCGACGGTCAAAAAGAGTGAACCGGGTGAGTCAGTGGATGCAGACGACGAAAGAACGAAGGACAGACGTCGAATGGGGAAATCGCACGAGGAAGGAAAGAGAGAAAGAGAAGAGAAGAGGAAGGAACGAACCACCGGGGGGAAGGATGTCTATGTATACCAGTCAGTATGGACTGAGCTGGAGAAAGTTACTAACTAGATACTACACTAGTCTACTCGCACACTACTACTGCCTACCTGGCTTAAGTTAGGTACCTTCTTAGTACTCCGTACTAATTGCCCGGCTCTAGCCAGACGGCGAAAATCAAATGGGAAAAAAAACACGAGATGGGGGGAGGGGGGGAAGGATCCATTGTCATTGCGGACAGACCGACGCAGGGCACAATGGATTGGATGACCCTGTGACTAGTGGACATCCGGACCTTCCTGTTCCTGGCCACCAGCCCAGCCTATGGTCTAGCGTACCGGGCGTACCTGCTGTATCGGACCTCCTCCACTCGCGCTAATCCCCCTTGGGCGCCACTAGTCGCTCAACTGCTTCTCTTCTGGCCTCATCGCCCGGTGGAAGTCCGGCTCGGATCCCCTCATTCTCGTCCAATTTGGGAGAGTTCAGGCCCAACTCGGGTGTAGCGTCTTTCCACTGGTGCTATTTTTCGCTCGCCGACCGGGGGTTCGTCGGCTACGGTGGCTGATTCTCACTAGATAGATACTAAGAGGGATGGCAAATTGTATATGACCTATCCGCGAGAGTCCGGACTCTTTGGATGACTTCTCTAGCGATGAGCCAAGGAGACGCTTGGAAAAAAGTATAAGTAAATATAGCCCTCGATACGATTGAGAGAGGCATTATTGGCAGGAAAGGTGGTATCTGCTCAGGGGCGTTTTCCCAATTCCTGCAGCAACAACTCAGGGCACGCGGACGATCATTGGGCAAAAATGAAATTAACCCTCGCCGACATGTTCCACTCCGCTCCAAAGTTTGTGGAAGCTGCTGATGTCCTCGTTCGGGACTAGCTCGAGGGCACCGTATTATTAGTCCTGTCTGTCTGGCTGTCTGTCTATCTGGAACCTTCTGTCTTGTTGTTGGTATGATGGGTATGTAATTACTGACTTGCAGTCACACACATTTTTCCATACTTTGCTCTTTTCTGATTAGAATTGATGCAAGTATCATGAGAAAAACATTGGCTATCCGACTGGTCGGCTGTTAGTGTCCAACAGTCTATCTTATCAGGATGTGCGGAACTGACATGTGGATGCGGCCGATCACGATTATTAATTTTGCCTGCGGTATCCAACTAACTAACTAACCAGCAACTACCCGACTACCTTCCATCGTGAACTAAAATACTGTTCAATACAAAGCTTAGAAGCGATTTAATGAACTGAGTGAGACATCACATCTCCAGGATCTAAGCCACCCACCACACTATCGAGATCCCTGTCCACAGGCAGGGGTCCATACGAACCTCTTTATCCGCCCTTATCGACTACGGAGTAGTCCTTCTCTTCCTCGGAGAGTGCTCCTTTGGGAGTATAGGTCCAGTTCTCTCGGCTCCTCAACCAGTGACCCAAACTGCACTCTTTCCTTATCCAGTAATTTAGACACAAAGCTTCACATCCACTTCGCCTCCCAATCCGTTAAGGATTATCCCCCCCACCCTTCGAACCTCTCTCCCCTCCATCTACTTAGTCTATTTACCTACTTAACGCCGACATCGTTCTTCCCCCTGGACTACCTACATTACACTCACAATGGGCTAGACTTTTCTCCCCTTCCTCCTTTTTGTTCTCTCCTTCGGAGACAGGCAGGCAGGCAGGCAGACTTTCTAATCCTGGATGGAAATACAAGACCCACGCCCTCGCTAGGCATCCATCATATCTAGACTATCATGGGAAATGAACTCCGTCCGAGCGTTATGCCATCATTCGAAGTCCTCACTTAGTCTATAGCCAGGAGCTAAGAATTATCTACCAGAGCACTAACAATTTGAGCTAACTCACAAGCGCAGCGCGAAGCGGGGAGGCGCCACCTATCCCACCCATCCATTCATTCATCCATTTTCCTAAAGTACCTACTATCTATAGTCGGCTTAAACTGAGGTTGCAGCCGCATCCCTTTGTTAGTGAGCTCCGGTGGCCACTATGGTGCGATGGCAATTTTACGCTCTCGTCCGAAGTGCTGCTACACTTAATGGCCGAACTCTGATTCGTCCAGATTCGGTTCTTGGACCAACGAAAGAACACCGAACTCACTCCCCACTATACAGCCTACAGGCACGAGTCACTAATGAAAATCTGAACTGTCTACCGTGCTCGAGCACGATGGAGCCTGGCACGAGACGTACTATAATGCGTTAGTCTAGCTATGTATATACAGCACACTACGATACGGCCTTCAAGATGGTGCCACACTATATACTAGGCAGTCACTGGGGCAGCATCGGTTTCTTGCCCCGAGATTGTATCCTTGGGGGCTGCCTGCTGCGGAGCCTCCGCGCCGTCGGTCACCGATATCGACCTGTTAGCTTCCTCTTGGGCCTTTGGCGCATCTAGGAATCCGTTTTCTCCGAGCCATGCAATTGCTTCCATGACTTTTCGGTCTTCTTCTCCCTTTTGGCGGTCCAGAAGCTGGCGGTTGCACATGTTAGTCACGTTCTCAGCAGCATGCGTTTGGGGAGTGCTGGACTCACCGCTTGTAGAAGCCCCTTCCGCCCCTTAGACTCCGTTGGCTTCGCTTTCTTCCCTCGCTCAGGTGTCTCGTGCGAAAATCGGCATTTATCTCCGTTCCTGCAGCGACCGGTTCGAGCAAAGTGATGGCATGGTTTTTTCTTGTTCTCGCGAGGGGGTGGCGGTACCCGCTCGGGTCCTTCTCGTCGAGAGGTCGCCTCCTCCGGCGCAGAGTCCGAGTCACTGTCGGATTCATCCGAGGAGGAATCTGACCCACTCGACGACGTCCAATCGCTGCTATCGGAGTCATCTTGAGACGAGATGTTGACCTCGTCCCCAGCCTCTTCGGGCTTCCCGGCGTCTATTTTGACATCTGTTGCAGACGTCGTATCGCCGTTGGTGACTCCTGATTCCTCGGACACAGCAGGCCCGGGTTTGACAGATTTGTCTTCCGAACCTGCATCTGCCTTGGTCCCGGTTGCAGAAGCCGGTTGGGTTTGTCCAGTGGCCGAAGTTTCGTCTATGTTGGCATCGGCCGAACCTTTTTGCAATGCCTCAGCCCTCATTAGAGCCCTTTCAGCATCAGCCTCGGCTTTGGCCACTCGCTTCTCTTCTTTCATGAGCTTCCGCCGTAGTCTGTCCGCCTTCTCCTTGGCCTTTGCCGCAGCATCCATGGGGTCGACCGGTTGGTCATTATGCTGCTTGTCGTTTGCTTTCTTATTTCGACCGTCCTTCTGCGCTCGTTTGGACTCTTGCTTTCGCTGATCCTTCTGCCGCTGTACTTCCTGGCGTGCTTTCTTCGCCTCTTCCATGGCCTTTTTCTTCTCTTCCACTTTCGCCTGCGTCGGATACCGCTTTCGCCGTTCCTCGATCCAGGCAGCAATTTCCTCTGGCGACTGCAGTGTGGAAGTCTTCCCGCGATATGTGACCTTGAGAGCTGTGGTGTTGGCAGCTGCTGAGGCTGACCTCGCTTCTTCATCGGCATCGTCCTCCTCCTCGCTCGACTCATGCTCTTCGGTTCTCGGGGTCAGTCCAAGCTGATTGTGCTTTCTCTTCTTCTTCTTTGGCTTCCTTGTGGCATCAGCGGGTGGCGGGGGTTTGACGGGGAGTGGGTTTCCAAAGCTTGGAACCGGAGGCGGAGCGGGAACTCGCGGTGCGACAGACTGGGGCTTTCCAAAGGCCGCATTATGATCGCGTTTGTTGGCATAGTGTGTTGTTCTATCCCCGTTGTGTGGCTGAGCGTTATGACCATTGAAGCGTCCGCCGCGCTGAGCTCCGGCGAAAGAGCCTGCCGGTCCCGTATGCTCAAACCCCCAGCGCATAGGCGGGGCAACCATGGGCGTCTGAACTGGCTGGTTGACCGGCTGCTGGGTAGGCATGGCCGAAGGATACATAGACCCAGGTTGAGCGGTAGGCGGAGTATAAGTTCCCCCATAGTTTGGCTGGCCTTGGTAAGGCGGCACCCGGGCTGCGGTTTGCGTAAAAGGCTGCGAAGGAGGGAAGGAGGAGGTATTCGGGGCCCGTTGAAAGTTTTGCGATGGCGAAGGAGCGGCTTGGGTTGCTGGGTTTGGGTGCGTGGCATACCCAGAGTAGTTCATCTGAGCGTAGCCAGTCGACGGTGTAGCGGTAGGGTACGCGCGGTTATCTGGTGTCATGAAGTGACCTCCACGGGCGCCTCCTCGGTTTCCATAGCCCCTCCCACGTCCTCTGAAATGGCCACCCTGAGCATGACCACCTCGTTGGCCGTAATAGCCCTGACCGCCATATTGAGGAGGGTAGTTGGCATTATGGTGACGGTATTGTTGCTGCTGCGGCTGCGGTTGTTGCGGTTGTTGTTGCTGGGAGGGAGGAGGAGGAGGGGGAGGAGGAAAAGAGAACCCCTGGGAGTTCATGGCGAGAAGATCTCAGACGACCTTCAAAGAGAGACAGCATGCACGCCATCCTCTCGACATCGCGAAGGCTTGACGAGGGCGCAACTCAATAAATGGCGGCCGGAGATTCAGTGACAGAGCCTCTTTGGTTGTTCCGTTCCGAGCAGAATCAGGAATCGCGTGCCGCTCACGTGGGGCCAACCTCACTCTCCAGGCAAAAATTTCATGGCAGATCCGCTGTCTGCCATTGGCTGGAAGCAGGGGGTTCTCGCATTGAGCTTCTGCTGCTAAAAGTGATTTCCAATATAATAATTGTAAAATGGTCGCCGGATGGGGGACAATTGGCCTGGCCTTTTAATATGGGATTGAGTCCCGACCGCTTGAATACTTCCATCCGACTGCTTGTCTTGGAATAGAAAGAAAAGAACAGAAAGATCTATTTCCGTTCTCTGATAATTTTTCCCTTCTTCCCCGCCGACCGTTTGAGCGCTACGTCAAGCGACTCAATTCATCATGTTCATTCTTGTTAGTGATCGACTACTACTACTCTCGCTTCTATACGCACCCAGTGCATACCGATATTGGAGTATGAGCTGACCTGTATCTCACAGACTACGGTCTCCGATCTTATCCAGATCTCCCCGGAGGATTTCTCCAAATATAGCGCGGTGGCTCTCGAGGATAACATCAACGAGAAGTATGCCAACAAAGTATGTACTAGCGCGTGAAATTCCTTTCGTCATGTACATTAAGCTCAGCATGGTCTGAGAGCGATGCTTGTGAGCAAACATTGTTGACTCTGTTGTGCATAGGTTATTCAAAAGATCGGCCTATGTATTGGTTTCTATGACCTGCTAGAGTCTTCCGATGGTCTGATTGGCCATGGTACTGGACTTGTCAATGTAAATGGTATGTTCTGTCTTCTATCTACTCTAAATCTTATGGTGTAGCAGAGAGACTGACCCTTTAACAGTCAAATTCCGTCTGATTGTCTTCCGCCCGTTCAAGGGCGAGATCATGCTTGGGAAGATCTCGAGTGCGACAGAACATGGCATTAAGGGTGAGTACTCCGTACATGCCATGTATATGCTTGATGCATGATGTTGACAACTCCCTAGTTGCCGTGGAATTCTTCAACGATATCCTCGTGCCCCCTGATCTACTCCTGGATGGCGCCAGATTGTGAGTGTACCACCTATTCCAACTCTGCGATTTCTCACCTTACTGACACATACCAGTGACTACGCGGATCAAGTCTGGATCTGGGAGAACGAAGATGGCTCCACTTTCTACTTTGATGTTGGTGAAGTTGTTCGATTCCGCGTTGAGATGGAGGAATGGCACGACCAGATCCCCAATGCACCAGATCTAGGAGATGCCGCCGCGATCGAGCGGAAACCTCCATATTCGATTATAGTGAGTGGCTTGCCTTACTCCAAGTATATGATTCTACCTATGTTGAAGACAGTCTAACATGTTATGGTATAGGGATCGATGCAAATGGCAGGGTTGGGTCCGATCTCATGGTGGTGATTGATGGCTTGCTTTGTTGCGCAGAGGAATACGAAAAGCTTTCCGTGGATAGGATTGCATTGTACACTACATACAGTGGGTTTCAAAAGAAAAGTAAAGAGGGGACTTGGATATACCACGTTGGGATATGGATGTTTGCAGACGGCGATTATCGCTCCCATCGATAGACGAATAATGACATGATCTTGGCTTTCAAACTGCCTTGAAATTCTATCAGGTTGGCGCAATAGTGATTACTGATGTCGAAATGAAGGGATGGTATGAGCCCATCCCCAGGAACCATGGATCATTACTCCCCTTGCAGGACCAGCGACCGTGCATCCATGCCGATTGGGCTAGAATTGGGGGAAGGGAGTGAAACCGTTGCAGAGTCTAGATAAATCAAGGCGTAAGTAGATAGAGATAGGGAGTGCAAATGACACCTAACAACGCAAAGCAGACACATACACACACACCCATACACTAGAGGTGGAACTAAGGCTGTCAACACGGAAGGGCGTCGGCGCAGCGACGGTTAAAGGCGGCGATAAACTCGCGGGTGGGGAAAGAAAAGACAGTGAAGAATCATTCTGGAACTCGGCGCGGGTCCTTCTCGACCACTTCGTCCTATAGTTCTCCAGCATCTGGTCTGCGCAACGTAAAAGAAACCCGGCATCAGCCAGAAATTTTCAAAGCACTTGCCCCCTCTCTGTGCGCTCGTCTCAGTTCATTCCTCAGTGATTTCGTCTCACCGATCTTTTTTCTCTCGTTTCCTTGGCCATTACAAATCGCAACCCTAGAAACCTTGAGTTTGGCTTATATTAGACCGCATTGCGTCTTGCAGGGGCCCTGTGATTTCATCACCCACCTCTTGTCTTTTAGCATTCAACTGCTCTACAAGACTGCGCGCGCGCATTAGACCACAGCGACTTGTTCTGATTATTTTCCTCGCTTTGACTTTTCTTTATTTCTTATTCCCCATTTCGCATCTATCTATTATTTCATTTTTAAACTTTCCCCCCTCCCTTCTCGTCACAATGGTTGCTCTCCCCACTCAGAACGGAGCGTCGACCCCTCAGGATCGCCGCTTCGGAACTTTGGCCGTCCACGCCGGTGCTCCTCATGATCCTACCACTGGCGCTGTCATTGCTCCTGTGAGTTCGCACTCTTCTCCGGACACTACCTTCGCTTCTACTGTACACGCGCTAATCAGCTGGTGATAGATCTCCCTCTCCACCACCTTTGCGCAAACCAGTGTCGGCAACCCTGTCGGTCTCTACGAATACACCCGCAGCTCGAACCCCAACCGGTTAGTGGGATGAGAATCGCCATAGTTGAAAATACATTATATGGGTTATTGACTTGCTGGAATCCAGTGACAACTTCGAGCAGGCCATTGCCGCTCTTGAACACGCCAAATATGCCCTTGCCTTCTCCTCTGGCTCCGCAACCACCGCCGTCATCCTTCAGTCTCTCGCCGCGGGCTCTCACATCGTCTCCGTCTCCGATGTCTATGGTGGAACCCACCGGTACTTCACCAAGGTTGCCTCCGCCCATGGTGTCCAGGTGACTTTCTCGCCTTGCATCGAACTCGATGTCGAGGAGCTCATCCGCCCCAACGAGACCAAGCTGGTCTGGATCGAAACCCCCTCCAACCCCACCCTCGGCCTGGTCGATATCGAGAAGATCGCTGCCGTGGCCCACAAGTACGGTATCCTCGTTGTTGTCGACAACACCTTCCTGAGCCCCTACGTTCAGAACCCTCTGGACCACGGTGCCGATATCGTCGTCCACTCCGTCACTAAGTACATCAACGGTCACTCTGTAAGCTCAGCTCTTACATCTTTCTATCCTGGCAACGGACGTCTTGCTAATAAGAATAATCTCAGGATGTCCTGATGGGTGTTGCCGCCTTCAACTCCGGCAGCCTGCAGGAGCGCCTTTCTTTCCTCCAGAACGCCATCGGCGCCGTCCCCTCCCCCTTCGACTGCTGGCTCGCCCACCGTGGTCTTAAGACCCTCCACCTGCGTGCGCGCGAGGCCACCACCAACGCCACCGCCGTCGCCAAGGCCCTCGAGGCTTCCCCCAACGTCATCGCCGTCAACTACCCCGGCATTGACTCTCACCCCAACCGCGCCATTGCCGTCAAGCAGCACCGCAACGGCATGGGCGGTGGTATGCTGAGCTTCCGTATCAAGGGCGGCCAGGAAGCCGCTCACCTCTTCTGCAAGTACACTAAGATCTTCACTCTGGCTGAGAGTCTGGGTGGTGTCGAGTCTCTCTGCGAGGTGCCTTCCAGCATGACCCACGCCGGTATCCCCAAGGACCAGCGCGAGGCTGCTGGTGTCTTCGATGACCTTGTCCGTATGTCCTGCGGTGTTGAGGATTCCGAGGACCTCTTGGCCGACGCCCTTCAGGCTCTTGAGAAGGCTGTGGCTGCGACTCAGGTCGAGAATGGATCTGCTTAGATGATATGTGATGTTTCCCTTTGTTCGTTACGTTGTCTGCGTGTTTGGGACAATACATAGAGCGTTTCTGTGATATATATAAATGTGAGACGATAGAGGGTCCTGCGTAGCATTCTCGCGGGCCCAATCATGACACCAGATATATACCTTCTGAAAGCCAAGTAATTTAGTACTAGTATTTATACAAGGACTTTCTCAGTCTACCATAAAGTATCATTGGAAATAAACGTACTATTCAATCTAAGACCAACTCTATACTCGATGTATAGGACCGGTTTCAGCGCCGGATCACAATGCTTAGTCATCATTGACAACGAAAATGCAAAAATTGGACGAATGAAGCGACGAGGGAAAAGAACCAGGCATTGGCAATTTAAAATACATCAGACCTTGTCTAGACAGGAGATATCAGAAATAGTGTCTTCTGAGATTGACTGACTGTCTTGGTCCTTTTCTCAGAACAATACTGGGCTCAGACTATTCAATTCTTCTTTCTGAAGTAGATCATAGGATACCCCACCTCGCTGCTGGACATCCATCTTCTACTTCTCCAGATTTGGGAATCAGCTGTGCATACGGCATATAAAACTATACCCGAAGAAGCTCTCTATTTCATCTTGTCTAGTTGTGGATAACTGCGCCTAATAAACCCCCAATACAACATGACATCCACATTCAGCTTCGGCTTTGCGGGGGACGATATCGATATCGATGATACGGAGATGAATGAGATTGACGAGACGAACAATGACCAGAATGCTGGTGCGGGATCTACACTTCCGGAGCTGATTCCAGCTAAGAAACATGATGTGGCTGAGTGGGTGAGTAACTTTCATACACTCTTCTGGTATTTTATCATTTGATATATCACTTATTCTACCCTACCCTATGTTACATCAAGTATCAACTACTGACAATTCATAGATCCCAACTCTCCCCTCTCAAATCTCATTCAACAAACTCAGACTCCCCATCAACACGGCTGCTGCAACCAAGCACCTCACCCTCGCTCGTCGGGACATCTTCGATATCCGCGCCCAACTCATGGCCGAAGATACGCCCGACGAGAACAACGAGGAGCTGATTGCCGGTCTGGAGAAAGGCGACATCAAGCCCAATTTCTACGAAGGCGGGTTCAAGACCTGGGAGTGTGCAGTTGATTTAGCCAAGGTGCTTGTTGATGCTGATGAGCTGGGTCTGTCGACGTCTGCTGGTGATAGGCATATTATTGAGGTATGTAGCCCTACCTACCATGAATAACATCCAGTGTATTTCGATACTGATAAGAATACCCAGCTTGGTGCCGGCACCGCCATCCCATCACTATCTCTCTTCGCACAGCTCCTCTCGAACCCAGCAACCACAGCACAGGGAAAGAAAACTCACTTCACATTCGCAGACTACAACTCTGCCGTCCTCCGCCTCGTTACTTTCCCTAACCTCCTCTTAACATGGCTTCACTACACACAATCTTCTTCCTCCCCCTCCTCCGAAGGAGAGTCAGAAGAAGATGAACTCCTCGACATTACCCCCACCCTCATCCAATCCTTCCAAGAAGACCTCTCTGCCCGCGGCATCACCATCTCCTTTATCTCCGGTGCCTGGTCACCTGCTTTCGTGGACTTAGTCTTCTCCCAGCAAGAATCTCACTCCCAAACACTCGTCCTTGCCTCTGAGACCATCTACTCGCCTGCTTCGCTGGGAGCGTTCTCCGAGACGTTAATTGCGTTGTTGCGTCGTGCTGCTGTTACTCCGGGACAGCAGAGCGGGGCGCTGGTCGCGGCGAAGAAGGTCTACTTTGGGGTTGGAGGGGGTGTGGATGAGTTTTTGGCGGTTTTGGGTGGCGTTGCTGGTGCTCAGGGCGTCAAGGTGGACGTGCAGGAAAGGTTGGATGTTAAGTCGGAGGGGGTGGGGAGGGTGGTGTTGGGGGTTAGATGTGCTTGATGATACTACTATTTACTTAGGGGCGTGGTTACTAGTATATATATATGGATTATGGTGGTAGCGGGAGCTTATATAAAGATGTGATTTTATTGGTTCTGCTGTTCATATTGGGCATTAGTACTAGTATCGGTTATGGGGCCAATCTGATCGACAGGGACCTACAGAGTACTGTATGTAACTGTGACTTGCGATTACAGCTGGATATGCCTGTTAGAAAGCTCGTGCTGAGGACAACCGCATCTGCGGACAATAGATAACGGAAAATAAGAATAAAGAAAAGATCTTGAACACTGCCCGGTATATGTACAACAAGCCCTGCTTCCTATGTCTATTACCGACATATTCATAACACAGAAAAAAAACAACAGAATCACATTTTGCTTAGTTCAATATGCTCGCCTACTCATAAAGAGACACGACCTTGCCGTCCTGCATCCGGGCCACACGGGCGGTCTCCATCTCCTGGTTCTGACGCTGGTAGTGAGCGACAACATGGCTCAGATCGGCGCTCTGGCCGGGGGCGACGTTGTAAGGAGCGACGGCGCTGAAGCTGACTCTATACCAAGGAAGAAAATGTCCAATTAGCATACACACAGGCCATGCACCATAACCGAGAAGAGGGTATGTTGACGTACTCAGGCTGCTTCAATTCAATGAATTCGCGAGGTCCCTGACTCGCGAACAAGTGACGGTCATGAGCGACCTTCTCCATGGCGGCCGTGTGGATGGCGTTTCTCTGCTCGAAGATCTTCTCATCCGGAGTCCACTTGTGGATGAGGTTGGTGATCCATGATGGGGAGTCGGACTTGTCGTTCGACTTGGACACCTGGTACAGAACGAAGGCGGACGCGAAGGTGCCGAAGGTGACGTAGAAACTGCGCTATATGGGTGCGTAAAATCAAGATGTTAGCTTTGAAAGCCTTGCTTATTCGTTCATGCAGGAACCAATGCCACAATGGTATAATAGGAGTATATGTCGGCGAGGGTAGGGAGGGTTCGTTTGCGTTCCCATTGGAGGAGGGGAGAACGTACGCCGAAGCTCTCGTTCACAGGCTCGGCATGGTGAGCTGCGTGCGAGTCGAATCGCCGGGGCTGCTGGTTCCGCAGAAGGAGCCGCGCCGAAGCCACCGATCGCCTAGCGTAGAACATGGTGTGGAGGTAGACAATTGGCAGCGGCGGATCAAGTTATGATGTCGTCGTCGCCGGGGGGGTTTTGGAGAGGTTGAAAGCGCAGAAAGGCGGTTCGAGGCGGAGTGCACGTGATTGGAAAGCTGGATTGGGTTTGGGCTGATTGGTCCAGTCCGGTGACTGTGAGTCACATGACCGGAGCCATTTTGGGACTAGTGTAGTATAAGACAGTTATAGCCAAAACTGGTTAGCTCAGTTGGGACAACAGTAAGGCTGCCATGACTAAGTCGGTCTGTCAACTGTCATGTGGATTGGTCAGTGAAGAAGTAAATCTTCCTGCCCCAGACGTCTTGCGGTGCAAACACATCCTTCCTTCCCCCCCTCCTCTGTCGGCCTAAACTCCCTGCATGTCGGTCAAATATGATATGATGACCGTCAGACCCTCCCGATCTTCGCCTTACCTGCAGCAACATCCTGGAGGGATCATGGAATCAATCCTCCTTTTCGCCTTGAACGGGGGTTGGGACATTTCCATCCAGTGAAGTGTGAGCGGGTCGCTGTGTTGGCTCGTCAGTCATGGTGTTCCTACACCGCACACCCTGGGTGGTCCCGATGCATGGCTAACTGCCTCACTTCAACATGGCGCTCCCCACTGCTTGCGATTAGCGCGGCAGCAATTGGATTTCAGGTTCTGCCAATTCATGTGGGCTCCTAAACGTTTGGATATCAACAGCGACATGTCATCGATCGTTGGTTAGCGTTGTCCACTCCCCGCCCACTCGACTTGCCCCCCCCCTCATCTCTCTCTTTCTTTCCCCTCGGCGGTGTTTGAAGTGAGAGAGAGAGCTCGGACTCTTGGACTCTCGAAATAGCATGCTCTAGGACGCTTGCTCCGCTGCTCGTCTTCTGATTCACCCTGCCACCCCCAAATTATCGAGTCGTTGATGCCCAATGCTGGTGACACCGCCAGCTGATTGGATCCGCTTCGAGTCCGGACTCGAACGCCTCGGTCCACTCCGATGACTCCCTTCTTGCACCCAAGTGTGTTTCTCTTGCCTTTCTCGCCTAGTCGGACTCCTACAGTCTATGACTCCCTGGTAGAATGGGTATCAATTGCCCTCTAAGGTTCGGTCCGCCGTCGCGCCTCGCCCAGCCCCCCTGAGGCTGGCCGGAGCCCTTTGTACCATGCATTTTTTTCTTGTTTGGGCGTGACTGGGAACCGGTTATTAGCTGCCCTCTTTTTCCCCAACATCGTCTCTTCTCTCGAATCCCATTCCTCAGAATTCAACTATTTTAAGAGCCAGCGTGTGGAAATCTATCCTGGCTTTCCGGAGTGTCTGTCCACTGGCAAACTTGCCATTCGACACCCGGTGATTTGTCTTCCGTGTATTCCAACTATTTGCGCCCACCTGCATAGATTCTGCTCAACGGGCCTGAGCATTTTTCCATTTTCCCTATTCTCCTAATTATTTTTTCCTCCCTCTCTTTTCTCCTTCCCCCCTAAAATTTTTTTATTTTTATTTTTTACTTTCTTTCCTGCCTGACCGTGTGATCACCTACCTTGTCGGGCCCCTGCGTTTCGTTCTGTATCTATATCAACTCGGAATATATCACGACGCCGCCGAACGCGCTTACAAATGTACAGTGTTAAACCCGCAGCCACCCAATCTCGTCTCCGCTGACCGTGTTACTTCTTTAGCTATTGGGAACACGTCTTACAGCCTTATTCTAACTTGGGCACGCATCACTATCGCCCACCATGGCAAAGAGCAAGAACAAGGCCGCTAACAAACAAAAGAATAAGAAGGGCAAGAACCAAGAGGCCTCTGGGAATCAGACACCTCAGCCTGACCCTCCTGTTGTTGAGCAACAACAAGAAGAACAACAAGTGGAACAGCAACAGCAATTAGAACAACAAGAGACACCTCAGCCTGAGCTATCTACCCCTGAGCCAGAGCAACAACCAGAGCAAGAGGAACAACAACCACCACCAGAGACACCTCAACCCGAGCTCTCCACCTCGGAGCAAGAGGCCCAGCCTGAGAGCCAACAAGAGGCCCCTCAGGAGGACCAGCAAGACCCGCAGCAAGAGTCGTCACAGCCCGAGGTCTCCACTGAAGAGCCGGTATCAGAGCCCCAGCAAGTAGAAGAGCAAGCTCAGGAGCCACCGACAGCTCAGCTTGAGCCCACCTCTGAACAAGCAGAACAGCAACCAGAGGGTCTGCAAGAACAGCAAGACATACAACCTGACGAGCAGCAACAAGAACAACCGCCCACTGAAGCTGAAGCTCAAGTTGAACCTGAAGCTGTAGCTGAACCTGCAGCTGAGGCGCCGATCGAATCACAGCCGGCAGAAACAGAGCCCGTATCTGAAACCGTACCAGAACCTCCACAAGAACCAGAGTCGGTGCCAGACCAAGGACCGGAACTGGAGCAATCACAGGCTTCCGTCGAGCCAGACTCGACTGTGCCCGAGGCACCAGTCCAGCCGCCGGCGAACGAGGAGGGTGGGTTCGAGCAACCGGCAGTTCCTGAGCCCGCCCAAGTTGAGCAATCCGACGTGAACGATGTGCAGACCTATTCTGAACAGCCACAAGAGTCGAGCTGGGAGGAAATAGGCACATCGGAACAACACGCGGGTGACGCTGAGGAGCACCACGAGACCAACCCTTTCCTGACTGAAGCTAGCGGCACCGCTGAAACAGTCGAGGAGACGCCAGTAACAGCACCGCAGACACCGCTGGATTCTTCATTCGTCCCGACCCAGTCGTGGGAGCCCTTGGAGGAACCACAGCCCCAGACGGACAGTTCATTCGTGGCAGCACCCTTTGGCTCCAACACTGGAGCTCCAGAGACTTACTCGCATATTCCTGAAATGTCTGAACCTTTCGCCGATACAGTGGTCGCTCAGCCTACGCCTTTCTCTGATACGTTCGCCCCCTCAAGCGCTACTCCCGCTTCGAAGCCTGGTTCTCCGATTCCCCAAAGCGGTTCACCAATCCAACGCACTGCATCCCCGTCTTTCAAGTCTATGTCGCCTGGTCCTCAGAGCGCTGCTGCTACACCACGTGCCACTTCACCGGTGCACCAATCTGCGTCGCCAGTTCGACCTTACCATTCTCCGGTGCAGCAGTATACCTCACCGATGGCCCAACCCGCCTCGCCAATACGGGAAGCAACGGTTCTGTCGCAAAGGAGCTCCTCTCCCACACCGCCAGGCGCTTCTCCCGTATTTCAATCAGCTTCACCCGCCGTGCAACAATATTCTCCAGTGCAGAAGGTTGCATCACCTGTGCAAAAGACCGTATCACCTGTACAGAAACACGTCTCGCCTGTCGCGAAACCCGCTTCACCCGTTCCGAAAGTCAGCAGTCCTCTAGCACGTGGGCACATGTCTCCGATGATGTCCCCACAAATGGCTCCTCCGCCAATGACGGCGAGGATGCCTCCACAGCCAACCGCCATACCGCCCTACCCCCCCTCCTATCACTCGCCTATCATGAGCGCCAATGGCTTCCTCCCCCAGTATGCCTACTATCAACCTTCCCCCAACATGCATCCGACCCCTCGAGGCTCTATAGACCCCGGGTCGGCTGCTTCCTTCCAGGCCCTGCAGAACCTGGGCTTCGGCAATGGCCATCCTCTGAATGGCAAAGGAGGCACCATCTCGCCCCCACACGAACATGAAGAGCCTATTGAGCTTCTACAGAGGATCCAGGATGCCATTCCCGACATCGGCCGATTGCTCAATAGCTACAAGACCACCAAGGGCAAGTTGCAGGCGCGGGAGTCCGAGTTCAAGCAGATGAAGAACCAACATGAGCAGGACTTGATGCACAAAGACTTCTACATCGATGCCCTGCAGAATCAGATGCGGAAGGCAGCCAGTGAAAGTGCAGAGGAATCAACGAGACTCAAGAATACCATCAATGAGCTTCGCATGGAGCTGGGCAACGAGAATGAGAAGAAGAAGGACCTTCAGGAGAGGCTACATGATGCGGAGAAGGCCAATGAGGAGCTATCGCAGACCAAGGCCGAGCTGGAGGAGGAGGTCAAGACCCTCAACACCAACCTTCAAGAGGCACACGAGACCTACGAGAGGGATATGGAGGCTGCCAGACAGGACAAGGAGTCCTCTCTTGCCACTCAGAAGCAAGAGCTGACGGAGATGTTTGAGGAGATCAAGGCAGAAGACGAGAAGGCTGCAGCTGAGGCTCTCGCAGCACGCGAGCGCGAGTTGCTCGACCAGCAGGACGCGATGAAGAACGATTACGAGAACCAGAAGCAACAGATGCAGGAAGCGCACGATACACTGCAAGCCGATTTCGACTCCAAGGTTACCGAGCTGGGTTCGACAAAGGAAGAACTTGAAACCAGAACTACCGAACTCGCAGACAAGCAGAAGGAACTGGAGAATACCATTGAGACAAACGCCAAGGAGATGGAGGACCTCCGTCAGACCCACGCTAGCGAAGTCGAGTCCCTCAACAATAGCCACGCAGAAAAGGTGGCAGAGATGGAGAAGGAGCACAGCGACCAGCAGCAGAAGTGGGCTGATGAGAAGGCCGACTTGGAGGGACGGCTCTCGGACAAGATCCAGGCCTTGGAGTTCTGCGAGCGGGAGAACAAGAAATTGGAGGAGGATAATCTTGTCAAGGAGAAACAGGTTCAGCATGCGGTGGATGGAATGCGCCTCACCATTGATAATTTGGACAAAGATTGCGACAGGCTGAGAAAGACCCTTCACAGCCTTGGAGAAGCCACTGACCTCAAGAGCACGAAGGGTGATACATTCTTGTAAGTGACCCAGTGCATTGAGAATGTGTTTTAGTACCCGACTTTCGTTTATGATCTCTCATCTTCCGATGTTCTTTTCCTTATTCTTTTTTTTTTCTTTCTTCTGCATTATCTTTGCATTTTAATTTCGATGTCATGTTTGCATTTTTCTTCTTTTCTGCATGAACATGAACCAGAACCAGAACCAGACCACAGTCTTTTGTTTGTTTCATTTCCTTTGTCTTTTCTCCTGTTCTCCTGTCTTTTTCTATAGACTGATCATGATGATGACTATGATGACATGTTGATAACGCTATAAATGTACGTGCTCTGATAAACATCTCCGAAATCTAGTTTGGACTGTTTCGGCCAGCTTTCTCGGCTTATTGTCTCCTTGTCCAAGGAGCACTTCTCGTACCTTCCAATTGATCCTCCCAAGGACATTCTATCCAAACTTCCATCGGAACTACCATCGTTCCTTGATAACACCCCGGCATCGTGCGAGCTTCGTTCAGCATATGTCCAGCATGTCATTTCTAAGACCTTGACCTACCGCATCTTCCATCCTTTCCTGTTCACCCTGGGGCGCCGGTTCGATAAGGCCGATACCTTCTTCCAGATGCTGTCGATGGATATCCGCCGCAAGTCCGTAAGACGGGAAGCGTTCTGGAGACAGCAGACGCTGAAGGCCGCGTACACGACTTCGGACGCTAAGCAATCGATCAACGTGGTGGCCGCCGTCATTGTTGATGAAATCATCGACCAGCTGAAGCACTTTGCCGACCCAAGGAACCTGGATGCTCTCCTCATCGCGGTCCGCAAGATTGTCAAGCTTGCAGCTGAGACCTGGCGACTTGCGCGCGTGGAACGTGAGCTGATTCTGGCCTCGCTGCCGTCGCCCGACGCCGATGCCGTCTCCAATGATGACTGGGAAGAGTACGGCACGCCCAAGGAGGGCAGCCTTAGCTCCAAGGAGGACCCCACTCGCCATGTTATCCTGCGCACCTTCCCTCGGATCACGCGCGAGGCAGCTCATGAGGATTTCGCGGGCGACGAAGAAAAGTACAACCCCTGCACGTACTCCCGTGGCTGTGTTCTGTACTCCGACTCCCCTGTGGTCATGGCCCGTCTCCAAGAATTGGCTAAGAAGTCAGAGGATTCGCCTCGTCGTGATTCAAGAGACTCGACCCGTTCCGATGGGTCGCCCTCTCCCCGCCGGAGTCGGGACGGCATGAGGACATGAACGAGAGCTTCGAGTAGTGCGATGTGAGTGGCTATGTCGACCAGGATACTGTTTTAATAACCGGCTTGTTTCAAATACTTTTGATCTTTCCCCATTTTGTCTTATCTTGCCGGCCCGACCCTCGCGGGGCTGCGGGGCCTCAACAATCCTTCTGGTTTCCTATGTCTTCCAACGTTTTTGATCATGACCGAGACGATTTTTTTTTATGAGAGGGTCCCTACACCCGTTCCTTTCTCTAACCAGTGTATTTTTTCCGACACATTTTATTTTCTTCTTCTCGAAGCTATCATGTTATTTCGGGGTTACGCCTTTTTTGTGTGTGTGTTATGTTTTCATCTTGCGTGTTTTAGCGAGCATTTGATCTTTCGATGTGTAACAAACAAACAATCAATGTATGTGGAACTACTACTATATTTATCTATTACCGGACCTGGAAGCCCCTCACAGCACCTGCACAGCATGTACTTATTGGATACGATGGACGAGTTGATGAGAAGATGCGCAAGAGACTGGGGATGATCTGCGACTCCAGCGCGAGATGATGAGAAAATGAATGAATCAATCTGATGAAAATTGAATTCTGATTGTTTGCAACCCTTCCAGCCAAGGCTTTACTCCGCCTGATAGACAGGTGTAGTCTAGGACCGTAAACCAACCAGTCTGGTTGGTTAGTGAGCTAGATAGATACATGGTAAGTCGGAGTCAGTTACCCGGGCGCAAACTGCACAGCCACGCAATGATGTCAAGATCAGCCATGCCACACACACACACACATTCTCTTACACTGGGCCAAAGCTTGGTTGGTGCGCCCTTTGAGCCTCCTGTGTCCCCATCCAGGGAGAGAAGTCGGTTACACGATGGCCGATAATTTCTCTACTATTCCTTCGCCATCGCGGGGCCTTTAGATAGCGGTCTGACGATGTGACAGTCCCACTCTACTCTATTTCATTCGCCTTCGTAGTTGTCCAGGACTTTCGCAGCACCATCTTTAATATAAGCCTCACATTGTTCACCGCTCATACTACATACAGTGGATTTCAGGATGAATTCGATCTCCAACTGCCAAGATACCGGTAATCCGATCAACTTCCACCGGTTCTGACTCCAACTTGCGCAGCCTCAGACAGGGCTGATCCAGTTGGGGGGGTGGGGGGAAACATCTCATGCCAAGAATGTATTGTCCGTTGGATATGTGCTACTTCCGTACACCGTAGTAGTAGTAGTAGTATAATATCTAGAAGTGGATGAGTTACACCGTAAACTAGATAGTTGGACTGGGGTTCAGAGGGTGGCTTGTGTCGTGGCTGAGTTTGGCCACTACCGTTTCAGCACGGGGTGGGGGTTATAAATAGCAACTGCCGATATTATCATCACTATTTACCGCAGCATACTAGTATGGATGGTATCATATTGGGCTGATATTGTGGTGTATACTCTGGTAAGCATGCAGTAAATATCAGATAGCTGGTAAGAATAGTAACACTCTTTTCTACGAGTTATTTTTGCCTTCTCTATGATAATATTTGGTGTTTTGTGTTGACAAACGACTCGACAGCGAGATGAGTAGATTGCGATAATCAAGGTCAAGTGGGACCTGGTGGGGACGGGACGAGCCCTGCGAATTTCCGGGCTATTGACTATTGTTTTTTCAATGGGCGGGAATGCGGACGGATAGGAGAGAATGGATCTATGGATTGATTGGAGTCCTTGTAGGGATGAATGGGTGTTCATCGGGTTGGGTTTGTGTGTTGATCCACTGATGTCGCATGTGGGTTTGTGATGTTCATAGCCGTAGGGTTGATAGGGAGGATGAAAGAGACTGATTTAATTTGGGAGAGGAAGGGATCAGCATGGTGCAGACTTCGGAATATTATTATTATTATTATTATTATTGTTCTTATGTCAATCTTGTTCGTTGATTCTGCTACTATGTGTTGTCTCCCGTTATTGCTATGACATTTTTGCAGGATCATTGGGGAGGGGTCAGTGCTAGGATAGATGATTTCTTCTTCTTGACATTAAGGAAGAGCAAGCAAGCACTGTGAAGATTCAGGAGATGGCATAACTGCATTCCCACCCCCACTAACACTAACTACTACTAACTCTTTAGTCTAGTCTACCCATTCTGACTTATTCGTACCTGAACTTGTTAGTTTTAGTTTGGCTAGTTGGTACCCCGCTTGGCTGTGAGTGGCCCGCAATGCTGCACGCCGGCGCGTATCGTCGCTTTCTCACCAGCCAGATTGAGGCCTTCATCCGGTTGTGACTGAAGATGATGGTTGGAATTTTAGTAGCTTGGCCTGTCTGGCCCCCCCTGTTACTCTGTAGTTACTAGACAGTAAGCTTCACCCCCCTTCCGATGTGGCTCAGTTCCCTTCGAGTGGTGAATGTGGATTCGCTGTTCAAGTCACAGCCGCAAGGCGCCTTTGCGCTTCCCTCATTTTCTCTCTTTCTCTCTCTCTCTCTGTCACTCTGACTCTCTCTTCTCACCCACTCAACTCACCCTCACTTCCCCGGGGGATTCTAATTCTTGCCATTTGCTTCGCGTCATTTTCTCAGACCAGGCTTCTTGAGAACAGAGCCTCGTTTCCCGGGTTTCCTCTTTTACTCTTGTTCTCCCCTTCCACCCAGTATTTCGCTCGTTGTTCTCTCTCACACCCTCGTTCCCCCCGTGACTGCGGCTCTACTGGCGGCCCTACTTATTGAATACATTTAATACCCGTAATCTATCTATCGCTCGCTATCCTTCTATTCCCTCCCTCATTTCTTCCTCCCCCCACGCCTGCCTCTCTGTCTTCCCCTTCAACCTCAACTTGGACCACCAACAACAACCAACATCCTGAATAATTGAATCCATCGTTTCCCCTTCCCCGTACTACTATCCTGCTTGTCGCTCCACTCAGGATCCCGTCCCGCCTAGCTGAACTCTCTTCTGCAATCTTCGGTCTCTTGTTTTCCCTCGCTTGTGACCAAGTACTCTAAGCTCGGGTCTTGGCCTCATTTGTTCCTCCCGCTACTACTCGCTCCTCCCGGCTTACTGCGACGGTGGCTTACCCACTTCACTTTGCGCCCGCCACATACAGGTTTAAGGGGCCTTCCTGAATAATCTTTACTGCTTCTACGCCCTTTTCGCTGTTTACGAACGCCGAGGCGCCCGGTCTTTCTCCATGTCGATCTAGAAATGCCATCTCAAATTCTTGTTCACTGGTCTCTGTGTGTAGTCTGGTTCACCTAGACCGACTGAAGACCAAGCCCGCAGAATAGCAGAATCCCAGCTGCTTTCTTGCGTCACCGAGACTCTTCGACCGAAGAGGTGATTGCCTGCATTGCCACTCAATTATTACTGCGCGCGTTGCACGGTCGAACCGGCCCATCGGCCAACTGCAAGCATGTCAACGTTCTCACCGCGGCTCATCCAGGACGAGTCGCCCACCGATATTGCCTTCTATGATTCCAATTACCACGACCCTTACCTCTCGGCTCCCTTGGACCCCGATGAAGCTTCCTTCAAGTCCTCTGCTATTAGATTGACGCCTGCTCCTGGTGAAGACCATGGCACAGGAAATCCACCATCGCCCTTGAATTTGCAAACACATAATGACATATCCAATGCACATGCCGAAGGACAAGCGGCTTCTTACTCGGAGTTTCTCAGCCCAACCGATGACTTTTCCAGCGATATGAGTGCCCACACATCCCCCAGCGCCGATATATTGTCCGCAGGCTTTGGCATGGACGTGGAATTCGGGAGCAATGCACTGCAACACGACAACAACATGGCGCTGCCTCTACCGAATATTGACACCTCGGCGGGTGAGATGCTGCCCTCGTCAACATCCATGCTGTCGCCACAGCAAGCTGCGTGGACTCCGGCCAGGGAATCTTGTCTACTGCCAGATATGGACCACATCAAGACTCAGACTGAGCAAGGAACAATGGCGCGTCAACCCCAGGCACTGTCATTGATCACGAGTCCCCAGAGCGATAGCCTCAGTGTTCATGCATTTCCGGATTCGGCCAGGGCGAGAAGCCCTATTGTCAAGATCGAAAGCTACTCCCGCGGGGACTCACCGGTCAGAGATGCTTCTTCGACCGGGCGACGCCGGAGCCTGACTTCCAACCATCTTTCGCCGAATGATATGACCAGTGAGTCAGAAAATGAGGGCATGGAAGAAGGCTATGGGGTAATCGGACAAAGCTACACCGTCACACGAACCAACGACGGTTCCTGGGTACCCAACATGACTACCGGGCAAGGCGGCGTTGAGCCATCATCACGAGACGATATTTGCGTTCCAAGTCCAAACGAGATGGAAAGTCGACGACGACTGGAGGAGAGGAATGCCGATATCCAGTCATGGTCAGCATCTGTAAGCGCTGCGAATAGTGACGCAGGAGATGAGGACACGTCTTTGCTTGGTGGAAATCGTAGCCACATGGGAGGCAGACGCAGAGCCAAAAGTGCCGGGGACCCATCGCTTCAGCAGGATTACTTTACATTGAAATCCCGACTGTTGGAACCCGCTGTACCGGGGCCTGGCCTCTTGCTCCATGAGAGTAGCGATGATGGCATCAGCGAAGGCGGATCGGAGAGTGCGGAGAGCCGATCTGACTCACCAGCTGTCAGTGTCAATGAAGCGAGGTGGGCACACGAGGACGCAGAGGTTGCCCCTGAGGAAGAGCAACCAAGACCCGAAGATGGAGAGCCGTCCCCACATCAGTTCCTCAGAGCTCCTCCATGGCGGGATCCTGAGCACGACGCATCTCCTCAGGAGACACGGATGCAGCCTGCAAGCTCAAGCGCCGCTATGGTGGAATACCAACGACGAGCCAAGGACATCGACACCGCCTCGCGCTCGGCGACTTGGGGCACCCGGCATTTGAACGATGCGGAGGTCAACAGTATCATCGGCCCGGGTGGCTCCTTCGAAAACCTGTCCATAAGTAATGACAAGGAGAAGAAACACGAGAGACGAAGTAGCCTTCGAAAGCTCTTACACAGAAAACCATCCAGCAACTTGAAACGGCGGCTATCGGATCTCTCAATCATTCCTCCCAGCGCGGAGGGCACGAGCAAAGCAGACGATGTTAAAAGCCCCCCCTTGAGAAAGGACAGCTTCCCTCACCGATTGAATCTCAGTCGATCCAGATCTCCCAGCCTGAACACGAGCAGTGCCGTGATCGCTATTGCCGGACAGATGGCTGCTATTGGAGGCAAAGATTCTCTCCGGGCTGCATCGCCAAATCCTGCGTCGGGCCCCTGGAATTATCTGAAAGGTCGGGGAAGAAGCCGAAGTGAGTTGCCAAGGGCTTCAGCTCCTGGGTTGATCGACTTGATGACCAGTCATGGCGGACCACCCATCCCCAATATTGCCTACTCACCGCGAGCGAGCGGCCACCACGAAGTCCCGCAGAAGAGCTCAGGAGAGGACCACACGGTAGTTAATGCAGACGATGAGGATGACGACATGGTGGACGAGAAGGGATTGGTGATGCAGTTCCCGCTCCCATCACATTTGCCGGTGCCGACCCTCGAGGGGTTCAAAAACCAAATCACGCAGATCAACCCCCGACTCCCGCCCGCACTAATTGACCGCTTTGCTCACGAGCAACTTCGTCGGTACCGAAAGCTAGTTGAGAGCAAGCAAAGCCATACTCGTGCCGTTGGCCAGAAGAGATGTAAATCGGGGAAATTCTGCTTCGCATTGGGTGGTGAGGCAAAATTGCTGGCACCTCGCGCTAGCCCCGAGGCTGCTCACACGCAGTTCCATATCCCCGGGCATGGAGCGGTCGAGGATGATCCTCACAAGCTTGGAGAAAGTGCAGTCACTGCAGCACAGTTTCCCCCGGGTGTACCCTTGCCGCCGGTTAAACGGTTGCCAGCGGAATTCGAATGCCCGGTATGCTTCCAAGTCAAGAAGTTTCAGAAGCCTTCGGATTGGACGAAACATGTCCACGAGGATGTGCAGCCATTCACATGCACCTTCCCACAGTGCTCAGACCCCAAGTCTTTCAAGCGAAAGGCTGATTGGGTCCGACACGAAAGTGAGCGACATCGAAAACTAGAGTGGTGGACGTGTACGGTTCCTGATTGCAACCATACTTGCTACCGGAAGGATAATTTCGTACAACATCTTGTCAGGGAGCATAAGATGCCAGAGCCCAAAGTCAAGAAGCCGAAAAGTCAGGGGACGTCGACCAAAACAGCAAAGGGCGAATCGGTTTCCCCAGACTCACAGGAAGACGGCATTCGTGAGCGGGAGATTGAACAGCTCTGGGACCTTGTAGAGAAGTGTCGACATGACACGCCGAGAGGTCCTAAGGACGAGCCGTGTCGCTTCTGCGGTAATGTCTGTAGCACCTGGAAGAAGCTAACGGTGCACTTGGCCAAGCACATGGAACAGATCGCTATGCCAGTTTTGGCGCTTGTAGATGAAAGGGATCTTCCAATGATCGAGACTACTGGTCCTAGCGAACAGCCCGCTCCTGGACCGAATACTGGGACCCCACCAAATGAAGCCAGCCGTTTTATGCCAAACTCGGAGGGCGTTGATGGACCCTCGGTGGTGTCGATGGATCTCACGCAGGCACCATACACCAGCGATAATGCCGAGAGAGCCCAGGAGCCTATGATGTCCTTCACTCCGTCATATTCCCCCCACTTGCCAACCATGCCTGGTGGTTGGATCTCCGCCGAGCCTGAGTCAATTGACGCGTACGATGATGCGCCCACAATGGGCCTGCCAGGGGGGGCTGCGGATCAGACGCGGCTCATGCCGATGCATCAGAATTCGGTCACCTATCCGCCCCCTTTCAACGCTGGGCCTCGACTGAGGGTCCCCAGTCCGCACCTCAGTGTGTTGCAGGACCCGTATAGCTACTCCCTATCCCCAACGGACATGCAGCCCTCCTATGATCATCAGGGGCCGGTTTACGTATCACCTTCCACGGACCACCGCTATGGGTACCAAGGCTCGATGCCACCGGCCATGCCTTACGTTCCGGGGGGCTACCGAGAACAGCCCTGATCCTCGATCGGGAGAGGCGACGCCGCAACGTCTCACGGGGCTCAATGACCCTAGCGCAGCAGTTGCAGATCGTGAAGGGTGGAGGATGGAATGCGCTTGGAACGGTCGTCTATCCTAGGAAATACTCCCATGACCACCCTCAGGTTTTTGGGAAAGAATTTTCTTTTTTTTTTTCTCTTTTCTTTTTTGTTCGTCTGCTCTTCAGGTCTCATTTCTGTACCTTGTTGATCTGCATCCACCTATATACCCACCATTGGATTGAACATTGAACCATTAACCGTTCTTGGGAAGGAATATTGTATTGTAGCATGTATGTTACTGTGGTTTGGTTACTGCAACTGGAGCCCTTCTGATCCTGCTTAGAGAGGTCCTTCCCACATCTTCTGTTTTGCTTGTCCCGATAGGTTTTGGATTTTGATTAATATTTTAGTTTGGCGTATCTCTTGAGGCTTGGCTAGGGATGGATGGCGTCAGCCGCGGTCCAGGAGTACGATGGTCCCCGAACCTCGTCAATCTAGGAATGAGCTAGTTTCGCATCTATTGCCCTGTGTGCTACCTACTGACATCGTATGCACGCTGCACGCGTGGCCCCCAAATTGTCAATCGGTCAAGATGCGGTGATTGGAGGAGCGACGACGCACGTCGCAGAGAAACTTGACGGCACACTGCAGCGGGTGGTGAGGGGAAAGGCTTCCGGACGACACTCAGCGCAGGACGGAGGATTCCCTCCTCGCTGCCTGTCAACGTCGGGTCGGAAAAGGCGAAACCAACGGCTGATCAACCACCCTGGCGGAAGCACAGGATGGAGGGTGTGGTGGGTGAAAGCATGGCCCCCCCGTGGTTTACGACGCCGCGAGCACAGCCCATGAGGCTTGACCATCCAACCGTTGCTCTACTGAAGAAGATCCCCCGAGCTCATCGGGGTGCGATCTGACGCTGGAGATGATTATTTTTAGGCAGACCGGGACGATGATGGGGAAAGCTAAGGGAGTAAGGGATCCACGGGGAGGGAAAGTGTGAACACTAAACTAGTCGATCGGCAGCCATGACACTACTGGACACGCTACTCTTTCTCTCTTGGGTCTCTACAGAATTCGAGATTCCGGCATGCATCTGGCCTGGGGGGTTAGGAGGGGATGCAGACTTAGGTTACCTAGGCCTGTCGGGTGTTTCGGAGAATGGGGGGGAGGGGGGAGCGAACGATAACGAACATGGAAAGAGAAAGGCAGAGGAAGAGGAATGGGAAAGCTAACATCACTCTCTCTGCATCCAGCCTGCTGGTCAGTCGACTAGACTATATCAGATAGATTGCTGCAGTGTGATGACTTGGGGGGTGTAGATCCATAACGGACCGACCTCCCTGAGGATCGCCCGGGACGCGGGTGGAGGGTTCGCTACCCAACCCTACCCTCTCGATCGGAGTCTTCACTGATCACTCGCCGGGGGATGAGGAGGGGGCGGAAGGAGAAGACGCGAAACCTAAACGGGTGGATAATAGCGAGAGAGAGAGAGAGAGACAGAGAGAGAGAGACAAGATTCAAGCGAGTGGATTTGACGAAGTGGGTATTGACCGAGGCTGTCACTTCGCGACGAACGGCTTATCGGCGACCCTCCTTACTGACACAGCCCCCGTTAGTGACTTTTAGTCCGGCTCTCCGCGAGGGAAAAAGGTTCGCCCCGTCTTTTGTTGAACCGGATTTCTTCCCCTGGCGATGAGCCTGCAGCCAATTGAGCTGCGGCCGCGTGATGATCGCTCAACCACCTTACATACGAGGGCTTCTGTGTCTTCTTATTTTATTTTATTTTATTTATGTTTTTGTTTACCCTTCCGTTCCCCTTACCCCCTCTGCTATCCCGCCAATTCAGTCAAAGTGACTGATTACTCGACCGAGTATGGCCTGTCTCGGGGAGGACGCAGAATGGACAGTCTGAATGCGGGCAGTCTTTGACTTTGCTTTCCCCCCCGCCTCCCATCGAGCTGCCAGTGATACTGCTGCTGCTGCCGGATAGTATTTATTCGATTGTCTGAATACGAGAGACAGAGAGAGGCTCCGAGGAGATGCACAGATCAAGGATGATCCTGCTTCAGCCAGGTGGTAACAGAGCTGAAAAGGGAAAAAGTAACAACTCACGATAGCGAAAGAATAATAAAAAGCAAATAAACACGGAATAAAAGAAAACCGAAGAAAAGAGAAAGAACAAAAGAAGAAACGAATGATACGAAATTGGCAGAAGGAAAGAAAAAAAAAAGGATATTCAGAACAACCAACTATGAGGGGGTGTTGGGAGGGAGAGAAAGATGATGAGGAATGATGATGGCTGAGAATAATTGCGCCGAAGTCAATACAGCCAATACTAGCGAGAAGTCTTGTCGGTCGGGCTATTCTTCTTCTTACTATCTATCTATCATCAATCCATCATGTCAGACCATCATATCCATGGGTCCAGAGGGGGTCCTTGTGTCGCCCGTTGGGATCGCATCTCGATCGGATCCTGAGGGTCGGTACGGTACGTAGAAGACGATAGCTGGTCCTTGCCATTCTCCATCCATCGATCTCTCCATCTATTCATCTATCTAATTATCTATCCATCCATCCATCCACCCAGTAACTACTATCCACCCGGCCTATCGGAAAGAGGATCTATCGAGTCCTGTACCGTGGGTCGGGCTTACTGGCTCTGACAGGTCCGCCTGGAACTAGCTTGGATGCTTAACAGATGGAGTCCATCGGCCTCTCTAGACCGGCTCCTGTCTCCATCCAGCAGCAGCAGCAGCTTCTTCTTCTTCCTCCCCCAGCTTCGTTATAGTGTACGACTAAGTACTGTGTAGAGTCAGTCAGTCAGTCTCAAGCTGTCACCGCACACTCCTCCTCTCCGGTCCGTCTGCTGGCTCGATCGATCGGGGAAGCGCAATGAAGGTGCTAGCAAAAGACCTGCAGCAGGACCCAGTCAGTGGATGAGTGAGCATTAACTAAGATGATCGGCGTGGCATTCCTTCTGGCCTCCTCTCCAGCAGGCCAGCTTGCGGAGACCTTGACGTGGGACATGCCATGACCATCCGCTTCGATTAGCTCGTCCTGTCAGAGTGTGTCTGATGGGCCCTGGGATGCCTCTTTTTTTCTGGATTGTTGGCTCAATCCCTGAGTCCCTCACCTCGACACGTTATCGCGTGGGGGGAAAAAGGCATTTGAGGGATTGTAATGGAGATCCTCGGTCGATCCTCTCTCTCTCTCTCTCTCTTTTTCTCTCTCTCCAGGGTTGCTTTTTCGGGCCTGTCGTCTGTTCTCTGTCGGTTTTTTATTTATTTATTTTTTTTAAGATGTTTTAATTATTTAGTATATTTATTTATTCCTGATTTAATTAATTTTCTTTTTTTAATTTTCTTTTACTCTTGCATTTCTTTTTCCTTTTTCCTCCTCTCGGACTCCGTATTTTCCATCATCCACTTTGCCATTGTTCCCATCCAACTAACTAGTAGTATTCGCTTACTGCTTGTTGTTGCTGCTGCTGCTGCTGCTGCTCGTCCTCTTGCATGCTTAGTTCGAGTCGGTCTTCCTATCGTTCCCCCTCTTTCGTTCTTTTGCTTTTTTCCCTTCTCCTCTTCTGCTCGTCTTTTCCTCCCTTTTCTTTTTCTCCGGTTCATCGGTCGCTCTTTCGGCTGATTTTCAACTTTCTCCTCCCTCCTTTCATTTCCTGCTTTCGTTTAGCCCAGGTATTCTTCTGGTCGCCGACCACGGCTGATTCTCCCCTCCTCCTTCTCCCTCCTCCTCTTCTCTCCCAATATATTATTTCTTCTAGTGATACGCGGCCGATCTACCGGCTCTCTATCATTTCCTTCTTCTCAGCTGGTAGACTACCCGGTGCTCGACAATCTCCTAAACCCAACGATTCCACCCCGAAAAGGGAAAAAGGAACTGATCATCCTAGGATAGGAGCATTGTGGCTCATCATCACCGTCTCGGTTTAGAACCCGATCGGTTCCCTCACGACGGGTTACGTCCCCTCTTGCTATATGATAAACCTCTCAGTGTCCGCCCTCTCCTCCCGTCTCGCCAGAGGCTATCTTCCTACTCCCCAATAACACACCGAGAAAGCGGGTGAAACTCGCTCTTGTAGGATCTGCTCTATCCTATCACTATCACACACATCATGAGTGTATGTTGCAAACTCTTTTTCTGAGGATTCGGTCATGCACCGGCGCGCGGGATATATCTGTGCAGGCCCGGCACCGGCCAAAGAGATGGGCCAGAGCTGACTCTTGGTGACACAGACATCCGATCCCAGCAAGCCCTGGGACAATTCCAGTGATATCCTCCAAGGCATCATGGGCACTCGGGCAGTGCCTCCGTCCGGTGCTTCGCAGGTCGACCTTTCATCAGACGGACTGTCACCGTCCGACCTGACGCTGGGAGATCCCGCGTCATTCTTGGGCTTCCAATTCGCATCTGAGCCAGCCATTCCTCATCCCAGTCATCCATCCATTCTTCAGCCATGGCCACTGTATCACAAACAAACCTCCTCGCCCCTCCCCCAGCTGTTCGATGCGTCCGCCTATCCTCCGCTGACACGATGGAGAAACGATCAAGAGGCGTGGAACCCGCTCCAAGTGACGGGTGGGCCCATCTATCCCGCTGCGTTCGTCGTCCCGCGTTCGCACCAAGTCTACGGCCTCGATCGCCGGTCGTCAAGTGGACATCACAGTACGCCTTCCGAGGCTGGCAGTCAGTATACCGGTATCCATCTCTCCGACTCCGGATATAGTACGCAGGGCTGCACTACACGCTCTGTGGCTGCATCATATGCCCTCGAGTCAGCCTGTAGTCCATTCCTGGCACCTCTCGACCATGAGCAGGATGACAGAGTGTCTGCACTCGACCTCAACACCGCCCCATATGGTGACACCATGGATGCATTGGACCGAATGGACTCTCCGTCCTTGTTGTGCCAGGACGTGATCAAGTGCGACTATCCCGGTTGCCAATGGACTGGCAAGTGTCCTTCTGACAAGAGGTGCGTCCCCTGGGGTGCTTGGATCGATTAAAAAAAAAAAAAAAAAAAAGGCCTACGAAGCTGACTGTCACAGGAAACACGAAGCTAGGCACAAGAAACTCTTCAAATGCGACGAGCCGAACTGCACCCGCAAAGAGGGGTTCGGTACCATCAACGACCTTGCTCGTCACAAGAAGTGTGTTCACAAGCAGGAGCCGGAGCGAGGACCAAAAGTCCTTTATATGTGCTTCGGACATAACTGCCCGCGCCGGAATAAGAAATGGCCCCGATTGGACAACTTTCGTCAGCATCTTGCTCGTATGCACAGTGACGAAGATGTCGATGAGCTGCTACGAAGGTACGTCTCATGACTACTCTGCGCATCAGTTGCAAGATGAAGTTATTTAACGTGTATCATTCAGGTCGCATGAGTGGTATGAAACCTGCGTGAAGCCACAGGAGTTGGGGTCCTCTTTCATTGATTCGATGCCGGAAGAAGCGCCAGCCCTACAGGCCGAGCCCGTCTCTCAGTCCGAGGGGATTACGAAAGATACATGTCAAGGCTCTTCAGTCTCACCAGTTAGCGTCGATAGAGGGTTTCCGTCGCCTGAAACCCTTACACCAGATACCGTCCTGCGAATGAATGAAGAGTACAACGACCGGAGCGCTGACGCTGCATCGGTGCAACCGCCGCTTGCAAAGCCACTCCCTAGCGAGCTGCCCGCTCTGAGAGCTCTCAACCTGGACTCTTCGTTGGACCAAAAGGTCCCCCTGCCCGCCCAATTTGACCCCGCCAGAAACGGAAAGATGGATGACATGGTCAATGAAGCTGCGGTCAACATGATCAATGCGATGACAAAGGCCATGAACACCAACGAGCGAAGACGGAGCCAACAATCCGAGTCAGGAGACGAGATCATCGACCAGAATGTGGAGCTGTCGGATCGGAAGCGCGATATGCTACAGAGGATCTTGTCCGCCGCCCTCGATCGTCTTTCTGGACCGTCTGGCTCCAGCCACACCCCTTCGCAAGCCACTCTGGATGAAGACCGGGAGAAGAAGGGTTGGATTCAATGTGAATTTTGCACGAAGCGGACGCGCCTGCGATGTGAAATGAAGTAAGTGGGCTTTGGTTTCCTTTGATATCCGCCGAGACTTTTGCTGACTGGGGTGGTTTTGAAAGGAAGCATAAGAAGCGCCACGAACGGCCATATGGGTGCACCTTTTCCAAGTGCAACAAAACCTTCGGTAGTAAGGCCGATTGGAAGCGGCACGAGAATTCCCAGCATTTCCACGCGCAGTGTTGGCGGTGCACCTTGCCTGATGCCACGCAAGAGGGTCTCCCGTGTGCGCGCCTATTCTACCGCCAGGAGATATACGTCCAGCACCTGAAGAAGCATCATGAGACCGATGACGAAGAGGTTCGGGCGTCTCTATGCAATAATCGGATCAACCGCGATGGTGATCCGCGACCCTCGCACTACTGGTGCGGGTTCTGTCGGGTCCTTCTCCCCCTGAAGACACAAGGAGTGGGCGCCTGGAACGAACGATATAACCATATCGATGTCGAACATTTCAAGAAAGGCGAGCGCGTGGAAGACTGGCTCCTCCCCTCTGGACATCTGACCAAGAGTCAAGAGCGGGAAGAAATCAAGAAGCAACGGGCCGACGGCGATGGGTATGAGAGTGAGCCGGCCTTGGATGAAATTAGCGATGACGAATCCGTGAGCAGCGAATGTGCCGCCGAGCATGAGCCACTGCAGGATGACTTGATGGTGATCGACGAGGAACCGACGCCCGCGGCCGACTCGCTACACCACAATCAATCTAATTCTTTCCCTCAATCGTCCAATCTGCGGAAGCGGAAATTTCCGGCACTGCAGTCCCCCACCAACCCTCATAGAGATACCGCACGGATGGCGGGTCTGGACAAACGGTCGAGACTCGATTCCACATGGGGATCGTTCTATCGTGGGGACGACACCATGCAGCCGAGTCGGTTGCCTCACGAAGGCAGCTCGGCTTACTGTGTTGGCCTAGCTTCGCACGAAGGGATGCAATGACTTGGCACGGATCAAGCAGTGCTATAGGCAGGCCCGTGTGGTGAGGGGTAGTATGGTTAGAGGATGTTCATGACAGAGAAAGGTGGCATGTAACTTTAGACACGTCCAGTCACATCATTTGTTTTTTTTTCATAGCGTTAGGATACACACACACACACACATAACGAAGATACGCATGCAAAATATCAAACTTACTACTACTACTACCACCGCCTACGCACTTTCCACATAGACATGAATATATAATATAAGGGGTATATACTAGTAAACCAACTGAACCAAGGATTGAAATGGACTGATCATTTTTGCGCGCCAGTCAATTCCTTAGCCTTCTTCTCCAGCGCCTCTACCTCCTCTGCACCATTTGATCAGCCATACATTCTCTCTTTTCCTTTCTCACAACATAAAGAGTCAAGATGAGAGTAGGGAAACTTACTGTTCTTGTCTGCCTTGGACTCATCCATCTCCAACTTCAACCACGTCCAGTGGATAACCTGATAGGTGAAGATGGCACCGAGGAAGACCTTGGCAAAGGGACTCACGAAAAGTTTGTAGCGGGCCATCTGTTTGATATATTAACATTGAATTAAGCTGAATAATTGATATCTCGATAGGTAGACAGATAGCTGGATGCACTTACGCCTTCTCTATAAGCACTGGATGATGAGTCCTGACTCCATCTGGCAGTGGAGGTGGACAGGGAGGCCCGCTGAGTGAGGGGGATCTTGGAGCGGAGGAGGGGGGTGAAGTGGCGGGAGAGCATGATTATCCCAATTATTTTGATTTTCAATATACAAGTTATGGGTATCTTGGTTATAGTAATGGTATAATGAAGCAGTGTAGACGTTATATTTATGTAGATAAATGTAATCTCCGTAGAGTGAAAGTTGCCGGCGGGAGAACAGACCGCGCTGACTCAGCAATGTTTTCGGTCAGGTAGTCACATGATATCAAGCGAGAGGCGAAAGTCGAGAACACGCGGGGAGGGGCAAAGGAGTTTAAGGGCGATAAGCTTCGTGGGGAAATCGTGGCTACTATTTTTATTTTTGGACTATCTAGGCACATATGGGGCTGAGATGTGGTTCAGATCTACTATTTTGTTTATGGATTTTTTTGGAGAGAATATTTAGGTTTTTTTTAGTGGATTATGATTGGGGATGATGTGAGATATATTGTTATATTGAAGTAGATATTTGGGGGTTCTGGTGTATATTAAGTCTATGTAGAGTTGGAAAGGGAGAGTTGTGTTCTGGGGTATGGGTTGAATGTGTTATGAAAGGAACGGGGGGGAACATGAGAATAGCGAAGATAGAATGGAAAGGGCTGATAGTGGATTGGGACACACGGTTGGTTTTTTCATGGATTGGCGGCTACGCTAGACTGCTTTGGGCAATGGTCGGGTTGATGGCCTGAGGCCAGGTCCCGGGACTGAATGGCCCGCGCAGTTCAGCTGCTGCTTCTCTTGTGTCTCTCTTGCTGCTTGTTGCTGTGAGCATCTCGGTCTCTCGATCTATCCCATCGACTTCTTTCAAGGTTGATTTATCTATCACTTTGGCCTCTTCCGAGATTCTTTTTTTTTTTCTTCATTCATTCTTTTGTCTTCTTTTTTTCCTTTCCCTCCATCGGAGATCCAATCCCCTCCCCTCCCCCTGTGCTGAGCAGCTTGCATGCGACGCGTCCCTTCCGGTTGGTCAGTCCGTGAGCCTCGCTCCGTTCATTTCATTTCCCTGCCATTCTCTCCTCTTGCTCTGGCGCATTGCGCTTCGCCGTCGCCGTCGTCTTTTTTTTTTTTTTTCCCTTCCCTCGCACTCCCTCTCCCCCCTCCTCGTGTTGTATTATTCAAGGCTTCTGCTTCCCCTCCCTCTTCATCTATGATTGATGGCCGTTGAAACCTGCTTCCATTGTGGGTTTGCCTGAGAATCTATCATCATCGTCGCTCGTTGAGTGTGAGACCTCTCTATCGCTCGCTCCGTGTGTGTGTTTGTCCGAGTGAGTGTATTTGGGTTTCGCTTCCTGTTCTACCGGCCCTTCCTGTCGGTTTACAACGGGCCTTTTCATTCTCCCATTCACTCTCTAATCACATTGGCCTCTGTAAGTGCCACTGTCATTCCTCTCCGCTGGTTAATCGCCGCGGCGGGACATCTTCCCCGTCTTTGGCTTCAACTCCACACTCTATCGCCCTTGTGCTTCCTGTATCCTTTTTCTCTACTCTCTACAGTGATTCCCATCATCTGCTCGCTAATCCATCACTTTCCTGCCTTGTTTCACCATACTAACATGGCCATTCGCAAAAGATCCCCTGTCTGGCGCGGCATCATGCCTCGTGCTAAGCGCTCCATCGAGGAGTTGGCCAACAAGTCCGACTCGGACGATGACGACTACAGCGATCATCCCGTGCGCTCATCCCGACGCTCCGCCTCTCGAACCAAATCCAAGAAGAAGTCCAAGCCCGCCAAGAAAAGGGCTCGTCGCGGTTCCGACGACGACATCATCTCTGATGACGAGATCTTCGACGAGGCTGAGGACCTTTCATTCGCCGAGTCCGAGGAAGAGGACGACGACATCAACGCTCAACGCAACGCTCGCGGTTTAGTCGCTCGCCGGGCCGCTACGAACCGTCCCCTCTACAACGAACCCGAATCCAGCAGCATCGAAGACGACGATACGGACGATGATGAACGTCCTCAGCCCTCGCCCCAGAAACGCAAGAGCACGGTGGTCACCCTCAAGGTCGGCGATGCCTTGAAACAGAACTTCCAGGGCCCCCGCCGGGTGACTCGGCGCACGCGGGATCCGTCGGAGGATTTCCACGCCCTAACGACATCCGGTCGACATATGGAGACGGTTGAACGAGGAACCACACGGAGCCCTGAGCTGGAGCGGCGCCGGGGATCCCGTGGCTCGAAGCGGGCCCCGGTGCTGGACGAGGAGGAGGAGGAGTTGCAGCCCAAGCAGGAAGAGGAAGAGATGGTCGATGAGACAACCATGGAGGTCAAAGGCTCTCAGCTCGAAATCATGGAGAGTGATGTTCAGATCAGCTTCGAGGACGGCATGCCGCCTGCAGCCGGCGAGGGACAAGAGACAACCACAGCAGATGATGAAGGGTTTGTTCCGGAGTCAGAAAATGGCGACGCAAAGGAGGGTGGCGGCGACGATGAGGACGACGATGAGGATGAGGGCCCGACAACGCGAAGGAGGAATCGACCCAACAGGAGCCAGCAGGAAGACGACGAAGCCGAACAGCCTGAAGAAGACGAGGCTGCCCACCCGCGCCGTTCTAGTCGAAAGAAGCCGAAGAGTTCACAACGCAAACGCCAAGATGACGAAGAGAGTGATTTCGAACCCGAGGAAGAAGAGTCCAATGATGACGACGAGATCTCACAGTCTGGGAAGTCGCAAGCTTCACCACGCAAGGGAAGCCAGGCCCATGACGAGGATGAGGATAGCGCCGCCGGCCGTCGCCCGGGTCTCCGCAAGCGGGCATCCCGATCCCGGGGACAGTCCGAAGCGGGTGCTGATATCGCGGAGGAGCTCGCAGAGGAGTTGGAGGATCTTCGCGGCGGGCGTCCTCGTCGCCGAGTACAACCGGAGATCGTCTACGAGAAGCCTCGCCGCAGTCGCAAGGATGTTGACTACCGTATCATCCGGCCTGATCTGATTCTACCCATTGAGGAGGCCGAGAACGAAGTCAATGAATCACCTTCACGCCGTGGTCGGGGAGGCGGCGGCAACAGTTGGCAGCGCACCCTGTTTCCTACCTATGGGCCGTTCGGAGGCGGCGGGCCGTCTGCCATCTTGGGCCCGCCAGGCGCCCCGGCTGCTACGGGTGGGGTAGATAGCGATAGCAGTGACGACGAGGTTATGCAGCATCCCAAGGGCGGTGCAGGCGGTTCCATCTCGGGCCCTGCGCAGCTTGGTGCTGGCCTCCTGGGTACGCAGACTCACAGCGCCGATGCAGCCCAGGGCCACGCCGGGACGCCTGCAAATCTTGGCAAAATCAAAGACAAGCAGACACTGGCTGATGCTGACCCGTTGGGTGTGGACATGAGCGTCAACTTCGACAGTGTTGGCGGCCTACAGGGGCACATCGACCAGTTGAAGGAGATGGTGTCGCTACCGCTGCTATACCCGGAAATCTTCCAACGCTTCCACATCGTGCCTCCGCGAGGAGTGCTTTTCCATGGACCTCCTGGAACCGGTAAGACGCTGCTCGCCCGAGCACTGGCGAACAGTGTTAGCTCGACTGGCCGCAAAGTGACCTTCTACATGCGCAAGGGTGCCGATGCTTTGAGTAAATGGGTGGGTGAGGCGGAGCGGCAACTTCGGTTGCTCTTCGAAGAGGCTCGAAAGACACAGCCTAGCATTATCTTCTTCGATGAAATCGATGGTAAGTGATGTCTTTTTTTTTTTGGTCGGGGAATTTATTGGAAGCTGACCTTGCTTCTAGGACTGGCACCTGTACGGTCAAGCAAGCAGGAACAAATCCATGCCTCGATTGTATCTACTCTGCTGGCGTTGATGGATGGTATGGATGGACGTGGACAAGTCATCGTCATCGGTGCCACGAACCGTCCCGACTCGATTGACCCAGCTCTTCGGCGCCCTGGTCGTTTCGACCGCGAATTTTACTTTCCCCTGCCCAACAAGGATGGCCGACGTGCAATCCTGGATATTCACACCAAGGGCTGGGATCCACCGCTGCCTGGGCCCATCAAGGATGAGCTGGCGGAGATCACCAAGGGCTACGGAGGTGCCGATCTTCGTGCTCTCTGCACCGAAGCAGCCCTTAATGCAGTACAACGACGATACCCCCAGATCTACAAGTCTAATCAGAAGCTACTCATCGACCCTAAGACCATTGAAGTGACCCCCAAGGATTTCATGTTGGCGATTAAAAAGATGGTCCCGTCGTCGGAGCGTTCAACCTCATCGGGTGCCTCGGCCCTGCCCACCTCGGTCGAGCCTTTGCTGCGCACGCCTCTCACGGAGATTAAGAGTTTGCTGTCTTTGATATTGCCGCAGCGAAAGAGGCTTACAGCGCTGGAAGAGGCGCAGTTTGAGGAACCGGAAGGATCAGGAAGCTTTCAGCGCGAACAAATGCAGCAGGAGTTCGATCGGTCCCGAGTGTTCCGTCCTCGCATGCTGCTCCGCGGACCGCTAGGAATGGGTCAGCAGTATCTGGCTGGCGCCCTTTTGCACCATTTCGAGGGACTCCATGTTCAGGCGTTTGATCTCCCTACCCTGCTTAGCGATTCAACTCGGTCACCCGAGGCCGCCGTCATCCAGCTTTTTGCCGAAGTTAAAAGGCACAAGCCGAGTGTGATCTACATCCCGAATATCCAGGCTTGGACTGAAACCGTGGGCCCGGCCGTGATGTCTACGTTCCTGGGTCTACTGCGGTCAGTTCCTCCGACGGATCCTGTGCTGCTACTAGGCGTGCAGGAGTCAGCTGGTGAGGACATGGACAACGGTGTGCTGCGAAACCTGTTTGGGTATTCGAAGAAGAACTTCTACGACCTCAGAGCGCCAGGTAGCGAGGCACGCTACGAGTATTTCACTAAAGTGATAGACTACATCAAAACATCGCCTGCACACTTGCCCGACCCGGAGAACCGGAAGAAGAGGGAGCTAGAGACGCTAGAAGTTGCGCCCCCGCCACCCCCTAAGCCGACAACGCCCCTCTCCAAGGAGCAGCTGAAGGCGCAGAAAAAGAAAGATCACCAGACTCTCAACCTTCTCAAGATCCGCATCCAGCCTATCATGGACCAGATCAAGAAATACAAGCGCTTCCGCACGGGCGTGATCGACGAATCTCAGATTCGCTACCTTTGGGAGGAGGAAGACCCGAACATTGTGACCAGTGATCTACCGATTGAACAGCGTACCACCTTCCGGCCGTTTGAGAAGGCTTTCGATAAGAATGGGGTTCCTGGGTTGCGCGAGGCCGTATCGGGCAAGTTCTTCTACAACCTTGAGATTGTCACCATCGAGAAGCGGCTCTCCAATGGGTACTACAAGCGGCCCAAGGACTTCTTGGCGGATATTAAGAGGCTTGCCAAGGACGCTCGGCAGCTTGGGGAACAGGAAAGGCTGCTGCGCGCCAATGAACTGCTGTCCAATGTGGAGGTGGATATTGCTACCATCGAGCAGACTGAACCTGCGCTGGTGACGGAATGCGAAGGGGTCTACCTGCGAGAGCTGGAGAGAGAGAAAATCGCCATCGAAAAGGCGCGCAAGGCGGCGGAAGAAGAGGAGGCAGGCCTGATCGGTCGCGCGGCGGCAAACCGAGTCCCGCACGGCAACACCGAATCGGGCCCATCCAGCGGTCCGGTGGTCCTGGGCGAGACGTTCCCGGATCTTGGTCCGAAAGAGACGGGCCGACCGGTGACCCCTACCCGTCGATCGACAGTGAGCTTCATCACCAATGGCTACCATACCGGGGGCGGATCGGACCTCAACGACCTCAGTACGCATGCGCTCACCAGCAATGGCTCGCACGAGGACCGCCCGGATGGTGATGGCGATACCTACATGACCAACTCGGATCACTCTGCCGAAAAGGAAACGCAGACGAGCTCGTTTGGTCCGTCGGCGCAGCCCAAACCTCCTTATTCGCACACAGCACCGTCGCAGCAGGTGCGGCGTGAGTCGGGAATTTCAAGCTTCTCGCAGAAGGGCCCCATGACGCCCATGGCGCCCGGATCTCAGCCTCACGAGTACGCTAACGAAGCGTCGACGACGCAGACGACGTCGGACAAGAAGTCGTCTGAGCAGTCCTCGGTGCCGAACCCATACACGCAGAGTCCGGTGGCCACTCAAGGGATGCGACACGACTTCCCCGACCTCACGCAGTACCCGGACCGGGTATCGCAGGAGGAACATCTTCCAGACACACAACAGGGAGACAGCAGCCAGCCGTCGCCCCGACCGGCTGCCGACCTGGCGCCGCTGGAAAATGGCCCGGCGCACTCGCAACCACGGGCTCAGCCGCCGGTGCCCCTGTTCGACCACCCGACCAAGCCAGCTGCGCATGTGCCGGCGGGAATGCAGTCGCTGCTGAATAACGAGGACCTGTCGCCGAAAATAACGCTGGATCTGGAATACGTGCAGAAGCTGCACGACCAGCTGACGCAGCGGACGAGCGGCTGCAGTGTGGAGCAGCTCGAGCAGATCAACACGAACCTGATGGACTACCTGTGGCAGACGCGGGGAGAGTGGAACCGGAGCAAGGTGGCAGCGGGGATCCAGGACACGTTCAACGAAGTGCTGGAGGACATGCAGGCAATGCAGGAGATTGGGCCGATCAGTCAGAAGACGAAGGAGCAGCTGTATCCGCTGTAGAAGGAGGAACAGCGTTTTCATGTGTGATTGCTTTGTGGGATACCACCATACCCCCTTTTACCTTTATACCTCTTTGAAGCGACATGGATTGTATCGTATGTTTATACCTGCCTGTCTTGATTTTGTTTGTATTGCTTGCTCTGCGTTCCCCATTCTTGCTACTGGTACTGATTTATGGGCGGTCATGTGTTTGGATCTTGCATGTATTTGGGCGTGCAGCATATTGTTGCCGATGTGTTGAATTAGCTGGAAAAGGCTGTATTCTTGTAGATAGACTGGAGAATACATCTACGATGGTTATATTTATAATTTTACTGTAATTCTGGTAGGACCACTTTGGTTCTCAAATTCAGGGCTGCAAATGTAGGGCGGTGGCATGTGACGGGGCCAAGACACCAGGCTGGCCTTTCGTCGATCCTCGCTTTCGTCCTTCATCTCCGCTGCTCCGCCGCAATCTTCCGCCCACCACAACCACCACCTTCACCCCATTTTCACCTTCACCCCATTTTCACCTTCACCCCATTTTCACCTTCACCCCATTTTCACCTTCACCCCATTTTCACCTTCACCCCCGGCTGGGTTGATCCTTGCAGGCAATTAATTGACAACTGCAAGTCCATTCGTTCATTGCATCTATCGCGAGCAAAGCACCAATACTTCTGTCTCTACTATGACCTCTGTCTAACAAACACCATCACCGACCCAACATCACCCGCCCAACCTACACTCACAACATCACCCTCTACCAGACACACACATACACATCACAGCCAGATAGAAGCATAACAAAACCAAAATGGTCAACTGGCTCACCCTCGCCGTCCCCTTCGCCTACCTCGGCGTCCTCCTCGGCTCCCTCGCAACCTTCTCCTCCCTCTACCGCAAGCGCAAAGCCCGTACGTCCTTTCCTTCTTCCCCCTTCTTCCTCCCCCCCCAAACCATCCCAGCTAACCAAACCCTCCCCCCCAAAAAAACAGGCAAGTCCCTCTCCCTGGAACCCTGGTTCCCCCCACACACGCAACGCGACATCTACTTCTCCCTCCTACACCTCGACCCATCCGCCAGCAATGACAACAAAGGCACCGGCAAGAAACCGCCCTCCTCCGTGCCCGACAGCGTCCTGAAATCCGCTCTCCTGCGTCGCGCCATCGAAGACATTAAACGCGTCATGGCCCTGCGCACGCAGAAGGGCGCCCTCGCAATGCTCCTCCAGCGCGGTAGTGTCGGGGATGATCTGTGGCAGAGGTTTCTGCGTGCCGAGAAAGAAATGGAGGATGAGGTTAGGGATGTTGTTGCTGAGGTAATACCCCTTCCCTTTGGGTTGGTTGGGGGATGATTGCTAATTCATATGAAATGAACAGGCAAACGCCTACGTCCCCGGCTGGGGCCAAACGATCTTCCAATCCGCTAATGAAATGCTGAACAATGCTATTTTCCGTGAACGGATGGAGAAGCAGCAGGCTAAGTTGGAGGAGGAGAAGCAGTGGTGGGAGAAGAGGAAGGAGGGGTACATGAAGGAGTTGGATGTGGAGGCGGAGAAGAAGGAGGAGGTGGAGGCGGGTGAGAAGAAGGCTGCTGCTGCTCCGGCGGCCGCGTCGACGACTACTAGTGAGGAAGGATCTGGTGTTCCTACGCCTGCTACCAAGACGCCCGAGTCGTCTGGTGCGCCGCCTTCGGTGGCGGGGAGTGATGATGATGCGGTGTTGGTGGAGGCGGATGAGCAGAGTGCTGAGAAGAAGGGGAAGAAATAGATTTGACTCATTTTGCTGGGTTTACGTTAAGTTATATGGGCTCGGTGTATTATGATCAATATATATCCTTCTCTATTTTCGTCGTTGATGATATCAGATTGAGTGGCTGTAGCTGTTGAGTACCGAGTGTATGTAGTGTGCAATTCAGGTGGGATACTATTGTTACTACTGGTGTTGTATCCTGGTCAGTTCCAGACCATTGCATACTGAAGCTGGCAGTACTTGGTTAAGAATAATACGACGGTTGGTAAATCCTACTGGTATTACCGACAAGTGAAAATAACGAGCTACTAGTTGAAGAGAGGACATCCGATTCTATCATCATGATATAATATATTACATGTATACCCCCAGAATCACCATTTTTTATATACACTCACACCAACGGGCAAGAAGTAGAAAGATATAACCAAACGCCAACCATGCTCATAGACCCCCACTATAACAACAAATCATCCCCCAACGATACCCCCAAATCCACCCCCGTCACCCCCATCTCCTCCGCCACCTTAGCAATCTCCTCCTCCACCGCACCATGACCCTCCCCTCCAGCCGCCCGCCGGCCCATCACCACGCGCAACAGCTCCGTCATAACCTCCAACTGATACTGCTCGCGCTCCTGCTGCTCGAGATCACTAAATTCAAGACCGCGGGCCGCGAGCGCCCCGAGCTTCCGATCACTGAGGATCTCCACGAGCCGGTTAACATGGCTGATATTCTCCTTGCTCTTTGGTGTGCTGGACAGCCGACGGAGTCGGCGCTTGGGCGTCTCCGCCGGCACACCTGCCAACCGGGCGACTTGTAGCACGATCAGACGGGCTGTGGTGTCGTCGGGGAAGAAGCCAAAGTACGCGCGCATGGTGCACAGGGCGACGAGAGTGCCGGGGAGGTCTTTAGAGAGACAAAAGCAGCGGATGATTTGGTCGTAGAGTTCCTTGGAGAATTCGCCCCGGGTAGCGGTTTGTGCGCGCGCGGATAGCTTGGTGAACCAGCGGATCATGTCGGAGAAGAGGTGGCGCGCGGATGGGAAGTCGGTTACGTAGGCGGTTCGGCCGCGGTCGTATTGTAGCTTGCCGCAGTCCCAGAGGCAGGCGTACGTTTCGAGGTCGGGTTGGGTGATGGCGGACAGGGATTGGTATTTGGTCCAGAGGGAGCCGATGTCTTGTTTGCGAAGCTCGGCGTAGAGCAGGTGGTTCATGAAGTAGGAGTTCGGGTGGATGCGGCCGTCGCCGAGGCATTTGACGAGGTATTTGATCATGTCGTCGTCGCTGCGCCGCGTGTAGTGGAGGAGGAGGATGGAGAAGGTCTCGATGGTGGCGGCTGGCATGGGCCGTTTCATGAATTCGGGCAGTCGGACGCCCTCTGTGCTCTCCTGGTTCACGTCGAGTTGGGGAGCCTTCTCGGTGGTGGTGCGCGCCCAGACTTGGTCAATACGCTGCTGGACCATGGCCCATCCGAGGCGTTCGGCTTTCTCTCGCGAGGTGCTGCTGCCGTCGCGCAGCCAGGCGGCAATGACTCCGTTGAGGTGCTTTGCATCTGGCTTGACGCCACGTTCGTACATCAGCTCGATAACCATGGCGGCGGAGTCGACCTCGCCCATGCCGATTAGTTTCTTCATCCAGCTGGCGTAGAAGAAGCGATTCTGGAACTTCCGCGGCAGGACAGTCAGGGTAGAGAGCGAGACCTTGTTCACGTCTTGTTCGGAGATACTGGACGCTTGCAGGTTGCCTGCCAAGCCGACGGCGGCTTTGTAGAGAGAAGTTGAGTCGTGTCGGGGATCGCTGTTGGTGACCATCATGTCTTTGAAAACGGCTATGGCAAGGCTCGGTCGGCCGGCTTTGAGCAAGCCAATGCTGACTTGATCGTAGTCGTCCATCGTCATCTTCCGGTCCAGGAATGCCTTGAGCTGCAGATACATCGCCCACGCCTTGACTTCTGCTTCCTTCCCGGACCGTTTGCCCCAGGCCGTGATGACAGGGATCAGAATGCGTGGTTGCCGTGACTTATCGTTGGCTAAGAAGGCCAGCGCAATATCTTGTGCTCGCTGAGGGTCGTCTTCAGCTGCGAACAGCTGGACGCCTAATTTCCAGTATGCTTCCAGGTCCTCTTTCCTTTGGCTGAGCTCGGCCTGGTATGCTTCCCATTTCTCCAATGCCACTTGAGTATCCCCGCATTCATGAAGTGTTTCAATGTACGAAAGAATACGAGGCGTGGAAAGGGTGAGGCCAGCTGATAGCGAGTCTTCAGCCAGGGTGCGTACCCGTGCGGTTTCCTGGGGTTTGGCGGACTTCTTCGAGGCCAGAGTATCCCACAGGAGAGTCAGCGTCTCCTCCGACAAGGACTCCACAAATCCTGGGACGACCTGTTTGCATCGCCGATACCACCTCCACAATTCCTGTTCCCAGCGCAGGCTAGAGTCGCCACTCGCGATCCGTCGAAGGCATTTGTTCAACTTGTCGGCATATGGCTGCAGGTCTGAGTCCTCCAATTCCACTTCGTAAGGGCGGCGCACAACCAGTGTACGTGAGTCATCCTCCTCGTCAGACTGCCAGTTCTCCTCTTCCTTGACCAGGCTTTCAAATTCGTTCTTCAAGAGACCGTCGAGCTCCTTCTCGTAGAGATCCTTAAGGCTGACATCGACCGTCCCGGCCGCCTCGTCCTCCTCATATTTCCGGAGTGCTTCGAGTGCAATAGCCCTGTCCGCCTCGGGTAGTTCTCGAATGAACTGGCTGTTGGGGCCGAACGGGCCTTCCTTCAGCTCTTCTAGCTCTTGGGTCAGGCGGGCGAGTTCCTTCTCGGCGTCTTCCTGCTCGGCGCGCCCCTCTGCTTCTGGGTCGACCTTCCGCCTTATCTTGCTCTTACGAGTATCCTGCTCGTAGAAGTTGACCTTGTCTTTGGGACCGCCATAGTGTATGGAGCGTGGCGCTACAGCGGCGAATGCTCGCGGGAAGAACGGGCTTCCGCGGGCCACATGCTGATACCAACGAGCTCCTCGGACAGCCTGGCGGAGCATCAAGTATGAGCGATTTAAATCATGGAACAAGGGTGTATATAGATGCAAAATAACACCGACCGACAGCTGGAAAAGAGCACAAAAGCGAGGATTGCAGGAGGTTGACGGAAAATAAGAATGGATGGCAGCTCCGCGGCGGAAAACCATTTCACCCCAATCGGGACTAGCGCCACCGCGAGCTCGATCGCCGCAAAGAAAGTCACTCCATGAAATAATTCATCCCATTCCTCTTTCTTGCCCACGAGCTGTTCCTCTCGATAAGCTCCATTGCTCCTTACGCTAGACGCTGCTCATCATGGACCTCGAACCGTTAGAGGTGGAGGCGGCTAATGCGCCCAAAGATGGCACCAACAACCAGGTACCGCTCCCTCCAGGCCGTTGTCGCGAACCCGTACTAACGGACCCAAGGGTGTGTATATCTACACGCCCGCCGATCAACGAAGCAAATCCTCAGGGGAGCGTCCTTCAAAGCGGCGCAAGGTAGCTCCGAAGAAGGAAGAAGAGGAGTCGAAAGCACATCCCTTCGTGCCGCTCCTTAACGGCGAGGAGGACGAGCAGTCCGTCGAAGCGCGATATAAAACATACCAGCAACTATGGTCGACCCAGGAAGCGAAGATTCAGGTCAGTGATTTATCCTTGGAAGCAATTTCCGGTGGTACAAGTCTAATATTTGGGGTAGGAAATTCTAGATGATGTCGACTCCGAGGTCCTTTCCAGTGTTTCGTCCTTTGTCCGCTCGACTTCCCCTCAGACGTAAGCGCGAACATTCGTTCCCAATAATTGGCCGCATGCCCTGACGATTGCAGATACGATGGCTGTATTCCGGCGGCGTTAGTAACCGTTGGCTCCAATGTCTCGTCGCTGGCTCGTCTGCTGGCCAGACTCAACGACCAATTCACCACGGCCGGAGACGGTGGAGCTATTGTGCTGGAATCCGGTGATGCGCCGAACCTCAAAACGACCCTCAAGAACATCATTCGATTTGCTATTACGAACACGGAAGGGAACAATGGTTATCAGTCATTCCTCACAGATCGAGAGGTGGTTATGCTCCGTCCAGCGACAATACATGACATGCGCTAAGTACCAATACAGGGCCCTAGACTCCTCGGCTACGATCTGGACTTATTAGGCGACTATGTGAAGCGGAAGGGCATCAAGAAGCTGGTTCTTGCATTTCGAGATAGTGAAGCTTTCGATCCAGGCATTCTTACGGACCTCTTGTCTTTACTAAGGTGGGTCCGTCCCTGCATTTGTGTGGTACTCTGGCTAATTGTCCAGCTCCTGGCTTGATCGGATACCATTTACCCTCCTGTTCGGCATCTCAACGTCTGTGGAAGTTTTCGAAGGGAGACTGCCGCGGTCAACTGTCGCCTTGCTACGGGGTAGATATTTCGAAATACATGAAGCGAGCAACTGCGTTGACCGCATCTATGGGAGGTTACAAGCGGAGCAGGATGGGAAGATCTGGCTGGGCAGGAACATCACGAATGTTCTGTTCGAGAAATCCAATGATTCCTTCCAGACTCCGGAGGCTTTCAGTCGAACGGTCAAAGTACGTTTACATTTTGAACGTGTGTCAACCCATTTGACTTACACCAGTAGTACGCATACATGTCACATTTCTTCGCAAACCCGTTGGCGGTGCTCCTTGCAGACGGGACGGTTCCGAGCATGCGACGGGGACTCGTGTGCGAAGCGCTCCGAAATCTCCCTTCTTTCCGATTGTAAGACAGCTTCCCTTCATTAAGATTGGTGATACTAAACTAGTAACAGTTATTGCGAGGAATTGCTCGAACAAGGCTCGGCCAAGCAAGTGCGTGACTTGCTTGAAAACGACGAGGTTCTCTTCCAGCAATGTCTACAACACCTGAAAGACGGACAGCAGAAGATGCGCGACATCTTCCAATGCGTCAAACTGACGCATCTGCTTCTGAAGAAACTCAATCTCGTCAAGAAGACTAGCATATCGGAACTCTCAATCCGTGCCCTATCTGGAGAACTCCAAGACTCGCAATTGGTGGTCGACATCCTCCAATCTGCAAAGACACTAGACTCCACCATCCTCTCGGAAGTATTCGATATCCTGCTGAGTACATTAGCAGACCTCCCCGAGCTACAACAGATCCAGACCGACTTCAACGCATTAATACAATCATATCAAGGCACCGAACCCCTTCGCACCGCCCATGACAAGCGCCATTCCGTCGTCGCCACAACCGTCGTCCAGCAGCGGGTGAAACTCAGCAAAGGCAAAGCCAAGCTGCCCCAAGAGCACATTGAGTACACCCAAATTATAGACCGCTTCCACGCCCTGCTCGAAGCATACTTTGGGCAAACTCTTGAGAGCCCGCAAGATCTCGTCCTTCATGAAATCTTTCTCTTTGACATGAGGAACCCCCTAAAAGAGATCTTCTCGCCGCGGCCACGCTTTGCAGTGGAACGGGCCTTGTCTAATCCGTTCGACTATCTCATCTCAGACTCCCCAGAGAAATCCGAGGCTACGGCTAGGGTGTCCGCGAATCAGCCTGCTACGTCTATTCTGTATCAGCTGTATCTGGAGTCCGGGTCCTTGGTCAACGTTTACGACCTCTGGCAGGCGTTCTACGCGGTGTTTGAAAGCGACCAAGGTGATTCCTGCGACGAACGGACTACCATGGCCCTGTTTTACCGCGCTTTGTCGGAGCTCAAGGCCCTGGGTATGGTGAAGAGTAGTCGCAAGAAGGCAGACCATGTTGCGAAGAGCGCATGGATGGGCTTGTAGATTTATATTTGTAAACTAAGCTATAGTACTTGTCATCATCACATATGGCGACTTTCATACTTAAACCAAGGGTATCTTAAAGAACATGCAAAGAAATTATCATCGCTAATCGATCCCTCATCCATGTAGCCCCATTGTACATCATTCGGAAACGGGCAACTGTATAATGTCATCATTTCCCAATGGACGTCCTCCGTCGCTCAACACCATAGCTTCCCGCCTGCGACGTCTAACGGCTTGTTCCTCAGCGGTGCGAAGACGCCGCCCTGGCACTCGTCTAGATCCGGCCGTATCCTCCCCATCCACCATCCACACGTCGCTATCGTAGTCATCCTGATCATTCTCTTCCATCATGCTGCCCATCAACCCGTACTTGCGCAGCTGCTTAGCTCCCTCAGGATGGGAAGACAAGGTACCGAAGATAGCACTCATTACAGTATCGTCCATCCACCATGTCTTCATCAGCAGCACCACGTCCTGTCGCCGGGAGGGCTCCGATAGGGCGCACGGGAACGGGTAGTTGACTAGCCAGCGGCTCACGATGCCGGCTTCTAATGCGGCGGGTACATTCTCTTGCAGAATGATATTCAGAATACTGAGTGCCTTTTTCTCACCAGGAGGTCTTGTCTTTGGCAGGATGGGGGATATTGTAGTTGTTGTTTCTTCGAGGTGTTCGTCGGTCAAGATGCACAGACAGTCAATGAGTGCGTTGTAGGTGGCGGGGTCTTTCAATCGATTGCAGACGGAGGTTCGTGCGACTGCACGGAGATATTAGCATACTGTGATCTCATAGCAAGGCAACCTAGGATAGGTGATGCATACGAGCGCGGTTAGACACAAGGAAATGCATGGCAGTCAGTGCCTTGCCCCGCCGTTGTTTGTTCCTGGTTGCAAGGTCTCTGAGAAGCAGGTCCCTTGTTTCACCCTTTGTAGATCGTTCAGCAATGATGCGCAAAGCCCTGTAATTCTATATTAGCTAGTCGCTATTGAGAACATCCGAGGCCGGTCATACGCTGCGCGGAGATCATAGCTGGTACTATCGGAGAGCTTCAGCAAGGTGTCCAAGTTCAATGCTGTACTGATAAATTAGCCAGCGTATACATTACTCAGGAGCACATCGACAGACCATCCTCCGTCCCCTCACTGATCATCTTATCCTCCTTCTCAACATGCTTGATTTCGGTCAATTCGCGCACTCGGCGGAGGTCCGTGACAATCCCGCGCACGGCGAAGAACAGCGAGACGCCTGGACACGGTTAGTCCTTGCTTCATGACACTCATTCCAGGATAAGCCAACATACCTAGACACACCCACACGACACGGTCACTCATATGAGACCCCATTGTTCAACTCGACAACTCCAGCAGCCGATGAGATAATAGTTGCAAGTCCAGCAGCGGAGTAAAAGCGGGGAGTCACGCGGCATCCCCCAATAATGCCGGCAGAACCTGACCCACCGAGGCGGTGAGCCCGCTTTTTTCTTCGGCCAAAAAATTCAGTGGAGATCCAAAGCATCGCTTCTGCTGTTTGTCGTCGTTCAACACGCAGCCATGCCGCCTTCGCAGCTTAAACAGCTCAAGGCTTCCCTCCGCGAGGGTGGAGTCTTGGGGCCCCAGCAGTCCAAGAAGCAAAAGCGTCAGAATGCGAAGACTGGTGTGTCCGCGCAAAATCGCATGAAGCGGGAATCCGCTCTGCAGGCCATTCGCGATCGTTTCAACCCGTTCGAGATCAAGGCCACTTCGCGCCCCAAGTTCGATGTGACCACGCGCGATGTCGGACCTAAGTCGAAACATGGCCATGCGAGGCCCGGTGTGACCAAGTCTCTTGGTGAAGAAAAGGTGAGCTAGGTTGGACATTCTTCGACACGGGGTGTCACTGACAAGGTACTTCCTCTACAGAGACGCCATACGCTTTTGCGCGAAATGGACCGCAAGAACAAAGTTGGTGGAATCCTCGATCGCCGGTTCGGTGAGGATGATCCGACAATGACGCCGGAAGAGAGGGCTGCCGAGCGATTTGCCCGTGAGAGTCAGAAGAAACTGCGCAAGGAGTCGATGTTCAACTTGGAGGACGACGAGGAAGAGTTCCAGCTCACACATCAAGGCCAGTCTCTGTCATTTGGAGAGGGAATGCTCGGAGATGACTTCCGCGAAGGCGATTTGGACATGGACGAAGAATCGGATTCGGAACTGCCTCGCAAGAGGAAGCGAGAGTTTGCCGACGATGAGGAGGCTCTAGATGACGATATCGTATTTGACGATGAGGAAGGGGAAGAGCAGCCAGAGCGCAAGAAGTCGAAGCACGAAGTTATGAAAGAAGTCATCGCCAAGTCCAAGTTCTACAAAGCCGAACGACAGAAAGCTAAGGAAGACGATGACGATCTTCGAGAGGAGCTCGACAAAGGTCTTCCCGATCTCTTCGACATGTTGAGAGGCGTGAAGCCTCCCCCGAAACCGGAGCCTCCAAAGGACGATTTCGCCTCAATGGACCCCGCTCGTGCAGCACTGCTGGCCGGAAAGTCACAGAACGAGACCGAGCAGGAGTATGACCAACGCTTGAAGCAGTTGACCTTCGATAAGAGGTCTCAACCGACGGACCGTACGAAGACGGCAGAGGAGAAGGCGGCGGAAGAGGCCGAGCGGCTGAAGAAGCTGGAAGAAGAGCGTGTTCGACGAATGCGCGGTGAGGAGCCAAGCGAGGACGAAGAGGAGGAGGATGAAGAGGAAAGTGACGAGGAAGGCAGTGAGGACGACGATGAGGAGTCGTTACCGGACGATGCCAAAGCGTTCGGTTTGCAGCAGCCCACGGCCGAGACGAGCACTCGTCCCGAACTGGGTGTCGAAGATGAGGACGATTTCATCATCGACGATGACCTTGTGGAAACGAGGTCTAATGCCAGTCTCTCCTTCGATGAAAGCGACCTGGAGATGGAATCCGCGGAGGAGTCCGAAGAGGAGCCTGAAGACGACCAGGAGGACGAGTTGATCAATGGCTTCACGCTCCCTGAGAGCAAGTCCGGCGATGCCTCGACAGCTCCCAACAGCAACGAAGAGCCAACTGACGGTCTGGCATACACATACCCCTGCCCTGGCAGCCATGAAGAGTTCCTGGAGATCATCAAGGACGTGTCTATGCAGGACCTCCCCGTCGTCGTCCAGAGGATTCGTGCCCTGCATCATCCCCGTCTTCACCCCGACAACAAGATGAAGCTCGGCCGTTTCGCGGGCATCCTCGTCGAGCACGTTGCATACATGGCCGATCTACCAGAACATCCTCCCTTTGCCATTGTGGAAAACATCCTCCGTCACATCCACTCCCTGGCGAAGACTCACCCCGACACCGTCTGCCAGGCATATCGCGCCCATCTCCGCCAGATTGCCACGGAGCGTCCGCTCAATCTCCGTGCTGGTGACCTCGTCATCCTCACCGGCATTGCCACCACCTTCCCAACCTCCGACCACTTCCACGCTATCGCAACCCCGGCACACCTCTGCATCTCGCGCTACCTGGGCCAGGGCGTCGTCAACTCCCTCGCCGACGCGTCCGCCGGCACTTACGCAGCCAGCTTACTCCTGCAATACCAGTTCATCTCCAAGCGCTACATGCCGGAATTCATCAACTACACCCTCAACATGCTGTGCCACCTCAGCCCGAAAGAGCCCAGCGAGAGTCTCGGATCCTTCCCCCTCCGGAGCCCGCAAACCTCTCTGCGCCTGAACCTCTCTTCTTCCAAGACTACCATCTCCCCCCGCAAGCTTCGCTTCTGGGACACGACCGACCAAACCCCCTCCAACCCCGAAGAGCTCAAACTATCCCTGCTCACCACCCTCGTCACCCTCCTCGGCACCGCCTCCGACCTCTGGACCAGCAAATCCGCCTACACCGAGATCTTCACTCCAGTCCAGAACGTCCTCAACCACCTCCGCAGCAGCCTCAAGGGCAACAAGAAACTCATCTCCTCTCAAGTGCGGGACACCATTCAATCCACCCTGGACAAGGTTACCACTCAACTCTCTCAAGCCAAACTCACCCGTCGACCCCTCCTCCTGCACAACCACCGGCCCTTGGCCATCAAAACCGCCATCCCCAAGTTCGAAGAGACCTTCAACCCGGACAAGCACTACGACCCGGACCGCGAGCGCGCCGAAAGCAACCGTCTCAAGGCGGAATACAAGCGCGAGCGCAAGGGAGCGATGCGCGAGCTCCGCAAGGACGCCAACTTCATTGCGCGCGAGAAGCTCCGCGAGAAGAAGGAGCGCGATGCCGAGTACGAGCGCAAGTACAAGCGGCTTGTGGCGGAGGTGCAGAACGAGGAGGGTCGCGAGGCGAATGCTTACGAAAGGGAGAAGAGAATGCGGCAGGGCAAGCGGTGATGATGATGATATCCATCATTCATCGTTCGTTCACTGCTCTATGTGGAGCAGTAGTGCTTCTCACTTGTTTTGCCTTCTTTTCTCTTTCTTTTGTTGCATTATGTTTCATCACCTGGGTTCATGTCGACGTATCTGCTCGGTCTAGCTGTGTGTGCCAGACCCGTCTTTTGGTAATTCTGATGAGAAGCAGGTTGATATAGATGTATATATTCGGTTATAGTTACTTGGTTTGATCATTGGGAATGATGATCGTGGAATGGCAGCCAAAAAAGAATGTTTTGATTTATACAATACCATCTTTCTCCATATATTCAATTCACGTACCGTCACTCTATAGCTTACAATATTATACTATCTATATATATACCTTACCACCGAACAAAGATAATAAGTGCAATCACTGCGACAAGTCCGGCCCAACACTACTCCAATATTCGCACCTTTCCCTCTGCGCCTCCGACACCGTCTCCATCCTCGTCTCATTCGTGCGGACAAATATCCGCCGATAATCCTCCCCATGTCCATCACTCCACGTCTTCCACTCCGGACTCCCCGGATACCTCAGCGGATTCGGATCAAACACTCTAATGAAACTCGTCCAGTAGCCCTGCATCACCGGCACAATTGGCGCATTCTCAGTGAGATACGACGCCGGCGGTGTGCCACTCACATACTGCGGACCCCAAATGGCATTTTCTTCCACAGTATGACTGACACCCCTGCCTGAGGCTTCCGCGGCGGGGTCCTGCACAGCATAATGATAGTTCCAGCTGTTGACACCGGCACTAGCAAACACAGAGGACATGTAGATCCCCGGACAGATATATCTGATTTCACCGTACGCGGTGCTAGCGGGACGCCAGTAGGGGGAGGAATTGGGGAACTCGCGAGTTTGGTTTTCTTTGAGGTACCAGTCGTTCAGCTTGGTTAGGTGGGTGAAGTTGATGTTGGGGAATTGGTCTTGGATGAAGGTGTCGGCTTCGCCAACGGTGGAGGTCGTTTTGGGGACGAAGATTGTTCCTTCGTTGGTGTCGTCGCCGAAGATTACGGGGACTTTGATGAATTTGCCTTGCTGGAAAAGTCGGTATGTGTAGTCTGGGATGAGGGAGCCGTCGACGACGGGACCGTACAGGTAGAGAGGTGCTTGTTGGGCGGTGGGTAAGGGTGTGTTGATATTGATGCGCTGCAGTTCTGTGGTGTTTAGTCGGCGTAAGCAGGCGAGGGTGTCTGAATCGCTTGCGCAGCCGGCGCGGATGACCAGGTTGTTATAGGCGAATTGGCTTTGATTGACGGTCAACATAGGAGCAAAGCTTTGGGACTCTGCGGCGGCAGCGTGGAATAGTTCGTCGTCCCTGCCACCGTAGGCTGAAAGATGGAGAGTGATAGACGCTGCGCCTGCGCTGTCGCCGCCGATAACAACGTGACTGGGATCGCCTCCAAACTGCGGTTGCAATTAGCGGTGATTTGCTGTGGCTCGGTGAGTGTCCGCATACCTTGCTGATATGCTCTTGCACCCACTTAAGGACCTTGATTTGGTCCTTCAGGCCATTGTTCACGCTTCCTCCCTCCAGCACCTCGGATCCAGAGAGGAACCCGTACGGACCGACCCTGTAGTTGAAGGTGACCACCACCATGGACATGTTGGCCGCTTCGATCAATCCTGTTCCATTGTAGTTGGGGCTGGAGTTGGCATTGAAGCCGCCTCCTTGAATCCAAACGAAAACTGGCAGCCTCGTAGTAGCTTCCACCGAGCTGGGTGCGTATACATCGAGGAAGAGACAATCCTCGGACGTGCCTGCGGGAGTGGGATATTGGCTGGTGGGAACACACCGGGGACCATGCTGTGCCCTGGGTATTAGCAAAGCACGGACTCGCAGTATATCTTTTAATTTATTGTAGAAAAAACCATACCTTGAATGCTTCTTGAACGCCATCTACCGTGTCAGGATCCTGTGGCGCAGAGAACCGCAGAGACCCGGTAGGTGCAGCCGCGTAGCGGATCCCCAGCCACTGACTGATACCATTGGGCAGAGATTTGCCTTTATATCTTGTGTAGCCAAGGTCTACCGTAGGGTTCTGAGAAGATACTACTAGACCAAAGAGAAAGAAGAACGGTGCCAGATGAAAGAAAATCATATTGTGTTGTGCAACGAGCCTCGGGGCCACGAATGCTTTAACCGATTGTGAGAACTGTAACGCGAAAGATCATGCTCTCATCAATAAAAGGACACCCCAGGCGTTATAAAGCACTTTCAGTGGCCCGGCAGGAATACATCTCGCGGAATCGGCTCCAGGGTCTGAACAATAGGGTCGCAGATGTGGAGAAAACATTGCAAGGCAAGGCGTCCTCCTTCCGCATGCGGTGATTCGACATGGCGAAATGACAAGAATCCTGCCAACACCACGGATCCTATTGTATGGGAGGTGTGCTGGCCACCCAGATGAGCAAGGCTAGCCAACCAACTCTGGGCATAAGAACTTGGAACCCGCCCCCACGTTCCGAGCCACAGTCGAAGGGAGAAACACGCTGTGGGGGCTAGTATCAGCGGCACTGATGCCGCAAGTGAGAAGGGGTCAAGCCTAATCGGCAGCTAGGCTGTGCAGATGACGTGAATCGGCAGAGAGCTGGTGCCATTGCGCTGTTAAGGGGATGGATACCAAGGATTGGCAGTTGTCTCCGCTGGCCGATCCTCATCGGGGCTTGCTCCATTCCTGGTCAATGGGCATGACGGGCCAACTAAAGGATTGAAGCTAAGGGACCTTGACTGGGCTGAGCAGGACCCTGAAATTAATGCGATTCTTCGAGTGAGATGAGTTGGACTCAAATCGGATGGAAATGAAAGAGAAAGGAGAGTTGAGGAAGTAAATCCGGAGGGGAAAATCCGCGCCTCCGCATGTGACGAAATCCCCGCAAACCCTCATGTTTTTTCCCGTCGCGTTCATCTTTTCCAACAATGTCCATCTGACTCAAAGTAACAACCCAATCCGAGCTGCATTCGACTCCCTATAATCTACTATATTATATTCCTCGCCAATATCCATAGTCCCGGCTCTACTTCTGCCTCCGACCCACGCTCAGGCCCGTTCGCAATGGCACCTCCGCTTCCCCCTCACTCCGAGTCCCCCGCACGCGGGCGTCCCGATGAAGACGACGAAGAGGAGGACTACATGTCCATGATCATCGAAGAGCCCCAGCAGAAGGAGACCTTTGCGCAAAAGAAGAAGCGCCAGCAACGTGAGGTAGGCTTTTCAGGCAAATATCCGTTCAGATTCTGCTTCAGCTCCACCTAACCTTTCTCTTAATCGCAGGCCGAAGCGCGAGCCAAAGTCCCTTCCAAAGCCGAACGCGCCGCTCAAGAAGCTGCCCGTCGCGATGCCGCCTTATCAACCAGCACGCTCGACCCTTCCAACAAAGGGTTTCAAATGATGGCCAAGCTGGGATTCAAGCCGGGCCAAGTACTCGGAAAACCTACCGCGCCATCGCAAGATAGTGAGAAGGACACCAAGGATCCCCAAGATCGAATCCGGTCTGAGCCCCTTAATCTCATCTTCAAGGAGGACCGAGGAGGAATCGGTCTCGACTCGGAGCGAAAACGGAAGTTCCTCGAAGAAGCTGCGGAAGTAACCAAGAAGGTCAAGCAAGAAGAGGGCGATTACCGCGACCGCGTCCGGTTGGAGCGCGAGACACGACGGCTCGAGGCCCAATTCCATGCGGGGCAGAAGGTGGCTGAGCGCTTAGATGCGGAGGCCGAGGGGGAAGGGGAGATAGAGCCACCATCAACTAAGATCAACGGAGAAGAGAAAGAGGAGCAAGAATCGCATGCGACACCGGATGTGGAAGGTGAAGAGCCACAGACAGATACCTCCACCTCAACTACAAAGAAAGCAAAGAGGCCCGTCAAACCAACATCTCAGATCAACATTCTCTACCGGGGGTTGGTGCGCGAGCGGCAAGAAAAGGAGCGCGCCGTGCAGACACGCCACATGTTGCAGACATCGCTGCCGTCATCGTTCTTCCCGAACCCTCGATTGCCGGGCTATGAAGACTCGACGCTCGACCCTGAGGACCACGAGGCGCTGGGAGGCCGCCGAGAGATGTCCTCCATTCTTGAACAGGAGCTAGAAGAAGAGGATCCAGAACTGGAGGAATTCAACGCGCTGGAGCCAGGCGAACGACTGGGCCGGCTGGTTCAATATCTGCGGGAAAAACACCACTACTGCTTCTGGTGCAAGTATCGCTACGAGACCGCCGAGATGGAAGGATGTCCCGGCGTGACGGAGGAGGATCATGACTAACGACTTGCCTACTATAGTAATGGAGATCGGCATGCTATGAAACCACCCATGTGAGCGTATGTAAAACAATCCTATCTAAACCGTTGGATGTGAAGAATTAGACTAGCTATAATTATCATATCATGCAGGACATTTGCCTAACATTACATGTGGTACATCGGCCCAATCGCCAGGATCGGGATTGCATATATAGTTGAGGAAAGAAAAGCCGCATGATGAGAGATAGGCGATGAATGGAACATCGCCAAGCAGTTGATGAGAAAGAAATTTCAGTGGTATCAGTCAAAGCGCCATGAGCCATCAAACGTACACCGGTGACGACTGCTGCAGTGCACGAAGCAGCCACCGGGATTCAGAAATTTGCAACAGAAGAGTGGCAGGATGAAAAGAAACAGCACAGTTTCCATGCTGAAATGAAAAGGGAGAACGCAGAGAAGAAAGATCAAGAAGCAAAATGGATTGATCTCAGGCCTTGGCCGTAGGAATGGAATCCATTAACTGCGCCAATGACCGACGTGGGATCGTCTGCAAGGTCTGGAAACAGCCGGTGCAGATGCGCAAGCAGCAAAAGACACAACGGTATCGAACATCACGATCGAACTTCTGGCAGGTCATGCAGGGAACAGCATGCCAGACATTGTTGGCGGGGGGCATGGACCGATGGTCCTGGTAGCAGGCAAAGTGCAATTTGTTCAGCGGCGCCGCGACAGGCTCGATATCAGGAGGCGTCCATGGGCCATTGTTTTCTTCACTGGACACGGGTTCCATAGGCGCGCCAGTGTCGTCCAATTCCGGCTCCGGTTCTGGAATAAAGTCTTCCAATGGCTCTTCGGCATCCGGGCGTTGGATGGTAGGTTCGGGAACCTCCTTCCTTGCCGGAGCGCTTTGCACCGGCTCTGAAGTAGCAGGAGGACGATAGGCCTGATAAGCGCGAGGAGGGGGAGCGTAGTTAGCTGCTGGTGGAGCAGGCTGTGGGAGGGTATCTTGATGATGAACAGGGGCGTTGAATGTTGATGATGGTGGCTGCACGGCGGCAGGCAGCGGAGCAGGAGCCGAATAATCAGGTACAGAGTCGGTTCGAGGTGGGATTACCGTCGTCGCGGGTGCCTGCACGGACTCTGGCTCCCTGTCTGGCAGAGAATCAGAGGACTTCTGCTTGAAGCCTTTGCGAGCAAAAGACGGAACTCGCAGGCCGCGGGGCCGATTTTCTTTGTCAAGGATGGCCATGTCTCTTGGTCGAACGCAATGGTCTTGTGGTGGTGGTAGCAGCAACACCGCGGGAGAGCACGGTTAATTATCCGCGCAAGTGAATCTGGCGGGGTAACTTTCCTACAAGGAAGGAAAGAGCAATAGTAGGAAAGAATGAAAGGAGAAAAAGAGAGAAGGAGATTAGGAGGGAAAGAGTGCGAAGCCTGGTAACCCTAGAGAGCGCTGTGAAAAGGGTAAAGAAAAAAACTAGAGGGAAAATGAAAAGAAAAAATCAAGTCCAACCTGAACAGGCGCTAAAACAAGACATTCAAGGGAAAAAAAAAAGGTCCATTAGGAAGTAGTTAGTGTCAACAAATAACTAATCATCAGGGGGACCGAAAAAGTGGATATGTGAAAAGATAAATCCGGCTTGTCCTCGATCCAGGAACGCGCAACAGGAAATCCGAGCTGAACCATGGATGAGCTCCACCCGTGGATAATGACGATGATGCATCATGAATGAATGAGCGTCATCGAGAGAAAAGTGGGGTGGGGGTGAAAGCAGCTGAGAGAAGAGAGGGGAAAAAAAAAAAAAAAAAAAAAAAAAAAAGAGAGAGAGAGAGAGAGAGACAGGAGAGAGAGATGGATAGATCGCACCTGGGTGGATGCCTTCTGATCGACTTCAAAACTTAAAACAAGGGCCCTGTGAAATGAAAGGTCAATCGCCAAGCGAGCTGAACTACTGAAGGTTGAGCATGATTCGGGATGAATACTAGTGGTCGATAGCGTCCGTTCGGCATCGTGTTGTGGTCTTTTCGTGAACCTCCGGGCATCCCGTCTCGTTTAGCCCCATGAAAGATGCATATGTGTATCTCGGAGTGACTTTGTTCATGCTGTCACGCCGGGGATTGGCTGTGCAAGGCGACTTCGCAGCAGCAGACTCAAGAGAAGCCGATGACTGGGACTGGAAAGGCAGCCGGCAAACCCGCGAGGGAAGATCGGCGATGACGAGAGAAGTGGAGGATGCGCTGGAGGGCCCGATGGACCCTGTTGAGGCGCTAATCCATTCGACAGGCCAGGATTTCGAGGAAGATGTCCTTTGCCCACTTATCTGAACTCCCCGCCTCCCTTAGAACAGTAGTGGTAGTAATAGTAGTCGTCGTGGTGAAATACATATGCGGAAAATTCGAGTGATTCAGCGCGGACAACGCTTGGTATGTTCCTCATCCTCCCGTGATCACACCAGAACGAATGGATACAATGAAATGGAAGGTCAATAGTTGAGAGGATGCCTCCTGGTCGGCTCATTTCCTGCCAGGGTCGGTGGAGCCCGTCGCGTGGCTGAAACGAGATCGCACGTCCGATCCCGCCGATGATCCCTCTCCGTCAGAAGGGTCACTGGCTATGAGTAGATAGATATCTATCGCCTACAGAAGAATAATAGAAAAAGGGATGACAAAGTATAGGATAACCAACACAAAGAGGGACAGATTCGGTCAAATCATCCCCGCAGTATTTTCCAACAGTGAGTTAGTAGATCGATCTAATCCCATTCCAGCTACCAATCACCATCGCAATCTGGTGCCCCGAAAAAAACAACATGCTCAAGCAGCGAATGATTGATAGATTGAATGACATCCACATCCGCCAGTTCAACTCCCGCACGCTCGCATACATAGGAAAGACAAAGGCGCATCATCCCACTCACTCACGCGCATGGGCCCTCAACACAGAAGAAAAATGGAAAACCCAGAGAATGGTGGCTCAGACGAAATCTATGCAACTGTATGTATATAAGGAAAGATACCATATGCGTCCCAGCGTCATCACAACCAATGAAGAAAAAGGAAAACGGTTAAAGGAGCGTATCATCATCATCAGGCCCTCCAACAGTGACATATTCACTAGCCATGGTCTTGGATACGTAGCGCTGGCAGCTTCAGGACGTCGCTTCCGTATCATGTGTGGTACCTGTAATTTCGACGGATTGGGTCTCCAGCTCTTTTGGTATTAGGTTTTCGCGCTGCTCCTCCATCGGTACCTTGGCCTCAGTGGTAGTCGCGGGTTCAGCAACCGATGCCTCTGCCACCGGCTGAACGGACTGCGAGGCTGACCCCTCCACATTCGGCTTGGACGAGGTCTCTTCAACATGCTCGGGTGCCTCGTCGCCCTTCTCTTCATCTCCGATCACGGCTGCCAGACTGCGGAAATTGTAAAGGGGCTCTGCAAAGGAGCCTGCTCCCTCCGCGGAGCCCGCATGATCTTCCGACATCGATTCGACCAGCGAGGAGAACGATGACGATGCACTAGAAACATGCCGAAGATGCGAAGGCCTCGTGACATCTTTGGACGACGATTGGACAACCGTTGGAGGTGACATACTCGGCGCTTGATCGGCCGGGCTTGCCGATGCCGCCGCGGGCTGCACTTCCTCGGCCGCAGTACTGGGTTCAGCGGCAGAGCCACCAGCTGGTACAGAACGGTCTACCTCCTTACCCTTGCCGGCCGATACAACCTCCTCAGCCGCAATGGAAGAGGAACTGCTCGTGACCCTACCCAGCCGCGCATCCGGAAGCACATCCAAGGCGGAGCTGCTCGCATTGTTACTGGTGAGCCCGGTTTTGCGCGCAACCTTTTCTGCCTTCTTGGCTTCCTTCTCCTTTTTCTTTGCCTCTTTCTTGGCCTCTTTCTCCTCTCTCTTGCGCCGCTCTTCCTCGCTCGCTAGACTGAGTCGGATCGCCTCCATCATCATCATTTCTTCCAGATCATCTATGCGATTCCGCCTCGAGCTCTGACGAGGTGGGGCAATGTTACCGGATCCTTCCTCCGCCGAGTCGGCTTCGTGGCCAGCTGCGCGCCTATCCGTGAGGAATGCCAGCGCCTGCAGCGCCGGGGATCCGGTGCGCGCGCTAGAGTTCTGAGCTTCTGGCGCGCCGTTTCTCCGCATGACGCTTCTTCTTCCCAGACCAATCCGGGAATCATTTCCCGGGCCGTTAGAGTGCATCAAGTAAGCCGCAGTATGAAGGGCAGTCGCTGCTGCCGACCGCCGCGCAGCATGAGCTCGGGCATTTGCAAGCTTTTGAGCCCAGTCGGGACGAATCCTATCGGTAGTAATCACGGTTGGATCGTTTGCCGATAACGAGGTCGCGCGTCGACGGCCGGTGGTGGGGGTGTTTCCCGAGGATAGAGAGGATGTGGAAGACAGTGGAGAGGCCATATTGGGGCGTGAGCTCGGATCAGAAGCGTACGCTAGCCCTCTCCGGAACGGCGGGGGCGCATATGTCACCCCAAACTCCGGCTGGACACAAAATGGACATGCCGAGGGTTCTGACACTAGCTGGCAGTCTTGGCTTTCGGCTTGTTCACCACCCTCAGCTGGAGCAGAATCTGGGTTAGCGTCTCCATGCTCCGGCGGATGAGGGTCGGGGCGTTTGATCTGAACGAAACATTCGGAGCATATTGGCTGGTCGCAACACCTCGTCCGATTGAGATACGGAGGATAGTACAGAAAACAAATGGGACATTCCGCCGCGTCTTTATATAGGTAAGCTTCAATGGGTTGTCCGTTCACAAACGGGTCACGAGGCAACTGCATTTCACGTGAAGCCGCATCAGACTGAACTCCATGCTTTGGCGTGGTTAGCGACGCAAGTGTCTTGGCTCGCGCTCTGAACAGTGGTGAGCTCGATGTGCCGGACGCGATAGGAGATGTTGGGGAGGGGAGGGAATGTGCAGGCGTGGATGACTGGGAAGCGTCGGAGCCGTATGATTGTGATCTTGACGTGATGGGGACCATCAAATATTGCACTGCGGCTGAATCCGAAGCCTCCTTTGCGTCTTCCGCGGCCTTGGGAGGGTTCTTATACTCCAGTTCAGGGGGAATCTCGTCGGGAGGGGGAATGGGAAGGCCACGCGCCGCAGCCATAAGCTGGTGCTCTGTCCACGAATCCGAAAAGTCATTCAGTCCTCTCCAAAACGGCGCAAGTCGTCGTTCGATCTATAAGGAAATAGTCAGCATCGGCTCCGGGCTCTCCAAGGCCAGAATTGGCAGCAAAGCAAACTCACCATTAGCTGCCGAACCACAGCCTTGTTGAAGTCCTCTGGACCCGTATAGACACCCTGGGTCACCAGATAACCACCATCCACATGTTCTTCCTTCATACTACGCTCCCGCTCCTTGAGCCGAGCTACCCGCTCTTTCTCTAGCCGGCGAGCCTCTCGTTCCTGTCTTGTTTCTCGTCGATGTTCGAGCGACGCCAGATCTCGCTCTGAACTTCCGCCTATTCCGAGCAGGGACAGATCGGGCCGGCTACCCCGGTTCGACCTGGAACCATCACCATGGTGGCGGTCACCGTATGGGCCATGGTGATGGCTGCGGCGACTGGACGAAGCAAGCGGCCGGCTCTCTTTCGCCTGAGAATTGCCCATCTCGAACGAGAATGGGAACCGACGTGTATGTCGACAATAGTAGGGTTGAGTGACTGGATTATGACGGGTTAGGATCGATGGTGAGATTGGCAAGAGGCGGTCCGGATAAGAAAGCGGAGAAGGGAGCGAAGTTCCCGTCCGGTAATGAGAGGGAAGAAGTGACTAAGTAGCGATGTTGAAGAACGCCCCGAAACAAAGGAAGAAAGAAAATGAGGATCCAAAATAAGTGAAGGAAAGGAAATGTGGAGCACACTTTAGAGGACCCTCAGTTGGTAGGGCGGGGAGGGGGATGGGAAAAAAAGAGATGATGCTAAGGAATCCGAGTGGCCATGTGAGCGACTGAGGTCGAAGCTGGAAGCGGCGATGAGATCAGACGTGCGGGCTTTAGTTAGCCGCGGGAAGACTGGTATGGGGCCGGATCAGGGGGGGGGGGTGGGTGTGTTGAAGGAGGGGGGGTAATGTAGGGGGAAGGGATCTTCGTAGCAAGACTACTTTTAGATATTGGGGAAGAGTGGCGATTGAGAGAATCCTAGTACTTAAGTAGTTAAGCGATGAAGAGGAAGAAGAAAGTAAGTTTCAAAGGGGGAAAAGGGAATAAGGGAAAAGGGCAGGAAGATCAATGGCAGTTACTGATCGTTTTACGGGGATTACACAAGTAACAGCTGGTAACTAAAAAGCAGGCCGGGTCGGGTCTGGTCCCGTACGAAAGATTACCTGATCGTTCTCTCCGGATCCACTATTCACCCGCCAAATCCTGCTCCGGCTGAGTATCGGCCCGACTGTTACATTGTAATGGAGGCTGAAATCCATTTATTGCTGTTGCAACTTGCATCTCGTTCCAGTGGATACATCGAGTCTTACATCAATCATTCCGCCATTTGTTGCTGAGCTATTCCTACCAGATTTTTCTTTTCTACACCCGTACTTCCTTGTCACCATGGTAGATAGAATGAAATTTATGCCAACTTCGATCAATGCTTTTGGGATGTCACAGAAACCTGTGGCTGAGGATGGCATGCCTGCGCCACATCTCCATAACCCGGTCTTGGCGGCCCGGAAAATCCCTCGGCCAATAACTGATCCTATCATTAATTTTTCGGTCTTGGAATATCTATTGCAACAGGGTCTGCTTGATGCTTCGTTGGAAGCCCATTGTGACCATTCACAAGAACTTTCTGTCTTATTCTACTCAAGTTTGTTTCTCACCGAGTATCAAAGACACTTGTTAGGCTGAATGCGCTTGTGACTGCACCTTTTTCCCTCCGACTTCTTAGCCGTCACCTGCACTGCTACCGTACTCAGGTATCTAACTAACTATCTATTGGGCAAATGACGACCACACCGTCCGATACGAAGCGCCTGCATATCACCCCATTCACCCCAGACCTCCTACCGGCAGTGCTCCCCGCATCGATCAAAGCCCTAGCTACGGAAATCTCCTTCCATTGCATTCCAACCTTCCCCGAAAATAATTACGGCTACGTGACCCTGCCAACCATGGAAGCCGACAAAATAAAAAAGAAGCTCAACGGTTCCATTCTCAAGGGCAAGAAGTTCAAGGTCGATACCGCTCGCCCGAAGAAAAGGTCAAGGGATGAAGACGAAGTCGACACTGCTCCCCAAAAGTCATCATCCGAGAGGAAGTCCTCGAAGAAATTCAAGAAGCTGAAAGCGGGCGAGGAAGTTCTGGATGGCTATGAGCTCCCGACGGATCGCCAAGTAAAGAGGGGCTGGACCGAGTCGGCAGATTCGAAGCAGGAAAGGCGCAAGGAAGAGAAAAAGAAGAAGAAAAGTAAAGACGAAAAGTCCGCAAAGTCGCAGGCCAAATCCAAGTACACCGAAAAGGCCGAATGTCTATTCCGCACAAAACTACCACCCAATAAGACCTCCGCCGACGAGGCCACAGAGACAAAGGCCAAGAAGAAGAGCAAGAAATCCGCGCAGGAAACGGTTGTTCACGAGTTCTCCAAGACCGTTACGCATCCGAGTTTCCTACGTTCTGGGGATGAGCAATCAGCCCCCACAGTTGGATTTGAAGAGGGTAAAGGCTGGGTAGATGAGGCAGGGAATGTGAAAGAGACGGCCAGCGATCGGATAAGAAGTGATAAGTATAGGCCAGGACAGGTACCCGGAGCCAAGGAGAAGCGAAAGGCCGCAAAGATTGTGAAGGATGAAGTTGCCTCTCCCAAGAAGGCCACAAGTCAAAAAACAAAGGCTGTCGAGGAAGTCAAGTCTGATGAGGAGTCGGAAGACTGGACCTCGTCTAGTGGAGAGAGTTCTTCCGATGAAGATTCTACAGATTCTGAAAGCGATCAGGAGTCGACTGATTCATCGGCTGAGTCGAATGATTCATCCAGCAGCGACGATGATACATCGGTTCGGTCAAAAAAGCGCGAGCAAGAGAAAGTAGTTTCCGAATCAAAACCCGCCGTGGATCAAACTGCTTCGTCAGCCGTGGATGATAACCCACCGCCCCCACAAACTGTCCACCCACTGGAAGCGCTTTTCAAGAGACCCCCGCCGGGTGCCCCTGAGGCGAAGCCTGAGACAGAGGGGCATGCGCCGTTCAGCTTCTTTGCGCAAGATGATATAGAATCGGAAGAAGAGGTAGAAGATAAGCCGACCGAACCGCATACGCCGTTCACCAAGAGAGATCTACAAGACCGAGGATTAAGAAGCGCTGCCCCGACCCCCGACACGGCTTTGATAGGTCGGGGAATTAACTGGAAGACCACGGGACGGCCTGATCCTATGGACATAGATGATGAGACGCACCTGAATACTCCAGTTCCCAAACCCGCACCTGGGCCGAAGGAAGACTCGGAATTTACCAAATGGTTCTGGGAAAATCGGGGTGATAACAATCGCGCTTGGAAGAGGAGACGACGTGAGGCTGCTAAGGAGCAAAGGCAGAGAGAAAACCGCAGCAAGGGGATGAAAGGAAAGTCTTAGAAGATGCTGCTTACTACATGATTTTCGCAATTAGCTTTGATAGATTTTGCATAATTGGCATGCTTGCCCAGGCAAGCATCATGTTCAACTTCGTCACACGACTTGTAGGTCCGATTTCGAGTGTAGGCTGCATGCTACGGGAGAAAATCACAGGAGTGATAATAGACCATCCTCACAATGAATGATTAATATAGTTTATCGTTGGTTCATGATCCTTAGGAACTGTAGATCACGTGGTACCAAGAATCCGGGGATGGATCGGAAGTCTGGCCTTTCCGCCTTCAGGCGCCAATAAACCGTCGTCTCCGCGGCCGCAATGAAGTCCGACACGTCAACTCTTGATCCCTGGGGATAAGATAACCATCCCTTTCACAGCGAATTCGCCAGCCATGCTACTACGGCATAGCGCCTCTAGGGTGCTATTTCTTTTCTCTGCCTTTTTGCTCTGGACTTCATTTGTGGTGGCTTCCTGTAAGTCTTCCCCGGTCGTCTGGTGTCCGATGCTGGCTCCGCTTTTACTGTCAAAAATAGAGAGGCTAATAGTCAAAACGCAGCCCCCGCGTCATTCTGCAAGTGCACCTGCTTCTCCAACAGTACGATCATCCCTCTCGATCCCGACTCTTCCGAACCGACGTCGGCCTTGAACGGTGTCTCCCACTTCCTCCGTCGCAGCGATGATGCAGCAATCTTGGATACAAGAGCGAAGAATTATCGCTCTTTGAACTGCAATGATTGTAACCGGAAGTTCTGCTTGGACTATGATTTGCCCACCTGTCATGGCGCCAAAGAAGATGATGTCTTCACAACCTGTTTCCGTATGAGCCAATTCACCCCCGAGTCACTTGCCATTGTTCGTGCTATGCTAACATGACGTCTGTGCTTCAGAGAGAGACTCCCGGAAAGACCAAGCCATTGTATTCATGTTTATCATTGCTACTGGCAGTCTGCTTGCCTGGGCGATCTTTAAGCCTTGGGTAGAGAAGTGGCTCGAGGTATCTTATTCATCAGGTCCACGGCTTTCTTTTACGGAAGCGCTGACTCGTTCTAAAGGCTGCGAGAGAGCGGCGATTATATATCCCAGTGTCCGAAAATGCTGGTCGTTAGGGACACATGTCATAGCCAGATCATACACTATCATAGTCCGGTACCTTTTCACCCGGAGACCCAGTCCAGTCGCTCGAGGCCATCGAAGCAGGCCATCTGCGGCACCAGGGGTCAAATGAATCGACGTCACGGATGGCCGTCAGGATCGGAGCGCGACTCACGCTTGACATGTGCTACCTAATGCATGCTTTGACATAACAGCACATGAGCATAACAGCCCAAATCTGCCTCCTCATAAAGGCAATCATTTCTTGGTGAGCATTACCTTGGCAAAATGTACAGATCGGCCAGTGCCTTCTCAGTTCAAGCAATATTCTGCAACCTTTTATCTGAAGGGTTGCTAGTTGTCTGATTGTAAATACAAGAAGTATAGATTCAAGACCTACACATTTCGATCTATGTCTTTCATTACCATAGTATCCGTTATCCTCAATGTATCGAACCAATTGATGGCTAGAATACGTTGCGGAGATATGAAGAAAAATACTATGGTCATCCTGGCTTTAAACTGAACCTTCCAAGAACAATGACAACATCCTGGCAGTAGATCCAGACAAAGCAGAACGGTCCACGGTCTAGACCGAGCAATCGATGACACAATTGCATATATTGCATATCACTCCACACAAGATCACGGACTGTGGCTGGTCTGTCCGAGGTCTTCATTGTCTTGTTCCAGGCAACATAATCGAATTCAGTCATGTAATGATGAGTGAGTAGCAGCTTCCGGATAGCGGAGGGTGATCTAAAATCTGGCAGAAGCCGAATGGTTAACCCAACTGTACTTGGCACCTGCAGTGTGTAAAGAAGGTTATCAACTTATCGAGCTCGAGGAGGAAGATGGGGTGTGATTGGCGTATTGCTGCTTGTCGGGGTTGCGGGGCGCCCCGGGATGAAGTGGCCCAGCAGTGGATTCGCAGTCGGTTAGTGTTTTCTTAGTCACACTCACTAACTACGTTAACTATCTAACTAGTCAATTACTCTAGATACTAGTAGTAAATACAATAGTATGTACACGGATTGCAGAGAAATGTGCTATAACTGTAGTAATTCAAGGGCATTATTCCTGTAATCGCTTTCGATACTTGATTAATCGATGATGCCCACATACCATCTGTCTGACAAAGGCTAAAGGCTAAAGGCATGCTCGCCACCTGCAAGCTTGTCTGTCCTCGGAAGCCCGGAAACCCAGGCCCTACAAAGGAATGTAACACCGACCATCCCCCATTTACTGGTAATAGAATATGACAGCCGTCTATGGATAATGGCATGTATGTGGAACATCAAAAGAAAAGTCCGGTTGCAGCTCCGGTCCCTGGGGCTCGACTGAACCTAAATTGTGCCGGTGATACGCAGGTCCAATGTATGCGCCTTATAGAAGAGCCAGGTTCCCTGGCAGGAAAAGAGCACCGCTCACTGGAAGCTGAAAATTTTTGCAACGAGGTAAAGTTTGGTTGGCAAATCAAGGAAGTCGGATAAGAAGGGGGGTTCCATACAATTCGACCAAGACTGACCCTGGAACCGCATCAGTTGGACGAACGTCTGTCAGGTGGCGCCCGCTGCTCTCTTAGCAGGCACTACTAAGACTTGTTGTACCTTACTTTCCACTCCCACCCACTCAATCTCTCTCTGCCTGCAAGAAAATGACTATCATCTGGTTCCGAGAACCAGTCAACCTGCTTTTTCACTGTCCCCACTTCTCCACCGTCGCCTTTTTTATTGCCGGTCCCTTTCTTTCTTCTTCCCGGCTTCCCGCTCGCTCTCTCGCTCTCTCGCTCTCTCCTCTGCGTTTCTTCCTTCAACAAGCCGAGACACTTGGCCGCCAATCTTGTGAATTCTCCAGTCTCTGCTCCTTCTGCTACTGTGTCACCTTCCCCCTTTCTTGACCCAGAGCGAAAGCATTCAGTGGTATCGTTAGATCGAGAACTGACTCGATACAAGTTTATCGGCAATTGTGGTGTTCTTTTGCGCTCGGCACTTTCCATTTCCGATCTGCACTGTCAAACCAGACGCAAACAAGGACACTTCAAGAGGAGGGTCTTTAGCAAGGGTTTTGTTGTTTTGCGGAGGGCTTGCCGTAAGAGACTTAGTTTTCTGTACAGAAGATGGTATTAACACTGCAGCAAAGACCAACCGCCTCGGACCATAAGTTTCCCACTGTTCAGCTCTTCCTTCTATGTATGCAGATCCGTTGCCCTTTGCTGCCTTTGCTTTGCTAACGCCTGTTCCTGGGTAGCAATATGCCGCGTCGCAGAGCCAATCGCCTTGACTTCCATCTTCCCATACTCATGGGTAATGGTCAGGGACTTCCATGTGGCTGATACCAACAGCGCTTCTTTCTATGCGGGAATCCTCGTCTCCGCATTCTCCCTCTGTGAAGCCCTCACCGGTATGTTTTGGGGCGGGCTTTCAGACCGTGTCGGCCGCAAACCCGTTCTCATCTCCGGCTGTTTTGGCACGATGCTATCCCTCCTCATCGTGGGATTCGCCTCTAATTTCTGGGTTGCCCTCTTTGGACGGGCCCTGGGTGGAATATTGAATGGGAATATTGGGGTGATTCAGACCATGGTCGGTGAGTTGGTCAAGAATCCGGAGCATGAACGTAAGAAGATTCTCGTATCCCCTGTTTGTGGTGGTACTCGTGGTGGTACTCGCTAGTTGGAGCTGCTGCTGACTGTGCGCGCCTATAGCTCGAGCTTACGCTGTGATGCCTTTCGTGTGGTCAATTGGTACGATTATCGGGCCAGGTAAGTGCGATGGTAATCTGAAGGTACAAATGGAAACGGGTGTTAATGGCTTCATCCGCTGCAGCGATTGGAGGGTTGCTTGCAAAGCCTGCTGAAGGTTTCCCCTCCTTGTTCTCCATGAATGGCCTATTTGGCAAATTCCCTTACCTTCTGCCTAATCTCGTCTGCTCCGGATTACTTCTCTGCAGCATTATCTCCAGCTGGATCTTGCTCGAGGAGACGCATCCTGATATGCAGCCATGCAGAATGCCAGATGACCTGAATCATCCGTCCGTGGAGCGTCCTCTTCTTGCAACTGCAGGAGCTACCGCCAATGCAGGCGCAGATTTACGTGCAGAGTCCTACGGTACTTTCAACCAAGTCCATCTCCATGAGGATGAAGACTGGACGGTGTACGCCGATGGTTCAAAGCCCGAATCTACTCCGCAGAAACCGACTATTTTCACGTGGCGAGTGACCATGCTTATTATCGCCTTGGCAATCTTCACTTACCATTCGATGACATATGACCATCTGTTGCCCATCTTCTTGCAGGATAAGAATGCCAGCAGCATCTCCGCGTTGTCAAATTCAGCTTTTCGTTTTCCAGGTGGAGTCGGTCTCTCAACTCGGACCGTTGGATTGATCATGTCAAGTGATGGCATAATTGCACTTGTCATCCAGAGCCTTATCTTCCCTTTCCTGGCTCAGCGCTTGGGTGTCTGGAGGCTCTTCGTTGTCGTCACCATTCTTCATCCGCTGGCCTATTTCATCGTACCCTTCCTCATCTTCCTTCCTAGCCAACATGTGATCTTCGGCATCTACACCTGCTTGGTTGTCCGCAACATTCTCTCGATTATCGATTACCCCGTCCTTCTCATTCTCATCAAACAAGCCAGTCCCTCCGATTCCGTTCTCGGAAAGATCAATGGCCTCGCGGCCTCGGCCGGCGCCTTCTCACGCACGATGGCGCCACCAATTGCAGGCTTCTTGTACAGTACGGGTTCCAAGATCGATTTCACGGCCCTGGCCTGGTGGGGAAGCAGTTTTGTCGCAGTCATCGGCGCGGTGCAGCTCTTTTTCATCGAACAGAAGAAACATGCCTCTATTACAGTTCAACCAGCTGCACATTGCCACTATGCGTCACATACCACGCCAGTCAAAGATGAGACGGTCCATATCATCGTGACGGATGTCGATAGTGATGGGACTGGCCATGTCTAAGAGAACTACTGCCTGAGCGCAACAGTGGGACAAATTCATGAGACTTGTTTGCCTGAGAGTTCTGCGTTCTAGTTTGGCATACTATGATACCACGATATTGTTTTTATCGAAAATGTTTATGATTTGCTGTGCTGCATTCTAGCGCTTACAGGGTATCAAGGTGTCGATCACTGTATATAGATGAGATAATACCAAAATTTCATATACTACTTAACAATTTGATCATATCTGAATATGCCTTTGGCATTTGTGTACCGACTTTCGATGATGCAAACAAAGGCGGTGGGACAAGGTTGGCTCCCCCGTCGCAGGGCGGTGAGGAATCCAGAGTTTTGCCAATCACAGCCGCCTCACTAACGTGACGCTAGTCCCCACTAGGGTTAGTTTTGTTTACCGCGACATCCTGGCAACGGCCCGAAAATAATCATCATAATAAACGCCGCCTCGAACTCCATCACAAACTCCGCATTATTGTCCCTCCACACGGGCTCTGGGACTCTTCATAACCTTCCCCATCGATTGGTGTCAGGACGCTTGTCCACACTATCGAGATCTTCAATTTCGTCTCCCTCAAGAGTGATCCCACCCACTGTCATCATGACTACCCCCTTATCCTCCTTGACACCCTCGCGCCAGAACTCCCGAGCCTTCTCGCCGAGCTATGGCAAACCTGCGTTCGCTGTAGAGGAGGACGATATGGATGCGCCCGAGGATCCCTTATCAAGCCCCTTCAAAGTGTCGACAGAAGTCCAGGAAGAAGATCCCATCCCTGAGCACGAATTCTACGAATCGCACGACGATCAGGGAATGGATAATGAGGACGTTGAATCGGTGATGCCAGCACCTAGCTCGCCGTTCCAATTTAATGCAAGAGAAGAGACTGTGGACTTTCAGAGACTGCGGGCCCTTAATCGGCAGGTGTCTCCGGGGGGGTTCGGTGACCACTCCATGACGCCTAGAAAGCGCTCCTACGAACAAGTCCCTGACGATACGGATGGAGATGTGACCCCCAATGATAGATACAAGAAGGGGACTGGTCCGAGAGGCACTCCTGATATCAATGTCTACGCTGATGAGGACGCTGGATTCATTGCTGATCACAACCTGGTAGAAGATGCTGGCCAGGAAGTTGTGAATAGCATGGTGGAGGAGAAGAACAATGAAGGCATGAGCACTGTCCTCCATGAGGATGATAAAGATAGCGCCCAAGAAATGGATGGGAACCTTGACCCGCAGGAAGCAGACGACGCGATGACTGATGACTCTAACGAATCTATGGATGAAACACGCCTCAGCACTTTCTCCGCCATTCCAGATATGACCACTTTTGCGCAACTTCGAAATGATTCGCCTTACAAGACATCGCGGCCTCATCTGAGTGACGCGGAACTGGCCAGCCCTTCCCCCGCAAGGAAGTCTCCTCGACGAAGCATTCTCAATAACATGGGAAGCTCTCTTGCATCCCCTCTACCACGGAAGCGAGAATCAAGAAGCATCCATGATACCCCTAATCTGCTTGATTTGACCGATCAGCCGAATATTTACCCCCGTCAACGTTACAGTGTACAAAACGAGCGCTACTCTCCTTCCCGCCGGTCTCCCTTGAGGACTGCCAGAGATTCCGTGAGATCACCTGCGAAGGCTTCCCTTTTGGACTTCGACATTCCTTCTGTGCCTACTCCTCGGTCAATTCCAACGGTCACCCCTCGGGAGCTTGAGACTCTGAAATCCGGCTTCCTCTCCGAGATCTCTTCCCTCAAGGCGACTCTCAGCGGAAAGGAGGCGGAGGTTGCCAGCCTCAAACAGGCAGTTGCAGATGCGGAACGTCGTGTGGGGGAAGCTCTGGAAGAGGTCCGTAACGAAGTTGCGCGCAAGGAAACCCTGGAATTCGAGCAAGCTGAGTGGGAACGAAGGGGCCAAGAAATGGAAGCAATCCTTAGAGAAGTGAGAGCGGAAATTGTTGAGGGAGAACAAGAGAAGGAACGATTGGCACGGAAAGTGGATGAGGCAGAGAAGTCTAGAGAGCAGTTAGAGGGCAGAGTAGTCGAACTGGAGAGCCAGTTGGCTTCGGCTCTCCAGTCTGCCTCCGCTGGCAACGCAGCACCTGAGAATACGTCTCGCACCAAGACATCCGAGGAGACCGCCAAGGAAGTGCAGGACGCCGTGGAAAAGGTTGCACGTGAGCTTCATACGCTTTACAAGAGCAAGCACGAAACCAAGGTTGCTGCATTGAAGAAGAGTTACGAAGCTCGCTGGGAAAAGCGCGTGCGTGAAGCCGAGAATAAGCTGACAGCCGCCAACGAAGAGAATGAGCGATTGAAGATAGAGCGAGATGCCGCCGTGTCAGAGCCCCCACGAGTCGAACCCAGTTTATTGTCGCACGAGCGGGAGGAGCACGAAGCAGAGAAGCGTGTGCTGGAGGCACAGATCAAGGGCTTACAACAGGAAATGACGGCACTGAAAGAAGACAACGAACGCCTGCACGCGGAGCTGAAGCAGGAGCGAGCAGAGAAAGGCGAGTTGGTGGCAGCCGTGGATGAATGGTTGGCAATCCAGCAGGACCAGCCCCCAGCACAGGGCGACCCCCAGCCTTTGACCACCAGAGAGCTTGAGTCGCCAGAGCCAGTGCTTGCTGCCCCGGAACCACCCACTGGGAGTTTCCAAAGAAGCGTAAGCCATGGCAGCACCTCGAGTGGCATTCGTCCTCCAAGTACCACCTCGAGCAATGGTGAAAAGAGAATCCCTAAAATCGGAGCAATGGGCAACAGACATGCTCGAGGCAACAGCGGCAGCAAGTCCGGAATTGCGGTCCCCACACCCGGACGAAGTGGTATCATGGGATCCATTGAACGAATGGGCCGTGGCGGTGCTTAAAGACTGCACTCTCTTTTCGCATTTGACGATAATGTTTTATTTTATTTTTTTCTCTTCCTTTCTTTTGACCCCTTTCTTTTGAGTCCTTCTTTGTGGATTTTTGTTTCTTCCCCGATATTTGCTGGATTGTTTGCTTATTGTATACTGGTATGGCTGTTTGCTGGGCACATATTATTTCTGGTTGAGATATCCCCGAGACGGCGTTTTTGGCCGCGTGCCATGGAACCCACGGACTGGTTTGATCAATGAATGACGGATTTATCGATGTAACGTGTTTATGCTTTTATGATAGCTCTTCAAGTTCTTATTACAGTACGCTCTTGAAGTAATTGTCGGCACCTGCATCATCCAACGGTGGCCTTCATGTGGACTCTACAGCTGGCCGGGCTTTAGAACTTTGTTTCAAAAGGGATTAATTAGGCCTAGATTATATTTGTATTCTATAAAATACAGTAGAATTATCTTTAACCTCTCAAAACTACTTTCAAGACCGCCTCCCTTCCAGAATACCCCAAAGACCATTTTTGAGACTACTCCTGAGACTACTACCAAGGGACCTCCTATGGCCATTTCTGGGGGCATTCTAGGCGCTACTACTGGAAGTGAGACACAAAGTAAAATAATAAAGTACTACAGCAACAGAAAATCTTATTGCCACTCAGACAAGTCTCTTGTACAAGTCACAAGATAAGGCTAAATCTGCATAGATGAAGCAGATTCTGTTTGATTACACGTAGAGCCCCAAAAGCAATCGCTTCAGAGAAACAAAGTACTATAGAGATCTACAGCTCTAAATACCATTATCTCGGGGCGATTGCTGTACTGTTTATGTTGAAGCTGAGAGGCATCTAGGCCCTCAGCTTGGACTAAGTAGTGTTCTGGGGTAGATGACTCTTATTATCTAACTGTAATCATTATCAGGGTCCTTGCTTGAGCACAGGGCTTCTAGGGGTGACACTGCCCGAGATGCTAGGGAAGAGAAGTGGCACAATAAGATTGGAAACTCTGGAAAATTGTTAGGACACGAAAGGGAGAATTGAAGGATCACCTCTATAACCATACTTAATATATACTGTTACCTTCCTCTTCTCTAGCATTGAGTGTGCGTCTAGTAAGATTCTTTTTCCAACATAGTCTGTGGTGGCTATGAGATCATGTCGTCTACCCTACTTTATGCATAGACATTTGATGAAAGGGACAGTCATTAGATTCTATCTTTATAAGCGTTACTACCTAAAGTGGTTGTTACAACACCAGACGATCACGTAAGTACCTTTATCTTACTGCGTCTAGTCTTCAGAAGTCTTGTCTCCGCGTACAAGAAGTCATTAGCAGAAATATGAGGACTACTAGGCAAATGTTAGTACTTGGACGTGCTCATGTTAAGAGGAAGGGTTGAATTCCCCAGGATCATCGATGCTGCTACTACTACTAGTAGTTTGAATTGCCATGTTAGTTACTCTATACTACGCCAAGCGTTGGAAATATATATCTCAACTCGGTTACAGAATTAGTGAGTAGTATTTATCAGCTAGTTATCAAAACAGTATACGAGAAGGCTGCCAATAATCTCAAAGTATGCATAAAACACCATTCCCCAAGGACGAAAATATATCGGGGAGATAGTAGTATTCTTCTCATCAGCTATGACTTGAATCCTGCTATCATCTGGCGGGGTTACCCCGCGATCTGCACCGCATCCATCAGATTTGACAGACCAACACAAAAGGCCCGCAGTCCATCGAGCTTCATAGGACATCAACGTCTTTTTCCAGTCATGCGGGAATTTCCGCGCAGTCAATGAGTCAAATCCTGCAACGATCTCCCAAGAAATCAAATAATTCATACCCCATAGCCGGGGCTAGATTAGTAGCAGGAAGGGCATGCGACAGCTCCTTTTTCTCCATCTGTCAGGCCCACCTTGTGCAGTGCGAGTCTTCTGACACGGACCTCTCTCGGACTCGCCTAAACCTTGTTAGCCATGCACGGTATGACTTCATTTCCGTCGTGGTGATTTCTTTATTCCGCCTGTGAGTTTACCCAGCCTCCTCTCTCCCCTCGTCTCTCCTCTCCCGTCCATCGGGTTACCGCTGGTGGCTTGCAGCAGACATGAAAGAACGTGGGGGGGGGAGGCGTGCAGGCTGGGCTATGGCTCTCGGATTGCCATTTGTCCGAGCTCAAGCTTGCTCGGCAAGATGTCCGAGTGCGTACATTAGAGAAACCGACTGCGGGAGTCATGTATCTGCACCCCCTTACTCAAATTCAAAGGGTGGACTGGAAAACTCCGTACAGGTTTTATAAAATGAGTCATGGGATTGGTATGTAGTTATATCCCTCAGTCGTAAACTACTAACTAACGGGGATCGCTTATCGAGTCATCCTCCCTTGAATAGGTATGATTACCGAATTAGGCAAGACGCTCCTAGGGTCCCCCGGATCTGGGGTTATCCGCTGGATGGCAAGTAGTGGGAAGCATGCCACTGTGGCTGAGTATAGGTTCTCTATCTGCGTTTCCATGGTGGGAAGAGAATTATTCACTTTCTATAGGATATAAGGCAAATCGTGCAGGCGTTGGACCTTCATAATCCACCAGTTATGTACAGGATGTCCAACCAAACTAGTAGTAGGCAAGGATGGAGGGGCGTATGATATCATAGGTAAGGGGAAAAGGGAATGCGAGGGATCAGGTTCCTGTCTATCCATCTATCTAGTATCAAAGAAAGCATCTAGTTATGAGAGGTTGCGGGAGAAGTCAGCTCCCCGGCCTCCCCGGGTTAGTTCTGAAAGATAGTAGCAGCACGGAGCAGTCCGAGAGAAGAAAAGGGGGGGTGAAACTGGGGCAAAGGCGGGAATGTTGGCTGGAGAAACTGGAGCTGGAAGGTTCGATCGCCCGCAATAGATGGACCAAGCGAAATTCGGCTCTGGGGTCGAAAATTGATCTAATCCCAATTTCTTGCCCCTTACTATTAATGGCAGCTGATGATACGTAACTTGCCCCAGACAACCAAAAGAGCTAAGGCTACCCGACTTTCAAGTAAAACGACCGGCACCGTCGCAGGCTCCATTCCTCCGTCCCGGGAAAAACGAGAATACAGAGCCCAGAGTCCAACTGGAACAGTCTTTCCCCGATCGGGAGCAACTCCACGTTTTTGTGTCCAATTCGGGGAGCATTACGCGATTTATGATTGGTGGCCAATCGTCCTCCAGCCGACTGTTAGTCAGCCGTGAGCGTCCCCACATGGGAATCCGCTTGAGTGTCATTGATTGGCGTGGGGGAAATCGCTCGTGATGGTCGGAGATTATCCAACACGGGCCAATCACCACCGCTTGTGTGTTGGTTTCGTTTTTCCCCCACGAATTACTACTAAGGTAGTACTAAGTAAGTACTCACTTCGTCCCCCCCGTATTTTCATTCTTTGGTCCAGTCAATCAATCCCTAATTACGGCATGGAAATCTCGTTGATTTACCTTCTAGTAGTACTGCTTGCGAGGAAAGGTTGCATGCCTCCCCCAGGGGTAAGCACAAGATGTTCATGTGAAAATGGACAGACAACGCTAGCACATCTGAAAAAGGAAGGTCTTAGATAATTAAGTAGTTGTACTAGTTAGCTGTAGGTAGTGCTGTTGTCACTCTTTATCAGGAATTGAAACATGAATTGATTAACGCCAACGAGTTGATCCAATCACCTACAGGTAGGGCTTTTCCTACAGTAGTGGCATGCAGCATGTCTCGATGGCACACATTGACAGCAAGGAACCGCCCTTTCATGTCACCCTTCATTACGACACTGTACATGAAACAAACAGAGAAAGAGAGAGAGAGGGAGGGAGAGCTATCTGTTCTATCCACCCTAGAGGAATCGAAAGGCCCTAAGCTCACCATAGGTGCCTGGTTCTACCCCAGTGCGCCATCCTTTCACTCTACTTGTGGGGTACCGAGCTCTTTCCTCCGATTCTCGCAGCTCCCCGACCTCTTCTCAAGCCACAAATAGCCTTTGGCAATACGTACACAGGTAGTCTGCTGGTCCCTCCATACTCCACTTGGGCACCAGCTAGATAATACTAACCCGCCTGGGGAGCGAGCTCACAGGTCACCCGCTCAGATTCTGGGCCGTTACGGCTCGCTATTTCCGACAGAATTATTGGACAGCTCCAACAGAACATTCTTTGCTACCTTGCGAGAGGGTTCGTCTCCTCCGGTTGTCGGCACTATCAAGCGTGACATCGGACCCTCTATCACGTGGGTTGAGCTTGTTGTTGATAACATCTTGGGGAAATCACATTGCAGGGATAATAATTCACGCATGGAATGGGTGATGATTAATATTATTCATCCGTAAAGCCTAGTGGCCAGGTATAGAGCAAGGTGTGCTTTGCGCTCCATTGCTGCTCCTTGGATTTGACTGACAACTCGCATGCACAGTGTGTGTCGCAGCAGCAGTAGCATCATCATCATCATCATCATCATCAAGAAATTGGGGCCGATCCACCCGCGCGATATTTTGCCCTAGTCTGTGACCAGCACCAATTTACGACCCATTCAAAGCCAGCTGCATCCAGAAGTAAACGTCAATTTACTCCTGTTTATGATGACGTTTACCTACTATTTTGATACTATGCATCTCGTGATTGTATTCTTCAAAGAATTAATGCCTTTCCATGCCTAAATTAAGGAGGAACACAGTAAAGATCTAAATGACTTCTCCGGAGAGTAGGTCTCGATGCGGCGGGCGAGCCGAATCCAAGGACTCCCGCTTTTCTCCAGTTCCTAGTTTTAGTGGGTCTCCCAGCCAGTGACCGCATTTATTGATTTCTGTCTAAATAATCAAAACCCCCGAACGAACTAACCGTAGGATACCGTTCCCAACTCCCAGTGTCGTCCCAGGTTTGGTCCGGCCCAACGATTCGCCCCTCCATCGGCATGCGGGATCGGCTGCGATCCTACATTGGGCAGCTGGCGGGCGGGCCTGCCCTGCTCCTATCCCTCATCCTGCATAGCGCCTGGCAACTGGGCTTAGTCTCTGCCGGGTCTGGATGCTGTAGGCCAGCGACAACCACCTGGCTCATTATTAATTCTTGATGTATTGGCAATGATACCTTGTTAGTTGGCTTCCTTTTCCCCAAAAAGGCCCCTTCTGTACTACAATGTAACTTACTTACATTTTTCAACTGGGGGAAAGGATATGTGTATGATCGTCATAAGCCCACTCTTTCTCTCCACCAACTTCAAGACTTAGTATTCTGCCTCTTGCTTCGAGACCGCATGACATATGCACCGTCCGCACTGGATGGGTCATCGGAATACCGAGTGCAAACAAGCTGCAGGCTGCACTATTTCCAAGTTATCCTATCTAATAGACAATGTTGATGTGACTATCACTAACTTTCCTATCACACGTAGAGGGTTTCTCAGCCCAATCCAACCCAGGAAACAACACTCCGTCAAGGTAATGAATGTGTGAGCGAAGAGGACAACCGTGTGCATGTGTGTACTCTTATCATAACGATCATCGAGGTAGGCTCCGATAGCGCAAGGGAAACCCACCCTAGTCCGAGATCATCATGCGCCGCACAGTATATGCACAAAGCAGTGGTAGATAACTAGAGAGCATACGGGATAATCTAAACGGAGCGCTTACGGGCCTCGGCTCCGTGGTATCTGGCTGACTGACCCATACTCGGCTGTTTAGCATAAGGGAGATCGTGATGTGTACTCCGTACCGCAGGGGCCGATCCCCGATCATAAACACACAGTATAACATGCACTTTGCAATACGGTTCCAGTGGAACGGGGGGGGGGGGGGGGGGGGCAAATATAATAATCTTAATAGAGAGAGAGAGGGAGGGACGGAGGGAGGGAGCCGAATGATTTACATTTTTGGTAATAATCGCTATTTTCGAGCCAACCTGATTGACTGACGTAAAAGGGGGCAATGGAAGGGAAGCCGACGGAAGCAGACCCGAGTTTCTGAGACGCCGTGCTGTGCAAGCAAAAGAAGTCACAAGGGCCGGAGTCTTTTCCGACATCGAATATGACGCATCCTCCCTTTGTGTGTGCGTGTGTTAAAAACTAACTGACTCCGGAAAAGTCACCACCTACTCCGTATACCGCCCCGTGGCTGCATTTCCCTGCACGGAAGAGTAGCACCATGACAGTTTAGAGGACATCCAAGGGTCAGAAATAGTCGCGAGGAATATTCTACCAAACAAAATCTTCCCACTGTAAACACCCGAAAGGGAAAGGTTTCCATGAGTCTTGTGTCTTGTCTCATGGGGATAGCACGTTTAGTTGAACCAATGGAAGGGTCTTGAATTTGCTCCCGGTCCCCTCCGGTGGTGGCCAAGCTGCCGATGACTGGTTGTGGCGGACAGGGCCAGTAACGTGACCGGGCCGATGGAGTACCCCACCCCCTTCTCAATCGGTATGGAAAACTGCCATCGTGTTTCTTCTGGGTCCGTTGCTACTTAGTAGTGGGGAAGGGAAGGAAGAGAGGGAGGGGGGACGGGCTAAGAGGACGGAAAATACGGAGTAAGGGGACGGGAGTTGGTTCATTTGACTGATTTGGGTAGACTAGACTACACAGTAGACAACGGATACATACAGAGTACACTGAGAAAGAAACCGGCTGTGGAACGGAAGCTGAGGAACTGGGTGGAAACCACTAAAGACTTAAGTACTTCACTAAACCTGTTTCGGGGGAAGGAGGAGGGGGTCCTGCGTTTTGTGGTGGACCTGAACAAACAGTCATGAATTTCTGAATGGTCGTTGAAGTCTCCAGTGGGGGTGTTTTGTACAGTAAGCAATGCGCAACGACTGGCTCAAAAAGAATATCCGTAATCTGATTGTGTCTTTTTCATTATTACTTTTTTATTTCCTTCCCCCACCACTTTGACTGGAACCCGCTTTTTCTCCTTCCCAAGCCTCCAACCTCTCCCAAAGGGGACTAGTCGATGCGGTCTGAGGTAAATACAGACCCGCACTAGCGCCGGCCTTCTTTTCTAGCCAGCGTGACTAGTGCCTATAGTCTAGTCCACGATAGGTAGCAGAGTCTTTTTCACTACTCAACTAAAATCCCCCGGCGCGGTTTGACGACGACGACCGCCGATGATGATGATGGTGATGATGATTAACCCAGGTCAGGTCCTCTTTTTTTTTTTTCCTTTCCTTTCCCCTAGTCTCAAAGTCTACTACGGAGCACACCGTCAGCCATTGGGTTTCCACTTTCTAGGCGGAATTCCACGGTTCTGGTCTGGGGGAGGCGACCATGGCGAGTGGATCTGGGGCTCATCATCCCCAACGCCAACGCCTCCTGACTGACTGGATTTTTGACTGACGGTTGGAAAAGGCACTTGCGACATTTGCTGCTGCTACTAACACTAGTTCAATCGTACTTAAACATTCTCCTCCCCGGCCCTAGGTCTTGCCTCGATTTTCGTCCCTTTGGACGAAAAGATTGGAACGTGGTCCTGTGATTCCTTTTTTCCTTCCTTCTCTCTCCCTTCCGGCGGAAAGTGATTCTCTAACCTAAATTCCTGTATGGATTTATTTTAAAATAATTTAAAAAAGAAGAAAAACAGAAAAAAGGAACAAAAAAAAAAAAAAAAGGGAAACCTCTCCACTCTTGTTACTTTCACCTCCGTTGGGTCACGTTCTGGATTTCCTTTTCCTACTACACACACACACCTCTTCCTCCACATTTCTCTTGTTAACTCCTACTACTTGCTACTTACTACTACTACCTTCGCCATCTTTGTCCTATTACCTATAATCCTCTTTTTCTACCAAGAAAGTCGCATTGATTATTCTACTCTGATCGTCGCTATACTTCTCCACGCCGTTTCTCTCCCAATTCCTCTTCCACCATCGATACGAAAACAAAAAAGGCTGGCCTACTCACGGATGATCTGGTTCAACTGAATTTACGCTTTGCATAATGACTAACACTGCTGTATCAACAACTTCCCCCACCCCTCAATCCACCGTGGAAACCGAGGCCAAATCCAAGAGGAAAGCCTCCACTGCCGGTCTGCCCGCCAATGCCCGTCCTGTAAAACGGAGGGCGTCCAAGGCGTGCTGTTGCTGCCGGGCTCGCAAAGTGCGGTGTGATGTGGTCGAAAATGGTTCACCCTGCACCAATTGCCGCTTGGACCAAGTAGAGTGCATTGTCACTGAGAGCAAGAGGAGAAAGTTCGTCCATGTCGAATACATATCTTCCGTTTTCCCTCCGCAGAAGTGCCGGCTAACCACGAGCGCGCCTTGTTGCCACTGTTCAGGAAATCACGTGTTGAGGTCGAGAATGCAAATCCTCACCAGCTGTCTCAATCACCTGCAGAAATCCCCGATGACGGGGCAAGTCTGTTCAGGCGACTTAGCGAGTGCCATGGCCTTTCCGATATGGCCCCAGCTTCTCCCTCGCAGCGCTCTGTAGATTTGGATCAAGGGCAGCATATGCCACATCTTTTATGTTCGTATTCCACCCTTGATTAGTCTCGGAGATTGTGGCACAATGATCCATCTCCACTGTATCCATGTCCGATAAGATGCTGATGCGCACTTGTGCAGATCAAAGCCAAGCGAACAGGATTGGCTCCGGGGATCGCTTTCGAAGAAGAATGGCCCCGAATCCCGCTGTTCCAGCTACGCTTCCTTTGCACCATGTGACTTCGCAGATTCAACAGCTGCTGGATCCTTCCTTCGCCAATGCCAGGTCAGGCGGTGTGGTCTTGCCAGATTACATCCGCGGATTGCCGCCACGTCTGCAGAAAGAGGATATCGACTACTTGTCTATGAAGGGAGCCCTGACTGTCCCCGACGTGGGACTACGCAACGAATTGCTGAAAAGTTACATTCACTACGTCCACACTTATATGCCCCTCCTTGACCTGGAAGACTTCCTGCAGACGATCGTTCAAAATGATGGCATCCGCCGTATGAGCCTATTGTTATTTCAAGCCGTCATGTTTGCCGGCACAGCTTTTATCGACTTGAAGCATCTCCACGCTGCCGGTTACCCCACCAGAAAGGCAGCTCGGAAAGCCTTCTTTCAGCGTGCACGACTTCTCTACGATTTCGACTACGAGGTTGACCGAATCTCTCTTGTCCAATCCTTACTTCTAATGACCTACTGGTATGAGACACCTGATGACCAGAAGGATATTTGGCATTGGATGGGTGTGAGCTTGTCCCTCGCACATACCATTGGTCTGCATCGGGACCCCGGCAACTCCCGGATGGATGTCCGGCGCCAACGGATGTGGAAACGGATCTGGTGGAGCACATATACGCGGGATCGTCTGATCGCCTTGGGAATGAGACGTCCCATGCGCGTGAAAGACGATGACTGTGATGTTCCGATGTTGACTCTGGATGATTTCGAGTTCCATCCTTTCTCGCCGGAAATTGTGAGCATGGTAGGCAACTCGGAGATACTTCAGAGTGTGAGCCATCAGAGAGAGCTTGCCCTGATGTTCATCGAAAAGGCCAAACTTTGTCTCTGTGTCAGCCATGTCCTGTCAGCCCAATATTCGGTTCTGAGCCACAAATTTGGTGGAACGATGGAGACGACCATGATGTTGGTACCCAAGAAATCAGCAGCGGAGACCTTCGAGGTTCGTCGTTGTGATCAGGAGCTGGAAGACTGGCTGGCCCACCTTCCGACAGAGATACGCTACGCCCCCGCAGCGCCCTCCAAGTTGAATGAGGCGCAGGAAGTCCTTCACTCTCATCGTGCACTCCTGAAGATGGTCTACTTGACCACGTCCAGCGCTCTCCATCGCCCTCAAGTTCTACCTGCGATCCCATTCCCTTCGATGGACGCTGAACTACAAGAAATTTCCAGGAATAAGGTGCGGTTTGCTGCGATCGAAATCACAAATATTGCTCAGGATCTACACAGCCTAGACCTGACCCGTTATTTCCCTACGACCGGTGTTACGGTCCTCCTTCCCGCCGTGATTATTCATCTCCTCGATATCAAGTCAAGTGACCACAACGTCCGGATGACCAGCCTTCACCGGTTCTACCAGTGCATGCGCATATTACAACGTCTGAGAGAAATATATGCATCAGCAGACTTCGCGACATCGTTTTTGGAGGCTGCCATTCGCAAGGCCGGAATTCAGCTTACAGTAGCGCCGCAAGATGTGCAGGCACGGACGAACAACATTGTTGACACCTCAGCACGAGTCAACACTTTGACGCCACCCCCCGACTCTCTTGCGCAGAAGATCCCTGACCTGACGTACCCGAAATCTGATGGCGCAAGACGTGCCAGTCAACTTCCCAAGGAAAGCGGTCCTGAGTTCGCATCAACGCCTCCACCCTCCGACGGTAGCGAGAATGGGAGCACCAGCAACATCAACCCCAGCTATCACCAGGATGCCTTTACCATCCCCAACTTCGATTCGGAGCTGAGCATCAGTGAACTCATGGATCTGGCGAATGATGCGGAAGTGACCCAGAACGACTTTGATGCCTTGATAAACTTTGACGATGCCGGTGCGGATTTCCTTGCTCCCGATGATGGCTTAAACACTGGGAATGGTAATGGGAAGAACTATGGCTTCGGCTTGGGTACCATGAACAACCTTTCCGACATCATGGGTTTCGATACTGAGAAACAAGGCGTTGATTTGACCGGCTTGGGAGACGGACAGCTTGCCGACGATCGCGCGGCGGCATCACGGAACGACATGAACACTTTCGCAGCCGATCTCGATGCGGAACTCGGCCTGAGTCTTTAAGCGACTTGGAAACACCTTTGCGACATCGTCCAATATTTGTGCCAGTGACTTGAAATTCATTTGCTTTCTGCATTGCCCTTGGCGATCATGTTTGGCCATTTGTTGAAATAGGCCCCTTTTAACAACATTTGGGTGCATCAAAGGGAAATGGGCGCTTGGCGTTCACGGGCTTTTATATACCAGGTTTGGAAACCTTTAAACCTTGGATCGTTTGATGCTTGTTTCTTATGTACTTCATATGCCTGTTTTCCCCCTCTGCACGGGGCGATTGTTCCCATTATATATGTACATACAGAGTCGAAAAGTACGACATGAGAAAATGAATGACCTAACGCATACTACTCCGGTTTTGGTATAATTGGCCTCGTCAGAGAGCTGTAATGGTGTTTGTTTATTGAACTAACTCTAGATGACGAGCGAACAGCCAATTGATATAAGGGGGCATGTAGATCGATGAATCGAAGAGGATCTCGACTTCTTGTAGACCAACCACCCTTGCCTGGCATTCTTCAAGTGTGTCTGTGCTGCTGCTGCTTGATCACCCTTGCAGTGAACTCCACCCATTGACCGCTTGGGAGGGATCTTCTCGTCGCTGTTACTTCTGTGCGGCATCTCTTCAGTCAATACTGATCGGTTCATTGTGCTCTCTTTACATATTAAAATTGGGTAGTGCTCTCAGAGGGTTCTCTGCTGGGTTGAAGCAACGGACATCTACAGATGGGATCAAACAAGGGTGGCACTCCTCGGGTTTTTGTTGGAAGGAAATTGTGAAACAAACCGTCCTCATACCTTCATAATCGGTCCCCATGCAACATCTTGAGTGGGTACGAACGTACGCCTGAAAACCGTCTGGGCAATCAGTCTTTGCTAGTTTGCTGTCCCAGTGGGGAATCAAAGATGTGCTCAAGAAGTGATTGAGGGGAGGTCCCGTGCATACCAGTCCCGATTAGGCAGGTGGTTTGGGTTAGGCACTTCCTGTCTGTTTGTTTGTCTCTCCCTCCATCCACTTTCTCCCTCCATCTTCTTCGCCTCCCATTTATCTTTCATTGGTGTCAACGATGGTCTGCACATCTTCTCCTGTTTTGTGTCTTTTCTTGGCCTTATTCCCCCGCACCGGGCACTCGAACCATCCTGTTTAATCCCGGGCCCTGCATCATCTTACTCACAGCCACAGCGTCTGCCATTGTGCAACGAACAAATAGCTCTCCCATGTTATCCAATACCTGTCCCGCCAAGGAAATTGGGCCACCAATACCACATTGACTGAGTCACAATCCTTTCTCAATAGCCTTTTGATTCCGGGCACAAATTCGCTCAGTCAACCGTTGCAGTGCCAATCAACCACGGATGATTGGGTTCAGGTCCTGGAGGCACGGAGTCGGACCAAGACACTAAGGTACAGCACTAGCGAGACAATGTGTTATCGCTATTATTGGCAAAATGGCCGCGGGATCTCTTATGCAGGGTTCGGCTCCATCCTCCCCCCTCTTCCTATCCAGTCAATCCGCCTCGGTTATTGAAGGAGATGCTGAGCTGTTTAACTGACGCCTCACCGATCAGGCCGGCAACGGTGGCGGGATACAACATCGTTTCCATACAATAGTGCTTGTCTCCTGCGATCTGCATGGCATGCTAATCTCCGCCAGCATGTATCTTCTATCCACTGGATATGAATTTCCCTCCCCTCACACCATGTGGGCCTGGGGGTTTTCCCTCAAACTTTGTCGCTCATGTAACGATGTATATAAAGCCCTGAGGATGGCATCCCCCACCCATCGGTCTTTTGCTGACCGTTCTCCTTGAAGAAATTCTCGAGTGGCTTGTGGTGCATGTATAGATTTAATCTTCGAGGGTTATTAACTAGGTATAGCTGTGACTAAGTCTGTCCTTGCATTGAACAACACACCATGCGTGGCTCTCGGTTGGTGCTCTTGTTGCCCCTGGCTGCACTTAGTTGTGCTATGCCCGAGAATGAATGGTCATCTACGATAAGAAGGCAGTTACCAAAAGCGTCCACTGGCGTCAAATCGATAAAAACCCCAAACAATGTCACTATCAGGTATAAAGAACCAGGAACCGAAGGAATTTGTGAGACGACGCCTGGGGTCAAATCATACTCCGGATATGTCGATCTTTCGCCAGAATCGCATACTTTCTTTTGGTTTTTCGAGTCACGCCGTGACCCCGAAAATGATCCAGTGACTCTGTGGCTGAATGGTGGCCCTGGAAGCGATTCCTTGATTGGGCTTTTTGAAGGTTGGCCAAATATCCTGACGGAAAAGATAAAATTCAGCTTGCATGTTCTGACGCCTTCACAACAGAGTTGGGTCCGTGTCACATCACACCAGAGTACGAATCAATCATCAATCAGTACTCCTGGAACGAGGTCACCAATCTTCTTTTCTTGTCTCAGCCCCTCGGTGTGGGTATGGAATATTGCTGCCTTCATACATCCTGAGTACATTGCTTACTGTCTTATCTGCGAAGGGTTCTCTTACAGTGAAACCGAGGCCGGGTCCTTGAACCCATTTACTGGAGCCGTCGAGAACGCCTCCTTTGCTGGAGTTCAGGGTCGATACCCAGTTATTGATGCCACTATCATCGGTAAGTTGTCCGGTTTGACTCTCACCTAGCATTCTCCTCATGATCCTACTTTACAGACACGACCGATATCGCTGCACGCGCAACCTGGGAGGTGCTTCAGGGCTTCCTCAGTGGCCTGTCGCAGCTAGATTCCGAAGTCAAGTCCAAGGAGTTCAACCTGTGGACAGAGAGTTACGGAGGGTGAGTGCAACTTTCAGACCAGACCGACGTAAGCTGACTTGATCAAGACACTATGGACCAGCGGTAGGTTGTCTTTTCTGGTTGCACACATATTGATCTAATGACCGAAGTTCTTCAATCATTTCTACGAGCAAAATTCGAAGATCGCTAGCGGGGAAGTCAATGGCGTCCAACTGAATTTTAACTCCCTCGGGATTATCAATGGCATCATTGATGCCGCGATTCAGGTATTTGGAAATGCACCTCGCGCAGAGGCTGCGGCCTAGAAGGACATCGCTAAAGTAATTAATAGGCAGACTACTACGCAGACTTTGCCGTTAATAATACATATGGAATAAAAGCTGTAAGTTTAAATACACGTACATCGTGGATTTAAGATCAACCGTGCTCATGCTTGCTAGGTCAATGACACAGTGTACAACTATATGAAGTTCGCCAATACGATGCCAAATGGATGCCAGGATCAGGTTGCTTCGTGTAAATTGACCAATAGGACCTCACTTTCTGATTATGCTATATGTACAGAAGCAGCCAATATGTGCAGGGACAATGTCGGTGAGTGGTTCTACTGTTTCTCTGCAGGGGTGCAATGATGAAGGACTTTGCTAAGCTGTCATGTACAGAAGGGCCTTACTACCAGTTTGGCGGCCGTGGCGTGTATGATATTCGGCACCCCTACAATGTAAGTGGCAAGGATAAGGATTGTATTTTCCGAACAGGGACACTGCTCACATGTCAACGTAGGACCCGACCCCGCCGTCCTACTTTGTTGACTACCTCAAGAAAGACTCAGTCATGGATGCTATCGGCGTGGACATTAACTACACCGAGTCCAGTGGCGAAGTATATTATGCATTCCAGCAGACCGGCGACTTTGTATGGCCGAATTTCATTGAGGACCTCGAAGAGATCCTCCAACTCCCCGTACGCGTGTCGTTGATCTACGGCGATGCCGACTATATCTGTAACTGGTTCGGCGGTCAGGCCATCTCACTCGCAGTTAACTACCCCCATGCAGCTCAGTTCCGTGCAGCGGGATACACACCCATGACAGTAGATGGGGTCGAATACGGTGAGACTCGCGAGTATGGCAACTTTTCGTTCACCCGCGTATATCAGGCTGGGCACGAGGTTCCATACTATCAACCGATCGCAGCGTTGCAGCTGTTCAATCGTACTTTATTTGGATGGGATATTGCAGCGGGTACAACTCAGATTTGGCCCGAATATAGCACCAACGGGACATCGCAGGCTACACACACGGAGTCGTTTGTGCCACTATCCACAGCGTCGAGTACCACCGTCAACTAGGATTAGGGGAAATTATTCCCTCTTTGGTATGGCTAATGTTGTGTTATCCATTCCGATACTTGTCCATAACCTAAAAGAGTGGCACGGAAGCTTTCCTAGACATGCTTGCTCTAGTCAACTTTTATCCTACCACTGTGTGGTCCTACCATAATGTCATCCTAAACTTATCAGGTTTCTTACATCATTTTGCAGTGACCATAAAAGTCATGTCATATTAAGTCCATTACGGTAGTTCGTAACTTGCTGATGGCTTACGTAATTGTGCCTCAGCAGGATGTCGTGATACGCTCCAAAACCCAATCTGATCATGGGTATCCAGCGGAATAACACAAAAGAAAAAATAAACATAACCAACCACCAAAATGACAGAGGCTAATGCCTGGACAACATGGAACTCCAGCAACCTCTTTCCGCTGAAATGGAATGCGTGTTTAAAAAGAAAGCCTAGACATTATTTCACGATAGCCATCTCCGGCTCCTGCTTCTTCTCAGAAGGATGGTCTTCCAGCGGGACACCGACTTCTTGAGCGGTCTCGTCCGAAAAGTTGAGGTCTGCTTCGACGTCCGTATGCTCCTTGATCTTCAAGAACACTACGGGCGCCGCGATGACGAGACTGCCGGCAAGCAGGCCCCAGCAGGAGGCAAATTCCGTCATGTAAGGGGTTCCCACGGCGTCCATGCTGCAGCAAAGCATATTCATTAGCTTCTACACCTCATTTCGCGAGCGAGGGGTTTTCTAAGACTCACCGCCACATGCCAGCTGCACCAGCAGACTGGATGCCTTTGTAGAAACCGGCGAAGTTGGCCAATTTTCGAGCGTTATTAGTCAGTGAACCCATGAACCTACACAACCCGTATCCGTCAGTAAAATGCATACAATAAGAGCAGCCGTTAGAAAAGGGAGGTAATGGCATTACGAACCAATATGCACAAGTCTGGAAGGCAGCGTCATAGAACCCATAAAACATGTACAAGAACATGGGCCCAACATAGCCGCTGGTCGTCCAGTCGGTATCTGCCTCGACGGTCTTCCGGGTGTATGTCTTCTGGAAGGCATAACCACCGCCCCAAACGCCCATGGTGAGGGCAAAGAGGAGTCCAAGACCAAGCTTGGCTCGGACTGGGCGGGTAAGGTACTTCAAGTCGAGGATCTGGCCGAACACGAAAGCGCCAACCATCTGCATAAGCCAGTAGAGGAGATTGTTGAGGGCCCGCGTCCGGATGGTGAAATAAGCACCATTGACACTGTTGAATTGATATGCAGTAAACCAGTTGCTCACCAAGAACATGGGAAAGAAGAGGATGATGTAATAGTCGGTGCGAATGGTGTCGTAGAGACCTTTGAATTCGGATTTCCACGTGGGGTTCTTCATCACAATGACATGCGAGCCATCCTTGCGCTTGACATACTTCGAGTCTGAGAGGGCCCAGGCAAGGACAAAGCCAAGCGCCATGAGCACCATGAAAGCGATGTAGGTGCCATCATTCACCTGACCAGCTTCAGAGTGCAGGTTTTGACCCAAAGGTACCTGTATATCAGGGTCAGAGAAGTACTACCAGATTGATCGAACCACCCAAGGACTCACCAAGCTACCAATCACGCCACCCAGGTTGAAGATCACCCAGAAAATAGCGATGAATTTACCCTTCTCCTTTTCATTCGGGTAGCTCATCATGACTGCACCCTGCGCACACCACAGCAGACCACCGCAGACACCTAATAGCGCGCCCGCAAAGATCAGGAAGCCGGAGTTCTTGTTATGGTTGTACGACAAAAGGGAAGCCACATAGAGGAAGTAGCCAAAGCCACCGATAGAGAGAGTCAGACGGAGACCAATGCGGTTTGCGATGGACCCGGCGAAGAAACCAACTACTGCAAAGGTGCTGTACAGAGCGGTGTTGGAGTCGCTGACATCGGTAGGGTCCAGCTGACCACCCCCGCCCAAACCGCTGACCGCATTGAACATGCCCGGACAGAGGAAGCACACGAAGGAGACCAGCAGAAGCTGGGATTCTGGGGAGGCAAAGTACGGCAACGACCAGGGACCGATCTTGATCGGTTTGTACATCCACGGTTTACCGGTGAGCTGGGGTTCATGACCGGCTTCTGGATCTGAAGTGACCGCGGGGACTTCCTTCTCATGATGGAGGTCTTCCTGTCCCGTTGTAGTGGTAGCCATTGTTGTTGATAGACAACTTCAATTGTAGATGAAGATGCCCAAGGAACAATGGCAGCTGGAGTATATTGATTTGCGACTTTTCGGCAGGTCAGCAGACGTACTCAAAATGTGCAGAGGTGTGCATATGTAAACGGGATCAATGGCATGTATGTGCAGGTGTAGACAGCGGCAGTGTAGAGAAATACGTGCAGGGAAACGGACGCGACGAATAGATAGTTGAGTATGGAAAGATAAGAGAGACAGCTAATAACGAAAACAAATAAAAGGGGGGAGAGAAAGAAAAATAAAAGAAATATAAGACGAAGATACAACGGAGGGAAGCAAATGGGATGAAGGCTATCACTGTGGGAGGAAAGGACGGAACTACCCCGGGGGAAATGAGAAGGATGACGGAGGAGTCAGAGATCCAAAATATGTAGAAATCTGGTAACACACACACTGGGGCGGACCCAGAGAACTAAATTTAAAAGGGTCGGACTTTGGCAGTGAAGGAGGTAGAAGGGGAGAAAAGGAAAAAAAAAAAAAAAAAGGCAGGATCAGGCAAGGATGTCTTAGATGATCCGGGGTAAGAATGAAGGGGTGGGCACAGAACCAGAAAAGGCAAAACAGTGACTGGTCACGGGCGCAAGTAGGAAAAATAAATAAGTGTGAAACCCTTGGCCCAAGCTGCAGCAGTAGTGATGATGAATTGGGTGAGAAAAGAAAATTAAGGTCGATGGGGGCTCTGGCTTATTTTTATCTCCGGGGGCTCGAATATGAATCGTAACATCCAGCTGATGGAAATCTCACCTGCTTAAGCCACGAGGAGAGGGCGCCTAATTGTGAGGGATCAACATGGGGTAAGGATACCACGGTGGGAGTAGAAAGGATGAGACAACGGTGATAACAACCGCCATCATCGGGGAGGAAGACAAACGAGACACAAGAGATAGGCAGAGAAGGAAGTAGCAGTGGTGGTAGCTCCACGATACGAAGAACAACCAGATAGACAAACAGCCGATTCAACGCCAGTGTTGCAACGCACAAAACCCAATAGCAAATGGGAAACTCAATGGGATGACAAGAAAAAGCCGTCGTACCTTATCTCTGGGTCCCTCGAGCGGGTGGGCAAAGAAGACGCACTAGAAGGACTAGCTTACTCGTTTAGTGAGAGCCGGCGTGGTCAGACGGCGAGATAGTCAAGCACCACAACGAATCATCGGCCTTCGACTGACTCTAGCGGGAACCGGATCAGTCGCAGGATGCAGTAAAGAACAATCGACACGATCCACTCGACCCCAAGCGACCCAAAAGTCAAAACGAGATAGAAAGTAGGGTGGAAAAGATGAGTAAGAGAAATGAAAATGCGGAGATGCAACTCAAAATAAGGGCGGAGGTAACAGAAAATGTTAACCCAATCAATGGCCAAGGGAATAACAATGAAAAGGGAGACACGAGAATGATTCGAGTTGTCAAGTAGCCGATCGAAGATCCGACCAGGAAGTTAATCAGACTAGCAATGCACCTCCGATGCAAGTCTGCCAAATGACAACCACGAGGGCAATGGTCGAGACCCCAAGACCAGTCGCGTGTTATCACGGGAGGGGAGGCTTATCTCCAGGGGTTGGAGATATAGGAGGAAGATGTGAATGGAGCAAAAGCACAAATCACAGTGATAGCAGAACAGCCAGGGAGAAGGTAAAAAGTTGTGCAGGGAAAAAAGAAGAAGAGAGAGAGGAGAATTGAAAGGACGGACTTTTTACTGATATTTCCTTCGACTGAATGTCAGTTGGATAGGATCGATAATCCGGCTGAACTCATCCGTCATCGGATCCATAGTTAATGGGTTGGTGGTGAAGACGATAAGAGAGAGACAGAGAGAGACGGAGAGAGAGCGAACAAGCCCGATGGACCACATGAGTTGCTGCAACCAAACAAACCCAGAGTCAGCCTCCAGGTGGTTAATCTGGCCATGGAGCCATCCTGATTCACCCGGCTGAGCTGCAAAGGCAACGGTGACATCGCGCGTTCGAAGCTTAGCCGAATGCGGGGAGACGATTCGGCTCAATTGCTGGTACGGTCGTCGTGAGGTAGCATCCAAAACCCAAAACCCTCTTCTCTCCCGCTCCGCTAACCTGCGCTGGTGGGCTTCGCTACCGACGAGGTTCTTCTTGGGTCTTCCCCGCCCAGTGGAGTCGGACCGGACCCAGTAACCGAACCCAATGACCCATTGGATAAAGAAGCACAGCAGAAAGAAGGAAAGAGGTAACACAAAAGGTAAAAAAAGAAAATAAAAATAAATAAATAAAAATAAAAATAAAAATAAACAATCCACCACCAAGGAGCGGGAGAAAGTGAAATGGAAAACAATAACGATTAGCCAGGGAGATAGACAAAGAAAGAGAGAAGTGAATTGAAAGAAGTCAAGGGAATGGAGAGAGTTATTAGAAGTGTTCACTAGCAGTAAGAGAAGCTGAAAGGATAGGAAAGTGGGAATGGGAAAGGAAGGAATGAATGCATGCAGACAAACAACAGCACACTGTTCCTTCCCGTTTGGGGTCTGCAATTCAGAGTGTCTGAAAAAGGCAAGTACTTTGAGTCACGTGGATATGTATCACGCCAGACGGTGTTTGGTATCCCAGCGGTATGATTGTATTGTTCGTATGGTTTCACTGATTCAACTGTCCTTCCTGTAAGATACGGAGGGTGTTCGTGTTGGTATTGGTTATGACGAGACAGACGAGATTAGGAGCTCAATATGCAACATGACCTCACCACATACTCCAAGTAATTCTACCCATCAATCGCGCAGCTTTCCACATCATTTCCCATTGACTGCTTGCTCGTCTAAAAAGACTAATTGATCAAGTCGACCTTTCAGTCGTATTGTAGTCACTTGCTCCATCGGCTATCTCCCTTAGCCACTCCGGAGTAACTCCTTACTCCCAACCATGGACGGATCCCGGGGAAGAAATGTCACCTCGTCCCTCTCGATCTCTCGTCTTCACTTTCCGATCCATACTCATCTCTCTACACATCGACGTCACATTCCAACCATCACGCTCCCAATCCATGGGAATGGCAACGTCAACTACCCCAAGCCGCTTTTCCCGAGGCCAACCGCACAATCATCATGGGCGATCGAGCTTGTCCACGTTGCCTGCCCCTGCCTTTGCCCCATCCGAGTTCCTGGTTCAATGTCACCATGTAGTATTCCCTCCAAGTTTTCCATTCATTCATAATGTCCTACCAATTTCCCTCCTACCCCGCAACAAACTTCTTCCTTCCTCTCGCCCGTCTCTTCCGCTTATCCCCCTAGTAGTTCAGACACTTCCCTTCTCCTCTCACATCATCGACTGACTCCCAAGTCCGGTTGTGAGCGCGGCGCGGCTCGGAGTATACCATCATGCCTGGCAAAACATCCACCTCCCTACCCCGCATCACCAAGTTCACCAACTGCCGTATCGTCAAGGGACTTGACCTCGTCGAGCAGGATGTATGGATTGATTCAATCTCCGGGAAAATTCTCAAGGATCAGGAGGCCTTCTATGGATTACATCTCTCCCCCGACAAGGTCATCGACCTAGGCGGCCGCATCTTGGCTCCCGGTCTCATCGATGTACAGTTAAATGGTGCTCAGGGCTTCGACTTCTCGGTTCCCCAGGCTTCAAAGGAACTATATGATGAAGGTCTGCGGGCCGTTAACAAAGGTCTTGCCAGGACGGGTGTGACTTCATACTTGCCGACGGTAGTCAGCTCTACTCCCGAAGTCTACTGGCAGGTATGTCTCAATTCCTTCCCCCCCACCCGGCCTCCAACCTTCTCCGGGATACCAGCAAACCGGAAATAGATGACGAAGAGGCTCATACTTGAACACAGGTACTCCCATCTCTAGGTTCATCTGGAGAGAGCCATCGCGCCGAAGATGGTGCCGAGTCGCTAGGCGCTCATGTCGAAGGTCCATTCATCAGCACCGGTCGTAATGGCGTGCATAAGACAGAAGTTCTTCGTGCAGCAACGTGCTTCGAAGATATCATCGCCTGCTATGGCAAAGAGAACCTCACTGGCCCATACAAATCAGTGCGCATGATCACAGCAGCTCCCGAAGTCGGAGACATGCTGCCGAACATTCCCTCCCTCACATCAGAGGACATCATCTACTCCATTGGCCATTCGGACGCAACGTACGAGCAAGCCCTCACCGCCACCCAGCAAGGCGCCACCATGATCACCCATCTTTTCAACGCAATGCGCCCCTTCTACCACCGGAACCCCGGTATCTTCGGTCTCCTAGGGCAGAATGAATGCCCGCGACCATTTTACGGCGTCATTGCCGACGGCATCCACTTGCATCCCACTTCAATCCGGATTGCCTACAACGCCCACCCCGACGGCCTCATTCTCGTCACTGACGCCATGAAGCTGTGCGGTCTCCCTGACGGCATCTATGATTGGACCAATGGCGAGCGCATCATCAAGTCCGGTGCCCGGCTGACCCTCGAAGGCTCGGACAAAATCGCCGGCAGCTCAGCCACCCTCATCGAGTGCGTCAACAATTTCCGTCGCTGGTCAGGCGCTTCAACGGCCGAAGCGCTCAACGCTGCCTCCGCCACCCCCGCGCGCCTCCTGGGGTTACAGGGCGTCAAGGGATCCCTGGAGAGTGGCGCGGATGCGGACTTGCTTGTGCTGGATGATGAAGAGGACCCCTTCTCGGGCCCCACCTTGACTGTGAGACAAGTCTGGAAGCGCGGAGTCAAGATCTACGATACCGACAAATAAGATGCGGCGGCTTTTTGGCCTGCTCACACACGCTGTCTGGACAATTCATGCGCTGCAGAAACTGTCTGGTTTTCAATCATTCATGCGTTACGCTCGAAATTTCTTTCTCTCTCTCTCTCTCTCTATAGCAGGCTTGGGAGTTTTGGTTTGGTTTCTGCTGTTCGTTTCTTCTTGGCTCGCGTCGATTTAGAGACTTGCATGGGGGTGGGCTCTCTTGGGTTCTGTTCGTTACCTCTTTCTGTATTCGGGTCATTTAAACCACCGGGATAAAGTAGACCTCCCACGTGAATAGTAAATAGAAAGTCAATGATAGATACAAGTCATTCCAGCTAATTTTAAGAAGATATGTTTCGTTTCTACAGTCGTATGCTAAGCAGTTTGGAAATGAACTCTTATGTCTATTTATTTTAGTATGTCTGGTGCTTCCTGCGCATGAACATGCTGGCGCTATATAATACAAGCAGATCGTGTCTTGAGATGAATGACAACCCAGATCACACTGTACATAAGATAATGGTACAGCAACAGCAACCAAACCATCTAAAAAAGACAAGCCAGGATTCCAAGCTAATGACAGATAACTGTATATCCATGAACCTTCACCTGATCTGGCTACTTTTCTTCGCTCAAAATCATCAATCGTAAATCATGTAAGGCAAGCCAACTCCATCGCATATGCATGCATCTGTCGATTCGAAAGCTCTCGCCCTCACTTGGAGACTGCACATGCAAAGAAAAAATCTCACTCGCTTGGGTCATGCATGCGCCATTCCATAATCAACTCCCTGCTCTTTACTTACTTTTTTTTTCTTTCTTTATTTATTTTTGTTTCGATTTTGCTGTTTTGCTGTTCGGATGGGAATGGCCACGCGCTTACAGACGGGGCTGCTCGCGCTTCCATCCAGCCTCTTCGGCGATGAGCTCCGCGGCACGCTCGCCAATGGCCAACACAGTCAACATGGGGTTGATAGTGGGCATCTCAGGGAAGACACCAGCATCGGCGATACGAACGTTCTTCAGGCCACGGACCTTCAGCTTGGGGTCGACGACGGCCATAGGGTCGCGAGTCAGGTTACCCATCTTGGTAGTACCAGCGGGGTGGTAGACAGTGTGGGCAACGCGGCGACCGTACTCGGAAAGCTCCTCGTCGGTCTGCACGTTGGGGCCGGGGGCGACCTCGCGCTTGATCCAGTCCTTGAAGGGCGACTGCTTGGCAATCTCACGAGCAGCCTTTAGACCAGCCACGATAGTAGCAGCATCATAGCCCTCGGGGTCAGTGAAGTAACGGAAGTCCAGGGCCGGCTTGACGCTGGGGTCGGCCGAGGTCAGGTAGATACGACCGCGGGAGCGAGGGCGAGGGATGTTAGGGGTCATGCAGAAGGCATCGACCGGGGTGTCGTAACCCAGACGCTCGGTGTTCAAGCAGAAGGGGATCTGGTAGCAGTGCATCATAATGTCGGCAGCACGGCCATCGAAGCCATTAGCGTTGGGAAGCTCACGACGCAGGAAGATACCAGCGTCCGAGTCCATGGTGGTCTGGTTGGGGGGAACGGGGCGGTTGAGCTCCCAGATGATGATACTCTCGGGGTGGTCGAGGAGGTTCTCACCCACACCGGGAATGTCCTTCACGACAGGGATTCCCAAGCCAGACAGCTGCTCGCGAGGTCCCAGGCCAGACAGCATCATCAGACGGGGGGTGTCGACGGCACCAGCACACAGGATGGTCTCCTTCTTGGCGCGCAGGGTGTGCTTGACTCCTGACTGCAGAGTCACATCAACACCAGTCACAGAGTCTCCGTCAACGTTGACGCGGGACACCCAGGCGTTGGTGAGGATGGTCAGGTTAGGTCGCTTCTCCTCGCCACGAAGGATGGGGTGGATGTAAGCGACACTGGCGCTGCTGCGACGACCGTCATCGGGGTTGTAAGAGACGGAGAAGAAACCGACACCCTCAGTCAATTCACCCTTGGAGCGGATCTCCTTGTTAAAGTCTTCGATGACGGGAATATTCATGGCGGAGGAGCAAGCCTGAACCCAGTCCTTGCACAGCTGGTTGCGGTGACGGTTGTGGACTGGCTGAACGGTGTTGCGCAGGTTGTCCAGGACGCGGGTGAAGGTATCGAAGGACCAGCCAGTGCAGCCGGCCTGCTCCCATCTCTTGCAGTCGTATTCGAAGGGACGGAAAGAGATCAAGGTGTTGTGGCTGGAGCAACCGCCCAGAACCTTTGCGCGAGAGTGACGGATGTAGCTGTTACCTGTGCAGTAGAAAAAAGGCATGAGAAGTTTGATCTGGGATTGATATAGCCTCGAGAGAAAAGTGGTGGTTTAAATGCAGGGAGAAAGGTTTCACAACATACCCATGGGCTGTTCAACGGTGGGGTAGTCGTAGTCCAACTCGCCGCCAAGCAGGTTGAGCCAGTCCTTCAGCTTGAGCACGCGATCATCCATGAAGTCGCTGGGACCACCCTCGATGATGAGGATGCGCTTGTTGGGCAGGTATTCAGCCAGACGACTGGCGATGACACAGCCAGCTGTGCCACCTCCGACGATGACATAGTCGTAGCTGTTGACATCGCTAGCGGGGAATTCGTTTGTGGTGGCCATTTTGAAAGATGAAGACAAGAGGATATATTACTTTTACGCAAGAGAGATCAGGAAAGGAACGAGGAAGATTTGGAGAAGAGGGGAAACAGGATAAGAGATAAGGATGAGGAGAAGAAGGGGGTTGGATGCGCGACAGAGAGGAGAAGAGGAATTAGAGAAAAGAGGAAAAAGAAAGAGAAGTCGGAAAGATGAAACTGGGGTTTTTTAAATTTTGCAAGACAGCAAGAGTTGCGGTGCTTTCTGAGGCTGAATTGTCAGGCCATCCAATCCATCCATTCATCCATTCATCCATCCACTTCCCTATCTTTCTGGATTCCTTATGCTGTTTGGCCTCGTTCTGTTCCTTTCTCACTCTTTTTTCTCACCATTCTTTCCCTTTTCTGCCGGTGGATCTCTCTCTAAACCCATTCCGGAGGGAGCCATGACCCACACCAATTACCCCACCGCATCAAATTCTCGATCAACAATGGCTGCTGACTGGTGGGGCCAGAGATATGGTGGGCTTATTAGTCAAAGCCAAGACCAACGGCAAAGGCGGAACAAAGTTCTTAACCAAAGTTTTTTTTTTTCGTTGGTCAGTTTCGGGATGCGTAAGCGCTTTGGCATGCCAAAACTGTTACGTGATCTACTAATCCCCCGGATTGTTACTCAACCTTCCTCAAGATTTAGCCAGATATTCATCAGATGTCCCGGTCTCGTACTACGTCTTAGTAGTAAGTATATATACGGGGAAAGAGGTAGCACCGCAGAATCGGCGGAACAGCAAGGCGGAGGGTGAATTTGCCACGGTCAAATTCCGAAGTCCACCCGTCGTGGATGGTAACTGGGCGGGCACTCCACACGAGATCCAAACACTAGGGCACGCCACGATCCCGCCTACTAGTTGGGCGCTAACCAACGGTTATTTCTATCGGAGATGCAGGGCCGAGGCGAATCCCGGGATCGGATTGCCTGCTTTGGTGCGAAAGTTGGAAAAGTTGAGGGGAGGAAAAGATGGGATAGGGAGAGAGGGAGAGGGAGAGATGTATAGAGATACCACATTGAGCCATAGCTTACTGAGTACTCGAGTTATCCTCCCTCGAGATTCTATCTGTCTTCTATGTACGTATCTCCTACTACTAGTAGTATACAACAGATATCTATCCCGGCGACCTATGGAAGAGGCCCTCTTATCAGTCAAGAGGTTAGCCAGACTAAGTCATTTACAGGAACTATCTCCCCAAATCTAAAAATGAAAAAGATAAAGCCGAGAGTGAGAAAAAATTATGATCCAAAAAAAAAAAAATAAAATAAAATAAAACAAAATAAAATAAAGATAATAATAATGATAATAAAAAGAGAAAAATAAAATGAAAATAAAATAATGAAGGGATCGCCGCCTGCCGGATTACATCATTGGGAATTCCAGCAAATCATCGGGTTGGCGGTGTAGCCATGGAGTACTGTTTTCGGCTTAGGCGCTTCGCCGAGGTACCTGATCTGTACATTCATGCTTCTCTTACTTTCTACTACTTTTTGAAACATCTCTTTTTTCCCCTCCCCTCACTTTTTATCGTGTCTATCTATCCCCCTCTGAACCTTCTTGAACCCCGTTAACTTCTTTCAGTGGTTTTACAGTCCACTGCATCAACTCCTTTCCCCTCCCCCCCCCTCTATTATCCCTCATTCACCCTTCCAACCATGTCCCTCCCATTTCCTACGCGCCAACTCTACTATGATGGCAAGGTCCAGCCTGCCACTTCCGGCAAGACTTTTCAAACCATCAACCCTTCCAACGATACCCCGTTGGCTGATATCCAAGTCGCCGCTCACGCCGATGTAGACTCGGCCATCGCCGCTGCCGACCGGGCCTTCCCTTCCTGGTCTCAGACTCCTGCTATCGCTCGTGCCCGCATCCTCCAGAAAGCTGCCTCCCTTCTGCGTGAGCGCAATGATGAAATTGCCCGTGTTGAAACTCTCGATTCCGGAAAGGCCTATACGGAGACGAGCACCGTGGATGTGGTCACTGGTGCCGATGTCCTGGAGTACTATGCGAACCTGGTGGGTGGCGGTGGTCTGAATGGCGAGACTACTCAATTGAGGGAAGATGCTTGGGTATACACGAAGAAGGCCCCGCTAGGTGTCTGCGCGGGTATCGGCGCATGGAACTACCCTATCCAAATGTAAGGACAACTCCCTTCTCTCCCGAATCTAGATCGAACCCTCTTTCAACCGGTTTTTTTTTTTTTTTTTTTTTTTTTTTTTT